TTGTGATTTGACAATATCACTAAGCTTTCGATCAATAGTTTCCTTTGATATGAATAAAGATGAAAATGGCATTCCAATAATGTCACTTTGGGATTTAATGCCAAACATGGATAAGGCAGGTTGGTTAATATTCTCAACAATTCCATCTTGATTAAAAATAATTGTTCCATCAACACAGCTATCTAAAGTTCTGTTCAATAAACTGTAAGAATTGATACCTTCTCCTTCACTCATACCAGCATAGATTTTACTCTTCTTTTTCTTTGCTAACGTGAAATTCATAATGTAATCCATAAAAATTTCTTCATTTTCCAATGTTTCGAATGGAAGGAAGTGAAACATTTGTCGAAGTTGACGCATTTCTTTCACATATACTTTCCACAATATATAAACCAAATAATTGATGATGAAACATAAAATTATGATGAAAGAGGTCACACTAATGCTAACAATCATTGATACGATTGTGTCAATCACATTCACCAGCAGTAATAGAACCTTATCCACTTTGCCTCTAAATGCTAAACTAAGTGAGAGATGAATTCTAACAAATTTTTCAATCAACTCAGTTGGAGTAAATATTTGTCTAAATGTCTCCTCTTTAAGTTGTTCCATGGTTGATGAAATATAGCCCATTAATTCTTCGATGCTCAAGCACTGAAAGAATTCTAAATTTTCTTGCAACGAAAAAGAAGAGTTCCATAGTGAATGATGAAGAGCAAGAGCATCGGTACTATTTTGTGTTTGATTGGAGTTATACATGTTGCAAGTATTGGACAACATCAAATGTTCAATATCTGTACTGTAGCTCCTAATAGGATTGTATCCTTTAACATCATCACCACGTGAAAAAATCAAGAAATTATCAAATAAACTTCGTATGGTTATGGAAAGGTCGTAAAACGTTGCTGTAGTATTCACTAATAGATTATTTTCTGAATTATCTCGAATCAACTCGAGAAGATTGAATAATCCCTTATGATAATCCACTTGAATATCTACAGAATTACGAAGTTTCAACATGGAATTATATTGTATGTTCATATTATTAGTAGAGTCGTAGATAAATGCAAAAAACGCCACAGAACCCAATGCAAATGCCAACAATTGTAACGATGGAACTGCAATTACAGGATTTCTCATCCATTTCATTGTGTATTTCTTCTTGTCACCATCTAAAGAGTGTTTCTCATCACTTCGCAAGTCATGATACACTTTTCCAACATCATCTTTAGGAAGTTTTTTAAATAATTTGATTAGTCTTTCACGGTCTCGAAATTTATAAATGATAATGGCAAAAATTCCACAAGAAACTCCTACAAATGAGAACATGGCTATAGATAGACCTAAGACGAAATCTCTCAACTGCTCAATAAGATGATTTCTATTGTTATCAATAATTTCAGAGCAAAATGTTGCAATAGTTGAAGGAATCGTTTGTCTATTTTCCCAAAAGAACATAAACGGAAAGTTGTTTTTCGTGTTCATTCTCGCATCTTCATCTTGTTGAATTAATTGTTCCAATGTATTAGTTAACATGGAATAAATTTCAATAAGAGTCACTTGTTTGGCAGAGGGTAATACTTGTTCTGTTGAGTTGTCAGAAATGGCTGCTGGTATGAGAATTGTATGATATTTTTGTTGATAGCCTTTCACAACTGATTGAATTAAATTGTCGGAGCTTGCAGAGTATGTTGACAGCATGGTTTTTAGCTTGATGTTATAGTTGTTAAATCGTTGTGTACTTTCACGCTGGATCTTGTTCATGTATACAGTATTGTTTGAGTACAATTTCAATTTTTGCAATGTTCGTATATCCACCTTTACGTAATAATTATGAGCATTAACCTTGCTGTTTTCATTTTGAAAAACAACTTACCATTACATAGTATGGAATATTGGCTGCGTCACACATGTCATAATACATCCAAACGTTGGATTTATACCCTTTTGTTTGAAAACCGTTTCGATTAGTGGATTGAATTATTTCTCCAAGTAATCCTCCTGTAATTCCCAAAATGACATAACATGGCACAACCACAATCAAACATAAAATCCATCTAAAATCAGGTTGCTTGTGAATGAGGCCTCTAAACGTATCTTTTGACTTGGTTTTCATTTGCTCTTCATCAAAATTTTTAGCTTCATCCAAATCATCTTCACAATTATTGGGTTCGTGTTGTGGAAATGTTTTGGTGTGTGTGATCTGGTCGACATCTGAAGGTCTTGTGCTATATCTTCTTACAGAAACAGTTTTGAATACATGTTTTCTATTGTGTGCTTCTTCTTCTTCTTCCAACATGGCTGCTTGAGCGTTCAGCATTTCACTCAGATCCATTTGAAATAAAATTTTTTCAGCATAGCGAGCATAGTGTCTAAGTATGGTCACATTAGAGGCATGTTGCGAGAGTAGATCACTAAATTTGGTAGATATCTCCATGATATAGTCCGCCAGGGCGCTGCTAGTTTGCAATATCGCGTCTGTATCTTCCATGCTATCATTTAAGATGTATTTCCAAAATGTTTTTTGTAATGAAATGACTTTCTGCTGTTTTTTGTAGAGATCTGACAGCTTTTTATCAATTTCTTCGTTCCTTCTCATACCTGGTTTGATTTCATCTTTTTTCTTGAGATACTCTTTCTCATACTTTTGCAACGAAAGATAAATTCTGTCAAAAATATTCACTTTTCGTCGCATTTGATTCATGATCATTTGAATCGCCTTATTAATGCTGTATCTTGAATCTTTGTACTTAAACAGAGTGCACGAGACAACATTCACTAAATGGGTATCTGTGATCACTATTTTGTTTCTGATTACTTCACTCACCACTTGTCTCGAAAGTGCCACAAGCGATGAATCATTAAACATCGGTAGAGAAAATTGTAAAACCTTGGCCAAAGTATTCTGGCTGACTTCTTCTAACAGTTCCGAAGGATTTTCTTGTAATTTCTCACCGACCAGGTTCTGAATGTGCTTCAAGTACAATTTGAAAGCAAAAAAGGACACAATAAATCCAATTGTAAAAAACAATATAAACACTCCCACGCTCACTCCAAAATAAATGAGTCCAATGTCACCGTTTTGTTGTACATTTTGAATAGAGCACACTAGTGAAACAATTCCAATTCCAATTTTTCCAAAGTTCAAAGCAATGTCATAGCTATTTTCTGAAATGCGACTGAAAGGAATGTACCAAATAATCAGCATAATATTCAACAAACACAAGCATATGTAAAATATGGGATACAAGTACGTATACTCTTCGTAGCAAGGTATCATTTGTTGAATCCAAACATAAATCTGATACGAGACAACTATGGCAACAATTACAAGAGGTTTCAGTGAACTGAAAAACGCCCGTTTCACATAAACCACAAAGCATCCAGGCGCTTTTTTAAACGTTGGAAATAACACATGGGATGCATTGGAAATGCACAACACAAAAAACACAGGAACTACTATCATGTGTATGGAAAAACCCATCAATAAGGAAATGGCAGCAAAACTGGCGTTGAGGCCACTCCAACACTCGACAGACGGATAAGTTTTAAGGTAGTACAGAACTGTGCTTGAAGCTCCCAAAACCGATGACTGAACTTGTTCTGATGCATAGTTGCAGCTCCAAAATGTTGCATACAAACTCGCCATAGGAATGGACAGAATAAACACGAACACCGTTAAATATTTTGTAAAAAAAGAAATTCTTTTCGCCCACTTGCTTTCCTTTCCATACATTAATTTGGAACAATAAACAAGTATGAGCCAAACCATCTCCAAAACTGTGAACAATATGCAAAACGCCAAAGCACCATCATATGGTAGAAAATGCAATCCAAATGTATACAAATTCTTAATGGTGTATTGAATGATATCACGAGTTGTAGGCCCCCATTGCATGAACGGAATGTAACCCATCGCAATTGTTTGAAGAGGAAATAATATTCCATGAATCAGAATTGAAATGAGATGAGGTAAATGATCCCATGGATGAGATTTTATGGCCCGAATGGGTGAAACGACATATTCCTCTGCAAGGACATGTGTTTGAACTACGTCCACACTCGAGCTTTCCACGACGGAGGTCTGATGAGTGGAAATAATTTCTTCATCCTCAGCCATTACGGTTGGAGGTGATTGATGAGGGTGTACACTCATTCCCGTGTTGGATAGAATGGAATTTCGAGGTGCAAATAAATGATGGCCTAGTGTGGTGTTCCTGACGGTGGGTGAATGATTTCCACCACTCGTCGTGTTGTTGTTGTTATTGGCATTCATGGTAAGGCTTGCAGCAGAATTGCTGATATTGGTACCAGTGCTGTTGTTGCTCGTAGAATTATTGTTGGGGTCCGTAAGATTTGTCATTTGGTATCAGTGATGAACAATGATGATGATGATGAGGACGTTCAATCACTCCGAGAAAAGTTGAAGAGAGAACTATCAAAATAGAGTGGGTATAAAATGTTTGTTTTCTTCGAACAATGTTCCAAGCGGCGCCATGACAGTTCGCGTTTCAGTATTTACATTTCGCCGAAACGATGCAAAACACTCTTGATGAAACTTTTGTCATGACGAAAGTAGTCGTTTCATTTTTTAATGTTGTTTAATGACGCTGAAGCAGCTTGTCAACGTCGTCGACAGGCCATATCTTCTCCCTTTCAATTGTAAAATATTTTTTGAATACATTAAACTTGTTGAACATGCATGTTGAGGAATTGCTTAATTGCAGAATTTCAAATCTTTACAGGACACTCCAACAAGAAAAAAATATTTCAAATAGCTCCTTCTTTCAACATTCACTCACCCAATCATGCCAATCAGCCGAAATGCTCATTCGTATGCATCGAAAAAGATCAAACGGCACATGCAGGAAATCCATCCAAGTTCTACCACGACAAGTGTTAGCAGTGTAGACGGCAACAATTTTTCGTCTTCTCACTTGCCGTTAGATCAATTCATTGGACTCAAGATTGGACAATTTTCCGACAAGGCTTCTACCATATTACCGCTCGTGTCGCATCATGTCAAATGCCAAATTACGTATCCAGTCGTTCAAGTAGTGTCTACCATGACATTCCGAAACGATCATTCAAAAACAATTGAAGGAGAGCTTGTATTACCAATGCCAGAAAATGCCACTGTGGTTGGTTATGCCATGGAAATTGATGGCACTCTTGTCGATGCTGTTCCTGTAGAAAAAGAAAAAGCAAAACAAGTATTTGAAGATGAAGTGAGATCCGGAAGAAATGTGTCCATTGTAGAGAAAACCTCTCAAGTGAATTGTTTCAAAACTCGTGTTTATCCATTGCCATATCAAAAAGATAAAACAATTCAAGTGAAATATCAAATCATGTTAAATGAAAATGCCACAACAAATATTCAAGCCAATACCGAGGAAGGACTAATCAAGAGTTGTGTATTTATTCCAATGAATTATTTAAATTTTGAAATGTTGAGAGAGGACAGTAAGATTGAATTTTCTTTCGACGACTCTTCCTTTCATGGTTTGGAAGGAGAAGTTTTTTTAGAAACTGCTGAGACAACAAGCATGAAGAGAGAAATTTCAATTCAAACTCAGCAAGATGGAGATGAGAAGGATGAAACCATGCATGACATTACATTTTCTCAATTGCTTTGGAGTAATACTAAAGAATCTCCATACAACAAGACACCGTCATATCATTTCGAGCTCAACAAGTCAGATTTGAAATCAAACATGACAGGATTCACTCTCAATATTTCACAAAAAACAGAATGTACTAGAAATATTCTATTCGCTGTTGAAGACGGATATTTTATGACCAATATTCCTGTTCCTGCTCCTCCAATAGAAATCCTTTCAAAGGAACACGTATTGTCACACAGAGGTAAAAAGATTCAAATTCTGTGGGACTGTTCGTTGAGTCAAGAAAAGCTACACTCTACCAATTGTGATCTCGTGAGAAAAATTCTTTCCAAAGTATCACCATCCTCAATTATATTTACGTGTTTCAGTAATACAGTATTGAACACTCTTGAATTTTCATATGGAAATTATGGATCTCTCTCTGAATTGGATCAATTTTTATCAAACGAACAAGACTTTGTATATGATGGAGGGTCTAATTTATTATTATTGGATAAGGGTATGATTGATGAAAATTGTGACTATTGCATTGTTTTTACGAATGGTGTTCATACCTTTGGCCCTGAAATTACTCATGTCACAACCTTCTCAAAGCCACTATACATTGTAAATACTTCAACTGTGTGCAATTCACAGTTATTGATGAATATTGCAACGAAAAGTGGAGGAATGTTTTTAAATGCTCTTCAAATGAAAGAATCAGAATTATTGGTGGCCATTGGCAAACCAATTCTTTGTTTTGCCTTTGCAGATTATGAAGAGAATGAAATTTATGAAGTATATCCCCATGAACCTACTTGTTTACAAGAAGGACAATTGTTTAAATTATTTGGAAAATTCAAACCATCACTCGATTCGACTTTTGGCAATTATGAAAAACAATTTTCCAAAGCAGTTGTATCATTCAGATATGGCTCTCAAATTTATCACTCTCAAGAAATACTATTACCCATTCCTCATGGAAAAGACACGACGTCGTCCAAAAACAAAGAAGCCATTATTCCATTATTATGGGCACAACAGAAAATTACATGTCTTTCAGCCTTTCCTTCGATATTTAAAGAAGAAATTCGACAAGTAGGATTGCAGTTCAAAATTGCAACCGAGAATACATCTCTCATTGTTTTGGACACGTTGGAACAATATTTGAAACATGATATTGTTCCATCGGAAGAAACTTTGCCCGAAATTTTCCAACAATTCCATGAACAACGTAATCGTGAAAAACAACAAGAGGAAGATCGAGTGAAACAGAAATTGGAACGAATGCTTCATTTATGGAAACAACGTGTCGAGTGGCACAAAAAGGACATTGATCTTCAAGCACTGAAAAATCCATTAAAGAGTCGTCATCGACTCTTTAATTCAGGAGGAAGAGGAGGACTAGACTTGTCAGACGAAATTAATTTGCAACTACCTGATGTTAATAATTGGCATTTGAGAGATGGTCACGAGAACCAAAATGATAGAGCCAAAGGTTTTGGAGGTAGAGGTGGTGGACGAGGTGGTGGAAGAGGCGGCAGGGGAGGAGGTAGGGGAGGATCAAGAGGACGATTCCAAGCATCCTCTTCCTCGTCCTCCTCGCAATCTAATGAATCAGAGGAGTGGCAAGTGTCAGGTCTTGGCAATAGTCGAGCTGTTAGAGACACAGAGAAAGAAACTGTAAAGAAACGAAAGAGAAAGTTAAAGAACGATCAACAGCATGAGGAAACTGAAAGTTCCATTCGAGTACAATCATGGACTCCCGATGTGACTTATTGTCGTGAAATTTCCAACTCCTCCAATCCATATAAGGAATATTTGAAACAGAGAATTCTCTATCGTGAATCTCCTGCATTCTACTTGGATGTGGCTGACCTCTTCCTAACCTCTCCTACCTTATTAAATGTAGAATTGGGAGTGAGAATTCTCTCAAATATTGTCGAGTTGGAATTGGATAATATTCAACTCTATCGAATTGTTGGCTATCGACTCGATCAAGCGAATGAATTGGAATTGGCCGAATGGATCTTTGAAAAGGTTCAAAAATTAGCTCCTTTTGAACCTCAATCGTATCGTGATTTAGCTCTCATCAAGGAACGTTTAGGAAAATATGAACAAGCGATGGAATTATTCAATAAGGTCATGATTGGAAAATGGGATATGAGATTTGATGAAATTGAAATGACCGTTGCGACAGAAATGAATCATTTATTATTGAAAAATCCTCAATTACCAATCATTGATGAGAGATTTATTCATAATTTTGAGTTGGATGTTCGAATTTCAATGGCATGGGATGTTGACGATGTCGATATTGATCTACATGTTCAAGAACCAGCTCCGTTTGGTGAACACGTCTTTTTTGGACACAACCGTTCGAAAATAGGAGGTTATATTTCAAGAGATTTCCGTCAAGGATACGGTCCCGAAGAATACATGATTAAGAAAGCACAACCTGGTTCATATAAGGTCACTACCAATTATTTTGCAAATCATTCCCAGAATTTGACAGGTGGCACCACCGTGTTGTGTACATTCTTTACGAATTACATGAGAGACAATGAGACGAGAAAAATGGTCACTGTACGATTGCAATCGCAACAGCAAGACGTTCAGGTGTGTGAAATTGATTTTAAGGAATGTAAGGAAGAGGACTCGAAGGAGTATCAAGCTTGGAAGTAGTTCTGAACAATAAAATTAAATTCCAAACACATGAGCGCAACTGTGTGTTAATGACTCTGATTATTTATCTGGTAAACATCAAGTTCAAATGTTGAAAACCACGTTCTTCATTTTTCAAATTGAATTCAATTTCCAAAATGAATATTACCTATAAACTTATCTGTTGACCGAACACAAAGTCTCTGTAAGCAACAAAAAGAAACAAACCGAAATCATCGACGTTCTCCTCCAGCCACAATGATCTCCTCGAATCATTCAACCAAAAGTTCCGATCAAGTGATGAATTCAGACTCGACACAAATCTGTACCATCACCTTCCCCAATCAAAACACCTTCCAAATGCCCATTCCACACGTACCTCTCACATCCGATTCGTATTGCCAATCCTTCAACGTGGATACTTGTTCCGATGAAGAAATTCAACAATTCTTTTCCAAATATGGTTTCATTGTGTTTGACAATGTGTTGAACCAAGATCAAGTCCAAGCGACCGTGAGCGATATCTTTGATATACTTGAAACCAATACCAATAATCAATTCCAACGTCATGATACTACGAAATGGAATAGTTGGCCAGAGAATGCTTTGGAACATTTCGGAAACGTTTCCATACCAAGTATCTTCTCGAGACAATTTCTAATGAATCGACAGAACGAGAAAGTGGTGAAAGCCTTCTCTCGAGTATTCCAATTACCTGAAACGGAATTAATTGTGAGTCATGATCGAGCCTCCTTCTATCGTCCTCCCAAATTAAATTCCAAATACAAGACCAAAGCGAACTTACATTTGGATTGCAATCCAGCAGAAGCCTTAGATGAACCTGAGAAGGCCACAGTTTCCTACTCGGAATTGAATCGTTTGCATTATTCGAGTGGAAAGGGACATTTCATTACCGAGAATAATCATATATGTACCAAACGTGATGGTTTACAAGTTCAAGCCTTGATCAATTTGAATGATAACTTGAGTGAAGATGGTGGTTTAATTGTTGTCCCAGGTTTTCATCAATACTTTTCTCAATTCTTTGAATTATCGGGTTTAGTGAATGATTTGGGTCGAGGTCGTCCCAGTTTTGCTTTCAAACCTCGAGATCGAATCACGGGTGAGATTTATCAATTGGCTCAACGAATTCCTTCCAAAGCTGGTTCATTGATTATTTGGAATCAATTATTAGCTCATGGTTCTGCTCCTACGGACATGCAGAAGAGTAAGGCTTCGTTCCGAAGTGCCATGTATTTACGAATGTTTCCAAAAAGCATGTTATTGAGAGAAGGAGCTCATCATCGAAGAAAGAATCGACGAGAGGCACTGAGAAAGAAGATTCATTTGTTGTATTTGAATGAGAGAAGACCTTTGGAATTGTCGCCTTTGGGTCGTGCTGTGTTTGATATTGACGATGAAGGGGCTTCAGTGAATAGCGAAAATTTGTTTGATCCAACTCCTCCATATGCAGCTTCGTTAAAACCTTTGAGTTCAGAAAAGAAGTCAAATGGTGGTGCCTCTAGCGAAGATAAGTGAAAATTTAAGGTGTCCCTTGTTTATTTGTAATTCATCAAATCTCAGAGTAAATGAACTTGAACAAGAAAGGAGCTGTCATCTGTCGAATGTGGAATCGTGCTCCAGGAGGAACACATGAAAAAAAATGTTACAACAATCGAACAACCACCACAACTCCATCGATAACATTCCTCTTTCAGATTGGGATGTTTCAACAGTGATTCAATTCTTGAACAATCAAAAGGTCACTGATAACCGTGTTCATCAAAGTAAGTCCACCTGAAAACAATGATCTACAATTTCTGTACAGTATTTAAAACTCAACAAATCAATGGAACATTACTCTCTCACTTGAATTTTGATGATCTCCAACGTCTGGGAATCAAAGGTGGCTTTGCTAATACCATTGTTAAGAAAGTCGCAAATTTGAAAGAATATCAAGAACATTATTTGGATAAACACAAAATGGAAATGAGAAATTTAGCCAAAGATTTAGAAGGAGATATTCCTGATAATGATGACTCTCGAGAAGGTATAAAAGAAACCTCCATAATGATATCTTCCTCCTCGTCTGGAACTCCAACAACGATTGGTGTGACTCCTTGTCCTGCATGGAATGTACAAGATTTTAGTGAACAACAACGAAAGGAGTACATTTTCTGTTTGGAAAAATTGAATGCCATTGAGAATTGGGATCCCAGACAGGATAAGAATGCCGCCTGTCAAAATTTGATATTTTCATCAAGATTTAAATATCAGTACTTGAATCCAAAACGATTGAAAGAATATGTTAGCCAATCAAGCAATTCGAATAAGGAATCCAGATTGAAAGTTCGACTTGTCATTACAGAGTTGAGTGAAACCACTCAGCATCGATTCTTACGAACTGTTGGATCCATTGCTGGATTCATTGGAGATGCCAAGTATGGAATGGTAAGTGAGTTTTCTCGTTTTGGAATTCCAAATGGTCCAACATATTATCACAATTCCACATTGTCCATACACAGTTTCACACATCATTAATTATTGGACCATGGTATTTGGAATGGGGACATCAGTCATTGGCCTCTATCAGACATCGATCTTCTTCGAAAGCCATTCTCGTGACCAATGTAGGAGAAATTAAGGGAATCGAACGTGTCAATCAAAAACTTACAGCTCTTGCTAACGTTTGTACCGAATGGAATGCAACAAAAATGTACGATAGTAAGCAGTGTAATTGTCAGCATTTCACAGAAGCAGTAATAGATGCCTTGGGAATGTCGATAGAGTATGAACAAAACATTGATGTCAAAACTCAAAAATATTTAAACAAGATGAAAAGGTATGGAGCTGGTCAACGTGTGTACAAAATGGGAACCGATGTCAAAGCCTTGCTGTTGAAAGAGCCAAAGGATGAAGCGACCCTCGATGACGAGACGTGTCAATTCATTCATCTCATGAGAAAGAAAATTGAAAGCACTTCCAAATTTTCCTTCAAAACACACAAAGAATTGGATGAATTGGTTAAATTTGCAATCATGGTTCATCCACTGTTCACAAGCTCTCCAGATTACCTCTTTTTGAAAGGTTTTGATCGAGCCTTTTGGTTGAAACATCAAAGTGAGAAGAGTAAATTGGATAAGGAACATCGAGAAGCATGCAAACCCTTAATGGACTCGGACGACTGTTGTTGTTTGTGTCCTTTCAATCCAACACAAGATGTGATAGGAAATGTCAACATGACTGTCATGGGCGTCGATTATGTTTTAGATGCTCATTGTGGATGGCAGCCTCCATCATTTTTGGAGGTTCTCAATAATTAGTCGAGTGACGTTAACCCTATCATGGACAAAAAACCACTAAAGATCGATATACTCTCACAATACTGCTGTTGTTGTTCTTAAAATTATTATTATTTGTTTAATATGTAAAAGTGAAACTGGTAACAACAAACCCCTTAATAGAGCAACATCTTTTCTGGATCTTCAATGAGCTCCTTCACTCTCTTCAAGAATGTCACAGCTTCTCTTCCGTCAATGATTCTGTGATCATAGGTCAATGCCACATACATCATTGGTCTCACAACCACTTGGTCACCAATGGCAACTGGTCTATTCTTTGTGGCATGCATGCCCAAAATTGCGGATTGTGGAGGATTGATAATTGGAGTACCCATTAAACTTCCAAAAACTCCACCGTTAGAAATTGTGAAAGTACCTCCCTTCATGTCATCAATTTGAATTTGATTCTTTCTTGCCTTTTCACCCAAGTTTGCAATGTCTCTTTCGACTTGAGCAATGGATTTGCTTTCAACATTACGAACTACAGGCACAACCAAACCAGTTGGAGTTGCAACAGCCACGCTAATGTCAACATAATCACGATAAACAATTTCACCATTGTCAATGATAGCATTCACTGCTGGAACTTCTTGAAGAGCAATAGAAGCAGCTTTACAGAATGCACCCATGAAACCCAACTTGAGTCCATCATGACGTTCTTGGAATTCATCTTGATTGGCCTTTCTGAGTTCCATAATCTTCTTCATGTCAATTTCATTGAATGTAGTCAACATGGCATAGGTGTTTTGAGCCTCCTTCAAACGTTCAGCAATCTTGGAACGAATACGAGTCATTTTCACTCTTCTTTCAGTTCTTGCAAAAGGTGTAGTTGATGCTGTTGCAGATGTTTGTTGTGGTTGAGCTGGTGTAGTGGAAGGAGTTGATGGAGTTGATGGAGTGGTAGTAGTAGCTTGTGTTTGTTTTGGTTCTTCCTTCTTCACTTGTTGTTGTTGTGGTTCAGTCTTGGCTGGGGTAGCTACGGCTGTTGCCGATGGCTTGCCCTCGGTATCCAAGATGGCAATTTCCTTTCCAACTTCAACAGTATCCTTCGCATTGGCCATGATGGATTTTAAAACACCAGCTTCTGGAGCACGAATTTCCACAACGACCTTATCGGTATCAATTTTGCAAATGATTTCATCTTCGGCACAGGCTTCACCAGGTTTTTTCACCCATTCGTTAATTTCTCCAGAGCTGATAGAGTCTCCCATAGGTGGTACCTTGATGGTAATATCCTTGAGAAGGAAAGGAGAAGAGTGGAGGAAACGAACTTGTTGTTGTTGGTGATGACGTCCAAGAGTGGAAGCGAGGATGCGTGAAGATTTGAGGATTGATCTTTTCATTTTTTTTAAAAAAATTTGGTTTCATTCTTATGGTCAAAGTGTCGGCTTTAAAAATCCCCGAATCACACATTCTCGCGTTAGGTGAGGGATCATAAGAATTGATTGGATAAATTTATGACCAACATATATTATTAATGTAATTGGAATTGATGAACAAAGGCAACGGTAAAATGGATCAGGATATCAATTCATTTTTCAAAAAACATATTTGTACTACTAAAAAAATATTGTTCATCATGGGCTCAGCTTCATCCGTTGCAGAACATTGCTTAATTGTTTTGACTCACTTTGGGGAAACCATTAAGGTTCAGCCAGGAAATTCCAACAAGTGCATTGTATCATACACACAGCTACCATCCTCTCATCCAACAGATTATTTATTCAATGATGTATTCTATGAAACAAGATTCGAGGCTTTACGAAAGGATTATCATTCACCTGAATTGCTCAATTCCATGCAAAGCATGTACAACATGTCCACTTCAGACTCTAATGAAGCAACCACCACCACTCCACAACAAATTCCACCCACAACACCATCATTCATTGGTGGTGGTGCAACTAGTGGTGGCGGAGGAAGTGGTATCGGATCCTCTCCCTCCTTCAATAGTGGCTCTGGTGGAACCTCGTTCAGTGGCTCACATGCGGGAACTGGTGGTTTCTCATCCTCTACAGCCTCTCCCTTACTCGGAGATGTACAATTTGACCCATCACTACTCGATGATCGGGATGATCGAACCATATCATTTGATGCACTCAAGACCAATTACTCCGAGTTTAGAAACTCGAAAATACTTCAGCATGTATTCTCTTCGGTGGATCGAGCGGATGAGCATCAAATGCACATCAATGAATTCATGAACAGCTATCCAAGTTTTCAAACGAATGAGCAGAGAGCAGAATTCTTTCTCAAGCTGTTATTAAGGAAGACACGGAAAATCACGAGTTTTAACGAAAGCGGTTGCAACACGAATACAAAGAAAAAAAACCCTTTGGAATTTTCCATCCAAGATTTGGCTGATATTTTAGCTTTGGGAAAGGAAAAACCAAGAAAGATTCAAAACGAAACTGAACGAATGCACTTTATTAAGCTCGCATCTTTCATGCTGTATCAGAGCCTTTCCTCAAGTCAACAACCAAAATCTGAAAAGGAAACCAATTTTTGTAAGCAAGTCGAAGAACTTCTATCCTCGCTAAGTGAAGCAAAAACCGTTACGACTCAAGCATCAAAAAAATCAGAAGAATCTCAAAGTATTCTCATTGACTCAATAGGAAAATACAAATTCAATTCAAAGCAGTTTGCTCTTGTGTTGAATGCTTTCGAGACCAAAACAAGAGGAGGTGATGACGAATGTTTATTGAAGTGTTGAGCCAAATCGGATTCAAAAGCAACAATACATTAAAAAAAATCTCCTCATCTTGCTTGTTGTTGTTCCATTTCAAACAAACACAACTTCGAATAACGTGCACCTTTGCAACAGTTATTAATAATCCGGGTGTTTTTACCGTGTCTACACATACAAACCTTTCTCGGGCCAACACCACCATCCCAACCCTATTTACTTTTTGTAAATAATAGTATTATACAATCAACAAGAAGTGTGCTGCTCCAACTCTTCCTCGCTCAACCCTCACATCAACCACATCAGATCCTTTTAGCCACCCACAATCATGTCCGGAATTGGATCCTGGTTTGGATTTTCTTCAAAGCTAACCGATCCTATCAAGAAGCGAATATTCAAGTTTGTTATCAAACGATTGCTCGGAAGGTTTATAGAGGAACCCGATCTTTCTCAGCTCGACGTTCAATTACCTGGCTCCTCACAACAACAGCAACAACATAGAAAAGCTTCTCAATTTGCCTCATCATCAAATCAACAACAACAACAACATAACTCTTTTGATTTTGAATTAAAGAATGTACAGCTCAAAGTGAAAGAAATTAACGAAAACATTTTAATGCACAACAGCAAAAATCCCACAAAACAAGACGGAATACCCTTCAAATTGACGAGTGGATATATTGAGAAAATATGTGTCAAGATACCTTCTCTGCTCGATATTTTCAAAGAGTCCATGATATTGGAATTGAATGGTCTTGAAGTTCAATTACAATTTAAAGGAATGAATGAAGATGCTAGTGGAATTGGAAATGCAGCAAACTCATTCCTTTTTCATTCCACAACGTATTTTGATCCAAATGTACTGGCGAGTAGTATCCTTGTTGGTGACGTGACAAAATCTGATATAGCTTCCGAGTTCAATGATTTGGAAGATTTTGATCAACAAACAGATGCCTCATCGTCAACCATCGTCACACCAACAACAGAGGAAGAAGATAATTATGGCTTTACCGAAGGACATACTATAATTTCTCAAGCAGTGGAGAGAGTAATATCACAACTTAAGGCCTATGTCACAAACGTTACAGTTAGACTTGAATTTCCAAAACCAAAGCCAATGAATCCTCTCCAACAACAACAACAACAAGAATACTCACAACGAAAGGAAGGAAAACTGAAAAATGTACTATTATTACACTTTCCACGATTAGAATATTTGGACGAAACACCAAAAACAGAGGCGTTTGGTCCTTCCTCTTTTATTTACTCATTCATTTTCAAAGGAATTTTCCTACAAGTTTTTGAAGAGTTTCATCAAAGTACCAGGCGAAAAAACAAAAACTCTGAGAATATGAACGAATCTGGTATAGATAATGTACAATACGAAGATGAAATGAGATCATCAACAGAAAATTCTTTCACAAATAACTACATTGTAAATAGCCAACCATCCAATACTCTAGATGATGCCAATACAATTTTCTATGGAGAAACAGAAAATAATAGAATCAAAATTGTTATCAAACCATCAAATGCGGCAGCAGTGCAATCGTCTTCCAAAGGTGCTTACTCTCCATCATTAATGCCAACACCTAGTGACACTACATCACGGTTAGACGTTGAGTTTGCAATTTCATCAATTCATGCAGTAATATCTCCTGGTCAAATGGGACTTCTTCTTGAAATTTTGGAGGTTCTCAATAGTTCCAGTGTCAATATTGGTGGATTGGATTCATTCAGTATAAGCACTCCCTCCGAGAAAAGCCAACAACACCAAGAAGATCCTACCACTGTCTTCACTCCTCAACACCAAGACAGTATCAGTAAGATGGAGGCAGATTTTATGGTACAAAGCACAGACGCTCCAATTACTAAGAAAATGACCGAGAGCATGGCTCAGCATTTAATGAACCAGCATGTTGAGGCCCATGAATCAGAAATGGAGAATTTAGAATTTCAAGAATTTGATAACGACGACGAAAACGACGAGCAACCCATAGAAGCAGGCGCTTTTGTAGAATTTTCAACAGAGGATGAAGACTCTGAAACAGAGGAGCTTCCCTCAGCAACCTCTCCTGTCAAGAAAAAGAGCAGTCCACTGCATAAAACTCCCAGCAAAAACAATGCCAATAACGGCACTAACAAGTTTTTGAATGTGCCAACATTCAAGGTCACTAAGCCTGAGCTGCCACCTCCTTTTATGGGATCCAATGTTCCTTCCATCAGTTGTAACATCTCAATAACTCTCAAAGCTGCAACATTTAACATATTGTATCAGGAAGCAAATTTAGGAAGCATGTGGAGAAACTTTTTCAAGACATCTGACAAAAGTGGTCCTGTCATACCTGGAATTGGCCATTTATCACTTAAACTTTCCAATGGACTGTCTTGCACTCTGTCATTTTTGAGCGGAAGTAGCAACACGAACGATACTTTCTCTACACTTGATTATGGCAACAAACAAAAGCACGACACTACTCTAACATTGGCAATAGGTGACGTCCAGGCTTCAGAAAGGCTTTGCTATGATATTCTAGGTAGCAGCTACAAGTATTCCGAGTTGAAGATTTTAGAGTTTTTGAAAAAGCCCAAAAACACCACAACAGACGAAATTGAACCTCAAATTAATTATGGATATCATTTTATGAAGAGAGACAATTGTCTGAAACACACTTTAATGATCAAAAATCCATTGCAAATCACCTTAGACCCTGGTTTTATTCAACGTCTAGGCCAAGTTTCACAGAAATTGGTGTCCAAAATAAGCATGTTTTCCAAAGCCATGGCAGCCAAGCAGGCAAGGAACCATTCAGAATTCGATTTTGAAAAGGCCTTCTTGGAAAATCTTGAAGAAGAGTCTCATATTACAATACCTCACAAGACAGCTTTCGAGATTACCACTTCTGCCATCATGTTCGACATTGTGCTTCCAAAAGTGTTAACAAATGAGTTGCAGACAAAGCATCAGTACAAGGACGACAAGGTTCGTCTTGAATGTCAAGAAATCAAAATTAAGGCTTACTTTAATGAGCACGGAAAATTATACTACACCAATAACAATGAGAATGAGATTGATTTGAATACTAATGAGCGAGTGCAAAGTGACAAAACAGAAAGAATACTGCCCATCAGCTTTGGAGAAACCAACCTATTTCTCTTGAAGAATAAGGATGTTTATGATATCATCAAATTAAGGCCAATGGACATTTTGCTAACTTTGAAACAGACTGCCGTTGAAGATCAAAGTTCGCACCGATACTCAGAAAATAGAATGTATTACAGCAGTGTACCTTACAGTCCAGCTAAATATCAAGACAATTCGTATGATGAAGAATATTTCGAACATTCCTCTCTGGACTCTTCAACCGAAGACCTTGGTGATGAGACTGCACTTGAAGATCCAATTCCAAGTGACAAACAATTTTCAGAGAAGGACGAACATGAAGATGTTGAATTTTCTGTGGATGCTATTGAGGATACCATTCTTGGTGGAAAAGTTTTGAAACAAGCCAATATTTCTCTACTAGTTGATATTTCCGAAAATAAGGGTGGTAAAGAAGGTGGTGATTGTGTTATTGAGCTCACAAAGGACCAACTCGATCGTCTTGGCTCATTTTTTTCCTCATTGTCACAAGCTCTTTCCACCATACTTGGACAGAGGAAAGATGATCAACAACCGCCTAAAGAAAGCCAAAAACTCTCGCGAGACAATCCCTCAAGTGCTAGTCCTTCATTTGCAATGAAGTTCTCCATTCATGATCTTGTGATAAGACTTGCGGATCCTACCGAAAATCGAAATTTGACCCTTAACTTGAAAAAGCTGAACGCGCTAATAGTAGTCTTCTCAGACTGGATCTCGAACAATGAACCGTGTACCTTGATCAAAACATTCATTTCGAATGAGTACATCCACTTGTACGATGTTCATAATAATCAACGAACCAATATCATTAGACGTGACGACAAGATTGTTAAGAGTTTTAGATCGACCAAATATTGTTCCAGTATTTCTGTCATTACCGAAATTTCCACAAGCGGTATATCAAGTCGAGCAAAATTATATTTTTGTGGACTGTATTTGAGCTCTCTTCTCACAACAAGCCCTGAGAATGATTGGAAAAATTTCTTGAGAGCGTTTTTTGCCAGCAACGAAGAGAAATCAGATCTGGCTCTTTCACTTTCGTTGAGTGTAGTCGTGCATGATTGTATTGTGGACTACAAGCCACCAACACCGTCCACTGCTCGAGCAATTTTGGTTATGGATAAGGTTGGATTCAAGACAGCGATCAGTCTTCCTTCTTCGAGTCGTGATACGACATTTTTCCTCAATATCGAAGGTGTTTCTCTACTGTTGAGCAATAATTTTACTGTAGACGTTTTAGATTACATTCAAGAAGAGGTTAGCAACAAGCGTCTTCCAAGAAGTGAGTTTGGATTCATCAACGATCTCAAATATTTACGATTTGCACAAATTGCCAGCTTGAACTCCTTACAAATTAAGCTGGTTAAAAAGCCAACAAACACAGAGACATTTATGGGTCAAAGCGTGCTCGTATGCACTCCAGAGAACAATAAGAGTGTTTTCAAATCAAAGATCGTAACTAGTATTATTATGACAGAGAAGGAAAGAGAAATTCAAAGACAAAAAGAACCTCTCACCAAAGTTGAAATCTCCAAGGGAACTCTAATGATTGAACTTTGCAATGACTCACTCAAGACACTAATAGAAGTTGTCAAAGAGATTTCCAAACAATTTCCAAAAAGCTCACAACCTGAATCAGAACCTGAAATGATACAATCTTCAGACACTACACCAAGACAACATGTACTGTATCCTAGCTTGGAATCTGGAAAGGATACTCTTCCCACGATCAATTATGCTTCCTCTACAACCAATACTAGCATCCGAGAAGATGCCATTGTCATTTCCCACACTGGAAATATACTTGAAGGAATTGATGATCACCAATTTGCACCTCGAAAGTCAACAGCCGTAACAGAAGGTCTACCTGTCAGAAAACAATCTAATCCAAGTGCCATGATTAGCAGTAGCAATATTGGTCCAAAAGATGCAACCAAAACAGAATACAGAGCCACAAGTATCAAACAAACAGAGTCTGGAACTATTCAGAGCTACATTTCATCCTTGTCTTCATGGGTCAATTTTGGTTATTTGACTGGTGAAGATGCCGCACAGAAGAATCAACAGCCTCCAAATCCTACCATTCAACCAGGATCATCCGCTTCTTACACACCAAGCAACAGAAGACAAGACGATGATGAACCTCTTGTGACAAGCGTTTACAATACTGGGTCAGGAAGTACTCTCATAAAGCCATCAGATTCCATGAAAGGAACCTTACTCAGCTCGTTCATTCACGGAGACTATTTTCCAAAAGTCACTCAGGAAGATGTTAAAAAGAGTACTATTCTACCAAATGATTATCCAACTCCATCGTTTGAATTAGTTCTGAAGGAGGTTAACATTATTTGTAATTTGTATGGTGGCAATGATTGGGAGGAGAAACAGCCTGCAAGAAAAGGTCTTTCAGAAAGTCAGACCTCTGACACATCAAGTTATTTGTTTGGGGAAGATATAATCACTAGCACAAGAGACTCGTGTAAATTAGTTCAATTTGTGTTTAGTGACATTTATTTACAATTAGATACGTTCCCAAAGAACCCCATGTCCAGTTACGTTTCGAGATTGAACTTATCTATCACAGACTTGGAAATTATTGACAAGCTTAAAATGTCAAATCGAAACAAGATGCTAAAATACTGGGAAACTATTCAAAATCCAAGAGAGACTGGAAGTGGCATGTTTGATTTAGTCTATGAAGTGATCCGACAACAACCTGTAGTCACAGGTATGAACGAGACTGAAGTGAGAATTGATATTGACATACTTCCTATTAGGCTTAATTTGCACCAGACCACCGTAGAATTTCTAGTCGACTTTTTCTCAAAGGGTACTTCTAGTGATAGTAGCGATAACACGAGTGTTAACAGTACTACCTCATCCTCCTCTGAGGTCAACACCACCGTTGAAACATCGCCAAGATCATCCCCAACCTATTTCCAACATTTTCATGTTAGTCCAATCAACCTTAAAATTGACTATCAGCCAGTACGAGTCAATCTTGATACTGTAAAGGAAAGTGGAATTACTTCATATCGTTCCATTATGCAAATGGTGAATTTGGTACCAATAACAGGGTCTGAAGTCTGCATTAAATCCATTCAACTCAACGGAGTCAGCGGCATTGAAGAGATCATTTCCAGATCGACCAACTTAATTCTTGGATCCATTAACACGAGTGACGTTTTCCGAATGTTATTAGGTATAATGCCACTGAAATCTGTGTACAGTATTGGAACAGGTATGGCCGACTTGATAGTTTTACCAGTTCAATCGTATCAAACGGATGGTCAAATTTTGCGTGGCCTTCGACGAGGCGTCGTATCCTTTGTGACGAACTTGTCTGTTGGAACAGTGCAACTCAGTGCTAATGCAGCAAGTGGAGTGAATTATGTGGTGTCCTCTGCTGACGAATATGTGAAAACAAGTACTGGCCTCAGAAATGTTAATTATGATTATTTGGATGATGATGCTCCTCCTCAACCAACCTCAACCTCTAGACTAGAAGAGGATCTTCCTAACAATATTAACGACGCTATTCAAAAAGCATACAAGGATCTGTCAACAGGATTTGAAAATGCAAAACTTGCTGTCATTGCAATTCCAAGAACCGGAAATATGTGGTCATTGCCACATGTAGTGTTGTCGCCTCTTGCAGGAATGACAGGAGCTGTTGCCAATCTCTTAATGGGCATTCGTAGTGAGCTGGATCGATCATATCGTAAAGAGAGCGAAGACCTATTTAAGCGACAGTAGTAGCAGGAGATGCATACTAGCAGAATAGAGATGACTGCTTAACTTTCCAATCTTGGAGATACAATCCGTCATGCTACCAGCACGTATTCTAGAATCTTGAGATGTCATTTATCTCTCGAATTTATAAAGAATATTTCCAACATGAACTCGATGGCCAACTCTGTCGGACTTCACTTTCATCCAACTTCAAACAAATACAACAACGTCATGTCCACAGTTCAACTGACCTTTTTTCTACTTGAGGCGTTTTTGTTTGCATTCTTTGCTTGCGAAATCTTTGCATCGCCAACAACAACAACGTTAAACGACATAATCCCAACGACCACACAACAAACAGGACCCTCCTCTGTGTTTACACCTCTCAATTGTCCCCTGTTGCATCGAACTCGACAAATTGCTTCCTCTAATCATTCACTCCCTCTCTTCAATTATACTCAAGACATGCTTGACAATTGGCAGGCATATCATTGCGACGGAGTGCTGAACACACAATTCAATCCATGGGCCATCCAAGGCGTCAAAACCTTTGATTACACCTATACCATTGTCGATATCGATCTTGCCTCCCAAAACTCTCTCTCCTATTGTCAACACGTTCTCAATTCTTCCAATTCATTACTCAATCAAACACTTGAAACGTTTATACATTTCAATAACGCCACACTCATGAAACTCGTATTCATTCCTTATTTGGAATCGCTCTTGACCGAACAACAACGAAATTATTCAGTGCCTCGAACATTCTATTCGAAAGGATTTACCAACAAGATTTATCTTTCATCACAATCACAACAACAACAAGACATGGATTTAACTCTTTTAGTGAATGTATTTAATTTCTTTTTGTTTTGTTATCAATCCAATCCTTATTTTGAAACTTTTCACACTCAAACGCTTCCAAGAATCGCTTCTTTAAGTGAATATCCTCGAATTCAAACTTTGGACGTGTTATTTGGAAAAACCATACTTGACAAGTTTGGAAAAATCGAATTGACGTTTTATAATAGAACTCAATTAGCATTTTGTTCAGACAACAATGATCAACCATTTTCATTATCCTATGACCATTGTAAGGGAATTTACGTTTCGACGTGGATTCCTCTAAGCAAACATTTATCTCTCAAAATTATTGAAGTGTTGCTGTTTTCGGTTCAACTCATTATCGTAATTGTTGCGATTGGAATTCCAATTCTTGTCAAGACGTTCAAAAAATTTAAAGAACAATTAAGAATTACCAATTCAGTGTGGATCATTCACAAAGGAAAGCTAGGTCGAAATTCTTTAAAAGAACAATCCAATCCTTCTCCATCGCCCTCCATTCAATTAACAATTTCAGAAACTCCGACAAGTCCTTCAACTCCTTCTACAACGCAACAATCGAAACAAACACATCAAGTGAACACTCGAGAAGCGATTTGGGCAACCATGAAAGAAATTTCAATCGATTACATTCGAATTTTCTTTGATTCCAAATTGATGGCAATGGGTTGTTGTCACTTGTCAAGTGGGTGCTTAATTCTAAATGCCTTACTATTTTGTGTGACTCAAAGCGAATACGGGACAAGTGTTCATATGAACGTAGCTGCTTTATTAGCTGCCGTATCATCACTTTGTTCAGGATTAATTCCATTATCAGGAAGTTTTATGGAATTATTATTATCATTACGAAATCAACATGCAACCATTTCCGTTCATGCCTTGTAAGTAATAACTTCCAACTTTTTTTCAACTTTTAATTTAACACATGTTCCCTTCATTTATGTTTACAATTTCACTTCACACAACAATAACCAAAATTGGAAAATTATGAATTAGAATTGTCGTATTTATTCTTGTCATTTTGAACGCTGGATTCATCATGGCATGTTTAATTACAGCATTTAGTGCTTACGTCGTGAGTCAATACATTCGAGTGAGTTCCCTTCCCGCCGTATTACTCACACTCATTATTTCATGGGCTGTGATTTTGACTCAATCTCTCAAAATTTATTTCATGTTGAAAAAGAATCGAAACTTTAACTTTTTTAAATTTAAGGTAAGTTCCAAGTTCTTTTTTTTTACAATTTTACACAATTTTATACTTGATCAATTCCTTAAACAGTTTGTTCGATTTTTAATGTATTTAATGATTGGAATTGTCTATTTCTTGTATGAAGTCATTACAGAATTAGCTTTTCTGAGTGGTGGAAATACTTATTGGGATACATTATTTACACGACTCTTTAAACATCGTATTGCAGGATATATTCTATCTCTCATGATTTGGGGATTTGTTTATGTGTTATTTTCTGTTGAATCGTTTAAGGAATGTTATGGAATTTCATTGGATAAAAAGAAACGATGGAAATGTTGTTGAGATACACGTTTTGAAAAAATTCAGAGTGAATGATAAAATGTAATTGTAGAGGAAAGGTTTATGGCGGCGCATCCGACGTTGAAGCGCACTAAAAACCTGTCAGATATTCGTCAAGTCAAAAATGAATATGAAAGCATAAAAAAATTTATTCGTTGAATGTCATGCAGTAGAATTGGTAATAGTTCTGGTTTAGGGTGCTAGCAAGGATCTGTCTTCCGTGAGCTGTTCGTTGGCACGCTGTTGTTTTACAAGCTTCAGCTGAAGCGAATAATGGTGTAACGTCCTATGGCCTCTATATTTCGTTTCAGTTTGTCTGTTGTTGCAGTAAGAACCCAAGTTGCTTCGGTTCTTCAAACCCTTGCAAACCAATCAGGAAGAGACTCACTCATTTTATTTTTGATTCCTTTGGAGTTTACTCAAATCAGCTGACGTGGGATTGACGAATATCTGACAGGTTTCTAGTACCAATTGCGCCGCCATAAAGGAAGGAAGGATGAAATATTCAAGTAGTGCCTTCATACCTTGAAAACAACTTTTCGTCAGTGAACCTTAATTTGAATGACAAGTGACAGCTAAACAATAAAAAAAAATAATGATCCTCCACTGAAGTTGTTGCTGACCCTCTCTTCCACATCAAACCTACAACACCATCAACCCAATTCATTTCATCACCTCTCATCACCAAATAATTTTTTCCAATATTCCGAAATCAACAACAACAATGAATTCATTTTCAAATTTCCAAAATTTCTTCCATTCATCATCGACCATTGTAGTAATACTACTCATCACATCACATATCGTTCTCTCCAATAGTATCACTTCAAAATCGATCGATCTTGCCACTCTTCCTCTCGCTCCTTCCACTCCTTCTTCTATTCCTGCGAAAAGTGGTTTTATTACAACTCCCAATGATGCTCAATTGTTTTATTTATTTATTCCTAAATTAGGATCGTCACAGACATCGATCGACCCGAATATTCCAATACTTGTTTGGTTGAATGGTGGACCAGGTATGTTTGTTAGTTTATATATTTTTTAATATATATATATATTATGATTATTGAAACTCATGACATTTTGAATTTTATATAAAATTTCAAAATCACAAATGATTGAATCATCTCCAACGCACCAATGCACACACAGGTTGTAGTAGTTTAATTGGAATGTTTATGGAAATTGGACCACTTCGATTCAAACCTTCGAAGGGTCCTTCCACCACTCAGCCGTCACTTGTCGACAATTCCATGTATTCATATACTCAATATTATCACGTCTTGTTGATTGACAATCCAAGTGGCGCTGGATACAGTTTTCCTGCTTCAAAATCTCCTGATACTGCCATGAATGTTGGTTCTCAATTTTTACTCTTTGCCATGCAACAATTTTACAATCAATATCCACAATATGTGAAAAATCCATTGTATTTATTTGGTGAATCGTATGGAGGAAAGTATGTCATTGCAATGGCCAATGCGATTACACAATATAATGAAAAGAAACTAGCCAATCAAGTTACGATTCCACTTCAAGGAATTGCCATGGGAAATGCTTGGATTGCACCAGATATTCAGGAAAGAACGTATGGAGAATTGGCCTATATTGTGGGATTGAGTGATTATACAGGATTGGTGAGTTTTTTTGTTTGAATCATGTCATGACATTTTTACCTTGTTGTTGATGTCCTGACATTTTTACCTTGTTGTATTCGTACACTGATACACTTGCATGAAATTTTTTGATTTCATAATATTGAAAACACAGATTCGAGTCAATTCCAAGCAACATCAATGTCACGAATTCGTCGAACAACAAATGTACAAAAAAACTGGAACTGGCAGTGGTGTCTGTCAATCAGCTCTCAATGAAATGTTAAGAAATGCCGGCGGTGTCAATGTTTATGATTATCGACTTTTTGGAACTTACAGTGCATTGGGACAATTAGAAACTTATTTAAAACGAGACGATGTGAAACAAGTACTCCTTGGCGTTTCATCCATCGATCTCGCCAAGACATACCATTACGAACAATGTAGTATTGACATTTGGGACAAATTTAGAGTGGATTTTCAACAATCGTATTTGTCACAACTCGTTCCACTTCTCTCCAAATACAAAGTTTTAATTTATAATGGACAATTTGATTTGAGATGTCCAGTGTATGGTACCAATGAATATTTGAGATATATGGATTGGTATGGAAGATTTAATTTCAACTATGAACCACATTATCCAATTTATATGACCAATTCTAATGTGAATGACCCACAAAAGGCAATTGGAATTTTTAGAAAATATGACAATTTGACACAAGTGGTCCTGTATAATTCTGGACATATTTCTCCGCATGATATTCCACAAGCTTCTTTGGAGATGGTGAGACGATTTTTAGATAACAAATCATTTTGTTCATATAGCATTGCGTATAATGCAACGGGAGGAGGAATGTGTACAGGTACATCCATTACTACTCCACAGAATAGTATGACAAGTGACACATTATTGACACAATGTCCAAATTTATGTAGTGGACATGGCCAATGCAACGTTGCTACTGTACCTGCCACTTGTCAATGCTCTCCAGGTTTTTATGAACAAGACTGCTCGACAGCCAAGCATGATATCACATTTGGCATGGAGGCTACCTATCGAAAAAATATTATTTTTGGAAATACCATTCATTTGTATCATTTAACAATGCCATACAATGATTTATCGAATGGACTCTTTGATATTCATGTGAAACTCACCAAAACTTCAAAACTCGGAAAATTACACATCTATGCCTACACCAGCAATGAAACGTTTGTTGAAAATTCTCAAATTGATGAATCCAATATTGAGGACATGAGACGAAGATTCCCATTTCATGATTTGGAAGATGTGAATGAAAAATCTCTCAACATGAATGAATTGTTCAGAAATAGAACTCGATACATCACCATTCTGCTGATTAATACGGTCGACACAGAATCCATGTATGATTTGGTGATTGAGTCTGACGTGAGTGGAAAGAAATTGAATCCCTATCTTGTCACAAGTATTGCAATCTTTTCCTTCCTGTGCATTACCATCATTGTGCTCTTCTTGATTTATGTGGTTCAATACTTTAATGACCAACGAATTTTGAGAAGCATGAAATATGAAATGGCTCAGTAATGACCACAATTTAGCAATTAAATTACGAATTCCCTGTTTATCAATTCATTGATTCAATTCTTTTCAACCACACTTCATCCACACGACCTTCTTAGTTAACACAAATTGTGCAAAATGTTGGATTGATCTTGCTCTACTTTCAAAATTGCATGACCATCATCACACTTGCTAATTTCCGTGGAGAATTTTGCTGCATTATACCAATAAAAATTGGCATTCCAGAATCCACAACACCATCCAGGTTTTCCACAAGCAAAATGAGCTTTCTGCTGTTTTCCATCCATTTTCGCTGAAACACGTGACACTCCATACGAATATCTATCAAAAACTGGTCGATCCATCAACAAATATTTACAAAAGGGCATGAATGCATCTTGTGTGAGTGGACCAACTGCAATGCTCTTTTCAAGTGGTAACTTGGAATTCACTAATCGATCATCATACCATATTGTTTTGGCAGGTTGATCCTTGTTAATCTCCTGAAGAGCTAGGGATGGTTGATAAATCAAGTCTTCTTTTTCACACAACACACTGAAACAAAATTTCAAAACAGATATGAGATGGTAGCTTGTCTTTACACCAACACACATCTGAGCACACTCTGCAATGTAAGGAGTTCTTGGAAGTGCTGGATTCTTTTTCGCGTAGAGGTCATAGTTGAAAACATTTTGAACATGAACGGCAAGCTGGTCACTGATGGTATTCAAATAGTTCTTAGTCGAGTCGTCACCATTAGGAGATCCGAAATATCTCAATATCAATCCATGTCGATCGAAAATGCTTAAAATAACAGCAAGTTTGTGAGTCTTGATATCAAAATATAACGCCTTTCTCAAGAGGGAAGCATGTTCCACTTTGCTCGACTCGATTCGTTTCACCATTTCATCCAATCTCACAGTAAAATAGCAATAATTTTTTGACATTAGGTTGTGCCAAGACTCTTCATCATGTCTACCCTTAAATACAAAATCCTTCTGAAAGAATTCTTCAGGGTTTGTGCTTTCTGCTGTTTTTGATTCATCTGAATCCTCCGAATCCTCCTCTGCTTCTTCCTCGTCGGTATAATCCTCTTCATCATCCATAGCATTGTTTTTGGAGGAATTCAATGGCACAATATTTTGAAGAGGTTGAATAATTTGTTTTTCAGTCATCATTTTGTAATTCTGAATGGGAATCAAGGAAACAACTAATTTAAATAAATTCAACCAAATTCGATCTTCTCCAAAACAATCTTGCAACACTTGTTGAATCATGTCCATGGAAAGCTCAGGAGATTCAGCAACAAGTAATTTCTTCTTTTGTCTGTTGTTTTCCGGTTGTTCGGTTAGTTGTTGTTGTTTCTCATCCAAGAATTTCAAATTCTTCCTTCTCATTGTAGAAGTCTTGACCCTATCTTCCTGATCACTATCCGTAGCATAGCCAGGTCGACATTCATACGTTTCAAAATGTTCATGTTCTTCCGTAATGATCTTGTATGAAATTTTGGTACTTTGAGAATGATCTTCATTCTGATCAAACAATGTACGATAAGACTTCATGGGACAAATCTTGAAAGAAGAACCCGAATTGGCATTCCGTAAATTTTGATTTAATTTCTGTAAAAACCAATCCATTGGACCCAATTCTCTCTGAAAGATCATTCTCCATAAAACATCACCTGCACAGACTTGATTCCAATATTTACAAACTCCAGACATGGATTTTAAAACATCAATGATATCCAAGTAGGTTCCGATCCATACCAAAGTGTCTGCTGCGAGAATGGGTTGAGTCTTCATGTTACGAATTTCAGGAGAGAGAATTTCTTCATGAATATCTTGTTCATTATGATGTGATAATTTCGTCTTCTTTTGAGAAGGAGAGAAAGAAAATTCAGAGTGTTGTTGTGGATTCATTTTGTTGTTGTCGGCAATCATAATAGCAAACTACAAATGAATTTCCGAACTCGAAACATGTAAAAAAGGAATTTCAGATCATGTTCATGATGAACGCCTCAATGACTTTTCTCATGATTGAATTCTTATTATTGAGGTCTCGCCCGTGATGACCAAATCTTGTAAAACAAACACATTTTAAAAATGGCTAAAATCCTTCCTAACCTTCTTCTTCGTGAAAGAATATTCATCTACTTGGCAACACTCTCTCCTCATGTAACACTCAACAAGCGGTTGATGAACATACAAATTTGAGAGAAGCGTTGTGTTGAGAAACACCCGAACATTGCAACACACAAGACATGATGATCCTATTGTCTAGAACAATTCTGCCACTGAAACGAAAAAATCGCAACACATCATGACCCTCAAACAAACAAACAATACCATTGATGAGCCATCAACAACAACCAAAAAAAGGAAGTTGTATTTACAACATTGCGTGTGTGTGATTTTGTTTGATTTTTCAACAACTTTACATGATGATGACGATAATGATTCTTCGAACCTGATTTGGAAATTAGAACAATTATTGAAAACGAAATTTTCAATGCAACAAATGGGTAAAAGAAAATGGCTCGAAAATCGAGAATTGAAATATACAAATTTCTTTCCTGTGGAATTTATGAATGACAAGGAATTTGTGTTGAATCACATTAAAAGGTTTGGCTACGGTTTACAATTTGCATCACAAGCTCTAAAACAAGACAAAGATGTTGTTATGAAAGCAATTCAACTCAACGTACTCAATTTTAAATTTTCCAGTAACGCTATTCGCAATGATCCCGAACTGGTACTGACAGCTGTCAAACAAGAAGTCCATATGTTACATTATGTCTCAAGAGATCTTCTAAACGACAAGGAATTTATGTTGCAACTCATTCGCCACAATATATTCTCAATATGGTTCTCTGACCAACTCAAGGAAGACAGAAAATTTATATTAGCTGCCGTGAAACTCGATGGAGAAATATTGCAACATGTTTCTAGTCATTTGAGAAGCAACCAAGAAATTGCATTGGAAGCTATTAAGCAAAATAAGAATGCGCTTCAATTTGTGTCAAGACAATTACTTGAAGATTCTGATTTCATGTTACAAGCTATCAAGTTAATATTTCCAGAGTTTGAACAATTAGAAGCTTTTGATTATTCAATGAACGAAATCATGATAAGGGTGGTTCAAGAATTTGGAACATTACTCGAATTCACATCGAATGAACTCAAGAATGATCGAGCGGTTGTGTTGAATGCAGTTCGAAATAATGGTTTGTCACTTCGTTTTGCCTCAAACGACTTGAAGAGTGACCGAGAAATTGTGTTTACTGCTATTCAAAATAATTACTTAGCAGCAGCATATATCTCAGACAACTTGAAAAGTGATAAGAGTTTTGTTCTACAAATACTTCATCAAAATGGACATACTCTTTCCGAAGTTTCTAAAGAATTAAGGAACGACAAAGAAGTAGTTTTAACAGCCATACAAAACAACGGATATGCACTCCAATATGCCACAGAAGAGTTGAAATGTGATAAGGAAATTATTTTTACAGCCATTCAAAACCAGCCAAATGCTTTACAATTCGTTCCGCCTCACCTTTTTGACGACAAACAATTCCTATTAGATCTACTCGCATTTGGATGTAAAAATATTCTAGCATATGCTCCAAATGAATTTGCTCATGACAAGGACTTTGTGTTTCAACTGATTCGACATGATTGTCTTGATTCACAAGGCTCCATTCTTTCCCATGTTCAAAAGGAAATCATGTCAGAAGCTGTGAAGAAAAATGGATGTATCTTGAAATGTGCGAATTCTGTGTTGCAAAACGATCCAGAGCTTGTACTCGATGCTTTCAAATGTAATGGCTTTGTGTTGGCATATAGTGATGAATGGTATCAAAAACGGATGGAACAGTGTTATTTTGATGCTTATTTGGGCAGCTCGACAAGAAATTCAAAAGATTTAGACACATCATCATGTCAACTTTTTATTGTGTGAAAGTCAACGTCCTGTCCATATCATTCACAGTATCAACTCACTACCAAGCACAATGAGCATAATAATTTCCATTACAATTCTGATATCCACATCCATAAGACCACAACATGGTCATATCTCCACAATTCAAACATTTTGAACGATGAGAATCATTCGTTCCAGGAACAATGACAAAATAGCCTATCTCTCCTTTCAACACCTTTCTAATGAATGATTTAGAATGAACCTTACTGGCCAATGCTCCATTAATCAAATCAGCAAAATGCATTGCACGTCCACATATATGACAATTATTTTTTGTGACATGGGGACGAAACTCTGGTTGTCACGATTCTTCCAAATTCACAAGAGTACGTATTTCTTGAATGTCTTCATCAGTCATGGGAACCATGTTTTTAGAAACTTTTATATTTTCTTCAAAATTGAAATCAGCAACTTGACGAGAAATACGATAGGCACGAGTTTTAGCCAGACCTAACTTTGCAATTCTTTTCAAGTCCTCAATGTTGTCAATGACGCCAGAAAATTTAACATCTGGCTCGGTAGTTTCAGCAAAACGACTTGCGGGGAAGATACTCAAGTGGTTATTCATGTTTGATGTGAATTAGTTTTTTTATGAGGTGTAAATAGAAACAACGATTCTGTTATCGCGAATTTAAAGTGAGCAGAATTGAAGGTCTCATCATTCGTCATGTGAGGAATGAACCAAGTTTGGAAAGGCCTTAATGAAAACAAAACATGTGAATGAAGGATCAAAGGGCATCATGTTTTTTTTCGAGGACATGATTTTAGAAAAATAGAAATAATACCGTTCAATCGTTATCTTCCAAAAACAAGAAGAAAGGCATTTACAGAAGCTGTACTGTTGGAAATTCTAGGTTGTGAAATGTAACAAGCCCTACAAATTTCATTGATATTTTGCAAGATTGATCATTGGATCGAACATAAATGAAAACTGAAGGAATGGTTGAATTTGCACCAACGATCATTTACACATTCGTTATTCACATTTTTCAATGAGTGAACATGCTAGCATTTTGAAGCTGAGCAAGACATAATGAACCACAATTTTCAAAACTTCACAAGTTCCTTCTTGGAGTCATCATTGCTGTCACACTCACCATCATCCACTTCGTTTTCATCATGCAACACGGTAACATTTACATGCTGGTTATTTCCACAGTTTGACTTTTGACTTTTTTTTATAATTATAATTACTAAGGGAGAGATAGCAATGTGAAGGAATCTCCTCCAACGAATGTGAGGCTGTACATTCTCCAAACCAATGAATGCGTTCGTTGCAACTCTCGAGATGTAAAGACCACAACATGATACTTTTGACAAAACTTCTCCAATTGCTGATTCGTTGTTAACATCCAAAAACGAAAGTACCAAGTCATGATCGAACATTTCGTGTTTTGAGTGATTACAACGATGGTTACGATATGTTCATGCAAATATGTCTTCGATTATAATATTGAGAGTTTCATTTTGCTTTATCAGCTGTCAGCTGTCAATTTTAACAACAGCATCCGCTAAAAAAAAATACACATACAACAACAACAACATGAAGAAATTCATCTTTGCAGCACTCCTCGCTGTTCTTTTCTTCACCGCTGTCTTTGTCAGCGCACAAGAAGTGGCCACTGAACAAACCAACACTGAGGCCATGATGACCGAATCCGACAAACAACGACTTTTGGAAAAATTCTTACAATCCATTGCTGAGAGAAGAACTCAAGATGAAAGAAGACCAAAAAGACGTGAATCCAGAAGACCTAGAAGACGTGAAAATAAAAGACGTGAAAATAGAAGACCAAGACGTGATTCTCAAAACAGAAGAAGAAGAAGATCTCCAATCAGATATTTGAGAGGTTTATTGAGACAAATGAGAGAACTCGGTTTGATCAAGTCTGAATCCATTGCTCAAAAGAAACTCGATCGTCGAACTGCTGTTACTTATTTGAGAAGATTGTCCAAGATTGTTCGTTATTTGCGAAGATTGGTCAGACAAGGAAAGAAGGACGAAGCTGTTGAATTGGTTGGCAAGTTGAAGACTTCTCGTAAATTCGCTCGTGCTGTCCGTATTGTTCGTACCTTGTTGAGAAAGTTGCAAAGAAGAGCTAGAAGAGCTCGTTTGGCTGCTCGTAAGAGATTTTTGAGAAGATTTGCTCAACGATTTGCTCAAAGATATAAAAGACAACCAAGAAGACAAGTTAGAAGACCAAGACGTGAATCTAGAAGACCAAGAAGACAACCAAGATGGGGACCAGCTAGAAGATTCCCAAGAAGAAATAGATTCAACTCGAGAAGATTGAGAAGATTCTTCCCAAGATATGATGCTCGTCCTCTTTTCGGTGTCCGTAGAAGTGAAGTCCGTAGAGAAGTTGCTCGTCAACAATTGAAGAGAAAGTTGAGAAAGTTGTTGAAGAGAATCTTCTTGAGAGAATTTGTGAGAAAGGGATTGGCTCATCGTGCTGCTCAAAAGAAACAAACTTTGAGATACAAGTTGAAGCAACAATTGAAGCAAGCTTTGAAGAAGGCATTGGCTAACAAGTTGAAGAAGGTTGCAAAGAAGCCAGTCGTTGCTCAAAAGCCTGCAGTTGCTCAAAAGCCAGTCGTTGCCCAAAAGCCAGCTGTCACTCAAAAGCCAGCAGTTCAAAAGCCAGTTACCAAGCCATCTCCAATTACTGAAGATAACTTGGAAGCTTTTATTAAGCAAATTTTGAAGGAATACACTCAACAATAAATGTGAAACAGTTGTTGCATGATTACAGTATTTCAACAATTTGGAAAGTGTGAATATTTATTGTGACCGATCGAACTGTTCTTGAGCTTATTAGATTTCTGTAAAAAACAACGAAAGGCCACCAATCATTTTGAAAAATTCGCGAAAATGCACAAAAACAACAGTAAGGAATCATTGGCGCTCGGAAATTTTAGAAAATCTCTCATTCGGCTCGGAACTTTTTTTTAGAGCGAAAATGTCACATTTATCAATTGTCCAAATCCATCGCATGATTCAAAAGAATCACAAAGAAAAAAACAACTGAACACAAATTCACTTCTATGCGCTCGTCTGTATGCAAAGTTTCCTCCTCATTGACTTGTATGTCTAAAAGAGTTCCGAGTTCAGTGTTGAAAAACAATTCCATTCATTTCAAGAAGAAGAATATTTTGTCTTCGATCATTTACTCTTTACCATCCCATAGAAATTACAACACTATTACTTTTTATAATTTCGTTTCCAGAGATGTCAATAATAACAAGATTGATTTTTCCAATTTGAAAGGAAAAGTTTCACTCGTGGCCATTGTGAATTTCAATCATCCGGAATATAAAAACTTTTTAAGGGAGTTGGCAGAGTTGAAAAGGAAGGAACATGGTTTGAGAAATTGTGGAACAGTTTCGAATGGTGATTTTGAATTGATTGTGTTGCCACGAAGTTCGATGGTGGAATCGAAAAGAGTGTCGTTGACAAGCGACAGCAGTCCTTTGAAACAATTTTTATCCAATTCCACAACAACAAGTAACAGCACGGATACTTCTGAAATGACGACTCCTTCTCTCACCATTTTGAAAACCATTCTCAATGAAGAAGGATCCTATGTCAATAACGAAATGTTTAACTTCTTGGCCAATTATGGAAATTTCAAAACCATTGTCGAAGATTTTGAAAAATTTGTAGTCGACAAAGAAGGACGAGTAGTGTATCGAAGTGGTAATGATAGTCCATTGGATGAAGTGATTGAGGTCATTAAGAAGGAATTATTGAAAAGTAACTAGTGCTTAGATATTAATGTTCTCGATTGACATCCATCAAATATTAATTGTATTATAGAAAATCAATTTTGAATCTGTACATAAAATTGCCAATAGAGAATTCTTCAATATCAAACCATGATCATATCTAAATATTATTTCCATATTGGATAAATTTTAACTCGCAAGTTTTGAGGCCTCACAGTAATACCACTCGAGAGTGTCACTCGATCCTTCTCATTCGACTCATCATTCAACAACTCAAATCGATAGAATTGTAAGAGTCGTGACAAGACCATACATGCCTCCATTTGAGCAAATTTAAATCCAATGCATTTTCTCAGAGACATTGAAAAGGGCATGAATGAAAAATCATGTTGTGCCTTATTTCGAAATTCCAAATCCATAAATCGCTCAGGATCGAATTTATAAGGATTAGGCCATAACTGTTCATCCATATGAATACCATAAATACATGCATCAATAAGACTTCCTTTTGGAATGAGCTTGTCTCCAATCATGACGTCTTTGGTTGGAGTTTTCAATACTGAAAAAACTGGAGGATGTCTTCGTAATGATTCTAAAATGATGGCATTGACATGATGGAGTTTTTCATAGTCGTCCGAAGTGGGAAATTGTTGATTGGGGAGGAGTGTTTCAATTTCTTTTCGAGCTTTTTCTTGAATATCAGGATTCTTGGCAAGTTCGTATGTGACCCATAGCAATGTCGTAGAAGTTGTTTCTATGTAATTTCATGGTGATAAATTAAAATATGTAATTTGAATATTTGAATAATTAATGAATGAATAAAAAAAATTATTTTGAAATTTTTACAAAATACTCACCTTCTCCAGCCAATGTGAAAATCAAGGCATTACTTTTCAATTCGAGATTGCTCAAACTATTCTCTTCCATATTAGCTTTTACCATTAAACTCAAAATATCTCGTTTGGAAAAGGAGTCAAAATTTGTTTCCAATTCCTTCTTTCTCTGTTCAATGCATTGATCCAATACACGGTTCACTACTGAGACTGCATGGTCCATTCCACAATATTTCATTAGAGGTTTCTCCAATAGAGTTCTTGAAAAGAATCTTCGAAGAATGATCAAGTTGAGTCCACTTCCGAAAATTTTGTCCACTGCGTCATGAAATTCTCGTCCTGATCGATCCAATTCATCGAAAACCCCAAAACTAATTCCAATTTCCAAAGTAAAAGAGTGGAGCAAGGAAGGGAATTTTGAAAGGAGCAAAGAGAACTATGGGTGTATTGAAAGTGAAAAAAATTTAAATCAAAAGGTAGTTAATTAAATACATTTAAAATGATGATGATACTATTGATCTGTGTGGTACACACATACCTTGCCAAGTTCCTTTGATGTGTTTGGTTTTTTGATAATTCTTGAAAATCCGAAACGCAATCGTCAAAGGCAATGCAATGACCAATACTAATAATAAAACTACAAAGACAACAACAACAACCACTGGCAACCATTCGAAAACACCACTTGTAGAAATTGATTGTAATTGCAACGACATTGTTGTTGTGAACTTTTTTGTGACAATCTATTTCTTTTGATTGGATTTTCAATGGAAGTTATTTATGCGCATCCTCAACAAATGGAATCTCCCACACGAAAGGAGTTACACCTCAAGTTGCAACGGTTTCATGACTTGCAAGTTTTTTAAATATGGAAATAATCTATGATAAGATTTTGAAGCGTATTGTTGCCATGCTTACTGTAGAGGACACTAAAGAGTGACTCCAATATTCATGATCAATCCGTATTGAATGATTTTCAAAATCCAAATCATTGTTCTTATCAAATCAATATGAATTGCTTTTAAATTTAGAACAATTAACTCTGTTTGGTATCACTTTTACAAAAAAAATTTTTACTCCTCCAATACTGCTCATGCTCGCGCTTACAAGCAAAATATCATCATTATCGGATGAAAGTGGTGCTGCTGAATCAACACATTCAGCATTAAATATCAATGATGTTGCTGAAATAGATGGTTTCTCTCTTCCGACAAGTTACAACAACAACAAGATCAATATAGCCTTCATTGATGATATAATTTTTGAAATTCTTCAATTCGTTGAATCATTGTTTATTGTTCAAGTTTGTATGAAAATTTCAAAACAATGGAGACAAGTATCATTTCAAATTCCTCTCTCAGTATCATTCGAATCCCATCACTTCAAACACATTTCTATACCAATCAAAAATTTAGCTAATTGTGAATATTTGAAGAATTTGGCTTCTTTAACTCTATACACCAATAGAATTGACAGTGAAGGAGTCAAATATATGGCTTCGAGTGATTGTTTGAAGAATTTGACATCTTTAAATCTAGGCCATGATGGAATTGGCAATGAAGGTGTTCAATATATTGCTACGAGTGAATATTTGAAGAATTTAACTTCTTTAAATCTATACAGCAATGAAATTGGTATTGAAGGAGTCAAGTACATTTCCACAAGCGAATTCTTGAAGAATTTGACTTGTTTGAATCTGGAAAACAATGAAATTGGCAATGAAGGCGTTCAATATATTGCCACGAGTGAGTACTTGAAGAATTTGACTTCTTTAAATCTATGTAGAAATGGAATTGGCAGTGAAGGTGTCAAATACATTGCTTCGAGCGAAAGTTTGAAGAAATTGACTTCTTTGAATCTGGATATCAATAGAATTGGTAGTGAAGGTGCCAAATATATTTCTACAAGTGATTGTTTGAAGAATTTGACTTCTTTAACCATACACAGCAATGCAATTGGTAATGAAGGAGCGAAACATATTTCTACGAGCGAATGCTTGAAGAATTTGACTTGTTTGGGTTTGGACTATTGTCAAATAGGCAGCGATGGAATCAAATATATTACTACGAGTGAATGTTTAAAGAAATTATCTCAATTGAATCTGCATGGCAATAGAATTGGCTGTGAAGGCATAAAATATATTGCCACAAGCGATTACTTGAAGAATTTGATGTCTTTGGACCTCTATGGCAATGGAATTCGCGATGAAGGAGTCAAATATATTACCACAAGTGACTGTTTGAAGAATATTACTTCTTTGAAGCTATGTAACAATGGAATTGGCAGTGAAGGAGCTAAATATATTGCTTCAAGTGAGTGTTTGAAGAATCTAACTTATTTGGATCTGGAGGACAATCAAATTGGCAGTGAAGGAGTCAAATATATTTCTACAAGCGATTGTTTGAAGAAATTAACTTCTTTGAATCTATGCAGCAATGGAATTTGCAATGAAGGTGTCAAATATATTGCTTCGAGCGAAAGTTTGAAGAAATTGACTTCTTTGAATCTGGATATCAATAGAATTGGAAGTGAAGGTGCCAAATATATTTCCACGAGTGAATGTTTGAAGAATTTAACTTCTTTGAATATGTGCAACAATCAAATAGGCAGTGAAGGAGTCAAATACATTGCCACGAGTGATTGTTTGAAGAATTTGATTTCTTTGAATCTGGTTGGCAATGGAATTGGTCGTGAAGGAATCACATATATTGCTGCGAGCGAATGGTTGAAGAATTTGACTTCGTTGGATCTGAGGCACAATAAAAATTGATAATGGAGGTGTTGAATAATTACCTTAGTTGATAAAAATTGTCAACAAAACAATCCCGAATTTGAACATAAATCCAACCGATGTAGAGTGATGATATGAATAGTCTTATCTTTAAATACAATTCAGCAACTCTCACAAACGATACATCTTCATGTATCCATCATAACGATCACATAGTGTTGGTTATTTATCATCAAATAATTCATGGTTGTTCTCTTCACCACCACACTCATAGTCACACACGTTGATTCAGCTAGGGCTCTCGGAGCTCCTGACTTGTCTCTGATTTTTGATAGTCTGCTACAATTTCATGGCTTCTCTTTTTCGAATAAATAAACAAACTAATGAAAATTCCACTCATGAATAGCCAAGTCAATCCCAAAGTAAAATAAGGGAAAGTATATTCCACAGCCATATAAGCCAGCACCCAATAAGGAGCACCAATGAGTTGCAGCATGACAGAATCGGAATAGAGAACAACCATCAACACAATATACAAAAGTAAAAGAAATAGAGCAATAACCGCTCGTATGGTATAACCGGTGACACATATACACCTTTTTTTGCTACTCAACGATCCATCCAACAGAGGAAGAGACAATTCTAGACAATTAATACGAGGGATCAACACAAACAAACTAACTCCAAACCATACAAACAAGCTAATGAGAGACAACACAATTCCAAGACCAATCCACAAGTCATTGTTCTCAGCAGTACATACATCTCTTGTTTGCCAAATCATTCTTGACCAATAACACAAAATGTGAGTATAGAAATTGCCACCCTGCTGACAGTTTGTTAAAATGACAATTCCTGATCCATTTAAGGTCCATTCATAATGTGCTTTAAAACCATGAATATCTCCTCCATGGTAATAGGATACAGGTCCTTCTCTATTTTGTGTCATCCATAATCCCAAGCCCACAGAAAGATTTCTGAATGGATTTTCCCTAACAACTGACACAGGAGTCAACATTTCTTGAATGAGAGATTCATTGAGAATCGTTTGCTCTTTTCTCATAAAAGTAAGTGGCATCTTTACAGCATCTACAATAGGAAGGTAAATTCCACCAGACCCTCTTTCTAATGGAACGAACAGTGGCATTGGTGCTCTATACACAGTGTATCCAACAGAATAATTGCTGTTAGGATCGTTTACATCAGTTTCAAACTTGTAGGTTGCAACATTCATTCCTAGTGGTTTTAACACCTGTTCTTGAACATAGTCACCAAAGGATTGATTGGTCACATCCTCAATCATCATTTGGAGAAGAATGTAACCATGGCTAGAGTACATAAATATTTCCTTGTTTGGATCAATTACTAGACGCACGTTATCTTTTTTCAACAATTGACTAGTTGTTGGAAGTGGTACACCTTCAACAGGATTATAAGGCATGATACCGAGTGATATAATTCCTGAAGTATGAGCCAACAAACGTCTAATGGTAACACCCTCATTGGACCATCCAGGATTATAAGGTGGTGGAAGAGTATACGAATGCATGTGTTTTTGTATGGGATCATCCAATTGTATGAGCCCTTTCTGTACAAGTGTCATGACACCCCAAGCAGTAAAAGTCTTTGATAAGGAGCCTACTTTGAACAACGTGTTTTCATCGAATACTGCTCGTCCAGAGAAGCCAAATGTCTTCATATATTGGACTTGGCTCTCCGAGATGATTGCAATGGCGACTCCAGGAAGATTAGAGGACATACCTTTTAGCACCTTACACCTTACACTTTAGTGCCGTTTGCAATGGCACGTAGTCCCAAAAAGGAGATACAAATAGCACTTAACACTGGAGTGCCAAATGCAAACAGCACCTGACACTTGAGTGCCGAGTGTCATCAGCACCTGTATATTTTTTAATTTATTTAAATATTATTTTGAAATTACAAACCTCCGTCTTCACGGTTGTGAGCAACGGGCCTCAAAATTCTCTTCACTACACAATCATCATCGAGTATCACGAACGCAATTTTTGGACAATTCGTCTGACAACGACAATACCAAATGATCATCTACGAAATTTAGTTTATGGAGGGAAGAATAGACTCACGCTCATTTTCTAAGGTGAAGCGTTGTGAGGCAGTGGTTCAAATAATGTTCCACCGTTCAGCACCTGTTTTCTGAGTTGATGTTGCGCCATACAACACGGCGTTGAAAGAGATTGAGATGAAGTTGTCGAACAGGATGTCAGAGCTTGCTGAATGAACTTGAGAGACGATTTATGTTGAGGAAAAACACTTGCAGTACAGGAAAACATTTTCATTTGGTTCAACAGGGGAGTGAAACTTGCCAGCTTTTCTTCATAGTGACATGTACTTTTGTTCAATTGTTACAAAAACGGTGAGAAGAACAAGAGAATGGTGCTCAACACTGTTGTTGGCTGATGTAATCGAATTTGAGTGATTTGGGAATGACGGTAACAGCAAAAGTCAAGCTGAAGCAATCAGAAGGGTACAATTAAGGGAACTGGAATCACTTTTTGTTTCGTAGTCATACTTCTTAACGGCTGAGTCTATCATCGTGAATGAAAGGAACATATCATCTTTTGTGCCTCCTAACTCCTTTCATACGAAGGTCCAAGCTAACATACGTAAGGAAAGTAGATGCATGAGATTAAATCATGCTTTTTTTTTTGTTTGATAGATTCGTTATTGACCTTTTTATATGAACACGAAGTAGAATGGTTAGGTTCACAAACTAGTACCTCCATTTCAATCAACATCCATTTCGCACCTTACACTCAAGTGTCAAATACAAATAGCACCTTACACTCAAGTGTCAAATACAAATCACACTTCATTCATTTGGCACTCAAGTGTCAAATGCAAACAGCACTGACACTAAGTGTAAGGTGTAAGGTGCCAAAATATAACAACTCAACAAACATCCATAATAACAGAGAAGAAAGAAAAGATGCACTTAACTTTGAATACATGAAGAACATGAACAAACAGCTCCACAAAAAGCAACTCACAACCCACAAACAACAAATACCAAAAGAACTCCAATGCAGGATCCAATCACAACTATGGAAAAAAGGGTAACTCAAACACCAACAATGGCAAAAAAGGAAATTATTCCAATAACTTGAGACTCCAAGTCCCAATCCAAACAATGACTTCCAAGGAGGTCGAGTCTCCATCTCAAGAATTGGGAACCACCCAAAAAGTCCTCACATGGATCAGAGATGGAGTTCCAATCATTTCCGACCCAACCAAATGGAAGAACTTTGGCAGAAACACCATCTCAGGACCCATTTAAACAGCTTGGACAGACCAAGAAATAGATTTGGACTCGTTCAAAATGGAATCCCTCAGCCAGATTATCAAGATCCTTACTCTTGGAATGCATGCTTGCAAAATAGACCTATCGAAAGGTTATTCTCGCATACCTATCCATCCCAACTCGAGACGTCTCTTGGGCTTCGTCTGGAAAGGAGAATTCTACCAATTCAATGTCCTCCCATTCGGACTATCCAACGCCCCACTTTTATTCACAAAAATCATGAAACAAATAGTGAAGAAGTTGAGAGAAAAGGGTTGGATAATATTCATATACATCGACGATATATTAATCCTCAGCCTGGAAGGCCCAGAAATGTGTCAATCAATAACGAACCAAGTAATTCAAGATTTGAACTCTCTCGGTTTCCTTATCCAACCCAACAATATTTCATAAATTTCACAGCAATATCCTTTCCAATCGAATTGTCATAAACTTTATAGACATGACCAAATCCTCCTCGAGCTATAAATGAATATTGGTTTGGATACTTTTCATCTAAATACGTTTCATATTCATATCGGTCATTGTCTTTAATGGAGGAAACAACATCTAACGCTATGCTATCTTGAACTTGTTTTCTTGGAACATGACAAGTGACAACAATTTGTCTTTTCATCATATTTTTCTGAATACTTAATACTTTGATTCGTTTTCCTTTTCTGGTCCAGTCACAAAGCTCTGGACAAACTTCGACCTTGAATTTTGCTTTTCTTTCCACCATATCAACATATGTAATCTTGATGGGTGGCAATTCTTGATTTGATAATGCCGCATGATATACATCCTCAACAAGTTCCAAATATAATGACAGTCCCAATACTTGATTTTGTTGTAATAATTTTTCCTCATTATATGCAATTTCATAGTTTGATAGAACATTCAAAATCACACAATTAGACTTCTCTTTAGAAAGTATTTCAAGACTTCATATTGAATTCACCAAATGAACAATTCTTCTCATTGACCTCAGTGGTTTGAAGAAGTTTCAAAATTTGAATGATTGGTTTGTATATGATAGTTCCAGAGTCTTCTAACGTGAGAAAATAAGAACATGTATCAGCAGTGGTGGATGTTGAATATGGTTGACAAGACTTTTCATTTAGATCCAACTTTGTTGCATTACGTACATCTCCCACTACTACAGGACATTGAAATGTATCGTACGTAGTTACAAAATTCTCCTTAGTAGATTGGTGGCTTGCTTGCTCTTGATACGCTGTTGGAGCTGGAGGACTTGTTTCTTTGAGAAACTTTGGAGATGATAAAGTGTCATTCAACCTTGGATGTTGTCAACCACATTGAGCTTCCAACACAAAATCTTGTCCCACAACAGTCATGTTAACATTGTCCATTTGGTCCTGAGCTGGGTTGAATGGGCATAAACAAATGCTTTCCGATTCCATTAATGGTTTACATGTTTCGCGATATGCAATGTCGTTTCTACTTTTCTCACTTTGATATTTCAAAAAGCCCTATCAAATCCTTTCAAAAAAGCATAATCTTGTGAAGATGTGAAAAGAGGATGAACAGTTATGGCAAATTTCACAAATTCATCCAATTCCTTGTGAAGTTTGAAATAAAATTTGGAATTGATTTCAATTTTCTTTCTCATGTTTTGAATTAATTGAAGTGTGTCCTTGTCTGTGGTTATGACATTTGAATCCAATAACACTTTCTTCAATTCCTTGTCAACTTTGTAAACGTGCTCACCAGCTCCACGTTGTTTCATTTTCCCCAAATACTTTTTAGTTTTGGCATCAATGTTGTGTTCAAATTCAATTGTCATATTCAATGCTTCAATGGCAGCTTCAGTGAAATGTTGACAAAACGAAACAGTTTTTGTTCCATTCCATTCAGCACAAAGCTTGGCAAGAGCTTTAAGTTTTTGATTGCCCCTCTCAGTTCCCTTAATTTCACTAATAGTAGCACCAACACAGCAGAAGATCGCTGTCTAACGGTAGCAAGAGATTTGTCACCCCATTCCAAATACCAAGGACCAACAATCAATGCCGAGTGAAACTACAGCATCCAGTTTCAACAACATTTCTCGTATATTAAACTACTTCCACTTACCATTCCATCGGTCAATCCAGTAATAGATCCAAATTTTCTAACGAATCTATGTTGTGTAGCTTCGCTCAATTCAGTGATAACAAGTGTTACTTTCATCTTGGACTCGTGGTCTATTCCTTGCCTTGTTTCCGTCTTGTAGCTCTCGATACGTGGATTCAAATATTCATACATGAATCTGTTAGGGAATGTTAAATTCTGACAAATGGTTGACTTGGATTTTGAGTTGTTGTGTATAGATGTTTTTGAAATGAAATCCAACTTGTGCATACAAAATTCAAAAGCGTGCTTTTGTTTGGCACTGAATTGATTCTCATCCCATGAAGGGCATGGAAAAACTACTGAATCTTCGCTTTTCATTGATTCATTCATTATATCAATAGCCATTTCATGAAAATTGGTGTCGAGACATTTGGCTTGAAATTCTTTCAAAGCAGCAACTTTTTTGACAATAGAATTAGCAAAACCCACTGGTACACCCAAACGTTTAAAGTCGTCGAGAGTCATTGAGTTTTCAATACTATTTTGTTCATCGAATGAAATAATTAATTTGGCAAATTTTTGATGTAAATACAAGAAGAGCAACATACTTTCATGAACTTTTTTGTCTGTAATTTTTTGATTGGTCAAGAATTGAAGAACAACAGAGGTATCCCATTCCGAGAGGAATATTGTCAATAACATGGTTGTTTTGTGACATTTTTTGAAATATTGAAAAAAACCAAACAGTCATTTCTAAAGAAGCATCTACCAAATGAAAATCTTGGTTTCAGCATGCTTAATTGTAGAACAGTTCAACTCTGAAACAAAATTTGAAAAATAGTCGGTGTTATAAATCGAGTAAAAAATAAAAGTGCGATCGTAAAGAATCTTGGCCATTTTTACTGACTTCTTTCGACCTAAGATACGATAAAAAAGAATTATGATAATCATGACAATGTCCTCGAAACATATTGCTGGAGGAGATGAATAGGAGTGTGTTTCATTATGGGAGAAACGACGAATTATTGGGTCCAGAGTTATAATACCTCAATGAATGGAATCGTTCGAACAGAGCCGCAAATTCCCATCTCTCTACGTTAAATGTCCGACGTATTCCGTCCCGTTTTAAAAAAGAGCTCAATATCACCCTCATCTCAGGTGATGCTACCCATACGCACCAGCGCTGTTAATTAGAACGGGAGAAGGAAATACAATTTGGTATGAAATAGTAGTAATGGGTTGTGTAGGGAAAGAAGTATTCAACAGAAAAAAATTAATTTGAAGCGTCGCTAATACCATTAAGTACTTAATGAACAAGTTCCTTTTCTTTACAAATTCTCTGCTTGCCGGAGGTGCAGCGTGCTTTTTAATGCTTATTCCCTTCATTGTTTTTCTCTCATTGAATGCTCACCTCTTTCCATTGTTTTTCACCTATTCCAAAGACAAGGCGCTGCTCAATCCAGACAAACACCCAGCCAACGTTTCCGAATTGAAAGATCTTCTCGAAAAAGTAGTACCTGTTTATTTGACCATGTATAATCTTCGAGTTGTTATATTTTGGCACCTTACACCTTACACTTAGTGTCAGTGCTGTTTTCATTTGACACTTGAGTGCCAAATGAATGAAGTGTGATTTGTATTTGACACTTGAGTGTAAGGTGCTATTTGTATTTGACACTTGAGTGTAAGGTGCGAAATGGATGTTGATTGAAATGGAGGTACTAGTTTGTGAACCTAACCATTCTACTTCGTGTTCATATAAAAAGGTCAATAACGAATCTATCAAACAAAAAAAAAGGCATGATTTAATCTCATGCATCTACTTTCCTTACGTATGTTAGCTTGGACCTTCGTATGAAAGGAGTTAGGAGGCACAAAAGATGATATGTTCCTTTCATTCACGATGATAGACTCAGCCGTTAAGAAGTATGACTACGAAACAAAAAGTGATTCCAGTTCCCTTAATTGTACCCTTCTGATTGCTTCAGCTTGACTTTTGCTGTTACCGTCATTCCCAAATCACTCAAATTCGATTACATCAGCCAACAACAGTGTTGAGCACCATTCTCTTGTTCTTCTCACCGTTTTTGTAACAATTGAACAAAAGTACATGTCACTATGAAGAAAAGCTGGCAAGTTTCACTCCCCTGTTGAACCAAATGAAAATGTTTTCCTGTACTGCAAGTGTTTTTCCTCAACATAAATCGTCTCTCAAGTTCATTCAGCAAGCTCTGACATCCTGTTCGACAACTTCATCTCAATCTCTTTCAACGCCGTGTTGTATGGCGCAACATCAACTCAGAAAACAGGTGCTGAACGGTGGAACATTATTTGAACCACTGCCTCACAACGCTTCACCTTAGAAAATGAGCGTGAGTCTATTCTTCCCTCCATAAACTAAATTTCGTAGATGATCATTTGGTATTGTCGTTGTCAGACGAATTGTCCAAAAATTGCGTTCGTGATACTCGATGATGATTGTGTAGTGAAGAGAATTTTGAGGCCCGTTGCTCACAACCGTGAAGACGGAGGTTTGTAATTTCAAAATAATATTTAAATAAATTAAAAAATATACAGGTGCTGATGACACTCGGCACTCAAGTGTCAGGTGCTGTTTGCATTTGGCACTCCAGTGTTAAGTGCTATTTGTATCTCCTTTTTGGGACTACGTGCCATTGCAAACGGCACTAAAGTGTAAGGTGTAAGGTGCTAAAAGGTATGTCCTCATGTTTGTTTTCAATTCATTATGGACGTTTGTATTATTGAGCTGTTGGTTAATTTCTCAAGAAATGTCTTCCATTGTGTAATTATTCTCAGCTGCGAAGTCAAGGGCATTGGCTATTCTGTTTGATAGTAGCAAGCCCAACGCTAGTAATTCTGCTCTATGAGTCCTTGACACAACCTTGAACAATAATTTTCCTCTTGCAATTGCCACTGATGCCTTAAATGTCAAACGAGGACTTCTTGTCATACTCAGAGTAATTGGTATTCGTATTCCATCCCGTATAAAAAAAGAGCTCAATATCACCCTCATATCAGGTGATGCTACCCATACGCACCAGCGCTGTTAATTAGAACGGGAGATGGTCATTAATTCTATCGTATCTTAGGTCGAACGAAGTCAAATTCAAGTATTACTTGTAGAACAGAGTTGCCGAACTGCTTTCTAAAACTCAATCACAACTTGTTATTTTGTAAATTCAAAATTAAAAAATAGGTACATAAATGAGTCGTTCATCCACGACAATACTATCATCACCAACCATGACTGGTCAGAGGACATGGTTCCGAGAGGATCAATCTGGTAATAATATTGAGTTATTGAACCAAGATCAAACGGTTGCTGGTAATTCTTCTTTCACGCTTGTTTCTTATAATATTCTTGCTCAACTCTATGCAAAACATTTACAAGTTTCGGATCCTAAAATTTGTGATTGGGAGCAACGGAAAGAGAGGTTATATCAAGAATTGATGAGTTATCAAGCAGATATTATTTGTCTTCAAGAGATGGATTTGTATCGGAAATATTGGCAATCCATGATGAAAGATGAAGGCTTTGATTCAAGTTATGTCGAAAAAACTGGTAAGAGAAATGGTTGTGGAACTTTTTGGAAACGAGATCGGTTTGAACAAGTAAATGTATTAGAATTGCATTTGGAGGAATTGGAAAATTATATTGAAAAAGAAGAATTGGGAAATGAAAAGAGATTCGCGAGGAGAGATGCTGCCAATTTGACCTTATTGAAGGATTTACAGACTGGAAAATTGTTATTAATTGTGAATAATCATTTGGCGTGGGACCCAGCGTATCCAGAAGTGAAATTGTGTCAAATGTTTTATATTTTACAAGTTGCACATCAATGGTTGAAAAAGGTGTGCCAAAAACAAGGTCAACACCACAACAGCATTAATGACATCAATTCAGTTGTATCTGTGATTTTATGTGGAGATTATAATTCTCTTCCGGACAGTGAGGTCTATGATTTGATCACAAAAGGAAGAGCCCAAATTCCAGGAAAGGAAATCAAATTTAACAAAAATAGTGAGCTAGTTTGTGATGGTGTGGAAAATGTGAAATCTTCAACACACTCATCACATCACAGCCACTCTTCCAAACAATATCTGCTAAATCCTTTCACACCAGCAAAGAGTGCATATTTTGAAATTTATGGAAAGGAGCCTAAATTTACAAACTACACGAGCACTTTTTATGGAACTTTGGATTATGTGTTTACGTTTAATTTTGATTGGAAACATGGCCTCAATACTGAGATATCTCTGAAGCACATTGAAAATGAGGATCAATTGAAGCAACAACATGCTCCGCAGCAACTTCAAGTCACTGATGTTTTGGGAGAAATTTCATTAGAACAAGCTCAAGAATTTTCATTCATACCTTCATTGATATTTCCCTCAGATCATATTGCTCACTGTGTGAAGTTTTCATGGATTTCACATAATTTTTAATCAAAACTTTGTTTTCTGCAGTTGAACTCGCACCAAAAGACCCAAGCTCATTGAAAAAAATGATCAGTGACACATCTGATGATCATTACGCATTTTCTCTTCATCTATTTGGCTAGTCTTGGTGTTCAACAGAATTCATTTAGTGGACGATGTATGCATCTTCATACTATTACAAATGATTTCCATTGCTTCTTGTTCACTCATATCAAATCGATGTTGGAAACATTCAAGTTTTGACGCTGCTTCAATAATTGTTCTCATAAATTGAGCTAAATAATTGTAACAATGAACCAAATCAACAGTTTTCATGGCCCAATCCGAGTACAACCTTTCATACTCCTTCACGCCATGCTCTTCTTTCACAACGACAATTCCATAATGTCTCTGATCTTTGGCAATCTTGTCATTCAGCAAGGTATAAACCACTTCGGGTTCTCCTTCAAGAATTTGACAAAATACACCGTCACAACACAACAACAATCCAGAAATATTCGTGGAAGAATTATGTTGAATGGAAACTTGGCCAATGTTCGTGAAATCTGAGCCATCAAGTTGATTTGGATCATAACGAGAAGTGTAAACAAGTCGCATTAGTGATCCATCAATTTCAAAACTCTTAAACTTGTTTCGAGCGAGTGCTCCTGCCATTCGTTGCATGTTGTTTCAAAATTTCGACACCATGAGAACAGTCTTTGGTAATTTGAAATGATCTAAAAAGTTTGAATATTTCAAAGTCATTCAACAGAAAAAGCTCTCAATGAAGAGATGGTAACGCTACAGAGCAGACGTTTTTAGAGGATCTAATGCGAAGAATGTGTTTGAGGCAAAGCTTTTTGACTTGTTTGTACACAAGCGTACCATTAATTCGCAATTTTCAAATGTCTCTCTGATTGGTACATGTCTGTGTACTAATTGGACGTCGATGACCTATCATGCAAACACTGTTGTTTGATAAATTGTAAAATGTCTCCAAATACATTCTCACTGTCTCGATCGAGCAAAAAGTAATGCTTTCGATTTTCATACAGGATCAATTGAGAGATGGTAGAAAACTCGTGGTGTCGATTCAACTCTTGATTCCACTTGACGCTACTATTCGCTGCAGGAGATAATGTATCGTTACGTCCATGCATGAACAGAACTCGCAAGTTGTGACTCCTTCGAACAGCTGACACGCTTTGCTCAGTATGAATTGGACCTTTTTCTGAAAATGCGTTCTCAATTTCCTTTAAAGCTTCCAAAGTTCGTTGAGCGAAATTGGCAGTAAATGGCGGAAGTAAATACGTAGTGTGTGATGTTGTTGACATGGAAGAGTTCTCTCTAATGACTGGATCATTCTCGAGCATTTCCAATAATTCCAAATCTTCTGAAAATTTCTTCTTAATAGTATCCTTATCGAAATGCAGAACTTGATAATTTGGAAGCCAATAACTTGCTTTTTTCAAGAAATATAAGGACCATGAAGATGATTCTGAAGGTACTTCGGGTGTTTTCGAGTGATGTTGAGAATCATTCTCTTCCAAGCCATTACAATTGTAAATAAAAGGTGACACTAAAATCAAGCCATTCAATCTCTTGTCAGGAATTTTCTCAAATTTTGAACTCGTCAGAAATTGCATTCCCAAAGTTGCTCCAAAACTGTAACCAAAGAGAAGAATTTTCAAATTTGGAAATTGAAAAGCAGGAAAACAGACAGAAACATCCTCAATAGCTGATGCAATATCCTCGAGAGCTTGTTCAAAATCAATATTCATTCTAATTTCCTCTATATTTTGAATGCTTTCTTGATTATTTGCTTCATTTATATCTTTTTCATGACTACACGTGGTTGAGGAAACAGTTACTACTCGAGTACACTTATTGAAAAGCCTAATATCGAACGAATAGACGACAATATTTTCCTGATTCATAATTCCAGCAATTTTCTGTATCGTTTTACAAGTACAATGTTCACCATATCCATGTAGAACAATCATCACTGCTGTAATTTCCTCCAATTTTTCAATCCCATTCGCGTAATATTGATGCCGAGTATAAATTCGTTGTTGATGCTGTTGATCAGTTCTTGATGTTCCGAACCAAGAGGAAAATGAAGAAGCTCCTTCAACGGTTGAACGAGTGGAGGAAGAATTATTCGTAACGTCCAAATAATCCGAAGTCTTAAATTCAGCATGAGAGTTGTAAACAGATGCTTCGTGCATTTTTGTTCAAAAATTGTATTTATTCTTAGATTCTAGTTTTGAATTCGACCAAAAGGATCAGGTAGGAAAGGTCATGCAGGTGAACAAACAGAGTGACAGAGATAGTGAACCCATTTGCAAGAGAGCGAGAGAGAGAGTTTGCATTGATGAAATGTTTTTTTATTGAGGATAATTTAAAAGAGCGAAACAAATGGTAACACAAGTAGTGGGTGTGTATCGACATGGCATCGATATACTCATTCTCTCTAGTGTCACAGTTGTAAATCATACATCAATATAATCTACAGGTATTGGTACAATCAAATTTACAAATATTAGGGATGATGTTGAGAAATGTTATTGTTGTTGAGTCCAAATGTTGTTACTATGATCATTACTACTACTTGGAATATTTGTCACTATTAAATGATTCTCTGTTGTGGAAAAATGTAAAAAAAATTAATTGTGTCACCATCTTCTCACACAATTATCTGTAGCAGTAATGAACGAAATCAACAAATTGTTCCACGTGATAATTATTCCAAAACAGTTGTCTTGAAAATAAGGGATGAAACGACATATGGATCAGCATTGCTAGCAGGTCTTCTATCTTCAAAGTAACCCTTCTTTTCTTTTTCTGTACTTCTTGGAATTCTTACAGAGGCTCCTCTGTCAGCAACACCATATGAAAATCTATCCATTGAGGATGTTTCAAATTTTCCAGTAAGTCTCAAATGATTGTCGCTTCCATAGTTATCCACGTGTTCCTTGTGTTTTGCTTCCAACTTTTTAATAGCGTCCAGAATTGCTTGATAACCTCCCTCTTTTCTCATTTCCTCAGTCGAGTAGTTGGTATGCATGCCAGCACCGTTCCAGTTTTGCATTGGCTTTGGATGGAATGAGACAACCACACGGAAATATTCCGTAAGTCTTGTGAGAATGTAACGAGCCATCCATAAATGATCACCAGCTGAAATACCTTCACAAGGTCCAACTTGGAATTCCCATTGTCCTGGCATGACTTCGGCATTGATTCCCGAAATGTTAACTCCTGCATAGAGACAACACTTGTAATGTGCTTCAACAATGGCTCTTCCGAATGCTTTTTCTGCACCAGCACCACAATAGTATGGCCCTTGAGGACCAGGATATCCACCTTTAGGCCATCCCAATGGATGCATATCACAACTGTACAGCGTGTACTCTTGTTCGAATCCATACCATGGTTTACTTGCAAGATTCTTGTTGAAAATTTCAAGAGCTGGAGCACGTGTGTTGGTTTCGAGTGGGTCTCCGTTGGGTCTATACGTGTCACACAACACCAAAATGTTATCTCCGCCTCGGAATGGATCCTTAAAGATGGCTCTTGGTTTGATAATGACTTCGGAGTCATGACCTGATGCTTGGTTGGTACTCGAACCATCATAATTCCATTCAGGAAGTTGTTCTGGTGATGTAGGCACAAAATCAAGAGTTCTAGTCTTGGATCTGTGATTGGAAAGTATACACACATGTTCGCAATGGAGGTGGGTCATAACGTGTTGAATGAACCAAAAGGAATTGAAGAAGGAAATTCAAAAACATTTATCATCATTGGCAAGATGGAAGTAAATTGTATCATCACAAAAAGTTCGTTTTCACAGTTCCGATAGAGTCGTGGTGGTGTTGTTGTGTCGAGAGTGAGTGAGAAGTGGTGGTTGGTGGTTCATCAAGTAAGAGCCAGCCACAAAACAGCACCCATACATTTATGGAAATTTTTCCAATAGGAAGTTTCAACCGTTATGTGTCGTTCAAACAACATCACAACAATTTGAAATTTGTTACACATGATGATAACGATGAAATATATGAATATTTGCAGTGTAATAATACAAACAACAACTCACCTCACATCTCCCATAGGATCCACGGCACCGATCCAAACATATTCAGCCATAATTTTACCTCGTTGGTCCAATTTATTGAACGTTTCTAGCAGAGAGAAGTCTAAAAACTTTTGGTCGTACGAAAACATGTTGAGAAGTTTTTCAATGTTATTCAGGAGTGGTAGAAGTGGTAGTTGGAATCAACCCGGGAGTGAAGATAATGATGAATCAATTAGATATGGAAAATTTTCGGACTCAACAAGATGACGACAGTGAGAGCTTCAATAAAAAAACAATTCGTTTTCGTTGTTTTTTTTTTCAGAGAGAAAATTGGTCCACACCTCTTCGTTCTCACTCTCTCCTTAGTCGTTGGACACAACGATAGGAATTTGTGATGGCATGTCGATGCAAATTCGAACAACTAGACACAACACGGTAAATTTCGTGCATTTAGAAACTTGTTCAAAAATGGGTAATGGAAAAAAGATGAAAATCTCTGGTGTGAATATTCGTTAAAATCCACTCGAAGGCTGAGAGAAGTATGAGCTTGTTCAATCGATGTGAGAGTCCCCATCCGCGATCAAAGATGATGAGGCGCTATTGAGGGAATAAAAAAAGCATTAAAAAAAATATGAACAGCCACACACTGAGTATTAATAGCAAGCCGTTTTTTCCGAGCATGCAAAGCACATCGTTGGATAATCATCATGAAAATCAAAATCTAGGAAGTAATAATATTCATCATGGTAACCACACCAAGGCACAATCATCATCAACACTCGATCAACAATTGAATAATCAAGAGAAGCTGAACAAGAAACAAAACCGAAAGAAGGGAAATATGAAATCAGAGGAAATGCACATACGAAACAATGAATTAAAGGAATCGAATATGGAAAATGCAAACGTCATCAATAATATTTCGCAAAACCGCAAACAATCAAAACGGATAAAAGGAACACAAAATTCACAAACTCCGATACCCAATCATTCATTCATGACTACCACTCAGACACAATCGGAATTATCCAACGCTTTGGATCGTGTTCATGCTCATCAATACTCTCAAAATTTCCCTTCCGTGAACGCATCCATTTCTTCGACATCCTCTTCTACAATCACTCCGGTACCATTTTCCTACAAGGATATTTTACAAAGCAAGACGAGTGGAATTTTAACAAATTCTGAAATTTTGCCTCAAAAGAGTGTTGTCGTTGCAGCACATTCAAACAATAAGCAACAACACATCTCTAAACAGCCTGTGCTGGATGTTATCAACAACAATACCATTAATAGTAGCACACCAACACCACAGACGGCAGCTACACAAACAAAAGAACTAAAGTCGGAAAAAAAAGCAAACCGTAAACAATTAGAAAATGCAGCCAATAACAAACAGACTGCTTTGAAATCACCAACCTCTACTAATGCTCCCACAACACCACCCAAACAAACCAAGCTCACTAAAAAACAAAAAGCTCAATTACTAATCAATACACTTCTTCAAGAACGAAAAGAATTCACACTTGCGGATCATATTGGTGGTGACATTGACCAACTCTTGAAGAGTACTCAGGAAGCCTCTAGTTCTTCCACAACAACACAAGCATTGCCTCCAGAAAAAACAAAAACACCCAAAGAATCTCCAAACAAACAAGGAAAAGACAAGCTCAAGAAAGATGCTACAACTGTAACGAACAACAAAAAATCCATTAGCAAGATGAACACTCTCGAAAAAGCCTTACTCACCAAAAGTGACATGAAAGGAAGAAAACCCATTCGTTTAGAAATTTACTCAGATAAGGTCACGAACGAAGATGTCTATAAAGCCTTTATGCTCGCTGTCAATCAGCAACAAACAGGCCATGGTATTGCTAAGGACACACAACGAGATTCATCCACCACCAACATACATGATGTAAATGGGGCTGAGGATATGCTCGTCACTGTGGCAACAAAAAAGAAAAAACCGAACAAGCTCAAAAAAATTATTCTCAAAGAGAAGGAAATTAGAAAGCTTCAGAATCTCTCTCCAAATGATTTTATCGATATTAAGAAATATTTGAAAAAGAAGAAACAAGAAGAGACAACCGAAGAAGAAACCGATGAGACAGATCAAGTGTTTGTGATTGAAATTGAGAGAGAAAAACACAATGATTCGCCTACAAGTGTGAGCAATGACAATTCAGATCGGAAAGAAAATGAAAAAACATCAAATGAACAAGATACTGCGCACACGTCTCAAATCGATAATAAGGAGGATGTCAACGATAATGTGAACAAAGAAAGTGAGTCAGACTCTGAGAGTGTCATTTCTGAGACGGAATCAATGAATATTGTCTTGAAAGGAGCCAACGAAAGAAAGATTCGTGAATATGTTCCCTATCCTCTCGATCCAGTCTATGAGAATTGTGTATTTCAAATGTTGGCTAAACTTCAATTTTATCAGCACAGGTTAAAAAAAACAGACAAGAAGAAATTCAAAGCAAGAAGAAGATATGTCATTGGAATTCGTGAAGTGTTGAAAGGTTTAAAAATTAAGGAAATTAGAGCTGTCGTAATCGCTCCTAACATTGACAAGATTACAACTCCAGGTGGGCTCGATTCAAAAATTGAGGAAATCATTCAAAAATGTAATGAAATGGAACTTCCAGTATTTTTTGCACTCACCAAAAAGAAGCTGGGTATTGCCCTAAAAACCTCCACTAAATTAAGTGTGATTGGATTGTACAGTATGGATGGAGCTTTTGATGAGTTTAAAAAGGCAAAAGCCATGATTGAAGAAAAATTGGCTCTTGTGGAAGAACAAAAAAAGAAAGACAATTCCTCACAACCAACGACAACAATCACCAGTTCAGAATAAGTGGCATTAGGTGTAGAATTTTTGGTGGCCAAAGTATTCATGAATTTGATTGGCAGGAAACACTCTTTATGTGCCAACTATAGAACTCTTTATTTTACCGAATGCCCTTAATTGAGATCACTGTGGTCTCTCAGTGTCCATCAGGTGTTTTTTGCGATGGAAAAAGTCAAGCAAACACTTTTTATTGCAAATAACCTTACAACAAACCATTTTTCGTTAATAAGGGTAATTTCATGGTCAATAAGAAAAATTAATCTCACATAACATTGGACGAGACAACAGTGTGAAAAGAAAGCAGGTAAAAGAACAGGCTCCCTAAGCTGCTACATCTATAAATTACCTTTTCGGCAGCTGTCATATTATTCAATATTATTCAGGCTTTCTTCTCCTTCTTTTCTGTGGAATCTCTTAAATGGATCTAATCTTGTTCGTAGAGCTGTTTACATGGTTTTGGATTGGCAAAATCTTGTGATGGCGAAGCGGATGGGCTTCCCTTGTGGGACACACCTGATAGTTATTTCTTACATGATGTCATCTAAAAAGCAACCAAACAAAATTCTAGTCTTCCAAGCATCGAAAATAACTACTGATTTAAAATAATACTAAGTAGGATCTGCCAATGTTTTGAGAATTTCAAGATACAGACATCCATGCTCCTTAATCTGGAACAAGAAAATCCTCATTTCAAAATAATACACCTATAAATTGGAATATCTTTCCCTACTATGAGTAGATTCTTGCAAAATTGATTGATGCAATTCCACAAAATACCAATTATCAGCAAAAAATTCATCATTTTGTGGTTCTTGTTGTGGTCTGGATGGACGAGAAGCACTACCACCAGTTGTAGGGCCTCCATAATTTCTCAAATAAATATCTTTAGCTGATGCCGGTAATGGATTGAGTAAATTCTCTCCACCAGACACACTTTTCGAATAATCATAATTCGGAGTTGATGGCATGACCACAAGTGAAGCATTGCCATTAATTTTGCAAATTCCATTTTCCACGAGTAATCCGAGACTTGCTCTCATATCCCCGGTCAGTTTTGCAAACTCGGAAACACCCATCATGGGGAGTGAGGAATTGGACGATGAGGAGGCAGGTGATGTTTCATTTGAAGACATTTTTTTATGTTGCATCATGCCAGAACGTAACAAAACACGAACGACAAACTCTGATAGAATAGATAGAATAGTAAGCTCAACAGTATCATGATTTCATTGAGATCTACTCAAATCTCATTCCCAAGATTTTTTATCATCAAAAAAGAAAAATGAAAACTCTCCTGTGTTTCATCGCCGCGTTCGTGATGATTGCTCTTTCATCATCCTCGGCCTATGGATTTGAAGCTTGTTTTGAGCCTAATCACTTGTTGAGAGAAATGAACATGAAGAACAATGCGGAACCTATCAAGATGACTTATCCCTTGATGAAGGCTATTCCTTCCAATTATGATTGGAGAAATGTTAGTAAGTATGAATACCATCATATGTTTAACAATTTCATCAAATGATCATTAATTTTGGCGTCGTTGATGATTCCGTACGATGATAGGCGGAGTGAACTATCTTTCACCAATTAGAAATCAAAACCTCCCACAAGCCTGCGGAAGTTGTTGGGCTGTTACCACTACTTCTGTGTTGGCAGACAGAATCAATATTCTTAGAAAGGCATCTTGGCCAATGGCCTACCTTTCTCCACAACATGTTTTGGCTTGTGGTAATAGTGGTACTGTAAGTGTCAACAACAGTGAACTAGTTCTTTATATTTTGTAATGACAATGTTCATGGAAATTTATTGTGAAAATATTTCATGAAATAATATGAATATGTGATGGTAATTACAACATCACGACAGTGCAAAGGAGGAGATGTAAGTTTTATTTTCACAGATTTTGTGTGAATTGTTTCAACTAAATACTTCAACGTATGAAATGTTGTTAATTGTACTAACTACATCCATTCCACCACCGTTAGCACTACTCTGTCTATGTCTATGCCAACAAATTTGGTATTCCAGACGAAACTTGCAACAACTACAGAGCTATTGGTAAGTCATGATCATGGTGACAACAATCGAGTTGTTTGAATTGAGATGTTTTTTTAACAATGCCTATCACATGAAATAGATCAAACATGTACGGATATGAATGCTTGCTACACTTGTTCTACCTTTGGTGCTTCAAATTGTCATCCAATTCCAAACTTTAAACGTTACAAGGTTGGTCAATATGGTGTCATTAAGGGATCAGATAACATGAAGAGTGAAATTTTCGCAAGAGGTCCAATTACTTGTGCCATGTAAGTGAATGTGTGTTAGTTCTGTTGTGACTAACTTATTGTTGCGCAATCTATTATTTATGAATTATTTAAATTTGTAATTCATTGATTGTGGAACTTTGTAATTGTCTTGACTTGTTATTCAATGAAACAGCCAAGTGACTCCAGAATTTGAAAGATATACTGGTGGTGTTTTCAATCAAGTTATTGCCAACCCACAAGTGAGCCACATTGTTGGTGTTGTCGGTTTTGGTGTTGATCCTCAATCACAACAAGAATACTTTATTTTGAGAAACTCATGGGGAAGGTTTGTATTGCTTGGTTATGAAAAATGCATTCATGATTTTGTTTCTACTTTATGGACCAATTTCGAAACATTAACGTTTTTTACATCAATGCATCTCTATCATGTCTATTTGTACAATATTTTATTGTAAAAATATCAAAACTATAGCACATGGGGTGAACAAGGATTTGCCAGAGTTACTGTCAACTCATTGGGCATTCAAAACGATTGTGTTTTTGGTGTTCCAATCAATGCTTAAATATGATTAGCCTCTTGTACTTCAAAAATATATTATTTTATAATTTCTTTTATTATTTGGCAACGTATTAAAGTGCATGATTTTTGTTACAATTTATAGCAACATTTTCGGTAATGTCAATGAGAGATTGATTTTGTGTGAGATAAACAACACACTGATCAAAATCAATCATCTCCAGTCTGTCACAACTCACGTTTGAGCCATTAATGGACTTGTGCACTTACTACACGAAAAAGAAAAAAGTACCAATTCTTTACTTTGCAAGCAACAGCAAAAACTTTTCTTGCCGAGCTCTGTAACCATTGTTGCATGAGCTGCTAGGATCCTGCACTCACTTGAAACCCATCACAGAGCACGCTTCACGTACGCGATACCACCTCTGTTTCTTACCCATCACTCCTCCATTATTATTGATTCTCTCTTAAACTCGACACGAAATTCAAAAGGGCCATCATTCCTTGTCATTGTATAAAATCTTGTACCTGTCACTCGTTGCGCACCTTGTTCATAAAAGACAACCATCGACTCCGGTTTCACGCACGAAAAGGCAACTCGTTGAAAATTCGCTCTACCTCGTTGTTGTCGTTCATTGTAATAATAATTTTCATTGTATCCTCCAACACAAATTGCATTTTCAAAAAAGAATTACGACAAGATTGAAAAATCTCTTCAAAGAATTTGCAATTTTTTCTTGAAGATCATTCATTGTAAACTTTCAACTCACACCCACCCGCATTGTTATTGACTAGTATTGAACTCGGACGACCATTATAAAAACATCATGACGGCACATTCTCAACAATCAGAACGTCATGAGAATCCAAGAATGAGAAACAATTTGATTTGTGAACAAGAGTGTCATCAACAAACATCATCCCAATCATCACAACAACAACAACCACCACTCTATTGTTGTCAAATCTTGTCGACTCTGCAAGATTTCAAATATTCTTCGACCCATGTTCGACCTTCAACGATTCATTTGAAATTTTCCAACCGAATGATGACATCTGACACTCATGAAGGTCATTGCTCTGGAGTATCAAACCATGCATTACAGACCTCTCCTCAAAAGATTCCCATTCGACTTCCATCTTCTCCTGCTTCGAAAAGAATAATTTCATCTCAACAACTCAATCTCGCCTTTCCAATTCTCAATCCAAAAATTTCCACTTTACAAAATGCATTTCAACACGTTCCAAATCCAACTCCAGTCACTCTCAGTTCCTCTCTCATTCAATCTTTGAAATCCTTTTCAACTTCCAATTCTTCAAATTCTTTCAATTCTTCAAAATTGAAAAATTTCAAATTTCCATCCTTACTTGCTCAACCATCGACTAACCATTCCTTCCAAATTGGTTTTCAATTAACTCATCCATTACCTTGGAAAGGTTCGAATGGAGGATTTTGTTGTGTCATTTGCAGCATGTTGGCACAAAAAATTATATTTGGACCTCCACAAGATTTTTCTCAACATTGGAAGAGAAAAAAGGGACATTTAGAGAATGGAATAATTACCAATGAAATTTTGAAGAAAATCATTCAAATGTATGGAGAAGGATTTTCCAACTTGTTGGGAGGAAGAATGTGTGATCGACATGTGTCACAAATTTGTGGAAAACAAGTCGAACTTGTGAATTCCGTGTCAACCATGCCAACTGTCAATGAATCAACCACCATGCATTCATCCATGATCTCTTTGAAAAAGAGAGAAGACAACCACCACTCGAACAGTTTAGAATCCAATCGAAAAACTCGAAAAATTACTCCAACAGAAGCTACAACAAATTCCAACGATGAACAAGAAGACAATTTCGATTTCGATGCTTCTTCTCAAAGCAGTGATTATTCCTCCATGGATGATGACGACGGTTCTTCAGAAGATTTTGAAAATCATTCCAATTCTGAATCCTCACCAAATAGATTTCAAACAAGTCAAAGAAAATCAAATCCACTTTTAGAAAGTCCAAGAATTTCCACTCGAAGACAACAAAAACAAGAATTATTATGTAATTACAAGAGATTAATTGAGAAAGAAAAGCTAACAGACGAGGAGGAGGAGGAGGAGGAACCATTTCCAAACCAAACTCTGTCCATTAAGGAAAAAGAAGAAGAAAAACAAACTGTGAAAAAATCATCTGAAAGTTCTTCGAATGGTCAAACACATCCATTATTGACATTGACAACAACAACGAATACTTCTCCAAGACCTAGAAGAAGATTCTTTCGAAGAGGAACCGATCATGTTTCTTCGTCACGAAGTGTCACAACCATTCATCAACGAAGAGATTTACCTCTCGATCAAGATGCCATTTCCATTGTCATTGTGAATTCCAATGACCATTCGGCATCTTCCATGAATGTCATGAATACCAATCATGGACATGCATGTTGCGGAGATGACTCGTCAAGTACAAGTAATCATTCGATGGATCAATTGAAACCAAATTCTCCTTCCAAAAAGTCCTCAACAACAATATCAAATTCACATCATGAAAGAATGTATTTAGATTTTTTAGAATATGACGATCAAGATGACGTTGAGTCAAATTCTCATGAAGGAGATGATCACACGACGTCATTGGAAGAGCCCATTCTCAATCCTTCCGTGCATGATTTTCCTAATCTTAAGGTTCTTGATAATACGCGCTCAATGTCACAACAACCTCAGACGTTTGACACTAGTTGCAAAAACGAAGATTCCTTCCACGTGTTGGTTTCATTGATGGAAGAATTGGTAAATCAGGAAGATGAACAAGCACATGGATCATGTGTGGTTCAACTTGGAGAGAATCATGAAACTTTGAACAGCGTACCACCACGAAGAAGATTTATTCGCAGATTCGTCAAGTAAAATAACGTTGTTTCAAGATTGAACTGTTCCAGTATTAAAAAAATGTCAATCAAAAACTTGCAACCTCGCAGAGCAGGTAAGACAGTAATCACAAGGATCATCCAGTCCATTGCAAGCTTAGGTTGTAATAGTCGTGGTTTTGAAAAATGATTTCCAAACGTGAGGCAAAAAGATTACATCCGTTCTTGGATTGAAGACACTTTGGTTGAAGGCAACTTTCCAAAGGTAGAGTCAAAGCCAGTTTCAACCGATCATTAATCATCATTGAATGGACTCCAAAGCAGGATTGTGTATCAAAATTTTACAGCTTTTTTCAAATTCTTCAAGAATTCACCAATGTATTTAACACCTTTTCACTGGCAATTCCCAAACCACTCAAATTTCTTCGAGTATTTAACTTCTTCAACAAACTAGAAATTAATCCCAATCATAATCACTTTCATAGTCACTTATATCCCAATCAATCACAATCCTCAACCGGCCATTGTTAGAAATATATTTAGCACCGTCGTTGTCAATTCTATTGCTGCACAGATTCAAATCAGACATCTTCTTCATATATTGGCTCTTAGCAATATGTTTGACTCCTTCATTGTCAATTTCGTTGTAACTGAGATCCAAAGAAGTCAAATTTTTCAACCACTCATTTGTAGAAATATATTCGACATCTTCACTACTAATTTGATTGTCAGACAGATCTACAGAAGTTAAATTTTTTTAACCATTCACTGTCAACAACATGTTTAACGCCTTGACTGCCAATTCTATTTGCACCCAGGCCCAAAGAAGTCACGTGCTTCAGCGTCTCACTTGTAGAAATATGTTTGACTCCTTCATTTCCAATTTGATTGTCAGACAGATCTAAAGAGGTCAAGTGCTTCAACCATTCACTCATAGAAATATATTTCGCACCCTCACTACCTATTCTATTGCAACTCAGATTCAAACAAGTCAAATTTTTCAACCGTTCACTCGTAGCAATATATTTGGCTCCTTCACTGTCAATTTGATTTTTATCCAGATCCAAACAAGTCAAATTTTTCAACCATTCGCTCATAGCAAAATATATCGCACCCTCACTGCCAATTCTATTGCTATACAGAATCAACGAAATCAACTTATTAAAATGTTCACTCGTAGCAATATATTTGACACCTTCATTGCGAATTTCATTACCACTCAGGTTCAAATAAGTCAAATTCTTCAAGAATTCACTCGTAGCAATATTGAACACCTTCATTGCCAATTTCATTGAATGTCAAATCTAAAGAAATCAAATTCTTCAAACATTCACAATTAGCTAAATTCTTGATTGGTTCAGAAACATGTTTGAAGTGATTTTCTGCGAATGATAATGAGAGAGGAATTCGAAATGCTACTTGTCTCCATTGTTTTGAAATTTTCATACAAACTCGAGCAATAAACAATGATCCAAGGAAACGAAGAATTTCTAAAATAATATCATCAATGAATGTTGTTGTAATTTGTCGGAATTGGAAGAGAGAAACCATCTATTTCAGCAACATCATTGATAGTTGATGATGACGATTCAGCACCACTTTCAACCGACGCCGCCGTAATTTTTCTCTTTTTACTGTTCGGTGCTAGCATTGGATGCTGCTAGAATGAAATATTTTTTTGTAAAAGTCTTGCAAGAGATTGTCAATACACTCTTGGAAGGTTTATATTTGGTTGACCAATCTAGAGATTCAACCAAATCCATGCAGCTGCATTCAACAATTGAAGTACCCACGTTCACGCCATAGGCTTCTATTAAAAAGGTCACGAAATTTTGTCAAGACCAAAAAATTCAAGTGAAACGTCGGTCTTGTGTGTTTTATTTCCATCATTAACCCAAAAAAAGAAATTTGTGTGCCAACCAAACGGAGAGCACCTATTCAATTCAACTATTACTAGTACCTATTAATCCTTTATTATTATTATTAGATATACATTTATTCATTCCGAATAGAATACAGCCAATTTGCAGAGTAAATTTAATACTCTCAAAGATAACCGTTTTTATATATTTATTAAATATTAACAACAATGCCGAAAAAGACTAGAAAAGAAGTCAAAGAAGAACGTATAAAATCCAATCTTCCTCATGATGGCCATACTTCCTCTTCCGATGATGATGGAGTCGCTAGTGATGTGAGTACAGCCTCCGACTCGACTCGTTTGGCAAGCATGGAAGAATTATCCAGTAAATTTTCTGATGCGATTGAATGGCTTACTGAGAAGGCTAGTGCTCGCCGATTGGAAGGCTTGAATTTGATGATCAAAATTATGAAGATGCGCTACGTGGCTGACTTGTTGAGTGGAAAATTGGAATCTGCTGTGAGTGGTGCCATTCAATGCTGTGCGAAAGGATCTTCTGAAGAATGTGTGGCTGCTTTCAAGGTGTTTGCTTTGATTTCTGTCACAGTTGGAGGTTGTGTGAATGAAAATGATCGAAGACATTTATTCCCTTCAAAATCATTGAATGATTCCGTATTTGGACAACAAGCCATGCTCTCTGAAGACCATTCACAAAGAATGAAAGAGGTCTTGAAAAGAAATGCGGACGCAGCTTCGAAAAAGAGTCAAGAAGTTCGATGTGAAGCATTGTTTTCACTTGCTATTTTGGAATTCATGGACTCTTCTGCTGAAGATTTGATTTTAGAAAAGGATGAGAATAACAAATTGCAATACTTTAAGCAATTTTGGAGTGATAAGGATGATATTGTAGCATCTGTTGCCATTGAATCATGGGCTTTCCTTGCCACAATGGTTCCCAACAAGTACAAGGTGAGCATGTTGGTTCCAGACTCGCTGAAAAGTCTTCAAAAGATTATCGTCTCTGAATCGACATCGCCATCACTCAAAATTTCAGCTGGTCAAGCAGTTGCATTGTTGTTCGGTGCCATCAATATGAATGAAGACTATGATAGTTCCATCTCTAAAAATGATTATGAATCTCTGGTAGAGGCAATGAATAATGCAGCTTCCCTCTCTGGTAAGGCAGTTTCAAAGAAAGAAAAAGCCGTGCAAAGAATGAATTTTAGAAGTTTTGTGACAACAGTAGAAGATGGAGAGATTCCATCGGACAAATTGAATGTTTCAGGTAATACTCTTGTCTTTGAGAGTTGGGACAAGCTAATTGAATTGGCAAATTTCAAGAAATTGCTCGAAGGAGGCCTTTTGGAACATTTCAAGTACAATATCAATTTACAACACATCTTTGATGTGAGCCATTTAAATCTAGGTGTGGAACAACCATCCACAAAATTAAGCTCACTAGAAAAGAAGTACTATCTCTCAAAGAATTCTGATTTTAATAAGACTGATACTTTGGAAAAGAATAAGATGACAAGAGCGTTTGCAAATTATGTTCATGCTTCGTCAAGCTATGACGAAGAATAATTGTTGATTTAAAATATCATGTATTAAGAACATTGTATCAAAAGAAAATTTAAATTCTTTTCGACATATGGAAACACCATAAAAGTTCAAACAATAACGATCATATTCAATTGCTACCATTCATGTCATTTATTTCTCAACTGATTTTAAAATTTCTTCCCATTCCTTCACAAGCTTGTTCTTATTCAATAATTGACTGGAAATAATGGGTTCTTTCAATACTCGAAATTCAAAGCTATTGGGATTTGGATTTTCAAAAATGGTTTCTCGATCAGTATCCCAATCAAACAAACCAACTCCAGTGGTCGTGAGATATGGATTCATTTCAAGTAATTTCACATAATTTCCATCCTTAGAAACAGAAAAATCAATAATGTAATTTTCCATTTCTGGTAACTCTTTAGACAAGATGGGTTTTGCAACTTCTTGAAAAAACTTTCTACATGCTTGCTCAATCTTGGATTGTTCTCTCACCACTGGTTCCAAATAACATTGTGTAAAATATTGAGAAAGAGCTTTCAATTCATTTTGAAAAATAATTCCTCTAAATTCTGATGACAATCTCATCTCGACATCCCAAGGACGAACAATAATTCCCAACGAAAAGTCTTCTTCAAAGGTTAAATCCAGTGATAAATCGTATTCAATTCTTGAACTTTGTGACAATAAATCGAGAGCTTCTTTTGCATTGAATACTCTCATACATTGCAAGGATGCAAAATACAAGGCACATAAATGGTCATTTCTTTTAAATTCTCGAATTTTTTCATCGGCATTTTCCTCTGATTTCATTGTTCCAATTTCATTCGTGTCATGTTCAATCAGTTCTGAATAAATTTTCATCGTTCGTTCATGTGTGGGTGTAATATCTTTGGCGGAACGAGAGGTCAATTTCACAATAAATCCATTCGTATCCAACAATTCAAGCCGTTGTTTGAATTCTTGCATCACCTTGTCAATTTTTTGTTTCAATTGTGAAATTGAATGTAAATCTTCTTCCTTCAATAATGGTTGCTTTTTGTGATGTTGTTTACAGAGATGCAACAGCGCTCTTGCCTCCGAGAGTTGTAATGGAATCGTTTCAGTCGGAATGGTGTAATTTCCTTCTTCGAAAAATTTAATAAACTTGTCCATGTTGACACCAAAATATGTTTCTTTGATCTTTTTGGCTTCTTCATAGGATTCATCAAATTCTAACTTGTCTTGATCAATTTCAATGACCATGTTGATTGGGAAGAGAGAAGATGTTACGAGTGTGGGGTATTTTTTTTGCAAGTTCATCTCTCTTGGTGCACTTGAGTTCACTTTTCAATGGTCTGTGTGACATCTTGACATTTGTTCTTGCCAGATCAATGGTTGCTTGGAAATTTATTGTAAGATCATGGATGGACAAACAATTTGTCCAATGAACCATGTTTTGCCAAATGTTCTCTAGGTGTCAAGTACAACTTGTACTTTTCCATGTCAATGTAAAAGAGAGATTGATTATCTTCGAATTTGGGAAATTCATCTCCTGAATGTTTCAACTTGAAGTGTCGAATGATGTTAATGAGAGACATGATGACTTCTGTTTTTGCTACTCGTGAACCTGTAATTTCACACACATTCCAATGATCGTTTGTTAATATCAATTGTATTGTCCTCTATTGTGGATTAACAATTCACTTACCTGGACATTGTCTTGCTCCTAAACCGAATGGATTGGTTATACTTGAATGATGTTTGATGCTATACGGCGAATCTGGATTGTATCGTTCTGGAATAAATTGTGTACAATGAGGAACATATTTCTCAGTGAATGCTGGATTTTCAAATAACATGACTTGTGTCTTTTTTGGAATGAAATATCCTCCAAGGGTAATGTCGTTTTGTAAAAATCGAGTACTAGCCACATAGCCAACATGATTCAATCTCATACTTTCGCTGACAAAATGTTTCACGAGTTTCAATTGTTTGAAATGTGAAAATGTGACGGTTAGACCATTTTCGGAAGTGATTTCATCGATCGATGGTTCTCCAAAAACTTGAACACATTCGCGAAATAGTTGCTCTTGATATTCTGGTTCATGTGCAAGTCGAAACATGAGAATGGAAATGACTCGTGCTGTAATATCCACACCTGCCATAAGAAATGACGCGAGTGTGATCGCCACTGCTTCCTCTTTTCGTTCCATATCTTTTGCTTTCTCTTCGACAATTTCTTTTAATCGCGGTTTGGACGAGGATGGACTTGCAAATAGTCGAATGCACGTTTGAGCTCTGTCAATACTTGTCTCATAGGCATATTTCAATGCCAAATAGTCTTTGGTTTTCATTATTTTGTACAGTGGTATTTGAAATGACATTTTGATGGCCAAATCTAAACTGCACATCACAGTGGACACAAAATCCTCAAACTCGAAAGGTAGTTTTTTCAAATTTTCATCAACAAGTTTTTCTCCTAGGAATATCTTCAAAACAGCATTGAAAGTATACTGTGTAATAAATTTCCAAACATTGACACATTCATAGGTCAATTCGTCATCATGTCTACGTAAATGTCCAGTTATTAAGCTCTTCAAAAAATAACTATTCAATTCCGTCAATTGAGGTAATGAAATATTTTCGAGAAAATCAGGTTTCAACGCAACATTGTATAATTTTCTCATTTGTTGCCAATCCTCATGACTCTCCAATTCAATGGGAGTTAAAATCATTCCATTTTCCTTCTTGACTTGCCTCAATGGATATGTGGGAGAACGTCCTTCATCGACACGAGCAAGTTCAATATGTAGCTCTGGATTGGCCAAAATTAACATTCGTTTTCCAAACATATTCAATCGTACCATATCACCATACTGTTGAACTAAATCCACAAAATATTGATTAATGTTTTTTGAATGCCGAGCCAATTCCATGGCATTACCCACAAGTGGCAAGCCTTTTGGTCCAGGTATTTCATGAAACGATTGTATATCATGTTCGAATTTGGGTGAAGGATCTTTTTGTTTGTCCAGACGAGTCTGATCCGATGTTTCAATATTCGTGTTAGTGGATGTTTTTGCTAGAGAACTTCTTGGACATTCGGATCGATCAGAAAAAGACTTGATAGAATTCAACGAGCCACTCCGATCATGATGATAATTTCTCTTCAGACAGTTATCTAAAAAGCTCCATTCATGAAATGAACGTTGATTGTGTCAAGTAAGTCGTCTTGAAATTGTTTTTTTTATGGAAGAGAATATTGTTGAGTTGAAGGTTGTAAACCTTCATGTTTTCTTTCCGAGAATTCCAATTCTATATTTTCATGACATGCTAAAAATTCACTCAAATTACCACTACTTTGAGCCCAACGACGTCTCCATGACTGTTGATCCGTTGATGCTGTTGTTGCTGAAACATTACCTACTGACTGACTCATTCGAATTTGATATTTCCATAACAAATGAGCTATGAAAATCTTTTGTTCCAATATTGTGAACCGATCGCCAGGACACACTCGTTCTCCAGCTCCAAATGGAAGATAGGAATAATCTCGTGTGGAAGATCGACGATTGAGAAATCTTTCTGGATTGAATGTTTCAGCATCGAGTCCCCAACATTTGATGTTATTTTGAATTCCCTTTAGAGAGAGTAAGAGACGACAATTTTTACGAATTTTGATGCCGTCTACAATTTTGCTTTTTTTGGAAATTCTAGAAAGATAACCAATGGGAGGATTCAGTCTCAAATTTTCACGAATGACACATTCTACATAGGGTAAACGATCCAAGGTAGTTACATCTTCAATCGATTGTAACACAAATTCACAATAACCATCGAATTGTTCCCTGTTAAATCGTTCTGGAAATGCATTTCTCAACTCGTCATACAGTCGTGTTTGAACTCGCTCGTTTAAGGCCACATTCAATAAGAGGAAACACAAGGACGATGCTGTTTTTGCATGACCCGCAAGGAGAAATAATTTGGTATTGTCTCTCACGTTGGCATCTGACACGGAAAGTTGGCTGTCATTCAATTCGAGTTTGTTTTTGAGAAGGGACGAAAGTGGAAGAGGATTTTGAATTCTCGACGCTGGAGAATGCATATCTTCACGATACGTTGGATTTCTATTCTGATTGGCCTCAAATAAAAAATCCAAAGAACTTTCCAAATTGGGTTGAACATTATCAATGACTCTTCGATCCACGTGTTCCACTCTCTTCTTGTCAATGATGGATTCCACAAATTTGTCAAGTGTTAAAAATGATTTTTGCATTTTCAAATTATCAACAATGGGTAACAGGGTGTATAAGACACCACCGAGTAATCTTTCCACACTATTCATGCATTTGATAATGTAATCCAGAGAATGACGTGCTTTGATTTCCTCCTTAGAACTTGACGATGGATCTAAATAATTAAAATCACAATCTAAATACGATTCTCCAATGAGATCCATGCAAAAACATGAAACCACGTCTGAAATTGCAAGCTTGAAAGAATTTTCGCTGCTATGAGGAGAACGGATCTTTTCACTCCAATTCTCTAAAATACGATTGGAAAAGGAAGGGTTGGAATGTTCTTGATCTTGAGAATAAAATCTTTTCAAATTAGTCACACAAGTATTTGCCTTCTCTGTCATGATATTCCAATATTTTCCAACATGATGAAATGAAGGATCCAACACCAATCGATTTACTTTCCACTTGTCTCCATTCAACATGAATATACTCTTTCCCAATAATTGTCTGTAGCTTGGCGTTTGAATACATAAATCCTTCTCAAAATGATGAAAATGATCAATGAGAATGGTTTTTGCAGATTGAGGTGAAGAAAACACCAAAGTTGGAAAGAGTCCTCTGTTAAAGAATAAAAAAGGTTCATGATTAAATTCCTTGCAGAGTGAAAAGAGTTTCTCGGAAAGGGGTATGCTTGGTTGGAAGAGCATCAATGCCAACGATTGCCATATGGACACGACATTGGAGATGGATTTTCTAGTTTTGACAACCATGATATTTTCAATGCAATAATGTTCATAGACTTTGGCAAGAATGAGGATGAGAATGACAAGTGCAAGAAAGTACAGAAGAAGGAGCATGTCCATGTTGATGCAATGACGTGTAAGGGTCCAACGAAATGGCAATGGTGTTTGTGACAGCAATGAGCTGAAAATAATTCAAGTATAGAGAGTGTGTCGAAAAGTTGCTTGATGAAAAGACGTTTTTCTTATTGACGAATACACAGCACGTGTCTTCGGATTGGAAAAAATTGTGTTTTTGGCCAGTAGATATTTTAGTATATTTTCCATAAATGGTTTGCAGAAAGAATTCAACCAATTTCAAAACCTACCGATATTGGATCAAATATTGTCAAATCTCCGATCGATACATTTTCATAAATAAATCCATTGGATTAATATACATAACTTTCAAATGAATTCATTCAATACTTGATGAATACACCAAATGGCATGGCCAACACATTGGCAAGAGCCAAATGTCGTCTCGCAAATCCTCGTCCAACAAAGCTCAAATACAGTATCACAAAAATACACAATTCAATACATGCAATCCACCAACCAAATGTCAAAAACCACATCAAATTAATAAATACAATAAGCATTGAGGTTTTCTCTCGTTCAAATAATGTACTTCTCACACATTTCACACTTGTGGATTGAGTATTGAGGCCTTCATGCTCACTATATAACGTAAATGGAAAAAGAGATAATCTGCAAACCTTCAACAATTGTCGATAGCATGGAAGACAAACCAAAGGACAGAGTAGAGCCCACAACAATAATGACATGGCAAAATTGCAAAAGGTCAACCATCCAAATCCCAAGAAAAACCATTTGAGTTTCAATCGTCGATCCAGTTCCGATTTGTTGTTGCTATAATAATTATTTTGATTATTATTATTTTCATCATTGTTGTTGACATTGGAAGTGACCACCGAGATGTTGACTTGGTCTTCAGACATTTTTTTTGAATGTGATGACAAACGCTCAATTACAATGAAGGTTCCAATCTGATCATCTCCTTTCTGACCTGTTCTGCGAGTTGTTGTCTCTCCTCTCGTTCCAACAAACGAGCCGAGTGTTCTTTCTTTGTGAAATAGTCCATCCAATCCTGCTCTACCTCAGCATGACACTCTTCGCTCGGAATATCACCTGGTGTACGTGGCAACAAATGAACATGCAAATGCGAAATCGACTGGCCACTCAATTCACCCTCCTGAATTAGAAATTCAACAGAATCAGTCTGATGTAGAGATTTGAGTGCAGTAACTACACGCTGAGTAAATTGAACAAAATCCTGAGCGTGAGAGGCTGGAATATCCGAAAATCGAGTCAAATGTTGTTTGGGAATAATCAATGAATGGCCTGGAAATACGGGCCGAATATTATACAAGGCAAAAAAGTGTTCCGATTCCTCAATCAGTCCTTCTGCTATAACATTGGAATTACAAAATACACAATAATGATCAATTAATTTCATTTCAATGAGTGGTTTATAATATTTAGGTTCTCGGAGCATGGTTTGAAGAAATTCTTTGGGAGCATCAGGAGGAAGAGCTGTTACAACTCGTCCGTTCATGGTCTTGGATATGGTTACTCGCTCATTCTGCTTTGATTCTTTGAATGATGAATTCTCAAGATGATAGAATTGTATATCAAGTCGTTGAATAAATTTTCGGATCGCTTCATCCAGACGATGATGATTCTTACTAAGGCATAGTAACGATGGTCTCATTTTTGTTGGCGCTAAAAAAAATTCAAGAACCAACAATGCTCACAATCAGCAGTAAAAAGAGAACTACATCATGTGGTGCTAAATCAACAAATTCATCACTACCAAACGATATTGCTGAAACAGTTTTATCTTCCGACAAATTTTCACAACACCAAGATCAATATAGCCTTCATGATTGATGATATTATTTTTGAAATTCTTCAATTCGTTGAATCATTGTTTATTATTCAAGTTTGTATGAAAATTTCAAAACAATGGAGACAAGTATCATTTCAAATTCCTCTCTCACTATCATTCGAAAAAAATCACTTCAAACAAGTTTCTACATCAATTGAACTATTAGCTAATTGTGAATGTTTCAAGAATTTGATTTCTTTGGATTTGAGAGGCTATAATATTGGCAATGAAGGTCTCAAATATTTTGCTACGAGTGAATATTTGAAACATTTGTCTTCTTTGGATCTGAGAGGCAACGACATTGATAGTGAAGGTGTCAAATATATTTGTACAAGCGAATGTTTGAAAAATTTGACTTCTTTAGATCTATCTTACAATCGAATTGACAATGAAGGAGTCAAATATATTTCTACAAGCGAATGGTTAAAGAATTTGACTTGTTTAAACTTGTATTGGAATAGAATTGGCAATGAACGTGTCAAATATATTGCTAAGAGTCAATATTTGAAGAATATGACTTATTTGAATTTGTGTAGCAATAGAATTGACAATGAAGGTGTTAAATATATTGCTAACAGTGAATGGTTGAAGACTGTGATTGATTTGGATCTAAATGACGATGAACGCGAATGATACAGAATTTCATCAACGTTTGTTCTTTGTGACAATGTTGCAATTTTTTAGTTCAGGTGAATATTAAGAAAAAATTATTTGTAATTCTTTTAATATTTTCATCAAGTGAGAACGTAAGTAATCTAAAATAAAAATTTAGATAAAAAATTTCAAAAATGCCGAAGCATCAAACCTCTGCACCTGCAGCCGAACGAAAGACAAAGAAAGAAAAAGAAATCAAGCTTTCGAGCGTACCTACGAGCTCAAAGGAAAAAGAACGTAAAAGAAAGAAGAATACTTTGGAACAAGATTCCGAGCAACAAAAAGGTACAAACATCACAACCGAACCAAAAACGAAGAAGAAAAAATTTCACGCCAAAGCAACCAATGTTTCATCTTCTTCAAGCTCGCACATAACTGATTCTGCATCAGATGATTTACCAACGCGCACAAGAGCCATGATGATGGATGAAGTAGAAGAAACATCAATTGTTAGCCGTGATCATACATCAAACAAATACTATGCAACACTGCCATCTTCAACAACATCCTCGCTCAAAACTCCTCCCGAAAACTCTCTCGATTTGACTGATTATGAGAGTTGGAATGCGCATCAAGTTACATCAGTACTGGCTTCTCGTAAATCTTTGGGTGGTGCTGGTTTGTCGGTTGAAAAGCTGAAGCCTTTGTATGAGGCTGGTTTTGATGGCTCATCTCTCCACAACATTGTTGAGAATATCCAAGACAAGGACAAACATTATGCTCTTGATCAACTTAAAAGTACTTATAACAAGAATAACGTTCCTCAACTCTCCGACACTTGTCAAATTATTGTTTCTTGGGCTAATGATAGAATTGTTTTGCCTCGCCAAAAATCACAGAACCTTCTTAAAGAAATAGAACAAGCACGCCATAATAAGGAAACAAATTTCGAACGTTTTTATTCTAAAACACGAGGAGAGTTGGCGACCATGTACCCAAAAATGGTATTGAAAGCTGAAAATTTTGATGATTTTGAGCAAACATTGCGCGCAAAGACTGATATTCCTTCTGTGAAAACTAAATTTGGCTATCCCAACTTTGGTGAACAATATAGGTCAGCTAAATTGCCTTTAATGACTAGCTCACTTGCCAAACATGAGCTACCATATTTTACACAATTCCAGTACGCTATGGCACAAGATGATGAGGTATTGAAAAGACTAGCTCCTAAAACCAAACGCAGCAAATTAATGTTTATGGGACCATCTGGTGCTGGCAAAACATCAGCTTGCGTGCATTTGTTATGTCGTAATCCTGGAATGGTTTTAACATGTACTTCATCATCAGAGGTATCCAGTGGATTGACCACTGATTCGTTGATGCGTCAAGCATTTGGCTACTTAAAGGGACAAGATATTTTTGAACTTTTTGGCTCAGTAGAACAAGTAGTGCTGATGGTATTCATATGTAGATTGATTTATATTTCAAAGCTAATTGATGAAGCAAAACAAAATCCAAATGTATTTAAATACTTTGTTCAGAGAGATAGGAATGAAAATATTGTTAAAGGCGGAATACTTCCCTATCTTGCATATATGCAATCCAATGGCAACACTAACGCTAGTGAGGAAGCTCTAAATTACGCATTGAAATTTGGTTATTCTAATCCCGAAATATTGAAGTCATTTGTTGCAATTTTGGTGAACAAGATAATTCGTTCACTTAATGACAATTCCGCTCTATTCGGAATAGTTAAGAAAATTGAATATTTTATAGTTGTTATTGACGAAGCAAACGTTTATGCAGGGTTTGTATTGATTAATTTTTCTTATGTGATTCATAACATGATTTCATTAGCAACAATTCTGGCTCTGATAACCTTTCAGAGTTAATAAGTTTGAGTGGCGAGAAGAGAGGACTGTTAACCAAGTTTGCACAATCCATTGGTGTCATAGAAAATTTTCATCTGTCCATATTTTCTGGAACTAATTTTTCTGTTGATGTAGGAAGTATTATACAATCAGCTCTTGGTAAAACTGAAGCAAAGATTGATGTAGGAAGAATATATGACTTTGGTTTGGTTGCAAGAGATGATATCATTTCATTTTTAGAAAAACATATCAAAATACCAAACAACGAGAAGCAAGAGATTTTATTTTATTTACATGAACGGGGCTACAAGTACTTTAGAAGAAGATTAATCACATTGGCATTAGAAAATTTTTCTACACACAACAGCTTGATAGATGCTATTAAATTGTCCGTAGATGAGTTTGTATTGGGAGCAAAAAAGCGTGTAGAGTCTTATCTTGATACCTATAACTCAACACAGGCTCCTCGATTGGACACACAACAAACAATTCAAGAAGGAATTCAAGAAGCCATTGTTAAATATGTTACTCATTATCATTTTCCATTTTTAGGTTCTGAGTTTAAGGTTTGAAGATAAATCAAAATTGATGAAACAGATTATTCAAGAAAGGATCAAATTGCTCTTGCAATCTTCAGACCACAACATCGATTTGGAATCCATTGTTATGCTTAGACTTGCAGAGTTAGATGGTACACGGTTGTCAAAAATTGGTTGTTTCAAACCACTAATCACCAACAATCCAATTTTAAAAGACCACATATTCAAGTGTAAACATTGTTTGGATGCAAATGGATATGTAGAGTACTGTATTTCCAAACAAGTTATAGCACCAGAGAATAAGAAGGATATAAATGGAGAAGAATTGTTCTGGACACACTTTTCCAAGAAGAAGTGGGATTTATTAGATGGAGTTTTTATAACTCCATCTAATGAACACCATAACGATTTGTTTGGTATTAACAGAGTTAACGATTCTACAGACATGATTATTCCAATAGGTTTCCAGTGTAAAGTTCAATCTGGAGCTAAATTTGACCCACATTCATATTTTAGCTCCACTATTCCTGAACTATTTTATCTCGATAATTATGGAAAATTGAAATCTGACACCCTCTACAATTTAAATTGTAATCATGTTGAAGAAACCAAGATTAAGGATAAAAAACAATATCGTTTCGTTGTGATGGATAAATCAAAAAAGATAATAGATGATGCGAATGGTAAAGGCATGAAAGTTAGTTCAAGTGCAAAATGGTACAGTGGCAAAAGAAATGATATTTTACAAGTATTTAAATCATCAAAAATGATGCAAGTGTGTATTGGATTTCATACAACTGAAACATTCTCAAACAAGATTGTAAAGAAATACCAGCAAAACTATTTGTGCTCCTTTATTGACATGAGCAATTATGACTTACTCTTCGATAAAGAATGGGAGACATATTTAAGGAGCTTTTTAACCACAGTGGCCGAACGAGTGAACAGCAATAATAAGAAGAATAATTTGGAAAAGAAATAATAAGGAGAAACAACAGTTTGCCATTACCTGAGGGACTGAACAAATCTACAGGCAGAGCCCACGTAGTGGCACCAAATCCAACCTCTCTCATTTTTCAATTGGCTCCTGATCGCGGCGATCTGATTCAACCCAAAACAAGGAATACATTAAACAGCGTGTGTACCAATCCAACGGCCTTGATAGTTTGGGCGCTGGGAACATTGCAATCATTTCCTTCACAGCATTAAAAATATTTGAGTTTGGGACATTCAAAGCCTGGTAACTTCTTCTTGCATTTGAAATCTTGCACGCATTAGTTAGTTGAAAAAACTCATCTCTAATTGGACAGTAATACTTCTTTGCGAAATTAAGAGTGACCCATAGCGCGTTTAACAACATGTTGATTTAATCCAACAAGTAAAATTCTTCAAGCTATCACAATTAGCTACTAGTTCGATTGATGTAGAAACTCGTTTGAAGTGATTTGATTGGAATGATAATGAGAGAGGAAATGATACTTGGTCCTTCGGTTTCCTACCTCCAGAGAATGATGCGAAAAGGAAACGTCCCAACTATTGAAAGGAATTGGCCTGAAATCCAAGTACCGTTAGCCCTCTTCGTTGTCAGACTCCTCAAAAACTACTTACAAGATTGAAGACTAAGACCTTGTGTCCTTAGTTAGCATTCCTGAAAACCTTGATTCGTCATCGAACAGGATTCTGTGTACATTTTATACAATTTGTTACGTGATTTAATTGCTTACAAAGAGACACATCAATCTTCATGATGACCATTCGAGAATTATTATTATTATTTCCATCTCCAGAACAAGTAGGTCGAGTTAGTTTGAGAAGGGATGATGTTGCATCAGTTTAGATATCACTAGTTTTGGTCGAATTCTTTCCAGTGGATTCAAATTCAACATGTTTGCAACGAGTTCAACAAATTCTGAAGAGTATGGATTGGTTTGAGGAATTTTCATCAAAATAAATTTTTCAATGTCATTTCCTCCCATTTCATAATATTGAGATAAAACACTGGTCGTGTTCATGGACATTAATTGAAATAAAGTCACTCCCAATGCAAACATATCACTAATCACGGTTCGAAAAACAAATATTAGGAGACCCATAAGGTCTTTAAATCCATCCAAAACACTTACCGATGCAAAACTCCGTGTTGGGTAAACATCCAATCCAACGCTTCACATACTTGTTGTGTTAATTGTCTCAACATGGTCTCTGATAACCTAATTTTCTTATCAATGAAAAGTGACCTTAAACTTCCTTGCATCAATTCCATTTCAATGCACACACGTGAAGTAATATTGGGAATAAATGCATCATAAATTTGAACAATATTTGGATGTGACATTTTTGCCATGGTCAACGCTTCCTTAAATGCGTCGTTTAGATTCGAAGGGTTGTCAACTTGGAGTTGTTTCAATGCTTTGGATTTTTTTGTTTTCATATCAACCACTTGATACACATTTCCAAATCCGCCTTGGTCTATAAACACAATTTTTTCATATTTGGTTTTAAAAAAACTTCTCCACGATCGAAAGCTCTCCAAAAATTGGAGAAGAATTTAGAGATTCTGAACTCGCAATACTCGTTGAAATATTTCCATCTTTGGATTCAAAATTTCCTCCAAAACTCCAAATTGGTGTTCGCGAATTCAACTCACTCCTTGATGAAGAAGATGGTTGAGCTTTGTCGTTCTTTTCAGAGTAAAGTCCAAAGCTTGAACTTGGTAATGCTGAACTCGAGCTTTGTGATGAAAAAGAGTTGTCAATATCTGATCCTTTCATTTCATGGTTCTGGAACGATTCACTGCTTTCAGGGTAGTTACTCGAGTTGTTGGAAGAACTTGTTGAATGATAGGACAATTGCTGAGATTGATTGGCCACTGAAAGTTTGATACATTTGTTCTTGGTTTCAAAGGATGAATCTTGGAAGAGTTCGAGACAATCTTTCACATCATGATCATTCTTGATATCCATGTCCCCAAAACTAGGATCAAAATAAGTCATGGTTATTTTTTGGTCTAGCAATTCTATAAATGAATTCTTCACTTGTTCCATCAGAGACATGAATAAATTATTGCTATCAATGGTCACTCTGTTCGATCTTGCCTGATCTTCGAGTTTAATCACAACTCGTAGGGGAACAGTGGATGCAGCAGTGGTGGATGTTGAATAAGGTTGACAAGACTGTTCATTTAGATCCAAAGTTGTTGCGTTACAAGCATCTTCCACCACTACTACAGGACGTTGAAATGGTTCCGTAGTAACAGAATTCTCCTCAGTGGATTGATGGCTTTCTTGAGATTTCTCTGTTGGAACTGGAGGACTTGTAACTCTTTCGATGATATTGTTGGAGTATTAAATACAAAAGGTTCATTCAAATTTGGAGGTTGCCAACCAAGTTGTGCATCTAGAACAAAATCTTGTCCCACAACTGTCATGTTAATATGATCAACATGGTCATTAGTTGTATTAAAAGGACACAAGCAACACCGCATGTCATCAGTAGTTTTCATTAAGGGCTCACAACTGGCCAATTTTTCATCATCTTTTTCGTTCTTCTCCTGTTTCATTGTGACACTGCGATATTTCAACCAAAAAGCTTGATCAAATCCTTTTAACAAATTGTAATCTGGAGATTCTGTGAATTGTGGATACACTGTCATTGCAAATGTCACAAATTCATCCAATTCTTTGTGTGTCTTAAATTCCAATTTGGAGTTTTTTTCAATTTTCATTCTCATGTTTTGGATTAATTCACGAGTTTCATCATGAAATTACATTTAGTGTCAAACTCTTTGTGCTTTATTCAAAATTGATACAAAATCCTTCTAATTTACTTCTTGTAGGTTGGCATGACAGTACCGAATGACATTCCTGATTCATCTTCACGCCAGTTGGACATGATAGTCTTTGTTTGAGTGTAGAATTGAACAGCAGCCTTACCATAAAAGTTCAAGTCTCCTCTGATGGAAGCACGTGAACCAGTGAATGAGAAGAATGGAGGTGGAACAGGAATTGGCAAATTGATACCAACTTGACCAGCATCAACCTCATATTGGAATTTACGAGCAGCTGGACCAGATCTAGTAAAGATGGCAGTTCCGTTTCCGTATGGGTTGGTGTTAATAATCTTGATGGCTTCATCCAAATCCTTAGCGAACATGATGAGCATGACAGGACCAAAGATTTCCTCAGTATAGCACTTCATGTTTGCCTTAACATCAGTCACAATGGTTGGGCCAACAAAGTTTCCACGTTCATAACCCTTCACAACAATTCCACGTCCATCCAAAACAACCTTGGCACCTTCTTGTTCAGCAGAGGCAATCAAACTTTCTACACGAGTCTTGGATTGAGGTGAAATCAATGGACCAAGATCAGCAGCTGGATCAGTACCAACATTGACCTTGTAGCCTTTAGCCTTGGCAACAATTTCTGGAACCCAATCCTTGGCGTCACCAACCAAAATGGCAGTGGTCAAAGCCATACATCGTTGGCCAGCAGCACCAAAGGCAGCACCGCACAAAGCATTGATGGTATCTTCCTTTCTAGCATCTGGTAACACAACAGCATGATTCTTGGCACCCAAGTTTGCTTGAACACGCTTTCCGTGCTTGGTACCTTCAGCAAAGATGTATTCACCAGCAGTGTTACCACCGACAAATGAGATGGCCTTGATATCTGGATTTCTGCAAATAAAGTCCACAGTTGGCTTCTTGCCGTGAATAACGTTGACGACACCCTTTGGCAAACCAGCTTCGAGGGCCATTTCGACAATTCTGACACCGGCACTTGGATCACGTTCGGATGGCTTCAAAACCATGGTGTTACCAGTTGCAACAGCCATTGGGAACATCCACAATGGAATCATAGCTCTGTTGGAAGTGCACACAACAACATGAGGTGTTTGTTCATTCATTTGAATGCATTAAAGATGACAACAAGTGAAATGCATTTTCGAAAACAGAGTATGATGCACATAAAATAGTACAAGGGAATCAGAACCGAAATATCATCATCAGCAAATAATGCAGGGTGAGAGGGGTCATCAAAAATGTCAATTTCAAATCGATCATCATTTAATGACGAATTATTTGGAAAGTAGCAATTTACGAATTGTTGGTGTTGATGATGTTGTTAGGAGAGATCGATACATGATCGAATCATCATGATGAGAAAATTCCACAATCATCAAAAATTATTTGACCGTTACGATCATCACAGTGTGTCAACCAATCATTAAAAATTTCATCATGTCAATGATTATTATTGCGTTAGAAACAACACTTCAATGTTGTAAATAATAAAACTTACGGAAAGTTGAATGGACAAATACCAGCAGTAACGCCCAATGGTTGTTTGTAGCTGTAAATATCAATATGTTTTGCAATATTCTCAGTGGTATCACCCATTTGGAGAACAGCCATATTGCAAGCATGCTCAACGACTTCAATACCACGGAAAACATCTCCTTCGGCATCTTTGAGTGTTTTACCTTGTTCTTGGGTAACCAACTTGGCAAGTTCTGGAGTTTGATCTTCTAACATTTGTCTGAGTTTATACAAGACACGGACACGTCTAGAAACGCTCCATTCTCTCCATTCCTTGAAAGCATCCTTTGAGTTTTGAACAGCCTCAGCCATCTCAGCATCAGTGGATTGCGGAACCATTGCGATCACTTCGTTGGTAGCAGGGTTATGAATTTCAATCCATTCATTGCTCTTGGAGATACGGCGTTCACCATTGATGATCATTGGAACCTTTTGGACAGATTGTGTGCTCAACTTGGTGGAGAAGGCTCTCTTTTGAGAGACGGAAGCGACCTTCTGGATGAGGAGCGGAGTATTGATCTTCTTGTACATGGTGTGAGACAACTCAGTTTGAAATTTTTTTTTGCGATTTTTTTTAAAAAAAATTGAACTGGACGTTACAATATTGTGCTTCTTTTGGAGCTGAGATGGCAGAGGATAAAGAAAGAAGTGGCGAAATCTAGAGAATTCCCTCCTGTCCCTTTACTATTAATACAATCACTCATTCACACGTTCATGAATTTCATTTTTCACAATCACGTTTTTTCTTTCTAAATTTTCACGTTTTCCGTTCGTTGAAATTGATCAAGATTTTCTTAGGGCAGTAAAAAGCACTTTAACAAAAATTGTCAACACCAAGTTTATATAAATAATTAAAACACCACGCTCACTCAAAATGCCATCCAATTTTTCAGAAAAACTTGAACGAACCATTGAACATTCTCATGAATTGGCCATGCATATTGAAGATATGCAAAATTCAGGTCAGTTCGATCCCGTTCAACTCACAGTTGACATTGGAACACTTGTAATTGATGTCGGTAAATTAAGTATTGGTGTGGTCAAAGGCTCTGCCAAACGCGTGAAAAAGTTAGGAAATAAATTGCGAAGGAAATAATGAATACACACTGTTACCGTGAAGCCTATTTAGATAATCTATTAAGAAAAATTACGTAATATTACAAAACGATCATGTATTTTTTGGAGCCTCAACTACATAATCAAACATGGACATCCAGTTTTCACATCTCTCTGTTGAATCAAGGTTCTCAGGTTCGACAAATTTTCCTTCGCAGTAATGGTCTTGTCATGATGTTCACCAAAGAATTCAGCAAAGATTTTTTCACAGGCAGCAAAGTTCAAAATGGCATCCTCATATTTCTGTAATTGAATTCTACAAGCTCCCAAATCATTCAAAATTTCTCCATACTCAATATTATTGTCATTTCCAGTCTTTTTAAGAATTAATTGTTCTACTTGAGCAAAATATTTCTCAGCACTACCAAAATCTTTTGGTTCTGTCTTGGTGTAGGCACTTGCAATGGCACGTGTCACTGTAATTTGCTTATCGATATCATCCTTGAAACTTTCTTGAAGAATTCCAAGAACTTTTTGATATTGCTCAATGGCTTCGGTATATTTTCCTTGACGATCCAAACAAACAGCCAATGATTGGTATGTGGTCATCACTCCAGAAGGTGGTTGCTTTTGTTTCAATTTCAACTCCACAACTTTTCTGTAGCATTCTTCAGCTCCAGAATAATTCTTCTTGTTCAACTTGGCATTTGCTGCCAAACTCAAAAAGTTTGGATACAGTGGATGATTTTCACCTCCCAAGTTTCTAGAAATGATTTCAATACCCTTGTCGAGTAATTCTTCAGATTCTTTGTACTCTTGCTTGTCGTAATGGAGATTGGCCATACTCAACAGAATTTTCACACTCTCAGAAGTAATTTCAGAATATTCAGTGCTTTCGGAATTGGCCTTCTTTTTCACTTCTTCCAAGACAGCCATGGCTTGTTGATAGTATTCGAGAGCTTTTGTGAAATCTTGTTTGTGTCGCGAGGCATCTCCCAAACTTGTCAATGTGCTTGCCATTTGTCGTCCCTTTTCATTAATATTTTCGTCTTTGAGAGTTTCGAGTGCTTCCTGGAATGTTTTCTCAGCGTCTTCATACGACTCTGAAAATTCCAATTTCAATTTGGCAATATTGGTCTTGATAGTGGCCACACGAGAATCGTTTTGTCCAAAGAGACCAATCAAAATGTTCAGTGCAGCTTCATAGTGAATCTTGGCTTCGTCAGGTCTTCTCAAATGTTTCAAACAAACGGCCAAATTGTTATGAGTCGAACTCACAGTAATGTCATTCTCTCCAAAGAACCGTTTACGAAGTGTGAGTGTTCTCTTGAAAATAGGCTCTGCTGCCTCATAGTTATTTTGCAACGTGAGTGCTACAGCGTAACCATCAAGCTTTTCACTCACTGAGAAGGATTCCTCTCCGAAAATTTTGGCATCAATTTCAATGGCATCCTTGTAATATTTGCAAACATCTTCATAGAATTGACTTGATTTGAAGTCACGTAACAATTGTGCATAGGAAGCGAAGGCGTCGCTAATGAATGGATGGTATCTGTGATAGATTCGTTGCATGATGGTGAGTCCTCTCTCGAAATATTTCTTGCCATTCTTAATGTCACCTCGTTGCATGTAAATTTTAGCTTGAGCAATGTAAGACTTTCCAATGAAAATATCCTTCACAATATATTCTTCGTCTTCAAATCCAGAAACAATTGCGAAAGGATCTGAAGAGGTCTTGTCGACCTTAATTTTCTGCCAGTCATGAGCATGTCTAGTTGCAATAGTGACCATCTTTTCAAAGTATTTCAATGCAATGTCATGTTGATTTTGTCTGAAAGCAATGTCACCTGTCAACAGAAGGATAGGCAATTGTTTCAATTCATCACTAGGAACATCACTCAAAATGCATGCATTTTCCAACAACTCGAGAGATTTCTTGGCTTTCAAGAAGGCATTCTTGTGATCCATCAAATCATAATAAATCAATGCAAAACCTTCATAAAAGTATGCCTTTCCAAATTCATCTTGTAATTTATCTACGGCAGCACTACTTTCCAAGAAGGTGTACAATCTTCCTCGATCAATGGCGAAAATAACATTTCTGAAAATGTAACGACCTGTGTTGAGAGCGTCCACATAATCACTATTTCCCAAACCTTTCAAAAATTCAACTACATATTTCATATTTTCAATGTCCATGTCGTAACGCTCTGGGCCAGGCATGTAGATAATTCCTGAGTATTCGTGTTGCATATTGTACAATCTCAACAAGTTAAAATAGTGTTGAACGTAACGCTCCTCAGATTCAGACATGGCCACTTTCACTTCATCTGAGTCTTTCAATTCCTCATCTTTGTAAATTTGGAACGTGTCTCTCACCAAGTCATGCATACTGAAACGACCAGTTTCATTTTGACAGACCATACCAACGAAAATTAGAAATTGCAAATATTTGAGTGTGTCGTGGAGTGGAACTTCCAAAACCAAACTTGCACTCACAGCATCAAAAGAAAAGGGGAAAATGGAGAGCTTGATAGCAAAATCTCGCAATGGCTTCTCCCACTTCTTCCAGATACCAATGAAAAATCCTTGACACAATTTTCGAAGTTGTGGGAAATTGGTTTTTGCATAACGATCCATGAAAGAACCCACTGCAATTGAATAATCAGCTAAATCTCCTCCGTACAACATTTGTGAACGAATAACAACCTTCATGAAAATTGGCAAGTTCTCAGCGAGAGCAGAGATGGATCTGGTCTGCTCATTCGCAAGTTTTGGATTCAAGTTTTGCATCATTTCGGCACCAAAGTCAAAACTCAAAGGTTCCAAATTACAGTAAATAACATCGAATTGACGTTGGAACATGGGAATTTTTTCATCGTCGTTTTTGATACCCATGTGAATGGCAAAGGTTTTCTTTTTGGAGCTACCGAAAATTTGAATCAATTCTTTTTCCATCTTTTTCTGTTGGGGAGTTTTTCTGAGGTGATACTTTTCAGAGTCGGTTTCTTCGTCCTTGTTTTTCTTCTTGTTGTCTTCGTCATCACTGCCATCGTCGTCATCATCAGTTTCAAAATCAGATTCGTGGTCTGAGAATTCGTCTAAATCGTGTTGATCTGCAGCAATGTATCCTTCCAACGATGTGTTAGTTTCAGGAATACGATCTCTGATTTGTTTCACACCACCATCAGTCACAAGGTCAATATAACCTTTGGAAAATCTGTCCAATTCTAATTTGAGCTGAGATCTGGAGCTAATGACAACAAAGGCACGACTCGATGGTGAATATTTGATGTTAGGAAGGAGAGCTAGAACTTGATGGATGTTGCTAGGATCTTCCAGATATAACACAGTGGTCACACCAATGAAAGATTGTTGATAGAGATCACGAAGTTGTTTTTCGTGAATTGGTAAAGGACCTACGTGCCAGGTTTGAATCACTTGTTGCATGGCCTCAGTGGTCTGTTCATATTATATAAGAATGGTGTCCATATAGTTCATGTTGCAATTTGATTTCATTCAAGAAAATAATCGAACATAATAAAAAATAAATTACATTATTGACAACATGTTCAGAGCAGAGGGTCAATAATATGTTAAAACCTCTTAAAAACACTTACAGTAAGAGAAAATTTGGTGTTGGCTCTCAATCTCACATGGAATTTTCTCTGAATGTTATCAGGAAATTCCTTACACAATTCTCTACAAATTTGAACACAGAAATTTGACTTTCCGACACCTGTCACACCCTGTACTAGAATGACCTTCAATCGTTGAGCAGCATTTCTTGCCAAACTATCTGCTGGATTCAAAGGAACCTTTCCCTTCTCTGTTTGTTGAGTTTGAACTTCTTTTTGTTGAGCAATTTGAGTGTGCAACACGTGAAAGAGTTTTTTCATGAGTTGAACTCTTCCTCCACTGTTTTCATTACCAATCAAGTGAAAAGTTCTTGGATCATTGGTGAGCTCGTCTGGATGAACGACACCATTCTTGGATTGATACATTCTCGAGTGAAGATCAAATTGGAAGACTTGATCCAAAGTAAGATTCTTCTTTTTCGAAACTTCAGTTTGTGCATTGGCATTGGCTGTATTCACAGCACGTTGAATGTTTAAAATTCTAATTTTCATAATTCCAACTTGTTCACGATCCTCTCTTTCAAACATGTAATCATTTTGAGCGTCTTCTTTTCTAGAAAATTGAGGATCCTTTTCTAAAACTTCGATTAAATATTCGGCAGCTTCCGAGACGGTTTTCACAACTTCTTTCACATCGGCATAGGACATGGTTGAAATGTATGGATTTTCACTGTCCGTTTTCAGCAAGTGTTCATAGAGAGAAACTTGTTGGTAGGCGCTCTGAATATACTCACACAAAGCAGTGGCATAGATTTTGTTTTGAGGAATATCAAGTGAGAATTGTGACAATTTATCAACAAGAGGAATCATTCCAGAGGAAAGCTCGAGGTGTTGTGATGAATCGTCGATCATGGTTGATGATGGATGAGGGAATGAAGTAAATTCTGGGGTGACGACTAGAACAAAGAGAGGAGATCCGAAAAATTTTGTTATTTGGGTGATGTATATTGCACACGGTGAGATTTAGAATTCAATCCTATCGGGTTGTTGTGAGGTCAAGAGGAATCGATCCACTTGGTTGTTGATGGGATGATAACTCTTGCTGTGAGAGTGCAAAGTGGGTGTTAATTTTTTTTTCTGTTGTTGTTGACATTTGATTTCTCATCATCAGGAAACAGCATGTACTCTTTACACGACTGATGAATTGAACCAATATTGATATCAAATAAATAATGCATCTTGAGGTTTTGCCTGTAATAATCATTACGAAAAATCATTTTCGAACAATTACAAATCATTGAAACAAGTTGTTCACTTCTCAGATTAATACCTCTGAAAAGACCTCTCTACTCGTGGAATGCCCGCTCCAAAATTCCTCAATCTCATGAAACATGACACTATGATTCCTTTTGATACATCCAAGAGATATCTGAAGCAATAACTCTTTAAAATGATTGGAGAAATATTCTTTCAGAATGGTGATGATGATGAATGACAAAATACTAGAGATGGCGCCATTGTTGTACAATTTTTTTTAAGTTCATCTTTGGGTGAGCATCAAGCGAACTCGATAGCACACACAAGAAAAAACAATTCACCTCCCTCTCGCCTTGTTTTGTCCTAAAGAATAATACAAGAGGAAGAAAAACTCGACTTCGTACAACAACCAACAACCACAACATTTTCGAGGTTTTATTGAGATTTTAGAGTTGAAATTTTCTTCTAAATTATTAATCATCAGCTATTGTATAATCATCAAGCCCTTATATAAGGATATAACCCAACGTATTAGTCTTTAGATTCAACATGAGCCAAGAATCATCAAGTGAGAATCATCAACACACCACAGCCACAATTGCTAGCTCTTCTTCCTCGGAACACCCAACAACCGATGCTACTCAACATCATAACGAGAATTCTTCAACAGGACAAAACCTGGCTCAACTAGACACCAATCCTTCAACAGTCGTTGAACAGGAATATTATGAGGAAGAGGAGAGTAATGAACCGGTTCTTGAGAGTTTACCAAACACCTTGGAGCTAACACCAGTCTTGATAGATAATGCTTCTTTCCGAGATACCATGAAACATACAGTGAAAGATACTGTTGAAACGCATCAACAGCCTTCAACCGTTGCAGATTTTTCTCAAAACCATGAAGTTCTGGCCGTGGCATCGACTGAAGAAAAAAATCATAAAGAAGAAGACCATGACTCTCATGCTTCTCATCATCAACACGATGAAGTACAACACCACTCAAACAAATCGTTTGAAGAGCAAGGAGATGAAGAAATTATGGAATCTAAGACCGAAGAGGAAAAGAAAATAATTGACATTTCCCTCCACAACAACGATAATTTAAATCTTCATGATGAAGGCATGACATTGCCTAAAGACACTGATGAGTTCTCACACAATCATTCCGAGAAGGAATGCGTCACTGCAAATCATGAAACAAATAACGATTCAATCCATCACCCTTCGACAGAAAATAATTCTTCCCACCACCCTGAGAGTGACATGGAGCATCATCAGAAAACACACGTTGTTGATTCTGTTCATCATGAACACAATCTTGACAGCCCACCTGCTCCTGAGAACGAGATCCGAAACGAGGAACATGTTCATGAAAATAAGGCAGTTCATGTTGAGGAAGGTCACATTGTTTCACAAGAAGACAATCATAACATAGTAAATCAAGATGCATGCCTTCACGAGGACAAATCCCCAAGAGATCACAATCACGATAGCAACCAAAAACACTCTGACGTGACACTTGAGGAAAATTCGCGTCATTTTGAACATTCTACACCAAGAGAAGAGGTACCTCATTCAGTTTCAGTTGAAGAACGTGAAAATTCCACCACTAGTCTTCATCACCCTCATCAGGAAACACCTAGAGATGACGGGCAACAACATCAAAACGCCAGCTCAGAAATCGAAGCACCTGTTGCTGAATCTAATCATACTTATGTGCAGGAACAAGAGACCTCTCCCTTAGAACCACAAGTAGAACAAGTTGAGCATGTGTCCGCTGATGTTCCTGAAACATCTCACCAAGAAGCATCAAGCACTGAGCAATCTGAAGCAAGCCATAACGATGTGAATGACACAATTCACGACCACGACATGCATCAAAGTGCTGCAGAAGTTCAGGAACATGCCTCGCCCGAGACAGCTGATTTGATTGAGCAAGTACCATTAGAGCAAAGTACTGAAAACAAAGCCAATGTTGAGTTAATCAGCGAAGCAAGCATCATTGAAAGCTCTCAGGAAGAAATGGTAGGCAAGGAGGAGAAATTGGGTGAGGAAGAGACCTCCATTCAAGTATCTCAAGTACTACCAGAACAAGAAGAAACTAAACATAAGGAAGATACGACAGCTGTCATAGAGGAGAATCATGCTGCTGAGTCACACATAGCTGAGCAGGAAATCAATGTTGCTAAACATGAGACAGCTTATACTGCAGATACTGAGGTTTCTGAGCATGTTCAAGAACATCATGCAGAAACTTCAGTAGAGAATGAACACGATCGTGAACATCAAGAAACAACCAATGAAAACCATACTGCAAGCTATGACGATGAACCTCGAGCTGTTGAAACGACTTGTACCATAGAAACACAGCAAGAAAATGTGCATCATGACCATGACAGTACACATCAACAACACAGCCATGTGGAATCTGAACAACATCATCATTCTCCTCGTAATGCGGGTGAGGAAGGCACAGCAACTAAGGGTGAAGACTCTCTCATGCAAGAACCTCACATAGCAACAATTGAGCACGTTGAACACCATGAAACAACGATTGAGCATGTTGAGCAACCTCACAAGCATGAACATCATCACCACGAAGATGATGTCATTATGCCTTCCCAAGACCTTGCTGTGGAGGAGCCTCAGACAGAGACAGTTCATCATCATGATGTGGCTTCTCAAGAGCTCACCATGGAAGAGCAACCACTCATGCATGAGACCTCACCAGTTACTCAGGAAGAAGTTTCACAGCCTGTTCATTCGTCATCAGAAGAAGTTGAGGAAATGGAACAGAAATCAGAATCAGTGACGGATCATCACCACCATCATGGCACTCATCTTGATGAAACAGTGATCAGTGCTGAAACTTCAGAACCTCATACCGAATTACTCCAACAAGATCACCACGAAAAGACTCAAGCTTTAGAAACTCAAGATATGGAGAATCACAAAGAACAAGCCATGGGGGCCCATGAAGAATCCCAAAGCAACATGACCAGCGAGTTGGAGGAGCAACACGCCTTAGAAGAAAAAATGCCAAGTTCTGAACATGTGGTGGAGCACGACGATCATCACACGGCAGCCTCACATTCGAATAGTAGCACAAGCCATGAGGAACAACAAGCTCCTCATGATACGAAACATCATCACGAGGATCACCTCAAACATGAGGTTATGCATGGGGAACATCATCATGATGATACTACGAAACATCATGAGGAGTCAGCTGCGGTCGCTCAATCCCATGAGAAGCCTAGCGAGAATATAGATGTACAACCACATACAACGGAAGTTGAATCCTCAACGCACCAAGGTAGTGAGGCTCACGATCATCATATTAAGGAGGAGAGCAATGAGCAGACTGTGCACCATCAAGAACAACATGACCACTCAAATAAGCACCATCACGAGGAAGAGCACTCTTCTGTACCTCATTCTCATCATGGACATCACATTGTAGAGAATATTGACCACATTGAATCAGATCACTCACATCAACACCACGAATCACAGCATGAAGAAAGCGGTATTGCTACGACCGCTGTTCATTCTGCGAGTGTTGAACATCATCATGTCGATACTGCACACAATCCAGAGCATCACACCGAGCAAGTTACCTCAACCACTTTGGAGCTTGACCACATTGAATCGCATCACGAGTCTCATCATGACAATCATCAACAAACTCAAAACGAGCAACCCCATAAGGATGCTCATTGTCATGAAGAACATCTCGAGCAAGAGCCTCAACAACATGAGCCACATGAAGACAGTACTTTATGTAAACTCTCCAGCGACATAGAGGGTCACGAGCATTCTCATGAGTCACATCATGCTCATTTACACCCAACTCACGAGAATGATCATCACCATGAGCATCATGAAAAGGAGCATTCTTCTAAGATCGTTCATGATCATGAAACCGCCTCAGAGGCTCAATCGTTACAATCCCATGAGCACCACCCTCAAGAAGAACATCAAGAGCATTCTGTGCCTTCTGGCCATCACATCGAGCATACTCATACTGACGAACATACAGATCACCATCACGAACATGCAACCATTGCTCATCACACTTCTGAGGTTAGTAACAATGAACATCACCATCATCATGAAGAAAGAAACAATATTTCTGAGGTAACTTCAAGCGTAAACCATCACGATGATAAAACCCATGAACAAGGTGAGACAACAACAGTCGACACCTCAACAGAAGAGACAATTTCTCACACTGCAATCTCTGAAACGGTAGTGGAAAAATCTTTAAATTCACACAATCATCACCATGAACACTCTCACCATGATCATGAAGAGACAGTGGAGACAAGTGAAGAATTAACAACTCCTCTCCATTCAAACGTTGAGCCACAACAAACAGAAGCATCTCCAGCAACCACTGAGGAAATAACTAATGCTGAGGTTGTTGTTGTTCATTCTCAATCAGAAGAGACTACCCCTGCGCAGCCAGTTGATACTAACGAGAAAGCAACCCATCATCAAGAGACGATTGATGTCAGCAATGAACCAGAGAAGAGCCATTCGGCTGGCCATGACGAACATTGCCACGTTGACCCCTCACAGCATGTGGTTGAAGAGAACAAGGATCACACAGAGGAAACTGCCGTCAAAATAGAGTCAACAGATAATCAAACTTTAGTTTCTGAAGAAGCGAGTACAGGTCATAAAAATGACGTAGAGAAACACGACCACAGCGAACCTGTAGTTGAAGAAAATGTCGAAAGCAAGGAACACCCTTCGAATTCTGAACATGAAGACCATCACCACGAAGTTCACCACCACTCAGAAGAACAGCAACATGCTACTCCCCAGGTTGAAGCTCATCATCATTATGACCATGAAGAGACTTCTCTGCATGCTCATCATGAATCCCATCTTGACGTCTCATCTGGTAGCCAAGATCGGGTAGAGCTGTCTGACCAGAAGCCACATGACACTGAAGAGGTATTGAATACTAGTAAGGAAATAGAACACAGTCACCATGAGAAGCTTCAAGAAACAGAAACCTCACACGACACAGAACAAATTCAAAACATTCAAGAAAAAGTTCATGAAGATCTCGTAACAAAAGAAGGGGGTAATGAAACTGGGGAAGTTATGAAAGATCTTGTTGACTCTGGCGATCACCACACTCACACGGATGCAAGCGAGAGTGTCTCTCACAGCGTCGAAGAATCAACATCACATAAGATTGAGCAAGAAAAAGTAGAACCTATAGATCCTGAAATTGTAAATGATGAGATCCAAGAATCACATGAACATCCGAACCATGAAGAACACACTCTCGAAGAGCCTTATGAATCGAAAATTGTTACTGAACAAGCTCCCGTTGAAGAAGAAGCTGCCTCGTTACCAACTGACGGTCAGTCCCAACAATATACGGCAGAAGAAAACACGCAACAATTCGAGGATGCATCTGCAGTACCTCTTCTAGACGAAGAGGAGCCCAAGCATGAAGTATTAGTTGAGAAACACAAAGACACGCTCGAGCTCAGTAATGAACAGCCAAGCGAAGACTTGTCCACTCATGATGCTGAACAAACTGAGGAAGAACGAGAGCCGGCCCAGAACGATAACATCCTAGACGGATTGGAAACTGAAGAAGCCATCCAGCATGTGGAAGCTGAAACATCTCAAGAGGAGAGTAAGGAAGAGTCCAATGACCAATTGTATTCAAGTGACCAAGACACGTTGGAATACAAGCAAGAAGAGGATGCAACATTTGACAGCAACAACGTCAATCAAGAAGAAACCAACGAAATGGAAAACTATCAATTAGAAAATGAATTTGAAAATCCATTGACAGAAGAAGATCAAACAGAAGCTCATACTAGTGCGATGGAATTGCAAGAGGACGAAACAGACGTTCTACCTTCAGATGACAATGTGGAAGTAGCAAATGACAGCCGTCTTGATGCAGAAGAAAATGTACCTGAGCATCACATTGAGCACGATTTGGTAGAAGAGCATAAACCAAATATCGAACATCATGAATCTCACCTTGTACATCATGAGCACGGCCATCATCATGAAAACCACTCCGAAGAGGAACAAGTTGAAACGAAAGACGAATTTGCTGACCTTAACGAAGAGTCGTTTGATGACAATGATTTCACTATTCAACCACATGAGACTTCGTTTACTTCAACAGATGGGTTTGAGACCAATAACGTTTCTTCTGAAGCTGTTCCTACTCTTGAGGAGAATGAGGCAGCCCCTCTTCAGGACTCAACCTTAGAGAGAGATGATCATACTCAAGAACATGAACCACACGTTGAGCACGAGCTGACTCAGCAGGGTCACTTTGAAACCAATAACATATCTTATGAAGCTGCTCCAGTTCAGGAGGAGAATGAGGTGCCTGCCTTCGAGGATCAAATTCGTGAACAAGAATTCACTACAGATGCCACCCAAGAGTTCGAAGAAGAATTTACTTCAGAAAAACAAGTATCAATAGATGAAGATGGAGTTGCTACGCAACCTGGAGAATCGGTCGCAACTACCAATGAAGCATCAATGGACGATCATGTACATAATTCTGAGACCACACATGAAAGCATTCCAATAGCTCATACGGAAAGTGAGCACGTGACTTCAACCCATCACGACAACACCGAGCATTTGACTCTGGACTCTGAGGTCACCAAACACCACGAAGAAGCTCTTCATCAAACCTCAGACTCACAGGCCAAAGAGGACGACTATTCTGAAGAGTTTGGTGAATTTGAGGAATCATCCAAAGAAGAGATTGTTGAAACAACTCACCATGAGCACGATGTGAACTGTATCGAAGAAAAACATGTTCGATTTGAAGAAAATCATGGAGTTGCCACTTCCACAATGCACGATTCTCAAGACAAAGAAGAAGTTAAACATGAGGAGCATGACCACACAATCTATCATCCTTATGAGGAACTTTCTCATGATCACAACAAGAGTATTTCTGAGCCTTTAACAGAAGAGTCACTGCCATTCACACCTTTTGAAGAAAACAATCATGCACACGAAACTTCCCAACACAAGGAAGAAAAAGAAGACACTACGGCAATTGAGGAAACATTCGATGAAGAGTTTGAAGACTTTGAGAGCCACTCTTCAAAGCCTGTTGTTGTGAATGATGCAGTCGTTGTGGATAGTCACAATGCGTCTCATCATGATAGTCACGCTTCCAACCAGACACACACATCATCCGAAGTTTCTAGTAATCACTCACAATCCCATACTACAAACATACAAGAGGAAAAACCAAGCACCTCTCATAGTGCTGTCGCTGACACTTCAGCAACGACTAAAGAGCAACCAGAGCCCATCAAAGAAAAAACACTTGAAGATGTATATATTGAGAATTGTAAGAAGAGAGATTTAAGACCAAATACAAGGCTTAGAAAACAGTTCGCAGATGGATCTATTGTGGTTGATGGAGAAGTTAATTTATTCAACAATTATCTTGGAGACAAAGGTTTAGAACCATTCTTAGAGACTCTGTTGCAATTGTCCTTCACAAAATTGAGCCTTCCAAAGCAAGGTCTAAGAAATGCAGGTGTGCAAAGCATGGTAGAAATTCTCAAGAAACATCCAACAATTGTTGAGGTAGATTTGAGTAGCAACCTGATTTCCATTGCTGGTGCTCTTGCCCTCATTGACTTTGCAAAAACAAACTCTTCCATACAGAAAATTAATGTTGAAGGAACCTACATTGATGACATGTTCAAGGAAAAGATGGAGAAATGTCTCTCTAAAAACAGGCCAATTGTAAATTGAATCCAATGTAAAGTATAATTTAATTCATACCAAAACTAGCTTGGATTTCGAGGAAAAGCGAATGTGAGAATTTTCTTATGTTTTCCTTTTTCTTAAACACATCACTGCAGTGAGTACGCTTGTTTTTCGCAGGTAAAATCTTCAACCTGATCGCTGAAGGTCCCAATCTATTTCTTCTTTTTTCCTGATCCAAGACTGGGAAATTCTTTATCCTTTTTACTACTCGAGGAAGAGTGAGAGGCGTTGCTTGTTGATGGTTTTGATTTGGCAGCCCAATCTCCCTGTAATCGAGCTGTAGCATTTTCTTGTGAAGATGTTGAAGCTTTAAGATTTTGCTGTTGTTGTCGTTTTGTCCAGTCATTCAACTTGACTGGCTTTCTTTTCTGTGACTTGTCATTCGCTAAAATAGCAGAAGCTGCAGAAGGAGAAGGAAAATGAATGTCATTTACAGGTGGAGGAGTCATGTCAGAAGTCAACTCTGGAAAATTACTAATGTGTAATTCTTGAAGTAACTTTTCTCTGGCAAGTCTCTCCTCTTCCTTTCTTGATTCTTCTCTTCTTTTCTCCTCTTCTTCCTCCTCAATCTGTTTACGTATTTTATCTTCTCTTCTGTTTTTACGATGCTTCAAATCTTTATAAAAGTTCGCAATGGTATCATGGGATGCGAAATTTTTCATATCAACCTCCACTAATGAAATGTAACAACCACAAGGTACGTGCTTTAAAATGGGATATCTCTTTCTAAACTCTTCATCAAGCTCCACAGTCTCAAGTTCAATAATTTCACAATCAGAAAGTCTGTGAGGGAATTTTGTGAAATCTCCGTCGTATTCATGAAGTAAAATTTTTGTACAGAGCGGATGAAGAAACATCATTTGATTATCTTCTGATTGATAATACCAATAATTATCAGGATCCAGTTCTGATTTTTTCTTGTTCTCATCAATTGTTGTGTGAGTAATAATACTCGAGGATGCTGCTTGTTTCGAAGCTTTTCGAGGGCTGTGGCTAGAGCCTTTTGGCCTGCCTTTAGGGACATTCTTTGTGATCCAGTCTTGGAAAGATTTTTGTCTTTGTAAAACTTGTTCTTTAGCTAATTTGATAAATTGTGTTTCATCGCCTGATTCTGCTTCTTTTAACGATGAGTCCAAGTCTGATAATTCCTTCTTAATAATGCTAGAAATGTCATACGTGACGTTAAATCTACAAAATTTTGAAGAATTATGGTCACCATACACTGGATATACTGTTGGTAGGGAGTGTGACTGAATGCCTCCGAGACATGTATCGAGATCATCGAGCAAGTCCGGTATAATAACCTTCTTGTCTCGTTTTAGCAACACAAAATTCATCTTATCATGCTCCTTATATTTTGGCTTGACATCTATTTGCACACTTCTCAATGCATCAATGTACACACTCTCATTACATAATGGACATTTTCTATAGGTTTTTTCTCCCATTGCTACATAACGCAAAATGCAAGCATAACAAAACACGTGGCCACACTTGGTAATTTTTGGTGCCTTCAACACCTCAAGACAAATTGGACACTGTTCTTGATTTGGATCATGAGTTTGCTTAATGACCAACTCAATGGTGTCCCAGTCTACCAACGTATCGGCATCAACTCTTCCTTGATTGTACTCATTGGCATAGAATTGATTTGTTGTGTCGTTTACATCTTTGGTAGGCTCTGCTAGAGGTCTCAACACAAAGTGAAAACTGTGTGAGCGTAAAAATATTGAATTTGAACAATAACATGAATAATTATCCAATGAAAAGTATTGATGAATAATAACGCAACACGTCATCACGAACAATAGATTCCATTATCATTTGATTGACAAATGAATATTAATATTTGTGTTGTCAATCAAGAGCATTATGCTAACATTACATACTTTGCTAAAACATATTCCTCTTTCGTTTTCGGTCTTGCATAATAATCATTGTAGTGATGGTGGTGATGATGTTTGTGGCGATGATGTCTATTATGTCCATTATTATGATTATTGGAAGCTGAATGATGAGATCCTGACGATGATGCTCTATTCCGATTCGTATTGTTTCCAACACTAACATTTCCAGCAGCAATACCGGTTGCACCAGTCAACTTGAAGGCATGTCCTCTATAATCATAAACATCATTGCTTCGGAAATATTCTTCTTCTTCATGCGGAGAGTCATTGGAAGAAGTTGGAGGAGAACCAGTCGATGAAGAAAAGGCACCACCGCTGCTACTACTGCCGTATCCTGACATGACTACGTGTTGTTGAAAAGCCTTGTTTCGTTTCTTCTTTTCATAGGAGGAGCTTGTAAACCCTCTTCTCGATTGATGATGGTGTGTTGAAGCGGATGAAGCCATGATCGGAATACCATTCGTGGCTTCCAATGTACTTTTTAATGGAGATGAGGAGTAGTGGTTGGTTGGATTTTCTCCATGCTGGTGATGATGGTTATTCTCGTGTAGTTGTTCATCTTCATCCTCCTCTTCATCATCATCGGATCTGCTTGTACTTAAAATAATCTCTTCCGATGGAATGTATTCACGAAAATTCTTACTACCACCATGGTTATCATGATTGTTGTATAATTCATCATGGAAAATAACTCGTTCTTCTCCTTCTTGAATCTTGCCTGAAGGAGTATAACCCTTACTATTTTTCCTTCTTCCTCCATGATGATTTTTAGAAGTAGTTGATGAGATTGAGGAACCAGTATACTGTTCCATCGAGCCAGCAGCAACCACACCAGAAGATGTGAATCTTCCTTGATGATGGGAGCGCTGAGGAGAAGACATTTTTTCAAGTTAAATTTGGGATTTGAATTTGAATTTGGAAATTGGCTGGCAATCAAGTCGAGCCCAAACCTTTAGCCATGAATAACTCTCTCCAGCCCTCCATGTCATACCATATCCTAGAATTCATTCAAAAATTTATTTTCAAATTCTCTTTCATTAAACTCAATTGATAACTTCTAATAATAAATATTAATAAATAATTTGTAAAAATCTTTCTTCAAGGTCGTCCTTGCACCAAGAAAATAGCGTTCAACAAAAACATTCACAAAAAAAAAATATTTTATCCTTCACACACTCATACACTCATGGCTCAACACACTGTGAACAACATGGACTTGTCCCAATATCCAAAAGTCGACCTTGCCTTCATTGGTGGCACTGGTCTCTCCAAAGTTGAAGGTCTTTCTCACATTCAAACCGTAGAACCATTCGAAACTCCTTTCGGAAAACCTTCCTCTCCTATTGTGATTGGTCATATTAACAATTTATGTGTTGCTTTTTTAGCTCGACATGGTCTCTCTCATTCCATTCAACCCACGGATGTTCCCTATCGTGCCAATATCTATGCTTTGAAAATGTTAGGTGCTTCCTATTTGGTTTCTTTCGGAGCTGTTGGTTCTCTTCAGGAAGAATTGGCTCCTAAACACTTTGTTGTGGTGGATCAATTCATTGACCGTACGAAATTCCGTCAATCTGAAAATACTTTCTATGATAGTGAAGGATTGGTGGCTCATGTTTCTTTTGGAGAACCAACATGTAAGGAATTGAGTCAATTAGTGTTACAAAGTTGTCAACAAATTTCGGAAATTCCTCGTGTTCACTCGAGTGGTACCTACGTGTGCATGGAAGGACCATGTTTCTCATCACGTGCTGAAAGTAAAATGTATCGAATGTGGGGTGGAAGTATCATTGGAATGACTTGTTTGCAAGAGGCTAAATTAGCTCGTGAAGCAGAAATGGCTTTTGCTTGTGTGGCCATGGTTACCGATTATGATGCTTGGAAAGATGATGCCGAACCAGTGACTGTTGAAGAAGTGGTCAAGATTTTACATGATAATGGAGATAATGGACGTCGAGTGATTCAACATGTGGCTGCGAATTTTAACAAGTTTGAATCATCGGCTCATTCTGCAATGAAGTATTCCTTGTTGAAGCCAGCAAGTAGTTTGAGTGATGATTTGAAGAAGAAGTATCATGCTATTTTGCACAAGTATTATTAAGTGTGTGTGGGTGTGTGAGTGCATATTATGTGCACATAAAACCATTCCTTTTGAAAAATACTTTCAATAATAATTTAATTTTATTAATTTATTTTTAATGATTCATTTTGTGGTACGTGGAAACTATTGATGTGAGAACGCATTCTTTTGAAACAAATCCATTGTCATCACCATTTCTCAATATTCCTCTCCATTCCATTCAATATCAAAGGTCATTGAGTTCAATAAACCAACACCATATCTGTAGGTCTTAATAATAGGATCGAGTATGAAATAGAATTGCACAAAAAATGGCAAACAATCGTTGGCTCTAAATAACACATCTCGATGAATTCCACATGCCAATAAATCTCTCAACCATACAAAACAAGATCTCATATCCTTACATCCAGTCCATAATGGCATGAACATTCCTCCAATAATTTGAAGTCTACTTCCTGGAAGTGGTTTGAGAATGGTTTGAACTTGTTCCAATATGGCCATGTGAGTACTACTCGTACTACTAGGATGTTGTTGTTTTGAATATGAAACATGCTGTGCTATATCCGTGCGAAGACATGACTTCTCAGATGGTGAAAATTCAACTGTGGAGTTTGGAAGAAAACATTGTGTGAAACTTCTTCTCAATAATTGCCCAGACACATGTGAAGTGTCACAATTAAACAAATGTGCTCCACTGGTTGCTCTTGGATTGCATTCAATTGGATAGATGATGATCAAGTCATTACTACTATGGTTCGTGGCCCAAACAGGTTTCCTATTCATCCCAATTGTGGTACTTGAGCTAGCCACTATCAAATCAAAAGAAATTTGTCCAGTATATTTTCGATGAACAACCAATTGAGAAATCCATTCTTGGATGGCTGTGTCAACTTGTATATTTTCCAATGGTTCAAAATATACAGAGCTGCCCACAGCTGTTCCATTGGGTGTATAAATTCCGCCCAAATAACAAGTATGTGCTCTCAAAATTCCTTTCGTAGCAACTCCAAACGAACAAATCATTTGTCCTTCAATGAATTCTTGTGCAACCCACCATGACGACTGACATTCCTTAATTTGGGAATGCAATAAATTCAATGCTTGGTCTTTGGAAGGTTTGACCATTGTGTCTGATGCGAATCGAGAATAACATGGTTTTAACACAATTTTTCCATTACATTCATTCCAAAATTGAGTCAATTTCTCTGCTGTACTTTTGTGACTCAAGAGAATGGTTTTTGGAGCTTTGAATTGAACTTGCCTCGTTCCTTGTTGCTTCTTTTCAGATAAATTATGGCTTCTATTTTCATCTACTCGATTTTCAACATTCTCCATTTCGCAACGGCCGTCACATAAATTTTCTACATTGTTTCTCACACTATTATTATTATTAAATTTTCCATTCAATTCTCTCTCAATATATTCAATAAATTCAAACTTGTTGTGAAGTTCCTTCAAGTTTTCAATGCTCTCACAAAACACATGACACTCTGGAGTTTCTTTTTCAATTCGATGCTTGGCTCTTCCCACCTGAAACACTTCTTCACACGTTGGAATGATCAACGTAATGGAATATTTTTTAATCATTTCCAACAATTCTGTTTCAAATGTTTCGTAATCCTTATTTGGAAAAACTGTAAAATAATGCACATGTTTGGCAAATTTCGAAAAATTGGAAATAAACATGGGCCGATAATAGGGTGTTTCTGCTAAATGTACTTGATGACCCTCTTCTGAGAACATTCTCAAATAATCGAGAGCCACGGGAGCACGTCCTCCGAGAATGAGAATATTTTGAATCGTTTTCCTGTTGGATGATGAATGGTCTAAATGATTCAGATCCGAACAGAACAGTTAGTTAAATAATATTATTTGCATTTTGATGAACAATTTAATTTTAAATGAAATTAATAAAATAAATAAAATTAATAAATAAATATTATGCGCGTATGGAAAGTATAATAGTTACCTTCGGAAAGATGATGATTCTTTATAGATTCGGCAGGCTGCCGGTCATGATCCAGTGCAGAAAAATATTCGGAAAGAAATGCCAATAGTTGATAACCAATCGTCAAGCATAACACACAGAGAGTGAATGTGAATTTTAACACATAGAGTGCGAATGAATGAAAAAACGACAATAACATTGTGTGCAAAAGATTTTTTGTTTTTTTTTTGTAAACCTGTACATTGTTCGTAACACTTGGCAGAATGATTGACAATCTTAAATTTCTTTTAAGATTTTGGAAAGTGAACTTGGAACAATTGGATGAGAGAAAATGTTCATCCAATTGTTCACACACAAAAATGTCTTCAGACTCTGCCATTGTCATTGATACGGGTTCGGGATGGTGCAAAGCAGGTTTCTCAGGTTACAATGCTCCCACACTTGTTTTCCCTTCCGATGTTCCAACGAAACAACATCATTCAAATATTCATCATGTTATTCATATCGGAAAGGAAGCTCTCCATCCAAACGTTTTAAATCTGAATGATGATGATCCTCCCATTCAAGATTTAGAATCCATATGGCATCATGTCTTTCATGAATTATTATTAAAATCGGAAACAAAATCCAAAGAAGAAGAACAAGTCCAACTCGACCTCATGAATCCCATCTTGTTATCGGAACCTCCTTTAAATCCCAAATCCAATCGAGAACAAACCACTCAACTCATGTTTGAAACCTTCTCATGTCCATCCCTCTACATGTCCATTTCTCATGTCTTGTCGTTATATGCCTCAGGCCGTACCACAGGAACAGTATTGGACTCGGGCCATGCACATTCTCAGGTCGTTTCCATCGATGAAAGTTATGCATTGCCTCATACGGGCATGACCTCTCCCATTGGTGGAAAACATTTGACGGAATACTTGGCTTCCAAAATCATGATGAATTCAAAATCTGAAAGAGTGTTTCCAAGTCGTTGTTGTTTTCATGAGGATGAGAAGAGAGAGGTCATTCAGAGGTTCCGAGAAATGAAAGAACAGATGTGTGTTGTTACAATGAACGTTCAGGATGATGATTCAACTACTTGTTGCTCTCCACTTGAAAATTCATTTGAATTACCAGATGGTACATTTGTGACTTTGGGTCAAGAACGATTTCAATGTCCAGAAGTGTTATTCGAACCGAGTGTGTTGGGTTTACAAGATTCGATGGCGATTCATGAACTTGTTTTTAACTCCATTTCAAAATGTGATTCAAATATGAGATCGACCATGTTTGGGAATATCATCTTGTCGGGTGGTAGTACCTTATTTCAAGGATTAGCGGAGAGATTGAAACATGAATTGATCGAGTTAGTTCCATCTTCCATGAATGTTGACGTTGTGGCACTTGCTGAAAGAAAATATTTGACTTGGATGGGTGGTTCTATCTTGGCTTCGTTACCATTATTTCAAGAATTGTGGATTACAAAGGAAGAATATAAAGAAGTAGGTTCAGGAATTGTACATCGAAAGTGTTTTTAAAAGTGGTGTCAATCAATTCAAACGCAAATTCTTCCAAGTAACTCCATAAAAAATGTTTATGCAATACGTGTTAAATTGCTTTCACTATTGCATGGATCTTGTCTATTACTACTACTTGGAAAAACCGAAAACTTTCAGTATTCTCGGATTCAATGCTCCGAAGGACACAGCCACTTCTTCTCACTGGTTCTATGATTTTGCACAATTTTCTGAACGATCCTTTTCAACCACAGCCAAGGCCAATACAAATCTCATGATAAGAATGGATTAATTGTCTCTTTGGACGCCTGCAGTTTATTGGAAGAAATGGAACATTGCGTACAATATGTGTTGAAACATGTGTTAATGACGAAGAAATCCATTCCCATATTATTTGTGGTGCATGGTGATTCGATTTCCATGAATTTGTATTCGAAGACAATGATTGAGATGGTGCATGAGAATGTGAACAAGTCAAATTATTCAGAATTTTCGTGTGTCGTGAAGGAACTAGAAACTCTGTATGAAGGATTGGAATGGTTGTATAATTTCAGTGTCACTCACTAGACTCTATTTAAGTGAATGGGTTTGTTCGAAAAATTATAATTGTAACGTTGTCAAGACACACGATCAATGTTTCAATAATATTAATTGTTCACGACCAGGAATTCCCATCAATACGAATGGACAGTCATCATAGTCATTTGGAGTTTCTGATAAATTGCTCACATTGCAATGAGGCAAATCTAAAATGGTCATCTCGGGCTCACCTCCCTTATACACATCCCAAATTCTCAAAACACTTCCCGAGTTGGTAATTCCACCACAAATCATGTATTGATAATTGTCAAAAAGAAACATTTTGTTGTCTCGTTCTTCCTTGATGGAATTTATGGCAAGGCGAGATTGTTCGAGTGAAGTTCCTAGTTCGTAATTGAGAAGACTCTGTGAAAGTTTTCTCTTGTCAAATAATTGAAATTGAGGTCTGTAATGATGTGAAGAATGTTGAATGGGTGATTCAATACTTTTTACAATAAATTGAAACTCATTCACACATTTCAAGTCACTGATAAATGATCCTTGAGAAAATTGAATTTCTCCAATAGTGGATGTTTGAAGTTGGCGATTTTGATTACTTGTTGTTCTCATTCGACAATCCATCAAGTTGACATTTCCATCTCTTCTTGCATATAATAATTCTCCTCTCTCTGTCACAAATGGATTCCAATACGTTAATAGCACATCGGAATAGCTGTAACTAGAAGTATATCCAATATGACATTGCTTGCTGTCACCGCTTGAAGCTCTATCCAAATCAATAATCACTCCTCCCTTGCTTAATCCTAATGCACACCATCGCTTATTTGGATGGACAGAATGCCAGAATAATGTCTTTTTTCGACAACTGTACAAGTGTTGATATGAAACATGGCATTTTTCACTCAAATGGGAGTCTTCGATCGAATTTCTGGGTGTTGGAATATCCTGTTCATAGAATACTGAAAATTTGGTGAGAACTCCAGCATTTTGTGCATGACCAGTGCATGACACTAGAAATTGAAATTCTTGTGCTGAATAATTGTTTCTATGAGTCGTGTGAAATGGAGAAATGTTTGTGATTGGAGACGAGAGACTGGATAACGACGTTGTCAAGAGCCTCTCTCCATGTCTTCCTTCCATTGCTGAAAGACACAAATCTCTTTGTGTGTCTGACGAGAATATACAAACTTCATCTTTAAAGGAGAGTGTCGAATGATTGTGTAGTTTGTTGAAATCCACTTTTTTCACCGTAAATAGGCACATGTTTGATGTGTATTCGCTTTCCAAACTTGTTAATCGTTTTTCATCAGCATTTAAGGAATGTGTAAATTCAGTGTGCAGCTGTGTGTGATCACCATCTTCTCTTCTTTTCTGTGTGAATTCACACAACGGTGAAAATTTTTCTCTAATTTCAAAATGTTTCATTCGATGATGTACATGCTTGTAATAATTTTTTGCATCTGCTGTTGGATGCATCAAGCGACTTTTAAATATCGTCATGGCCTTACTTGTGTGATATTTCTTTTGAGTTTTGCATTCTTCTATCATTAAAATGGAAGGCACATTAGAAAATTTCTTATTTACATTGTTGGCTATTGAGGAATGTATCTTGTTTTTTTGTGAGGTAAATGAATTAAAATGTTTCTTGTTGGAATGTGTTGCTGATAATGGCTGTTGCTGTGATGATCCAATTTCTTTCAACCTTGCATGTTCTTGCAAATTTTTCATCCTGTCTTTAGAATTTCCAATAAGAATGGAACGTTCCAAACCGTTCTTTGGAATTGGAAAATATCGATTAGCTGTTTCGTCAAAATAAAAACCAGGAATGTTCATGGTCGTACTAGAAGAAGATGATGCATATGAAGAAGCTGTTTTGTTTGTTGGAGGGGTTGACTGTGTTTGTGTTATTGGCTTGTTTTTTCGGTCATTTCTATTTACATGATGGGACGACGATGATGAAGATTGACCAAACACTCGTTCAATTCGATTCAATAAATTTTGTTCATAGTTTTTCTTTTTCGTGTTCCGATTATCATCGCGTTTTTGATTATTATTTTGATTTACATTCGGAGTGGTTGTTGCCATGCGGCTACTGCTCGAGGCTGAATCATTTCTTGCCGAATCATCCTGCTGTTGAAGTTTTCTCTTTTTTGGTTGTTGCTGTGATGGCAATGGATCATCATGATTCAAATCTTGTGTTTGTCTCTGCTCCTTCCGAGCCTTGTGATGATGATGATATTCAGAACGATGGTTTGCTTTTTCCTTTCTCGGCATTTTTTTGCAAGTTATGTTTAGGTTTTGTTTGAAGTTGTTATTCATCAAAATATTTATTGTTCATGTTTGTGTGGATTTATAAAATCATTTGTTAGATTTTCCAAAAAATCTTAGCTTGTTGTTCAGAGCAGGTGGAAAAACAACTTCCTTAATATTATTCCAAATGCCTCGATTGTATAAATTCAAGTTGAGCTTCTTATTTTGTTGAGCCATTTCACACATCTTTTCAAGTAATTTCATTTTCCATTCCTTTCGAACTTGTTTCTTTTTCTCTTCATTCTTTTTATGTTCTTCATCGTGATGTTCATTCTTCTTTTGATTGGCCGCCTCTTCTTCCTTATACAAGTCGTCGTACAATTTCTGAATATCAATATTGGACTTTTTCTTCTTAGTTTCAACATATTTTGTCACAATATCCCACAATTGTTCCAAATCCTTCTTTTTAAATGTTTCATTGGTTGTGGTATTGGTACACACCAAATAAAAGTGATATCCCCAAAATCCAAAAATCATTAAACCACACGCAGCAATAAATAGTAATTGAGCAACCACAACAATGTAACGAGAGAGCATGTACTGCAAAATGATCGCCAAACTGGCATTCACTCGTTCTCCCTTACTTGTCATGAAGGAAACATTCCATAAATTTTCCTCATCCACCACACTCCACAATGTCATGACATAGATATACACAGCGTACACCACGAGAAGGAAATTTGAAATTAAAAACAAGTGAAACCATCGATAATTCAATTCACCAACATCATTATTCAACCATCCACAATAATGATCAAATTTTGCAACACATTTTCCAGAAAGTGGACAATGCTTGGAACGAGCTGGTCTGATAATATCACAAGTGGTGCATTTTCGTTCGGAAATGTACATGACTTCATCGTAGGGAAAGGATTTTTCAAATTGTTTGACATTGTTCTTGTTGATAAATCCAGGATCGGAAAAGGAAGCTTTCAAAAAGGAAAAATAGGTCAATACGAGAGCAACGAGTCCAGTGTAGCGATGGTAAGATGGAACATATAAATTAGGAATGGCTTTGAAAACTGTGAAAAGATAGAGTACAACGTTGATGGAGAGAAGGGAAAGGTAAACGAGCTGTGTTAAGTTAAATATATAATGATATCATTATATTGTCATCATCATTGTCATAAAATTCGATAAAAAATTATCAACACAGAAGATGATGAACCCCATCGTTCCGATTCGAGAATGAATCATGATTTGCGAGACACAGGTTTCAAAGTATAGTCATTACATAAATCAGTGAGTATTAAATATATTTGTTGTCATCATAAAAATTATCAAATAAATTCATTGTCATGAAAACAGTTTCAAATCGGTTCGAATCGAAACAAGATGATAAAAACGCACCTGTAAGATTGGATTTCGAGAATGTAGGAAATACTTTTCAGCTCTTTTCAAAAAATCACTTCCGCAACAACAAGTACAAAGTCGCTTAGGTACGCTCACCAGGAATATGTAAAATTTACCAATGAGTCCATTCTTGTGGAAATCGGTCGGACCCATCAGTAGTGTATACAGAATGAGACCAGCCACAGAGGCATAGCCATACAGGAAGAATAGAAGGACAAACATTTTTTTGTTATCATCAATTTTATTGTTTTGGAAGCCATCATGGAATAAGGATAACGTTGGCCAGGCGCACATTAATCACAATTCACTCTACAAATGTAACTATTACCTTGGGTAATGCAACGTACCCATCGAGAGGCTGAACAAGGATACGGGAATTAGAATGTTCGGAGAGTTTTGACAATTCAAAAAGTGCATATGCAAATCATGTTTCACTTCAATACTTACGTTCATTGGCTTTCTTTGGACTTGCTATAAGTGATGGTGTCAAGACTTTGAGGTATTTCACTTCAAGTCCTGTACAGCTGTGCATGGGAATTTCAAACTTCATGCTTACAGGACCCATTTGAGGTGACAAGTCATACGTGATTGGATTATTGGTCACGATGGTAACCTTAATAACCTGCTCTAGAGCTCCAGGAAATTTCTTAATACCCCACAATACCACTTGTTCAGCCGAGTTGTACTCGTAACCGTTGTGTTGACCGCCTCCACATTCAACACTCACAGTGGCTGAATCTTTTGGAACTGGAATTCTCACAATAACATTGGTGGCAACTTTGGATGCTGGCAACTCATTTCTCAGTGTCACAAGAAGCTTCACTTTAAATTGAGATTCTCGAGAAAAGTATGGATTAATTCTGAAAGGAACGCTATACTCTTTGGTAGATCTGTACTCCATAATATTGAATTCTCCGTCGGGTGGATATAGTGACAACACTTTCGAAGTTTCCCACTCATTCAAATCGACGTATTGACTGAACGAGACATAATCCAACGTTACACTTCCATATATTCTGTTGGGCTCAGACGAAATGACAATATTTTCAGAGAGCCCGACTTTGATGAGCGGATCTCCTGGAATGAAGGATTTCATGGTGACGCATCCAATCACTTCAGAGAGGAGTATTTGACCAGATTCCGAAAAGGTTACATTAATCTTTTCCAACACATCAACAAAGACTTCACTCTTTTTAACAGTACCTCCTTGGATGGGTCTTCTTGCAGCTTGGCAGGTTGCCGTTCGGGGCTCTGAAAACTATTCGACGGGTAATTACAGGAATGAACAACCACAACCTCCTCATACCGACGCACAACAACTTACCGAAAATGCATTTCCCAAAGATGTCAGTAAGGACGACGAAGGCACTACAACTTCGACTGGCTCATTGGCAATGAATGATTTCATAACCTTAGTACTACAATCTTCAATGTAGCCATTATCAATAATTTCATCCAGAAGCTCGTAGACGAGAATGAAATTTTGTCGTACACTCTCCTCGTTCAACACACCACAAAAGTCTCGGATCAAATTCGCAATTCGGATCAAGCACTGAATGTATGTGGCTGGTGAAACATTGGATCGGGAAGTAAAAACGAAATACATGTTACTCTTCTTAATGGATATAAATTGAATTCCTTGTACTTCCTGAGAAAATGGGTTCGTAATGATGAGGATTCAGAAACGAAGAAACTTACAAAAACTGGGCTGCCATCACTTGTGAGTGATTTTATCTTTCTAAAGAATATTTCTTCCGAACCCTTAACAATATCATAACGATCTAAGGAAACATTGAATGGGGTTATTTATGTATTGTACATGCGGACGTCATACCAATCCACATAAATGATCAAATAAGAAAGACCATTGAAAAACACCTACAATCACGAGCAATGATTTTGTCTCCCCTCAAAGACAAGATAAAGAATTGAGAAATGGCCATATTTTTTTGCTATCATCATGCCTGTGCAACAGATCATCATCAAACCTTCATTCATGATTTGGTCAATTTATACAAGACAAGAGGTCGGATATACCCAATGTTGTGTTTTATTCGGATTGTTATGTACATTCAAAGAGCAGGTTAGCACGTTAGGGAGTTGTTAAAAGTACATGGTAGTATTACAAAGGTGGGAAAGCAACAAAACCATATGGATCGGGCTTTTATCGCGACTCAACTCTTTGAGTGGTTGTTTCAACATTAGTGTTGGATCCATTGGTACAGTCCGAGAGTTGGCCATTCTTCATCATCATGATCACGCTTTGACTTCGGGTCGAGAAACGAGGAGAGAGTCCTCCTTCCTGTAAACGCTTCTTCATCTTATTCATTAAAAATTGGGTGGGGTAATCAATTTCCTTATTGCGATCAGTCATGAAGGAAATTAAATCAGACATGACTACTGGAGTTTTATGTTGTTCCTTATTGTACGAGAACACATCATCGGAATGATTCTTACTATTGATCAATGTGGCTGGAGATGATTTACTTCTTGTTCTCGAAGTGTCTTGCAGTTGTGAGTACAAACTATTGCTTCTCACTTCGCGTCTTGCTTGGTGGCCGTTGCTACTATTATTACTATTGGCAGAAGTGGGTCTTTGATAGAGCGATGATGAGGCTGACATGGTGGTTGTAAAAATAGCAAATAACGTTTTTGAAAAGGTTTGTTTTTTTTCTTCTTTCAAATAGAAGGGAGAGAATGGGAGAGACAATTGGTTGGCAAGAGATAGAGAATAATACTGCTGCGAAGGTAAAATCGGAATGTATGCAGAGGGTTATAGGAGACGAGCGTCGATGGAACGAGAGAGAATGGATCAGTGATGACGAGAAGAAGGAACAATCTATTTGAAATTGCTATTATTAACTGTTGTTGTAAAATACAATCGATATGGGAGCTTGCTAATAAATGTTAGTTTGTTTTTTTTGATGTGGTTGGTTCTTTGCTGGAGAACTCCTTTTATCAATTTGAACAATAATGCAGATTCAGAAACTTGTAATATTTATCGAAAACTGCAACCTCCCACATTTCATGATTACGAATTTTCACTTGTCATGACTTTTTACGAAAATGATGAAATGTTCGTTGATGGTGTGATTTCATAGATGAATCTCCAAAATGGCCATCCATCACCTTTCTCTTTCAAAATTATTTTACCTTCGCCTAATCATGCTTGGTATCTCTTGTCGATGAGTTTCATAAGGATCTACTGCTCTTTGTGTGTCTCTGATTTGAGGTGACATGATTTATTTCAACAGCAAAGGCCCTTGAATAAAAAGAAATTATCAACACATAAAAGGATGATAAAAGAGATATTTTGGATGGGGTGAGAGTTTATTACAACAGTCAGCAAGTCTTCAACCTTTTTGTTCTGCCAAAGAGCGAGTTGTATTCCATGTAATGTCAATTGTCAACTTTTGTATGCAAGTCCATTATTAGCTTTCTGTTTACTTTTGAGCATGTGAAAATTAAATAAAGATACAATTTTCAATTGCAAGACTCAGAACCATTCAACTTTTGGGGTGATCATCTCTCGAAATAATCTTCTCATTGATTTCACTAACCAATTGTAGCCTCAAAATTGATTTACATGACTTCGAACGATCGAATGAGCGACTCATGAGTTAACGTTGGTAATTGTAAATCACACTCATGCTTTATTTCACAATCCTGATAAAATGAATGTTGAAACCAACGATCATTCCTGCAACCTTAATTCATGGTATTCCCTTAGAAACATTCAACAACCACTCAAAACTTGTATCCAATTTTTCTCAAGAATGATTTTCGTTCTCCTTGCTGTTCTTCATTCTCCACTCCTTTCGAAGCAAATCCGTCCACAACACCCAAAATTGCTCTTCCTTGATTCGTCTCTGCCAAAATCACTTGTGTTGGATTGGCAGTGGCACAATACACTCGACACACTTCTGGTACTTGTTTGATTGTATTCAAAATATTCACAGGAAATCCATTCTCAATGAAAATAATAAAAGTATGTCCTGCTGATAGATTGAGAGCATTCTTGATCGCGAGTTGAATTAATTTTTCATCGTTACCGGAATGTCGGATCAAACAAGGACCAGAGGCTTCGTTGAAAGCAATTCCGAATTTCATATTAGGATTGGTATTGATGATGGCTTCATGGAGATCTTCAACTGTTTTGATAAAGTGAGAATGTCCAAGAATGAAATTTGAATTTTCCTCCTTTTCAATGTTCACGAGTTTGAGATCCATCTGACTTGAATCCAACTTGATTGACCACGAAACGATTGAATTGTTTTTTTTTGATTTTCGATTTTAAGGTTCAAATTTGGAAATGAATGAAAAGGAAATGATCATGGTCACAATATTTCTATCATGAAGAGAAGCCACAGTTAAAATTCTTTCACATGATGACGAACACAAAACTAAATGATGACTTGACGGACGAGCTGTGATGTGATCACTCCATGTTCAGTCATACTCTCCAAAATTTAAGGTTTGGCCGGCAATTTTGTTACAGACCAAAAGATGTCAATTTCTTTAAACATTCACTTGTAGAAATATGCTTGACACCTTCATTGTCAAATCTATTATGTCCTAGATATAAAGAGGTCAAATTCTTCAAATATGCACTCGTAGCAAGATATTTGACACCTTCAGCCAATTAAATTGTATCCTAGATCCAAAAAAGTCAAGCTCTTCAAACACTCACTTGTAGAAATGTATTTAACACTTTCATCGTCAATTCCATTGAGGTACATATTCAAACAAGTCAAGTTCTTCAAACATTCACAATTAGCTAAACCTTTGATTGGCTCAGAAACTCGTTTGAACGAATTTGCTGCGAGTGATAGCGAGAGCGGAATTTGAAATGATACTTGTCTCCATTGTTTTGAAATTTTCATACAAACTCGAATGATAAACAATGATTCAAGAAATTGAAGAATTTCAAAAATAATATCATCCATGAATACTGTATTGATCTTGTTGTTGTAATTTGTCAGAAGAGAGGAATCATTTGTTACGGCAATGATATTATTATTTGATGATGAAATTGTTGATTCAGCAACACTTTCCACCGATGTTGAATCTCTTGAGAATTTTTTCTCTTTGCGCTGGTGCTTGCGAGCATTGGAAGCGTGAACGAGAAATATTTTTTAAAAACAAACACTATCAGGTTCTTGACTTGACAAGTGAAATATCGATAAAAAAAATGTTACGAAACTCTCCAGGCTCGGCCTCCAACTCGATCGACAATATTCCTCTCCCCGAATGGGATACTCCAATTGTTCTTCAATTCTTGACCAATCAAAAAGTAACAGACAAGAAAGTTCATCAAAGTATGTCATTATTTGAAAATTATTTTCCAAAATTAAAATTTTTCTGTAAATAGTATTTGAAACCAATCAGATCAACGGAATCATGCTTGCATCAATGACTCTTGATGATTTGAAGCGATTGGGTGTTCCCATTGGATTTGCCAATACGATCATCAAAAAAGTTGCTTCTTTAAAAGAGTATCAAGAAAAGTTCATTGACGCTGATGCTTTGGAAATGAGAGATTTAGCCAAAGATATCATTCCAAGCACGTCAGCCAAAGATATCATTCCAAACATGTCACAAGGTTCTGATGAATTACAAGGACTCTCGTGCTCCTATGATGCAAAAGATACTTCTTCTTCGACGGTATTTGTTGCGTGTCCCATGTGGAATGTCAACAAATTCAACGACACGCAAAAACAACAATTTGAATTCTGCATGCCAAAATTGGACTTTCTTCCAGAGACGAATAATCCAAATTTCAAACAAACCATTTGTCAGAATTTAATTTTCCCCAACAGATTCATGTATGAATACTTGAATCCCCAACGCATACCTGAATATAAACAACAAGTTCCAAATACTGGTAAAGAGTCGAGCTTGAAAGTAAGATTAGTGATCACAGAGCTGAGTGAAGCAACTACTCATCGAATTGTTAGAAAATTTGGAGCTATTGTTGGATTAACTGGTGATGTTTCCTATGGAATGGTAAGTGAAAACATGTGGAGTTCGTTTGATTTAATTTGACTTTCCCGTACGACGTTCGATTTGAATTCACAGTTTCACACAGCACTGATTGTTGGTCCTTGGTATTTGGAATGGGGTGACAAATCTCTTGCTATGGTTCGACAACGATCCTCTGCTAAGGCTGTGTTTGTTGCTACTATTGGCGAAATTAAGGGAACGGAAAGAGTGAGCCAAAAACTTGTAGCTCTTGCTCAAGTTTGTGCGGATTGGAATGCAACGAAAACGTATGACAAAACGAAATGTAATTGTCAACATTTCACTGAAGCTGCCATTGAAGCATTGAACATGTCAATTGAATTCAACCACAACATTGATGCCAAAACTAAAAAGTATTTGGAGAAAATGAAACAATTGGGATCTGGTGAGCGTGTTTACAAAGTTGACAAGGAATTGAAGAAAGTGTTGTTGGATTCAAATGTTATAACCACAGACAATGACACACTTCAATTAATTCAAAATATGAGAAAGAAAATTGAAAGTAATTCCAAATTTTATTTCAAAACTCACAAGGAATTGGATGAATTTGTGAAATTTGCCATAACTGTTCATCCTCTTTTCACATCTTCACAAGATTATGCTTTTTTGAAAGGATTTGATCGGGCTTTTTGGTTGAAATATCAAAGTGAGAAAAGTAGAAACGACATTCCATATCGCGAAACATGTAAACCATTAATGGAATCGGAAAGCATTTGTTTATGCCCATTCAACCCAACTCAGGACCATATGGACAATGTTAACATGACTGTTGTGGGACAAGATTTTGTGTTGGAAGCTCAATGTGGTTGGAAGCCTCCAAAACAATGATCCTGTCACGAACAAGCTTTTGCTAACGAGAGATTTGTGAACCAGGTAAATATTCGAACAAGTTTGAACTATCCCTTAATCGAAATTTTCAACAAAAAAATGCAAGCATACACTCATACTCTGTCCGATGAGGAGATTCAAAACAAAACCATGTATGTTAAGATGAAGCAATACAAAGATGCGATAAAGCAAGATATATTTTCCACTCTTATAAACAAGCCCATGAGAAATGAAATAATCATTGAGAAATTGAAAAAAGAAAATGATAGAATCCATGACCCTGAAGCAAAGGAGGACATTAAATATGGGATTAGAGTCTTGTTGTTACTTTCCGACTTTTCGGAGGAGACGGAATCTCTCGAATATGCAACACAAGCACACAACAAGTCTTCTATCATTTCCAGCTCCAAGTACAAACAAGCCTCAGCTTGCCGAATTCTCGTACACAAAGCTTTTGAAAATAATAGTAATGCTGAACTTGCGCAAGAAGCTTTGGAGATGCGATCAAACTCCAAAAATTTTCAATCCAGCTTAAAAGACTGCGCAAATGCTTTCTTTTTAATGTATCTAACAACTGCAAATTACTACGAAGAATCCTCGAATTACTGTATGAAAGCTTCTTTGTTTGATCAACAATTCGAATCTAGGTGGTGTTTAATTCAAGAACGGAAATTGGAAACATGTTCTTTGGAAGAAATGAAGTTATAATACGGAAAGGGGTCGTTTTTGGTGTTAGACCTTCTTATAGAATGATTAAGCATTTACATAAAGCATTACAAGAACGAAACAGGCCATACCTGTCAGAGATGGAGAAAATGCAAGTAAGAGAAGAATTACGACAGTGCCAATTACTCGTTCCACAAATGACGATCCCGCAAGAACCTTTTTATTTGGTGGAGGAGTTTATTCTGGAAGGTGTATGGAACGAAGAAAAATTCTTTGAAATTCGAAAGCACGTTTCTTGTATTACCCTTTTGAACAGACTTCTCTCAGCATTCAGGACTCTTGAAGATATCCAATGGTAGCTTATCAGATGAGAGTGTTGGAGCTGAATAGGCAGAGCGACAAGTATAACAGTATCAGTACGTGTTTACTGGCATAGGTTTGATATCATTCGGTTAGTTGCTGACAACAGAAAAGCTGACAAATGACTGTTTGATTTATTTCAATATTTCAAAAAAAATGTCACAAAACAACCATTACATTGACAACATTCCTCTCTCGGAGTGGGATACCTCTGTTGTTCTTCAATTCTTGACCAATCAAAAAATTACAGACAAAAAAGTTCATGAAAGTATGTTGCTCTCGTGGATGATCAAAAATTTTCAAATTAATTAATTCATGCGATGAACAAAATAGTATTGAAAACTCATGACATCAATGGAGCATTACTCGGTCCAATGACTCTCGATGACTTTAAACGTTTGGGTGTACCAGTGGGTTTTGCCAATTCCATTGTCAAAAAAGTTGCTGCTTTGACAGAATTTCAAGCTAAATATCTCGACACCAATTTTCATGAAATGGACGACTTGGTTATTGATATAATGAATGAATTAAATGAAGATTCAGAAGTTTGCCCATGCCCTGCATGGGATGAGAATCAATTCAGTGCCGAACAAAGGCAAGCTTTTGCATTTTGTATGCACAAGTTGGATTTCATTCCAGAATCTATAGACAAGAATTCAAAATCCAAGGCTACCATTTGTCAGAATTTAACATTCCCCAACAGATTCATGTATGAATATTTGAATCCACGACGTATAGAGAGCTACAAGATGGAAATAAGGCAATTAATGGTCCACGAGCCCAAGATGAAAGTGAGACTTGTCATCACCGTATTGAGTGAAACTGCTCAACTTAGACTCGTTAGAAAATTTGGAGCTAATATTGGCTTGTCTGGCGATACCGCTTGTGGAATGGTAAGTATAAATGGTAATTTGTGAATGCAACGTGTTGAAATTGAACATAATAGTTTCACACAGCATTGATTGTTGGTCCTTGGTATTTGGAGTGGGGTGACAAGTCTCTTGCCATTGTTCGAAAGCATTCTTCTTCTAGGGCTGTGTTTGTTGCTACTATTGGTGAAATCAAAGGTACCGAAAAAGTGAACCAACAACTTGTAGCTCTTGCCATGCTTTGTGCTGAATGGAATGGAACAAAAATGTATGACATAAAAGACTGTAATTGTCAACATTTCACTGAAGCTGCCATTGAAGCATTGAATATGACAAATGAATTTGAACACAACATTGATGCCAAAACTAAAAAGTATTTGGGGAAAATGAAACAACGTGGAGCTGGTGAGCGTAGTTATAAAGTTGACAAGGAATTGAAGAAAGTGTTGTTGGATTCAAATGTCATAACCACAGACAATGATACACTTCAATTAATCCAAAACATGAGAAAGAAAATTGAAAGTAATTCCACATTTTGTTTCAAAACTCACAAGGAATTGGATGAATTTGTGAAATTTGCGATAACTGTTCATCCTCTGTTCACTGCTTCGCCAGATTATGTTTTTTTGAGAGGGCTCGACAGAGGTTTTTGGCTGAAATATCAAAATACGACATACCAAACCGAAGACGACCGACCGTGCTTGTCCTCTTGCAAACCCTTAATGGATACCAAAGAAAGCCGTTGCTTGTGTCCTTTCAATCCAACTCAAGAACCTATGGACAACGTTAACATGACTGTTGTGGGACAAGATTACGTCTTTTGCAAGCTCAACATGATATTCTCGCCGACGGACTGCAACTTGGACTCGCAATGCGGCTGGCAACTTCCAACCTTTGAATCTCACAACTAAATTGTTATTGTTGATTTAAAGTTATTCAAAACTCAAGAAAATAATTAGTTGTTGTTTGTTTGAAAATGTTCAATATAAATGGAAATTAGTGCTTTCTGAATATCTCCATTGCATTGATCCAATATTTGTATCCATCGATTTTGATCAAAGAATCCCATCTCACGCAACATCTTAAATTGGGCACTATATTGTTGGTTTTTTTCATCCATTCCCATTAACAATGTTACAGAGCTCGTTTGTTGGTTAAGGTTGAACAATATTGATTCCAGTTCTTGAATTCTTTTTTTCATGGATTGAATAATTTCAGAATGAACTTCACTCACTCTGTAACTTTCTTCTGTCAGACCATTCGTGTAATCAATTTCATCTGGAATCATTGGGAAGTATTGTTTCGATAAATATCGAAAATTTTCACGTTCAGTCACCAATTTAAACATGTCTATGGGATGGTTTGCTGTGATTGTTCCCAAGAAATGACTATATTTCTGAACTAATTTTTGTTTTCCTAACTTGTTGGAATAATAAGGACACAACGATGTTTGTGAGCTTCCATTTACAGGATCTTCCTTAATTCCATTCCTGTCCAATACACACGTGTGTAAATAAAAATCCAACTCGTGTAACACAACAACCCACTTACCAAGGTGAGAAATATCTTGTGACAAAATCAATCTTATCCACCTCAACATCATTTCCAACAAGTTTCTTCAACTCCATTTTACTCTCTTCATCCATCTCATTCACTGGCATGTTCACTGCAAAGCCCTTGACATGAGTCTGAAAATCTTGGAGATCATCATCTCCCATTTGTATGGAAACTTCGAAAAATTTGTTTCAGTGTGATAGGAAATAGTTGGTAATGAAAATTGAAGTCAACATTTCTCAAAGGGGTATCTTGGTTTTGCATTGGCATCAAGTTGCCAGAGGGTGGATGAAAGTTGAGTCACACCGAAACACTTGGCTGTCGTGTTGGTGTTTGCCATTTTTTGTTCGTGTCCTAGTCTTGACAAATGACATATCCATTCTCACATGAAACGGTTTTTCGACGATTATTAATGTCTAACAGTTTGCATGTGGTATCACAATCCTTTGAATTTCACTAGATATTGAGCCACAAGTCCAACATAAAAATGAAAAGCAAGCAAATCGTCTCTACCCAAGAGTTGTTGCCGAATTCAACATCACCCCAACCAGAACTTGTACTTCACAATGCAACAACCCAACCACGAAACACAACAACCTCAAACGGAAGCTCCAAACGTGGACCTCGTGTTCGATTCTTGCCATCCTCTCGTATCTCGAGTCATGAAGTCTCACGTTCCATCGTTTCAAATAGTGCGAGTATCTTCAGAACAACGGATTATGATCCTCCATTCTCTTCGCCTTTGGAGCCTTCCGAAAGTGGTTTGTTTCCTGTTCCTTTCATGACTGGTAATAGCTTTTCAATGGGATCATTGGACAAGATGCTCTACATCTTTCAAGGACAATTAGAGCCTTGTCGTTATCAAATTAATTTCAAAAGAGTATTACAATCCTCCTTCTCGCTGAGTGAACCCGTTTCCATTCATGTAGAGGCTATGGATATGTCGTTTGATTTGAAAGCAGAAATTCAGAAAGAAGAGAATCATTGGTCGACCGAGTTTAATCTATTCCGAAATGACAATGAGAAAATTCAAAGGGTAAGCAAACAAGATGAGCTATCTCTCATTTTTTAAAATTAATCCTGATTTGGAAAATAATAATATATTGTGATGATCATTCGAATATGCATTGGGTTCAACATTTGGTTTAGATGGATTTGATCATGGTCAAAATTTGGGTTTCTAGATCCGTATTACATCATTCAGAACTATCCTTTGATTTGCTTTTATTCAAAAAGAAAGAAATTATTCAGTCCATTAAATTGGACATGTCCAATCCAACAAGCAAATCATTGAAAATTCCAAATGTTGGTGCTGGAATTTATGAAGTGTTCATTCGTAGTCAAAAATCTGAATCAAATGCATCGACACAAAACACTAAGTTGAATCGAAGTTGTGCCCAGCTTAATGTCAAAATCACTGCCTATGAGCACAATGAGATAAAAACCTTACATTCATTTGTGAAGACACCTGTGACGAGTGACACCTTGGAGTTCAATTGGAGAGATGAAGATCTTGTTGCTCCTTCAACAGCTCCTACTTGTATTCACAGAGAAGTTGCAAAAGGAGTGGCTTTCAAGAATGAAGACTGGTTATCTAGACGCTTTGTGGTGTATAGGAGAGCCAATAACTTGGTAAGCTCACACATTTCCATGACTCTCATGCCATCCAAGCAAGCAACCAATTTAGGAGCATATCAAGTCATTGTGTATCGTGTTAGTAGTGATACTCGTAAGTAGAATTTAATCCAAATTGAAAGAGTAATAGTATATATATTTGGAATTCCTATTGTACTTATGATTTTTGAATACAAAACCACAACATACACAATAGCCGTCATGGAAATTTCACAACATGAACTCTCTCGATTATGTAGCCATTTACTCACAAGAATTTTCTATGCATTTCACATAAAAAAGAATGCGAAAGAATTGAAGACCATCGTTCATTTGTGTGAAAAGTATGGACATGCCATTGAAATGTCTTCTCCACTGAGAAAAGTTCAAGCGATTGCCAACAGCAAACTTTCTCAAATGAACGATGAACAAGTCAGAAAGCGAGAGGCCGAGGAGCAAAAGAGTAAGGAAATTAGTCCATTGGAACAAGCCACTCTTCAAATTCTTCAAACCTTGGGCATGATTTTCAAAAACAAGCAACCCATCGTCGATCTTGAGGAGTTGTTTTCACAACAACAACCAATTATGGAAGAGCCTTATCAAAAAATTATCAGAGATGAATGTGACAATGAAGCAAAACAATGTGGTCCAATGTCGTATCTGTTAAAAACTCTCTATGAAACCATTCAAATGGTGAGAGAAGAACTCAAGAATGAACAACCAACCAATTCCTTGACTCAGTCACGAAAAGAACTTTTAACAAAGCAAGCAATTTGGAGAAAAATTGCAGGAACTTTTTCAAACACGGATGAAAAATTACTTTGGCAAGTTCAAATGGGTCCAGAAGATGAAGATTACTTTTTGTTAGATACTACTGACACGGAGATTAGTGAATTCACAGATGAAATTAGTGATATTGATGAAGACGAAGACGGCGACATTGACATGTATGATGACCAACATTGTGACCTCGCAGCAACCTCCAATGAGAGCAAACCCAAACTCATGAAGGAACCATCCAAAACTCTATCACGACCTCCCTCATCGAAAAGTTATTTGAGTTTTGCAAACCTAATGGCCTTTGCTGTTTTTACCAAGGACCAAATGGTTTGTAAACCTGGAGAACAGGAAGTTTTCAGCAAATTATCACCTGAACATTTCCAAGCCATTTATAATACTGCTCGATTGGTCATTCTTCATGGTTTGAAACATATTCAAAAGCGTACCATTTTGAGAAATAACCTCGAAATTTCATTTTCAAGAAAGTTGGCCGAAACTATTTCATATATTTTGAATTCTTCTCTAGCAGAGAAGTACATTCATCGAGATGAATTTTCGAAAGCGAGAAGAATGTTATATGCTCTGCAAGATGGCCATGAAGAAAAATACAATTCCTTAATGAATGATAACATGCTAACAAGCACTCAATCTGAAAGTGACCAAATGCACAACTGCAATGAAACTCAATCGGAATCCATCATCAGTACCACCGTATCAACCACGCAGTCACAGCCAACTCAATCTGAAATTCCATCCATTACCATTTGGTCTGAAGATCAAGACGATCACTCGCTACAAGAAGTTACCGTTTACTCAGCTCCGTATCAATTTTTTGGCATGACGAAGGTTTCTGTTCCAGAGATGAGCAACCCGTCAGAATTTGTGAACATCTTTGTCAACCAAGTAGAAGCACTCGATTCCTATATTAATTCACTCTCTGATAATACTACAGAAATGTGCGACGAAAACAATCATAGAAGTATGGTTTCTGCCTATATTCGAAAGTGTATTCTTCCAAGCTTTAGAGCTCTCTTTCTCGGACCAGAGGAAAATCCAGATGACATTTTCATCAGTGACACCTTTAATGTATTTCATTATTTTATTCATATTGTAAGAAGAGCATCTGTTCCACACAATGAAACCATTTCTGTAATGATCCAAACCGTCCTTCAGGTTCAACAAGATATCAGAATGGAAGATTTGTGGCTAGATGACAATGAACATTTAATGACAACAAGATTCAATGCTTTTTGGTGTCACGTCATCAATGCCAAAAAGTGTGTCGACGTTTTTGATGAAATTTGTAATCGCAACTATTATTCAACCTATTTCAAGAATACTCCAAAATTCATTCATGAACAAGTGAAACAAGCATTACGCAAATTATGCTCTCTTCCTCTTCAGTTAAAGATTGATCGATTCCAAAATGAATATAATCCATTCATCATTGTAGAGGAAGATGATTCTGTGACCGTTTCCAATGAATGATTCAATTGCTACAATAGTGCCCACCGTCCACTGTACGATCATACAATATCTCGTAACGATTCAAGTCACATCACCAAGCATTAATGAGCCTTCCATTTCCATCTCATTGCTTCATTAATTCAACAACCTTGAAATTGATCGATTCTTTATTTGTATACATTCCAAAAATACAGAAAACGTACTATTCATACAACCTAAAACAAATGATGCCAGTGATGCTCAGAGATCATCTCTCCATATTCGAAGAGCTTTTGTCCAACAGTAGAGTCATCTTTGTCATGATGACATGTGGATTTACATGCCACAATTAGTGTGACTCAGAGATGGTGTACAAATGGGATACCGTACAGAAAGATCATCTCTGTTATAGCTGATACAACATTTACAGGATATTCTCGTCAACCGGCTCTCCAAACCAACATCAAAAAAACATCATCATCTAGTAGTCATATCACTGTTGACACCAATACTTTCCAACCACCACTGTTGACACGAATATTTTCCAACCACCATGTCCAAAGTATTGCCTCATAACGAGCCATCATTGAGTGACAACAATGAACCAAACACTGTCCTAAAAGATACAGGCATTTTCGACTCTAACAATGAAGAGAATTCTCACTTGTTGAATGATGAACGCTCATCCAAATTCAGCTCTAAAAAGGGAGGATTGTTGTCATTTAAAGCATTTGTAGTGTGTTCCATTATCCTTCTCGTTGTATTGAGCTCGGTAGCTACCTATTTGTCTGTTTTCATTGGGTTGTACACTTCGATTGATACCATGACCTCAATGGTCGTGGCCAATGTGATGGACAAGATTGAACTCCATCTCAATATTGTTCTTGGAAGAATGAGTACCATGAGTAGAATTGCTGCCGAGCATTACAGTTATGGACTTGTCACTTTACCCTATTATAGAGAATACTTTTTCACCGCGTACAAATTGTACGGCATTTTCTTGGGTTATGGATTTCCTTATCCTTCTGAACGATATAATTACATTTGGATTGGAAAGGATTTTATGTACACAGCACAAGCTCCAGGAGCTCTTACTACTCGAGATTTAGTCAACAGTACCACAGGCCAAGTCATTAAATACAATGTGTCCACAGAGACAAGTCCCTTCAGCGTCCTCAAGAAGACAGATTATTTTACGTACTATGTGGAGGAAACTGCCAAGATTCCAGGCAATCCTGAAGGTGTTTTTGGCCAATTGTATTATCCAGTGAATGGATCTCTTTCATTTCAGTATGGATCAAAATTGTACGATCCAGTTCAGTTCAAGTTAGGGAAAAAAGTCATCAAAGGAGCGTGTCGATGTTCCATTCCACTCTTTCTATTGACCGATTTCCTCGAACCTCTCAAAGTATTTGAACGTGGTTATGTACTTCTCACTGAGGAAGGAAGTACGATGGCAGTGGCTGGATCGATCAATACCACGACGGCAGATCTCAAATCCACACTTTCCATTTTCAATATTACAGATCGAAATGCTGGTCAATTAATGAAAGACATTCAAAATGTCTATGGTTTTGATAAGATGCCCCCGAAATTGAAAATTACAAGTCTTGGTGTGAATTATATTGTCACTTCCAAACTCTACACCATGGAGAATGTCAAATGGAGAATTTTTGTGGTCGTCTATGAAGATGATGTGAGTTTAACAACCAATATTAGTATTGGTGTTTCCATTTCAGCTGTAGTAATCATTGTAGCATTGAGTATTTTGTACAGTATTGGATTGAGTCATATTGTCACGGGTCCAATTTCACATCTCAAACAACAATTTCAATTTATCAAAGTATTCGATTTGGATCAAGTTTGTTTCAAAAATTCTCTCTTCAAGGAAATGAACGAAATTTATTGCTCCCTCTTCCACACCACTCAATGGTTGAAAGAAATCAAATCCTTTGTTCCAGAGAATGTGTTCTTACAACTACAGAGCGATCAGAATGAGAATAATTCACACAAGCAAGAGACAACTGTCAATGAACCAAAGAATAAGAAAGGAACAACCGCACAACAACATGTCACAGCATCCTCTTCACACGATGATGGAATGTCTAACAATGAACTCTCCAGTCATCAATCGTCCTCTCGACACCATCAATCCATGGGCAGTAGAAGAAGTTTGGAAACTGGAAGTGGCCTGTCAGATGCCATGAATTTATTCAAGATGGGACTTACTTCCAAGCAGTGCACGGTGGTTTACATTTTGTTGCCAGAATATTTCTTAATGAATTCTCAATCTGAAATAACACATTCCTTCCCACGAATTCTCTCTTACATTGGAACCATTTCCAAATTAGTGAAAGGCGATTTGCAAATTATTGCAAACGATGAATTTCGTATTGTCATTGAACACAAGAATCAAGGAAAGAGTTCTGCTACCCTCGCACAAGAATGCGCTCTAAAAATCAAAACAGCTCTTGACACGTTAGAAAACATGATCAAAAAGAAAACACAATTATTCAGTATTGGAATTTCATCAGACAGTAAGGCCTATATTGGAAATTTAGGAACTAAAAATCAAAGATATTATTCCATTGTTTCCAATGCTTCGTTTGCAGCAAAGAATTTAGCTCTCATGGCTCACAAGGAAAATATCAAAATTTTAATTGATGAAGAAACACAAAGTCAAACTTCTCAACAATTTGTCACAAGGCCCATCAGTCGAATTTTGAATGAACAATATGTACAATCATGCTCTCCAAAGATTTTCACTGCTTACTACCTGATTCGTGACAGTGTTATAGAAAACGATGAATGGCTCTATGAACTTGAAAAAGCAAATGAAAATAAGAGTATTCAGGGAATGCATGAACATTTTAATGCCTTGTTCCAAAACAATCATGGAGAAAATCTTTCACAAGAACAATTTGTAGAACATGTTTCACGAGGAGTTGGAGATTTGAAGAAGTATGTTGCTTCTCACGAGAATGATGAATTGTCGATGAACATTCTTGAATTGTTTGAACATTTGCAAAAAGAAATTGATTATAAGAAGGACATCACAGCTCTTATTAACAAGGTTAAGGAGTATCATGTGAAAGTTCAAAGATCTTTAATTTACTCTTCGTCTGGTTTGATTCAATAAACAACTGTCCATCCAGAAAACCATAACCTCATTCATTTGAATTTTATCATGATTAGTCAATTACATTGTTATCTTTACCTGTTTCTTCTTCGAAAGCTTTTTAATCATCAGTGATCCAAGAAACATTTTCTGTGGTTTGAAAATGATCAATTCTTCGATTATACAGTTTTGAAGAATTGAAATTACCCCCTTAAAATCCATATCAATATCTAAGAGCTTGAGAGTGTTTACCTTGAAATTGAAACCGCGCTCAAAATGAATAGTTCCGTTATTACTGATGTTGTTATTGAGAGAAAGATACAACAAACGACGTTTGAACTTGGTGCGCATCAAATATTCAAATCCAATATAAGTGAAATTATTACGCTCTAGCATTAGTGTTTGAATGTTGTCCAAGTTATGATTTGATAAATATTTCAATCCTTCATCTCCAATTTCACAAGATGATAGATCAATGTATGTCAGACTTTTCATGTTGAAAGTATATTTACAGATCTCAGGTTGTGTTTTACAGCTACGAAGTTCCAGTCGTGTCAAGTGTTTTAAATTGTAAATGTGTTTTCCACAATCTATCGGTAATTGGCTTCCAAAAAGATTCAATGATGTCAAATAAGTGAATTGATCAGAAAGTAGTTGAGACAAAATGAGTGATGACTTGGAGTCAAGATTCACAATTGTGAGATTTTCAATGTCTTCATTTAGTATTTGCGGAATAACATCTGCATTGATGGTATTGTTATAATGAAATAACCTGAGAGAGGGTATTTTATGAGCATGTGAAAAATCAATCTTATATTTTGCAGGTACACCCCAGATTCTCAGTAAGGTTAATTGAAGTCCATGATTGAATATTTTATCAATCACTGAACTATATAGTTTTGCAGAAATTTCTAATGATCTCAAATGAGGAAATTTGACTGTATCAATATCAAAATTAATAGCTTCCACACTACCGCCTATCACAATAGTAAGGTTATTCAGTGATGATTCAATATGAGGATTGAATATGATAATGAAACCTCTCATAGGTATTACCTTTTGTTCAATGGAAAGATCTTCTAATTTTAATGGACCATTAACAATAAAATCAATGCAATCACAATCAATATTTGTGTATGATAAATGTAGTTTCTTCAAATTCTTCAATTCTACAAAATGTTCAACAATGTCAAGAGAGAGATTGATATCATTAATTGACAAAAATGAAAGCGTATCAGAAGGAAAAAGAGTAAAATTTGAATATGATAGAGTTAATGATGATAGTTTGGGAGAAGAAAATATTGTTTTAAATTGTGATAAAGTTAAATGACATTTAGAGAATTCAAAATGAGAAAACATTGATAAAACTTGTTGATTATCACTTTTGTGTTTGGTTTCCATTGGTATTTCCTTGAAATTCTTTCTAGAATATAAAATATTGGAGAATTTACTCTCGGAAGATGAAATGACAATTCTTCTCCATGATGAACAAACACCAGCAAATCTGATGATTTCATTTTGATTTAAAAATGGAATGATGATGAAAGCAATATCATCAAAAGAAGAATCGAGGAGATGTTTGTATTTTGTGTTGCTCTTCCTCCAAAGAGGAAAGCATGGGCGCATTGCCGTTATTTTTTCGTTCGGAAACGGAAATTAATGATGAATAATTGGTAATTAATTGTGAGACTTGGTTTCCAGTGTGAAAAAAAATCTAATTAGTTTATTGTTAGCACCACTGGTGCTGGTAAATCCGTGAGGATTGGGGTTTGTTTTTGAACTGGTTTTTTAAACCTTGAGTTTTCATAATACTTGGTGTGACATTTACCAACTGTTGGTAGGGTGAGAATTGTTTGGATTTCAGGCCAATTTTGGTGCGTGTTAGGTAAATTTTTAAGGTTGGGCATTTGAGTATCTCAAATCATTACTCCGTCATGATGAATAATGAAAACTTTCCTTCTTTCACAGTATCTTGATTCTTGATAATCGTTGAGGATACATTGTATTGATGTAATATCAAGGAATTTAGTGTAGAAAAAATTCCTAAAGCATTGAGTATTAGGGTAATAGTATATGAATTGTTTTAGAGTTCCGGGGCATTTGCAGTGAGCGCATTGTCTTTCCTTATGTTGTTTGATATGGTTGCTTGTTAAGTTTCTCCAGATTGACCACTTAGTATTTGTGTCAATTTTAGATTTGATGAATTTTAGATTGATAGATGACCAGTTCTTGGTAAGGTGTTGACTGGAATTATCTCTATCAAATTGGCTAAACATCACATCGTATCGTTTCTTTTGTATGGATTTTTTGATGTCGAAAATAAGGGTATTAGATGTGGCAAGGATGGTTTGGTTTGAAAAAAGCTTCTTAATGTCAAAATAGTTGTGCTCTTGAGCTCCTTTCTTAGCTAATTCGTCAGCTTTGATGTTTCCTTTGTTGACATGTCCTTTAATTTTGATTAGTTGAATATTTAGATTGGATTGTTGAATGACCTGTTGATATTCATGCTTGAAGCAGTTAAACATTCCGTTATAGGCTTTGTTTTTCAAAACGTGGATGGATATTTCACTATCTGTGTGAATTTTTGCCTTAGATTTAGGTGGAAGTATCTTTAGTGATGTGAGTATTGCTGATAATTCAGCAACGTTATATGAGTATTCGCTGTTAATTTTGTATGAGAAATCTTGGGTTTCTTGGGAATTGTTAACTTTGGCGGTAAAGCCGAAACCTGTTGAGTTGTTGAGATTTGATTTGTCAGTGTAAATAGTAAAATTCTTTCCTTTGAGTTTTGGAAAGATTTCGTTATTGTCAAATTGTTGAGGTCTGATCTTGTATTTCTTGATTGATCTGTTCATTTCTTTAAAAATCGAATTTTCGTATTTGATTCCTTCTGAATATACTTCTCTAAGAAGTTCATTATTATTGTTAATAAGATACAGGGCTGTTTTGATTCGAATTTCATCTGCAAAGATATCGAATCTTGGAATACCTAGTCCGCCATAGGTGATTGGGAGGTGAAAATAGTTTGTTGGACTAGCATTATGTATGAAAATTTTCTTTCTTATTGCTTTTCTTACTTCAATGTTATTCTATCAACGAGTGATTCAGGAATGTAATTTGTTCGTAAAAAGTGTGTAAATAAGCTAGTGCATTTGGCAAAAATTACTTTCTTAATGTTTGTTAATTCCATTCTTTTCAGTGGAATATATTTGAGTGAGAGTTGAAATTGGAGGATTCTTTTTTCAATATCTTCATTTAGAGTAGAGTCATCCCAAGGATAGTGTGTATGTACTCGAAGGTTTTTGAATCTTGGTATAATAGTACCGTCTATCATTGGCTTCATTTTGCTTTTAGTTGGGAGAGTGGTTGCCATGGATTTTGAAGGATTAATTTTTAGACTTAATTGGCCGAGCCATTTAGAGATATTATCAAGTCTTTCGTTATAATTGCAGTATCTATTTGAAACTAAATTAATGTCATCAGCAAAGCAAAGCAATCCAATATCGTTAATATTAAGTTTGGTTGGTTTGATTGAAATTTTCCATTGTTGTATGCATTTGTCAATGATGAGTTGAGTAATACAATCACACATAAGAGGGGCTAAAGGGCATCCTTGTGGTATTCCTCTTGTTTTTGTGAATGGTCTAGAGAGATGGTGATCAATTTCTAGCTGTAATATTTGACTCTTGTATGAGTTTAGTATAAAAGTTTTCAATTCATCTGGAAACTTACAATGAGTGAGAGCTTTTTCAATGATATGATCTTCAACGGAATCATAGGCACCTTCGATGTCTAAGTTTACCAAAAGGAATGACGATTTGTTCTTTTTGGCTAGAGATGAAAGTAATAATCCATGATTCATTGTGTTTCTGTGTGAAATAAATGCTTGTTGCCTTAAGTTGATGTGTTTGGAAGCCCATTGTCTTAATTCGTATGCAATTATATTGAAAAGTATTCTGTAATATATTGGGAGAATGGTTATGGGTCTAATATCATTTAGTTTTTGAATGTCTCTTTTGGGGAGTAATTTAACCCAACCAGATTTCCATTCTTCAGGGATATTACCTTGTTGTATGCAGTTTTCAAATTGGTCAGCAATAAGTTGTAGATGTTCGTCCTTGAGATTACGTATAATTTGGAAGGATATTGAGTCTAGACCGTGTGTGTTGGATTTCATTCTCGCTATCGCCTCTTTAATTGTTTTAAGGCTTATAACCATTTCTGATATGTCTTTCTGAAGTGCATCAAATGAATCATAGTGTGATTCGTTCAATGTTGTTGAGATTTGATTCATATCTTTCCTAGAGATGAAGTTTCTCCAACAATAGTCTGTTTCGAACTCAATGTCAATATAGAACGGTAGATGATCATTTTTGGATATTGGTGACAGAATAACTTCTCTGATTATTCTAATGTTGTTAGAAACGAAGATATGATCAGGTCGTGATTTTTGAACTGAGTTGATGACTTTTCTGACGTATGTGTAATTCTTTGGGATGACTAGTTCTTTGAGTTGGAAACACTCAATAAGTTCTTTCCATTCTTTTTCTCTCGAATTTTGTGGTTTCCTTGTGTTGATATTGAAATCTCCTAGCGCATTGTTGAATTCATTTTCACATTTTAGTAGAAGGTGAATAATAATGTTGATTATTTCATCATCATCTTCACCATCAGATGAAGCATAAACCGTAATGATGTTAATAGGTTTGTTTCTAGAGAAAAACCTTGTCCATTGAAGTTTTCCTTGTATTAGATTTTCGTTGGATATGAATCGTTTTCTTTTGTTGTTAAGAATATGGAAGAGAGCTGTTCCCTTTTGAGCTTTTCTAGCTCCAAATAGTGAATTAAAGAAGATACTTCCATTCCCTTTGTTATAGGGAGGGCCCTTTCAAACCTGCAGCCGCAGGAAACAGCCATTCAGCCAGGATAGTCCTCGCTGCCGAAATTATTTTCAGATGCAATCAACAGAATCCTTTGGCATCCGGTTGAAACAGGATTTTTGCGGCTGAGATAGGATTTCGATCAGGTGATCAGTTTATTTTGCTGACTAAAAAACCGTTCTCCACAATGACGGTTCTTAAAATATTGCGTAAAATCTTTAGAAACGTCCATCCAGGCAAAGGTTTTTGTTCTTCTTATTCCTTTTTGTCCACTGTTTGATTTGCTTAATTTGGCAGATGTAGACATGATTGTTTTCATCTAATTGGAGAACATAATCACCAATGCTTAAATATTCGGAATTGAGAGTCATTTGCTTCTGGTTTTTCAATTTGTTGTTTGTGATAGGTAATTCCTCCAATGGTGATATGTGCGTTGGATTGTTTGTTTTTGAAATTTTGTAGCAAGTTGTGTGGTTGATGTGTTCTGTTCCATTGCTGCTCCAATTTATCGAATTCCACAATGTCATTATTCGAATATTGTTTCAATTTGAATTCTTTTGTAAGTAAAACTTCAATACCAGGTATATTCAAATTAAACAATAGAGTATGAATGGTTGGATTCATATTCAGTATCTGAAAGCATGGCAAAAGTGCGACATGCTCTTAGCCACAATATTGTCAAGCCACTCCATAAAAATTCTCGATCATATATTCTTGCAGTTGAAAAGGCAAAAATACTCTGTTGTTGGGTGATGATTGAACTCTATACATTGTCAAACACAAACCGATCATTAATAACAACAATAATGGATAATGACAATTTATCTACCTTGAAGTCGAACTATAAATTGACTCATCATCATCTTCGATGTCAGTATTGTTATGATTTGTTTCTTTTCTTTGAGGAAGATGCGAACGATTCCACAAAGCTCTTTTGTTATGAACATTTGTTTGACATCATCTTCAAGCCAAAAACAACCACCAAAATCCACAAACATCCGGATTCTGGAGGATTCTGGATTTCCACAAAGTTTGGGAAGTCAGCAGGAGCTGGCAGCCGTCCTTTTCGGCTGTTTACAATCGAAACATTCCTGCCCTTCACTACGTTCAGAACAAATCATCTATAAAAAAGGCCAACTTTCAAGCATTGAACGTGATCAGAGACACAAACTAATCCAATACTTTCACCATTTAATATAAAATTTCACATGTTTGTCTTTGGCTATCTTAGTTATTACATCCTTATCAGATTGTGGGATGTTTTTTTTATAGCCCACAATACGAAGCCGTTCTATTGCTTTCATTTGAAGTGCCAACCTAATACTGTTGGCATTGAGATCAGAGCGTACTAAAGTGAGATCATTAATGCGAAGGTTTCCTTTTGAAAGAATTTTCATATCTGCATCAGTCACGTCGGTGAGTTCTAGTTTCAATGCATGTGGTAAATATGTTGAGGCAAAAATAGCCATGCCATCACTGGGTATTCTTTTGGTTAAAAAAAGATTCTTCAGATTTCTTAATTTCCCTTTTGCAAAATATTGTAGGTCAGATTTATCAATGATGAAACCAATTAAAGAAATATCTGTGAGACTTTCTATCATAAATATATATTTTGCTCCTTCAAAATTAGATTCCCAACGACCAATGTGAAGAGTTGTTAAATGTTTCAGTTTGGTAAGGTATTTGATACTCGATCCAATATCCTCTACGCGACGGCAACTTTAGCTGGCAAGTAATACATAAACCTACTTCTGTTCTCTCCTTATGTGATATCATTCTCTTCTATTGTTTGCTAAGATATCGTTTATGCATTTGTTGTGGACTTTTAATGTGATTGGATGGCAATAAAAGGAAAATGCCGCCAACACCCCTTTTTTACCGTTATCAAAAAAAAGTCAACATCATTAAGTAGAGGTATTATAATTCAACAACGGCACCCTATGACCGATAAACAACCTTCTGATGTCACCATAGACTTGATAAACCAGGTGATAGAAACAAACTCTGGTAGAGGGTTTGGTCCTGGACATTTTGAAGGCTTTCAAAACGATTCCGAACACAATTCTTTTGGGTGTCAAGGACATGGAAACCACTTGAACAGTCTTACACCTGTTCGTTGTGTTGAGCAATACTTGCCTGATCATTTGATAAAACATATTATTCACTTGTCCAATGATCCAACTATTCCTTGTACTACTGAAGATCCTGAACCCTCAGACCATATCAAAGCTTGGTACACCTCGCCACCAGCTGATAATGAGCACAATGATGATGATTCACATGATGACGAAGACACTATCATTCCATGTTCGAGTCAAGAATCTGAAGATGAACAGGATGACTCTTCCTCTACAACACACACAGCAAATATCACCGTGTCTGACCTATACCTATATTTGGCAACTGTTATTGCCATCATGCTTGCTCCTCAACCTGAGCTCACAGATTACTTCTCAACAAGTGTATTCTTTGGTAACGAATTCATAAAAAGTATTTGGAGTGGCAGAGATCATTTCCTTTCAGTTCATAGAAGTGTTCGTGTCAACCCCCACTATTTTACCAGAGTGTTCAATCAAATTTCTTTGATAATTTGGAAACCCTTCCCGAACGTCACAGTTGATGAAACATTGATACAATTCACGGGCAGATTTAAATTTAAACAACACATCAAAGGAAAACCTGAAGACACTGGTATTAAGTTTTATATGATGGCCGACGACTTGTGGTTCGTGATAAGATTGTGGCCTTACACAGGTCATCAACCACAAGTTCATATCTTAGTGATGGATTTTGTTTCCTTCTTACCTTCTCATGAGTACAATATTTGCACTGATTCCTACTTTGGCCACCACAAGACGGCCCTACTATTGAATTACCACAAATTCCGGTTTACGATGATTTGTCCCAAAAACAGATTAGAAGAAGAATGCAAAAACTTACTCTCAAGGTATACATTATCAAAAGGTGAATGGATTGGTGTCACTAATGGAGATTATGTCGCAATTCATTACAAAGACAAAAAACAAATTACTTTTCTTTCCAACATGGTTACTTTGAAGAAAAGCAAGAACAAGAAGAAAGGAGCTCCTAAAGTAAAAGAGCTCTATGAGAAGAAGCATGTGAACGTAGATGTGGCTGATAGATATGCACATATGTATCCCGGTTGCCATCGGGTCAACAAGTGGACTCAAGCAGCATGGATGGGAATTTTCCGAATTGTACTCGCAAATTCATGGATTTTCTATAAGAAAGCCAAAAACACTGATATTGATTACAAATCATTCCTGATGAGAGTGGCTGTCGGATTTGCCCAAAAAGCAGGTGCTGATCTTGATGATGAAGGAAAAAAACTATATGATGTTCATATGATTCAAAGAGTGCATGATCGTCATGGCCATCATTGCCATCATTGCAATAAGTATCCAACACACACAAAGTGCTCACAATGTGATGAGTGGGTATGTGAGCAATGTGTTAATTGTGGTTGCCAGAATCCAAAACGATCACACACAAAATAACACCAATAAATTCGTTTTTACATATTTTTTTTCATCCGTCGCGTAGAGGATATTACATCCTCTGATATCAAGTGTTATCAGATTTGAAAATTTATCACAAAACAATTCCAGTGAGGTTGTGTCAATATTTCCACTAAATACTTGGAATGACCTTAAATCATCTATCGTATCAAATATGTTCATGATATGACTACTGTTACAAAATAGTAGACCTAAATGTTGTGTATTGTTGGATGTAAGGTATCTCAAAACATTATCAGTGATTTGATTTTTAACATCTTTAGAAGGCCTGAAGAAACAGTCAAATGAGGATGTAGAGATGATTACTTCTTGGAGAGATGGAATTTTGTCAAGTAAGGAAAATTGAGATCCATTTTGTAACAGATTAGCAAATCTCTCAGTTATATGAAATTTTAGAGTATTAAATTGAATTCCACTATTAAGTATTCTCTTTAAGCTCATCATATCCAAGTCAATCTTTTTTAGTTCAAGGCTACGTAACCATGGAAATCTTGAAGGATCGAAATCGTTAACATTCACAATCTCAATATTCGAGCGCGAGCGAGGGATGCCTAGGATTTCTGTTTGCCTAAACACATGTTCTATAGAAAGTTCTTTCAAATTTGAAAGACATGTATTTGGTTGAAATAATTTGCTGATACCCTTACTTGTAAATCGACTGTTGCATATAAACAATGATTCTAACCTTTCTGATAATGGACTGGATAATATTATTTTGATCAATTTATCACCGTTACAATGGTTGTAGTCGAGTTTTAAGTGTTTTAGTGAAGGAAAGTCTTTTGAGATAGATTTTACATCATTCAACGATAGTTTCAGATGGTGTAGATTGAGCTCTGTCAATGAAGCATTGGAAATGAACGGAATAGATGGCACATCATACAGTGTTAATGTTGTTATTTTAGGTGATGTAAAAATGGAATGAAAGTGAAACTTTTTAACTACAGAACTCTCAATGTATACCTTGTCGAAAAACAAGAACACATCTCCGAATTTGTTTGGTAGTTTTGATGAATACGAGCCAAAACGTTCGAACATTCTTCGAAATGTAATACCATCAGGCCGTGATGACTTGACAATGCTTCTCCATGATGAACAAACACCAGCAAATTTAATAATATCCTCTTGATTTAAATATGAAATAATATGATAATTGATGATGTTTGTGTCAAAGATGGAGTGGTTGTGATTCTTTTCGGATACTTCAATATATTCTTTGGTGAGAAAGAAACAATGGAATAAATTCATTTTTTCTGTGGTTAGTTGCCCGCGATAGCTCGGTTGGCACAACATTTCAATCATTACATATTTCAACAAGAGGTGGGAGCACAACATGTAATCAAAATGAATCCAAAAAATTTTACTAATTTGCAGATACAACAACTCCTCCAACAACAAAACAATATGGCAGCCTTGGAATTGATTAAAACAACAAGACAAGCTCCATACAGAGTGAAGTAAAAACGGTATTTGGGAGAAATATATTATTTCAAAGAGTCAATGACACAGTTTTGTAGATTGATTTGTTTTGAACGTAGTGAATAGCAGGTATATCCCTTTGCTTTGCTTAGGGACTTGCTTTCATTCAATAGTTTAGGTCTAATTTCTCATCAACAAGGTCATCAACCTCAAGACATAACTTCAACTCTACTCAATAAAGTCAAACGACAAAATATGCAGAAAATCCCTCAAAGAGGAAAATATTGGCGCATTTCCGTTTAAACTGACAATGATAAGCGTTTGCGACATTTTGCTTTCCACAACCAAACCATTACTGAGAGACGAGTTCAACAATGGAACCTTACTGTTGAAAAAGAGAAAACCTCATTCCTTTGAATATTACCATGATTAGTCAATTACATTATTATCTTCACCTGTTTCTTCTTCGAAAGCTTTTTAATCATCAGTGATCCAAGAAGCATTTTACGTGGTTTCCTTATGCATAATTCTTCTATGACACAGTTTTGGAGAATTGAAATTACTCCCTTATAATCTATACCTGCATCACGAACATTGAGTCTTTTTACAGTAATATAATTACCATTGTCAAAATGAATGGTTCCGTTATTACTAATGTTGTCATTGAGAGAAAGATACAACAAACGACGTTTGAATTTGGTACGCACCAAATATTCAAATCCAATGTAAGTGAAATTATTAGAATCTAGCATTAGTGTTTGAATGTTGTCCAAGTTATGATTTGATAAATATTTCAATCCTTCATCTCCAATTTCACAAGATGATAGATCAATGTATGTCAGACTCTTCATGTGGAAAATATATTTACAGATCTCAGGTTGTATTTTACAGCTACTAAGGTCCAGTTGTGTCAAGTGTTGTAAATTGAATATATATTTTCCACAATCTGTCATCATTGGGCTGCCAAAAAGATTCAATGATGTCAAACTAGTGAATTGATCAGAAAGTAGTTGAAATAAACTCAATGATGATACAATATTGTATCAAGATAGGAAATTTTTACATATTCAATGTCTGTATTGAGTATTTGTTGAATAGTATCCACGTTGATGGTGTTGTTATAATGAAATAACCTGAGAGAGGGTATTTGATGAGCATGTGAAAAATCAAACTGATACCTTCCACCGATATTCCATATTCTCAGCAAGGTTAATTGAAGTCCATGATTGAATATTTTATCAATCACTGAACGATGAAGTATTGCACAAATCTCCAATGATCTTAAATGAGGAAATTTGATCGTGTCGATATTACAACCAAGAACTTCGCCATTACTTTGAGCTATCGAAATTTTAAGACTATTCAGTGATGATTCAACATGAGGATTGAATACAATACTGAAACCTCTCAGAGGTATTACGTTGTCTACAATGGAAAGACTTTCTAATTTTAATGGTCCATTAACAATAAAATCAATGCAATCACAATCAATATTTGTGAATGATAAATGTAGTTTCTTCAAATTCTTCAACTCCACAAAATGTTCAATAGTGTCAAGAGAGAGATTTATACGATGAATGGACAAAAATGAAAGTGTGTCAGAAGGAAAAAGAGTAAAATTTGTATATGATAGAGTCAATGATGATAGTTTGGGAGATGTGAATATTGTTTTGAATTGTGATAAAGTTAAATGACAATCAGAGAATTCAAAATGTGAAAACATTGATAAAACTTGTTGATTATCACTTTTGTGTTTGGTTTCCATTGGTATTTCCTTGTAGTGCTTTCTAGAATATAAAATATTGGAGAATTTACTCTCGGAAGATGAAATGACAATTCTTCTCCATGATGAACAAACACCAGCAAATCTGATGATTTCATTTTGATTTAAAAATGGAATGATGATGAAAGCAATATCATCAAAAGAAGAATCGAGGAGATGTTTGTATTTTGTGCTGCTCTTGCTCCAAAGAGGAAAGCATGGGCGCATTGCCGTTATTTTTCGTTGACACCAGTACCAATAATTGCAGAAAAAGTGAAAGATGATAATCTATCATGGCTCAACAGAAGAATATTGAACCTGAGAGTTGTACATGACAAATCCATACAGGCCTAACCATTAAAAGTACCTATGAATTCTCTTTGTGGCAAATAAATAACTGAGAAAAATTTAATGCAAAGACTTAATTTCTTTTGGCTAACTGGCTAACAACAAAACTGTGTGATTTCTTCTCCTTCTTTTTATAATTTCTTAATGTACGGGCCAACCCACATTTACAACAACAGGCTAAACCAAAAGCAAATAAGAACAGAGCCACACCAACCCAACAAAACACTACCATTGCTATGTAAAAACCTGAATAATTCTGCTGGTAGGGGTAAAAGACAGAATCTTTTTCGTATACATAATAAAATGTAGAAAAACCTATATGACCACCTAGTTGTGTGGAAATCGCTACCAAAGCTGCTGCTATCGAACCATATCTAATAAACTTGAAGAGCTTGGAACAATAAGAAAAAAATGCAACGAGTAAACTCTCCCGTCATCGGACCAACCTCCTGTACCATCACACTCCAAGACGCCATTGAAATCAGGGTGAGCTATCTCTCACAACATGAAAACTCTACCTTGACCATTGGTTGTTTGCAACTCAATGAATTTGGATTTTTAACCGATGGTATGCTTTTTAAATTTTGAAAAATTGTCATCATCAAATTGACATTTCCTAATTTCGAAAAATATTTTTGATGATCCACTTGTAATCTTGTGTGTTTGAAATTTGATTTGATTTGTAAATATCAAACAATATTAATGACACACACTCATGAACCCGAAAATAGTTCTTTTCGATGCAAGTTCTTCCTCCTCATTAAATCCATTATTTCAACTCTCCAATTATCACAACACGCTCCGAATTCCCTCTGCCCATCAACAGTGTGTTCAATCCGATCCGTATGGATTTGAATACACTCAGAGTATTTGTGTGAAACCAAATTTGGCGCATTTATTTTCAACTCCAAAGGAACCTCTCGATAATGGAATGAAACTTTTTCTGAAAGATTTTAAAAAGCAGCCCATGAAAGCAAATACATTTGTCGATGCATTGTATCCTTCCAAAGTTGATACAATGAGAAAATTACAACTTGGAAATAGTGAAGAGTTGATGAACCAAGTGGCAGATCCAATGAGATCCTATCGTGGAAGAACGAAATGTATTGTGATTTATTTCGAAGGTGAATTCGATAAGGTATTGTCTCCACGTTCGAATGTGACTATTGAATGTGGAACAGTTGTCTTGACAAGTGACAGCAAGGAATCCTTTACAAGTATTGGAAAACTTGTCATTCCTTCCAGTAGTTTCATCAATGTGAATCGTCTTGATTCCAGCAGTGGTGTGTTTTTGGGAGCCATTTTGAAAGTCGAAGGCAATCATCAAGATGTTGTATCAACACCAAGAGAAGCCATTTCTGGAAATTGTTCATTGGAATTAATTGGAACCAATTTGAGTGCTAACAGTACCTCCATCATGGACGCCTACAACAATGGATTGATTCATTCTAGCTTGAAAAAAGGTAAGCGAAGATCCAATAGAGTGTCAACAACAATTTCACACAACTCTTTTCATCATTTTCAGTATTTTCCAATGAGGAAGCAAAGGCGGTCATTGAAAAGCCCTACAAATACTTTGAACTTAAAAAGTTTAATTCCATCATTCTCTCGACTTCTCATTTCAATACTGAAGAACGTTTCACTTTTGAAATCAAACATGGAATTGTTGGAAAAAATTTCACAATTAATTCAAAAGCAATTTTATTGGACAATACAAACTATGTCGTTGGACAAGTTGGAGATTCTATTTCCAGCAATGATGATATTCCCTCAATTTCTGTACGCAGCGACTCTTTGACGGATTACACTTTTTCCATTGATTTGAATCAAGTTCCAGAACCAGTTGAAAAGATTTTATTCGTGTCTTATATTAAGGGAGGAGTTGACACAAACTTTGTTCGAGTGAATGACAGTGTGTTGAATGTCTACAATTCCCAAGACGAATTGGTGACATCTATTATGGCTACTCCTGGTGCTGAAACTACCTTAATTTTTGGAGTGTTACACAAATTACCATACAAGTCCAGCAAAACAAGATGGGAACTCTTCAACATGGATCAATACACGGATGAACATGGTTCTTTGGGTGCATATCGATATGCTGTACGTCATTTACCAATCGTATCTCCAATGAACGACAAACATGATGGTGAAAACACGTTTTCTGAACATAATCCAATCTTTAGAAACAAGGGTGGTATTCCATTCTCACCAACTCAACCACTTCAATTACGATTGAAATTAGGAAAGCGCTTACCTCCATTTTTGTCTGAAAACGAAACGACATGCAATGTGAGCATTTGTTACTTTGATCCATTGGGATATTATGTCCATCAAGAAAATGCCAAACTCATCAAAAACAAGTTCACTCCACAGTTTAAATTGAACATGAAAGAAGATATTGCAGATTGCGTTCACACTGCATTTATTAAGGTATCATTGAAGTTGCCACAAATCACTCTAAATGATGAACCCAGTCGATATGAGGATATTGATGTTGAAAATGAATCTCCAAAAAGAATTTTTTCACATCAACATGTTGCATCTATTTTGGATGAACAATTTAAATTGCTTTTATCTGTAGAGCACAATGTGAATGAATATGGATTTATCGTTCACGAATTTGAAAAGAATGAGCAAGAGGCCAAAATGACCACAGAAAACATGTCAAATGAAACAGTGATCAAGCCATTATTTGAAACCAATGTCGTATTGATCAAGTTAGAGAAAATTGACAATTCCTCCATTTGGAAGTTCACACCAATTCGTAACCTTGTTCCAAACGATTCTTTGACATGGGCTCAAATTGTTAAACAGAGATATCTTGCTGCATTGGTGAAAGCACGAGAACCAACAACCGTTCTGGCCCTCAACACAGCAAAAACTCTACCTTTAACGTCTGATGTGAACTTTAAAGGCAAATTTACTCATGTCTTGTGTATGGAGAGGTCTGAAAATGTCACGTACAAACCCAAGATCAACATTTTAACTCCTACATCATTTTTAGAGCTTAACGATAGAGGGAACAATGCATGTTCTTCAGTTCAAATTATTACAAATCCTGACAAGTTTTATTTATGTGGAGAAAATTCAATCTTTGAAGTGGCTTTTCAAGAATTTGATTTCACCGATGTTCTTGAAACTGTGTTAAATTTGGAATTAATGCATGATTTGAATGATCAAACCAGTCAATCTTTAATTTCCTTAAAACTATTTGACTTGAAAACAAGAACAGAAACATTTAAAATTGAAATCAATCCATCTTCATCGAATTGGAAAAACAACGGCGATGTATTATCTGTATTGGCTATTTTGAAGGACCTGTCAAGGAAGATGATTCAATTCAAACGTATCAGTGTCCTGAATGAAAAAAATTACAGTTTATTCATGAGCCCTAAAACCATCAAGGTCACTATTGAAAAAGCAGAAATTCTAATTTCCAATATCAAAGAGTAAGTATCATGTATTGCGCAATTCGTTTTTTATATTCATTCTTTAACGACACATAGACCCAAGGCGTATGTGGCATGCAAGTTTTCTGATGGAAAATCGTTGGGCGCTAAAAAGAATTGTTTATACTCTACACAAGGTATGTTCATTTGAAGACATGATATTATGATTCATGATTCACACATTTCAGTTTGTTCAAAATCGTATTCTCCAAGTTGGAACGAAACTTTTGAAATGTAAGTTGTGAAAAGAACATATTCTTGTGTGAATGATTTACAAAATATTATTGTGCCATGATGAAAATCATAGACCAATCATTGCAGGATTAAGAAACGACAAACGATCTTTGGTAGTGCATATTCTTTCAGCCAAAAAATTCAAATCTGATCTTTATTTGGGGTGTGTCACTTTGCCCATGCAAAAATTGGTCCCAGGCAGTTATGTCTATCCAATAGAAGTCAATCCACTCGAAAATCAAGTAGAAAATATTAAGGGAAATATGCACTTGAGCTTTGAATTCAAGTGGGATTGAATAAACATGTCACCTGTCAAGATGGTAAATCTCCAAACAAAAAAATGCTCTCTCCCAACAACACGCCAGCTCTTTCAACTCCACCTCTACTCAACAAGAAACCCATTAAAGATTGGAACACGGATGATGTTATCGAATTTTTTAAACATCATCAATTTTCCGAGCCATTGATTGAATGTTTGTATTTCAAAATTTCAAATTTCCAAATTTAGGTCATCATCAATTTTTAAAATTCAGGTCTGAAAAGTCATTCATGTATTGGAAATCAATTGATTGGAGATTGTGTTTTGAATGATCTGATGAATATTGGTTTGGATTCCAATGACGCAAAAAAGGCATGTGAATTGTTACAGGAATTTGAAAAGTCATTGAATACCTCCTTCGCTTTGGATCAAGCTGCCAGTTGTCAAGCAGTGGATGCCAGCTCTTTTAATGACACTTCTTTCCTCCCTGATGACCCAGAAAAGTTTGCTTGGTTGCAAAATTTGGTCGTTGATTATGAAAGTTATGAAAAGATCACATCTCTTTCTTATACAGAGTGGTCTCATGAAGATTTAGCGTTGTTTTTAAAAGCCAACAATTTTCCATTGGATATCATTTACAGTAAGTTGAACTTTTTCATTTTCAAATTTTATACTTTGTATTTGACAACAGACATTTACAATAGTGGATGTGACGGGACAGTTGAGCTCGAATTATTGCAAGATATTGTGAACAGTGACATTGCCAAGTCCGTTTATCATCGAATGACCCAAACTGTTCCTTCTCCAGTCATGAGTAGTGATATTGAATTGACAAGTATTAAGAATGATCTCATTGGAATATTTGGAAAGGATAGTAAACAAGGAAGTCGACCAAAAGTTGATGATTCAAAACTCTGGAAAGAGGAAGAAATGATTTCCAAGCATTCAGAACGTAAGTGTGAAATTTATTTTTAACAATTTCACAATCCACATGTTACTACAAAAGGAATTCGATTCATCAAACAAAAATTGACATGTTTGAAATTGAATGAAGAAGAATTGAAACAAGTGTCACAAAATTTAGTCTTTCCACAAAGATTCTTGCACAAGTTCTTAAATCCAAAAAGATTACCACTTTCACAACAATCCACTCAACCACCATCGGAACCATTTATGAAAGTGAAATTGGTGATTATGAAACAAAGTCATCCTTCCATCATTCGACAAATTCAAGCATTTCCTGATGAGCTTAAAAATAAGGTGACAAAGGAAATGGTAGGTTGTTTCGATTTGAATGTTCTTTGACATTTTGATTACTGAAATTGAATGTTAAATATTTGACATGGCGATTACTGACATTGAATAGTTACAATTGGCGATCATGGTAGGACCATGGTTTTTAGAATGGACCGATTTATCGATTGCCATGGTGCGTACAAAACCCTCTTGTACTCCTCTCGCAACGATTGAACTTGGAACTGTTCAAGGACTTGACAATATGAAAACTGCCATTCGAAAAGTTGCAACTCTTTGCACTTACTGGAATGCAAGCAAGAACTATAACCTTCATCGATATAACACTCATTCCTTTTGTTATTGCATTTTGAAAGAAATGAGAGTACCATTTGCTCTCCCCAATCATGCCTTTCTTTCCATGATGGAAAATAATGGTTTTTGTGAATTGAAATATATATGGAATGATTTGTCATTGACTCAACAATTACGTGAAAGCAATGAAATAAGCTGGGATTTGAAGAATGAGCTTTTTAAAGGGAATAGTGTCACATTTCACTCCAGAGAACTGTTGTGGGAGTTTGTGGCATCCATTCAAAAGATTCAACCCAATTATTTCAATGACAGCGAAAGAAAAATGGACTTGCAAATTTTAACAGGATTTGATCGATTATTCTGGGTGTCAGAATCCAAATCACCAATGGGTGAACAATTGAGAGAAGAACGTATTCGAAAAGAATATCACTCGCCATTGCTCAAGAATAATCAAGTACATGCAAAAAAGATTCATCGAAATGTGTTTAATGTGGATTTTAGAGTGGAGGAATTTAAGGTGGTCGATCAGCCCTATGAAACTATTCTAGTGGGTGATGAGATCAGAGAATATCAAAGTTTGAAAAGAAAATAAAAGTTATTTGACAAGTGACTGATTTTCATTGTGTGAATTTTTCAATATTCTCCTTAAACCACTTTTCAATTTCCTGTAAATTAATGGTTCCCGATTTATCCACATCTATGGTATCAAAAAAGTATAACAAATTCTCCTTACTTGGCACTCCAAGCTCAAATTGTGTAAACAAGTCAGTGAGAAATTGTTTAAACTCATTTCGATCAATCTGGCCATCCTCATTCAAATCATACTTGTTGAAAATTCGTTGTAAAATAGCTAATTGTTTTTTTGCATCTTTTTCAGTGAGATATTCATCGAGTAATGTTTTTGATGATAATTTCTTTTTGGAAGGTGCTGCTGCACTCTTTTTGGAATCTGAAAGTACTGAAACAGCTTCACGAAACCATTTTTCAAATTCAATAAAATCAATCGCTCCGTTTTGATCGGTATCAATACCTTTGATGAATTGTTTGACATCATTGGAAGTAATTTGTGCAGGATCCATTCCGAGTTCTATTCATGATCATGAGGAACAATAATCATTGAATTTTATAAAATTAATTTGGAAACAATAAATCCTACCTTTTAAAAAATCCATAAATAGAGGAATAACCTCCTTTCGATCAATTTGATTATTTCCATCCAAATCATAGGTTTTGAACAAGCGATACAACACGAGTAATTGTTGTTCTTGATCCGTTGCTGATAAATATTGCTTGACCAGTGAATTCATTTTTTGTGAAATTGATGTCTGTCACTCAGTGACAAGAGAAGATCTAACCAAATTGTTACACCCTTTCACAATGTACTTCAAAATATTTAAAAATTTAATATTGAAATATTGCTGTAATACTATTTAAATTTATTTATTTTCTCAAACAAAAAATGCAACAACCCTCTCTTTCACAAAGTCCTTTTCATGCTCACTCCAATACATCCACTTCCAAAACCAATATTGCCATCATTGGAGTGTGTGAGCATCGAATTCATTGCATTATCGGAGTGAATCCCAATGAGAGAATACAATCTCAGGATATTCTTGTAGATATTGAAGTAGAATTTGATATTACTCAAGCAGCTCTCTCCGATTCTGTAAATGATACTCTGAGTTATGTGGATTTGAGAGATTTATCAACGGAATTAGCGACGACAAGACAATATCAATTATTGGAAACGTTTTGTGTAGAATTTGTAAATCGGGTGGAGAAGGATTTTGGTCCGAAGGGAGCTCTCAGTTGTTTCATTCAAATTAAAAAACCACAAGTGATGAGCACGACCAAATATCCCTATGTGTCATTAAGAAGAAGCTTTAAATGAGTGTTGCCTTAACAAGTGATCTATGACCATTCAATTCTTTCAATTATTGGAACTCATTTGATCATGTGCAAAGCAATTTCAGTATTATTGAGTATTCATCGTTGCAACAATCGTCATAATTCTCTATTAAATTTTTAGTTTAATTTTTTTCACATTCCACAAGGAACGCAACTTTATTCGTTTGGTGTAAAGTATATTTTGTGAGCTTGTGTTATATATATGGTACAATTCATGATGATGAGGTGTGTGAAAAAGAAATTTGAATAAAACATTGCTATGAATGGAGGAAAACATTAGAACTTCCTAGAGGATCATGGATGATCAATGAATGGAACAAAATGTTTGCAAGAATTGGAAAGGTTTTTTGATGGAAAACGCTTGGATGAATCATGAATCGATCTCGTTCAAGAAACTCAAATCATTGATGATGTTTCAATTGAATTCCATTCTTAATGAGAGGTAAATAGACCAACGAAAGAATGAACAACATGGAAACACAACTCATGATGAGAATGGCATTCAATACGAATTTCAACCAACTAAACGAGGATGACGACGACGAGGAGTGTTTTTGAATCTTTTTCTGTTGTTGTTGTTGTTTTTGGCTGTTGTTGTTATTATTCACATCAATTCCACTTTCAGAATTCTTATTTCCAAAATACAATAACAAAATCCAACACATGGCTGTGATGGAATGAACACACAAACTTATCATGTAGAATTGTTTCATTTCCATCAATGCTCTCCATTGGAAAAACTTGACATGATTCAATCCGACGCTCTTCAAAAACATGTGAATAAAGAAGAGAATGGAATGTTCGGGAGAGGCGAGTTCTCGTGTGATGAGTGGGTCTGTTTCATGTTTGCTGTTTGGATCCATTCGGATGAGAATGAATGATAAAAGAACACCACTGCTGGCGAATAAAAGGAGCATCAGGTCAAAACGTTGTTGCATTTTTTTTAACAGAGCTTGTCATGAAACGTCAACTGTCAGAAGGAAACTTTTTTACAGTACTATTCAGAAGCTACATTGTGAGCATTGAGGCAACGAACAGAGATTCATACCAATGGTGAATAAACCTTTTGTTTAATGCGTCTCTTTAGAGAGAAATTGAACTTGTTCAAAAAGCAAACGCACAAGCTGAATGCACGTTTGTTGTTCCACTCGTAACATTTGAAGTTGATACTTGAGACTATCAATTTCTGTCCTTAGAGATTGTATTTGTTTGTTCTTTTGGTGTGAAGACACTTTTCGAAACCAATTTTGAATGATTGTTGCAGCTTGATGTTGTTTTCTCGTTGGGTTCTTGTATCGTCTCATTAATTCCTTTTTCAATTTCTTATCCTGCTCTTCTTTCTTTTGTTGAGTGTACTTTTCTTTGACTATGGTTTCAATGGCCTTGTTAATTTCTTTTTGTTTGTTTTTAAACATGACAAGATGTTCCATTTCTTGATAGAGTTGATCAATATCTTGAGAGAGTGCTATAGTATCGTCGGAAATTACAGGTTGGGAGTGATGATGTGTGAGCATAGTGGGAACATGTTGAAAACTGTTAGATGAGTGATGTATATTTTCAGGAAGGGATTGAGGTGTTAATGAAGAAGTACCTGTTTGAGCATACGAATGAGATGGTACGGAGGAAGCATGATGTTGAGCAGAGGACGATGAAAGAAAATGTGGATGATTACTTCCGTTATTAAGAGACATTAAATTCGGATTTGAAAGTTGAGAACTCAAATAATTATACAATTCGATCATTTGTGGATACGACATGGGAGGAATATTTTGAAGAGGAGGATGTGTTTGCTGTGTCGTTGGAATGGTCTGCTGTGGAAGTCCTTGATGATGATGATGATGTGAGGGTTGTCCCGAGTGCATCATTTTTATTTGAGGTTTTGAGGTTTTTAAAAAAAAATTGGCGGTTAAAAAATTGAATTAAAGATTTTAAAAAAATATTTATTTGGTGTTTGCTCATCCTCGCATGCAGCCGTTGAATGGGATCATCATTTTCAGAAATTTTTCACTTGTCTCGGAATCGGAGTCGATTTTTGTGGATCGTGGCAATTATTTGTTTTATTATTTTATTTATTTCATTTGCATTGTATCAACATTCATTACTTTCTGCTATTCGAAAAAGATCATCACCCCTCACAACGTTGAGTCAATTAAATATTGCAAGAAAATACAAGATGGAACAAGAAGAAAATATTATTGGAAATGATGATCGGAGCCATGACAACAACGTTCAACATACGACAACGAACGATGCAACCACGAGTTCAAAATCCAATCCTAACACTGTAGCAGATATTGCAACAAAATCAAACACAGAATTATCACATCCATTCCATCCATACGCTCACATCTTCTACTATGCATGGTATCGAAATGAAAAATTTGATGGAAAATATGAACATTGGAATCATAAAGTGTTGCCACACTGGACCAAACACACAAATGACCAATATAGTCATTTAATTGGAAAACCTCATGATCCAAACAAATTGGAATTGGCAACCAATTTCTTTCCTTCAAGAGGTGCCTACTCGAGTACAGATCGAGAAACTGTGTTAGAACAATTCAAAGAAATTCGTAAAGCAAACGTTCATGTGATTGTATTGAGTTGGTGGGGCGTTTTTGAGGCTGATGAAAATGGTTCTAATACTGAATTAATTACTCCTTTTATCATGAAATGCGCAGAAGAGGTGGGCTTGCAAGTGATTTTTCACATGGAACCTTATCCTAAAAGAAGTGCCGAAAGTATCAAGAGAGATGTCATGTATGTCATTGACACGTATGGAAAATCGCCAGCGTTTTTCAGATTCAATGGAAAACCCCTTTTTTATTTTTACGATTCTTATATACTTTCTTCTGTGGAATGGAGAAAAATTTTATCACCAGATTCGTCACAAACACTCAGAAATACGCCGTATGATGCTATATTTATAGGTGGGTTTTATAATTTTGTTTCTGATGTGTTTAAAGATTGTGAAAATTTTGGCTATTAATTGATGATGACTTTAAATTGTCAAATTTTGTTATGAACTTGACAAAGGCCTCTACCTTAACTCTGGAATGAGAAATACATTGAAAGAGTCTAACTTTGATGGATTTTACACATATTTTGCTGCCGATCGTTTCACAGAAGGTTCGACATGCTCCAATTGGAAAGAAATTAATGAATGGGCCTCATCCAATCATTTACTTTTTATTCCTTCGGTTGCACCTGTAAGTATTCTATTGACGTGGTTGTGCATTCCATGATTCACATCTTCTTGACACTACCTAAAATCAAATTAGGGATACATTGATGAGAAAATTAGACCATGGAACTCGGCCAATACAAAACCTAGAAATGATGGCAAGTATTATGAAAACATGTTCAATACTGCTCTGAGTTTGACTCCACTTCCAAGCTTTATTACCATTACTTCATACAATGAATGGCATGAAGGTACTCAAATCGAACCTGCCATTCCTAAAAACATTCCCGAGTCGGAAGATGCATTTTCAAGAGCTGCAACGAAATATCTTGATTATTTACCTCATGATCCAGAATATTATTTAAAGCTTACTGCAGATTATATTCAGAAATATGTGTCACAATTCACTACTTCGAGCAAGTAGGGACGAATAGTTTCTTACAGTAGTAGTAGTTGGAGTGTTAATTTTAAACGACGCAAAAGAATCTAACGACACTTAGTGCACTAAAAACATCATGTATATTTGTCACAGCACATTATTACTGCATAGTCTTGAGATTGTCTGAATATTTACAAAGTAATTCATCAACTCTTTCATGAGTGCTCTCATCTGTAGTCATAGATTTGATTCGTTGAAGTATACGAACACCTTTTGAGATATTCTGTTGAACAACTCCTACCTGTCCCATGCAATACCGTTTTCCAACCTCCAACATACTTTTACAATGTCCCATAGCAGCCGCCTTTTCTTGCCATTTGAACTTTTCTACGACATTCTTCTCTAGCTCAGAAACAGCCACAATGGCATCCAAGTCATTCTCCTTTTCAGCAAGACTTTTGTACATATCCAAAGCCATGTAATTGTCCTGATCCACACCATAACCCTTCTCATAGCATCTGGCCAAGTTAAACCATGCAACAACATTTCCTTGTTTGAATGCCTTTTGATACATTTCAAACGCTCTATGATAGTAACAATACTTTTCACATGCGAGTCCAACTTTTAACTGAGCCATTCCATGTGTGGTAGATGCTTTTAGATACCAATACGAAGAAACATGTTGCTCCTTTTTCTCAAAATGCGAGAGTGTATTGGTTCCATATCCCATCATTCGTACGAGACATTCCTTTGCTTGAAGATGTGCCTTTTTCATCACAGATTCATTTCCCTCCAATTTAGTTTCATACATTTCTCCAATGCAATATCTCACTTCATTCATCTGATTAATTTCATCCTTTGAAAATTCTTGCAAACACAGCAAATGAAAGGCCAATTGAATTCCCAAAGAAATTCTTGGAATTTGTTCCAAAGCATGCGTGATTTTAGAAAAATGGTCTTTGGTTAAATGCTGTGCAATGAGTTCCATTTGAGCTTGTTCATGAAACATTTCATTTAGATCCAAATCAGAGCTGTTCAATCGATCATGCTTCGAGGAAACGTATGAAAAGAGCTCTCCATTCAGAATGAAAGCACTATTCCCAGATTTTTCACTCTTTCTCAAATCGAAAAGCTTCAAATTCGAAGGAATTTCAACATTGAGGAGTGCATTCATTCCTTGCTTTTTAAATTTATGTCCATTTAAGCTCAGATAAGTCAATGAAGGAAAATATCCATTTTCCAATCGATGGGCAATGAGTTTGGCTCCATCATTATTCAGATCGACATGACTCAAAATCAAAGTGTTCAATGAAAGAGGACCATTCTCAACTGGGAACATGATTTCAAGATTCTCGTATTTCATTGGACAAGAGTAAATGCAAAGTGCAGAAAGATTTGGAAGAGAGCGAGCCAAAGCATGGAAGTGAGCCTCTTCTAATTTACATTTAACTATATTGAGTCGAGTCACAAGAGACAAGTCCACACGGGAAACGCGAAATTTTCTTTCCTTAAAAAAGTATCTTCCATTAGCTATTGGAATTAATTGTTGATCAAGAACATGGGTTACATTTTGAATATTGACATTCATGACATTGTTAGAGAATCTCATTTTCAAATATTCATTTGCAATTATTCTCCAATCTTTGCACACAAGAGAGAAATTGAAAAATTGATTCTTGTCATGGAAGAATTTAAAGATTTCCAGAAACATATCGAAAGAAAGAAGATCCCACATATTTTTTCCTGCTGGTGGCATACTTTCAAACGTGATGTTCATTGGTTGAAGAAGTGACGACTCGTGTATAATAGAAGACAAGTTATTCATGTTGATTTTTGTTGAAAATATTTTGACTTTTTTACTTGAGGATTCAAATTCATGTGATTGACATCTTTGGAACTGGTCATCATGGTCCATAGAGTGTGGAGAAGCACTTCTCTTGGTAGATGTGTTGCTTCTTGTGGTTTTGTTGTTGTTTTGAGGAAAATTTTGGTTTGACATTATTTTGCTGTTTTTTTTTTGAAATGAAAAAACATTAAAAAAAAGGTTTCGGAAGGTACAGCCCGACGCAAAAAAAATTGCGATTTTCAAAAACACTAAAATGGGATAAGGGAAAACAATGGTCTTCCTTAAAATCAATTTCTGGTTCTTTTTGCTAAACAATAATAAATATAACCCAATATGTAAAGTTGTGTTGTGTTGAATTTTATACATTTCTAAGGACTTGACAACAATACAATTTGTTGCCAAAGAACTTGTTGTAGATTACAATGATTCTTCTCCTCAATCATCCAAGTCGTATTCATCAGCCATATCATCCTCTTCCCAAAGCTCCATTTCGTAATTCTCAATGTTAAATTCGTTCTCCATGTCATCATTCAATTCAGTGTCCAATTCATCATCTTCCATTCCATTTTCATCGAAAACTTCAATAATTTCTTCAGAATACCATTCATTGGGTCTTAACACTTTGGAAGGACTGTTAAACATATCCTCTACGCGACGGATGAAAAAAAATATGTAAAAACGAATTTATTGGTGTTATTTTGTGTGTGATCGTTTTGGATTCTGGCAACCACAATTAACACATTGCTCACATACCCACTCATCACATTGTGAGCACTTTGTGTGTGTTGGATACTTATTGCAATGATGGCAATGATGGCCATGACGATCATGCACTCTTTGAATCATATGAACATCATATAGTTTTTTTCCTTCATCATCAAGATCAGCACCTGCTTTTTGGGCAAATCCGACAGCCACTCTCATCAGGAATGATTTGTAATCAATATCAGTGTTTTTGGCTTTCTTATAGAAAATCCATGAATTTGCGAGTACAATTCGGAAAATTCCCATCCATGCTGCTTGAGTCCACTTGTTGACCCGATGGCAACCGGGATACATATGTGCATATCTATCAGCCACATCTACGTTCACATGCTTCTTCTCATAGAGCTCTTTTACTTTAGGAGCTCCTTTCTTCTTGTTCTTGCTTTTCTTCAAAGTAACCATGTTGGAAAGAAAAGTAATTTGTTTTTTGTCTTTGTAATGAATTGCGACATAATCTCCATTAGTGACACCAATCCATTCACCTTTTGATAATGTATACCTTGAGAGTAAGTTTTTGCATTCTTCTTCTAATCTGTTTTTGGGACAAATCATCGTAAACCGGAATTTGTGGTAATTCAATAGTAGGGCCGTCTTGTGGTGGCCAAAGTAGGAATCAGTGCAAATATTGTACTCATGAGAAGGTAAGAAGGAAACAAAATCCATCACTAAGATATGAACTTGTGGTTGATGACCTGTGTAAGGCCACAATCTTATCACGAACCACAAGTCGTCGGCCATCATATAAAACTTAATACCAGTGTCTTCAGGTTTTCCTTTGATGTGTTGTTTAAATTTAAATCTGCCCGTGAATTGTATCAATGTTTCATCAACTGTGACGTTCGGGAAGGGTTTCCAAATTATCAAAGAAATTTGATTGAACACTCTGGTAAAATAGTGGGGGTTGACACGAACACTTCTATGAACTGAAAGGAAATGATCTCTGCCACTCCAAATACTTTTTATGAATTCGTTACCAAAGAATACACTTGTTGAGAAGTAATCTGTGAGCTCAGGTTGAGGAGCAAGCATGATGGCAATAACAGTTGCCAAATATAGGTATAGGTCAGACACGGTGATATTTGCTGTGTGTGTTGTAGAGGAAGAGTCATCCTGTTCATCTTCAGATTCTTGACTCGAACATGGAATGATAGTGTCTTCGTCATCATGTGAATCATCATCATTGTGCTCATTATCAGCTGGTGGCGAGGTGTACCAAGCTTTGATATGGTCTGAGGGTTCAGGATCTTCAGTAGTACAAGGAATAGTTGGATCATTGGACAAGTGAATAATATGTTTTATCAAATGATCAGGCAAGTATTGCTCAACACAACGAACAGGTGTAAGACTGTTCAAGTGGTTTCCATGTCCTTGACACCCAAAAGAATTGTGTTCGGAATCGTTTTGAAAGCCTTCAAAATGTCCAGGACCAAACCCTCTACCAGAGTTTGTTTCTATCACCTGGTTTATCAAGTCTATGGTGACATCAGAAGGTTGTTTATCGGTCATAGGGTGCCGTTGTTGAATTATAATACCTCTACTTAATGATGTTGACTTTTTTTTGATAACGGTAAAAAAGGGGTGTTGGCGGCATTTTCCTTTTATTGCCATCCAATCACATTAAAAGTCCACAACAAATGCATAAACGATATCTTAGCAAACAATAGAAGAGAATGATATCACATAAGGAGAGAACAGAAGTAGGTTTATGTATTACTTGCCAGCTAAAGTTGCCGTCGCGTAGAGGATATTCAATAAGATATTCTCCATTTCCTTGACACAATTCGCCAACTCTTCAATTCTTTCAAAAATATCATCTGAATTGACGTTGTTTCTATTCAAAGAAATATTAATCATTTCTTCTGAATTATCTTGCAATGTCTCTAGTTCATGAACAATACAACTGGCTTTGTCAAATACTGCAAAGTTATGAGAGCTAACAAAGTTAAAAAAGATGTTCAATTGTTTTCTTCTCAGATCAATAATGTCTTTGAGAAATACTTTCATTCTTTCAAAATCAAAGACCTTAATATTTAAATTGAGCATTATTTCTGATAACTGATGTTGTTTGGAAGCATCAATATTCTTAAAAGCACATAATTTGATCAAGTCCTGTCTCATTTCATCAATGCGATTTCTCATGTCAGGGTTGTCATGATAAAGTTGATACCATGTATGAATCTTCTCAAAATATCTTAACTGAATGGTCTTGGCAACAATATTCTCATTTTTGGACAAGGTATTCCATGGAATGACTGAGTTCGATCGATGAAAACAATCACTTTCATTACCAACAGCAACCAGTTCCAAACAAGTCTTGAATCTGCATCGAGGGAATGAAAGATTCAGCTCATAGAGAAGACCATTCACAAACATGGGCCATGCTTCTTCAGAATGTAAAATGGTGATTTTACACAATTCAGAAGGTTCTGCTAGGGACTGATCTTGTGAGGAGTCAAGTAAATGAGGAGAAGATTTCTCATCAATATTGGCCTTGGAATTATGAAGAATAGATTCTGGCAAAGTGAGATATTTAAGGTTTGGAAAAGCTGTACAAAAGGCCTTAATTAAGGTTGACAATGGTAAACCTGGTTTCAATGACAATTGATAAATGGTAAGGGAAGAGATGTGAGAAAGTGGTTTGTTAATAACATCTCTCAATGTTTCTTGTTGACAGTTGCACAGACTTAAATGTTTGACACTATCGGGAATGGAACGAACGGAATTCAACTCAGGAATGGTTAAGGAAGTCAATTCTGACATGTGCTCAATTTTCAAAACATATTTAAAGGATCCAATGTTGTTGTTAAAATTCAGATTCGAGAAGAATGGACGCCACAACTTTAAACATTTCAATTGAGCACCAAAAGATGGGTTTTCCAACTTTTTCAATTGATCTTCACTTAACAAATCATTACATTCGAACGATTCTAAATTCTTGGGAAAGTTGTCAACAAGCGAAAACAATGAAAGAGAATTATTTAAAATAACGCTTCTCCATCTTTCAGACGATACACGGACAAGGGTACTATTTCCATATGTGAATTGACAATTTTCAAACGTGAGACTTTGAATGTGGCTTCTTCTTCCCAACAAGTCACTAATGGATCGACTGCTCAAAGAGGTTCCAACAAGAGTCACTGAACGGAAAGCTTCACACAATTGAATAGTTTTTGTATCAAGAGTCTTGCATACATTCATTTTCAACTTGGAATGACTTGTAATGTAATTTGAAAATTTTGGTTCACGATGATTGACCATATAGTTCAACACAAAATCAACCAAACGTTTGGAAGTCACATTGAGTGATCGATCTTTCCACAATCGATGTTTGGACTCTTCACTCAAACATTCTCGAGCAATAATCTTGTTGCAACACCGTAACGTTGCCATAGTCTGTAAAAACTCATCGTCACCAATGAATTGTAAAATATGTTCCAACATGTCGAGAATTTCTAATGGATGAAGTATATGTGTGCGAGTTGGTGCAGTGCTACAACTTTTTGCAGCATCTATGGTTGACTCTAAATCTTGGCATGGATGATCATTGAAAATGCCACAGCCATCGGGAGAATGATCGGCGTGAGGTCTCTTGCCGCGAGAGGTGTAATAACCTTTTGGAATGATCGAATCGGAGCTTAACATTGGTTGTGGTGGTGTTGGATTGCGTGTCCATGAGGACATGATGAATGTCTTTCAGTAGAGAGTTTTGAAAAGTTTTTTTGTGAGAATTTTTGCTTGTGGTTGTATCGAATTCGATCGAATACAAGATCTTAGAGAACGAGAATTCCGAACGCTTTAAAGAACCATTTTGGAAACGTGAAACGTGGTAGGTGGAACGTGAACAATTTCGAACGAAATGAAGACTTCTCAACCCGCTTCAAGGACGGTTCTCCCCTCATGACGGATTAACATGGGAGGACTCAAGTTGAAAGCGAATCTCCTCTTTCATACTGAGAGCCAGATTTCGACGTGTATACATACAAAAGAACCAGCTGTTGATTATTGGTTTTAGAAAAACGTAAACGTGTTCGAGAAATCAAACGCTCAAGAGTGGATGGATTGAGATTAAGGCCTCAGAAAATTTTGATCTCTCTGTTAGCAGAGCCAAAGCTTACAAAAAAAATATACACATTCAACGGTTCGTATTTGATACCATTCCGTGCTCACCCTTCTTTCCCATCAAAATACCATCATGACCATCATCAATGGAATGATCAATTCCTAAACTCATCCGATAATACTGTGTGTTCAATCTCTCCTTTTATTATCATTTCAGAAATTTTTTGAAAAACAATTTCATCATGATCAAAAATTCAACAAGAACTCTCCTCTCTCAACTCTCCAGAAAGAGCACTCAGAATGGAGTCGCCGCTGCTACTCTTTTTACCACCTCCCGCTCCTTCTCTACCTCTCTCTCACAAACTCTCACTCCAACCTATCCACCTACCAACAATTCTCACAAACTCTTCAATACTGAGAAGGCTGGAAAGGCGATCGGACCCTACAGCCATTGCACTGTATTCAATGAAAGATTAATTTTCGTTTCGGGACAACTTGGTCTTGATCCTACCAGTGGTACATTGGTCGAAGGCTTGGAAGGTCAATGCCATCAAGCTCTCAAGAATATGCAAGCTATTTTGGAAGGAGCTGGTAGTGGAATGGATTGTGTGTTGAAGACAACCATCTTGTTGACTGATATGGCTCACTTTGAAGTCGTCAATAAGATTTATGAAAGTTACTTCTCAAAGAATAAGCCAGCACGTGCTACTTTTGCTGTGAAGGCTTTGCCAAAGGGAGGCGTTGTTGAAATTGAAGCTATTGCTTATCAAAAAGTCACTCCTCAACATCCATAATCGTTGTGTGAGAATCATGAAACCAAAGAATTTAAAATCGAAATGGAATTAAATAATGTGGAAATCCAAAAAGAGAAATCTATTAAATTCTTTTATTAAATTATTACAAAGTAAAGTGAGCAAGAGAACACAACAAAATTTGAAAATCCAAAACGCAACAAAAGAACATTCAAAAAAAATGATTCGTTCTGCAAGTCGCACCATTCGCTCTCTCAACAACTCAAAGCTTAACCAACACGCATTTTCATCATCATGTTTGCTATTGAGTAAGAAAAATTTTCAATCGGAAGGAATGAACTGTGTTAATAACATCATGATGTTGAATGGATGTAACATGATGATCAATCAGCCATTCCGTTGCTTCTCCACTTCTACCTTCTTGCAATCAGCTTCAACAATAACCTATCCAACTAATTTACAAAATATTCTCTTTGAAAAGAGAGATAATGGTGTTGTTGTTATTACACTCAATAGACCAAGCCAATTGAATGCCTTGTGTAAACAACTCGTTCAAGAATTAGCCCAAGTAGTTTCCTTGTGTGAGAAAGATTCATCCGTTCGTGTCATGATCATTACGGGAAGTAAAAAGGCATTTGCTGCTGGAGCTGATATTAAAGAAATGAGTACAATGACCTCCATGCAAGTTTATCAAGAAAATCTTTTTGGAGAGCTCGAAGTGGTTGCCAAAGCAAGAAAGCCAATTATTGCTGCTGTGAATGGCTATGCTTTGGGTGGAGGTTGTGAATTGGCCATGATGTGTGATTTCATTGTTGCTGGAGATGGTGCCAAGTTTGGTCAACCAGAAATCAAGCTTGGAACAATTCCAGGAATTGGAGGTACTCAAAGACTCACCAAAGCTATTGGAAAAGCCAAAGCTATGGAATGGAATTTGACTGGTGAAATTTATGGAGCTGAAGAGGCTGAGAAGGCTGGTTTAGTCTCTCGTATTGTGAAGAGTGATCAATTGCTCGAGGAAACGATCAAGATTGCAGACAAGATTGCATCCTTCTCTCAACCTATCGCTCAATTCGCTAAGGCATGTGTCCAAAAGGCTCACGAAATGAGCTTGCAAGAAGGTCTCGATTATGAGAGAAAGTTGTTCATGACTACTTTCTCTACCAAAGATCAAAAGGAAGGTATGAGTGCTTTTGTTGAAAAGAGACCACCAAAGTTTGTCGATGAATAATAAATTAAGGTATTTTTAGGACAGGGCTTATTTTCATTTGAAAGCGAATTTGATTTGGGTCAACAATGAAGAATGCAAACCTGAAACGTGCTGTTCCACCTTAATCGAATTATTTCAAGAGTGACGCTTTTTGCATTGACTGTTTAAGTTTTTTCTGGATTTTATTGATTGGAAGAGGAAGGGAAATAATTTAATCGGACTTTCCGAGGTGCTTCAAGACAAAGTTCAAAGCATCTTCTTGATCCTCACCAAATCCACTCAAATCAGTAATGACAGCAACTGCACACTTTTGGACTCTTCTGGTTCTCATTTGCTTATCATACTTGGCAAGACCAACCCATTCACCCAATTGTCTCTTGGATGGGACTTCCAACAAGTCAACCTTCTTGAAAGCACAGAAAGCCTTGATGAGCTTCTTGTATTGATCCTTATCACAGTCATCAGCAAGGACGCACAATTGGGCCTTATCCTTGGCCAAAGTTCTACAGACTTCTCTCAAACCACGGGCGACAGCTCTGTTAGCAGAGGCAGTCTTCAAGACTCTCTTGATAGCAGTGTTCAAGTTGAGTTCTTCCTTTGGTTCTTGGACGAGTTGTTCAACAGCTTCAACGTTCGACATTTTGGCTAATAAGTGGTCACTACAACAATGTGTAAAGTTGCTCGCACAGAGGTGTGGTAATGATGAATTTTTTTTCAACAAAATTTTTCAAAATTCTGGACAACCGAAAAGTTGATATTACAATGGCCAAGAAATTTGGGGAAAGGGTGCGAAATGAAACAAGAAACACAACCAAAAGGTACGAGTAACATGTTTTTGAAGCAATAACCATTTAGCATCACTCTTGTCAAGAGTTTCATAAAATTCAATTTCAGTGTCATGATATTTTTATCCTAAAAAACGCATCAACTTCTCATCAGCAGTGGCATTTTACCAAACTTTGGATGCAAGAGAGCATCACATCAACAATTTGTAAATAATTACGATCCCCATTGTACAAACTTTCATCGTTATTTGTAAATACTGGTACTTGTAACATAGTAATACGCATTATCACAGACAATCATACGAACAACATTGTACAAGAATTCATTCTGATTTCTTTCCGAAATAGGATCCTGATCAACCGAACAGATTTTGACTGAGTCATTCAATCATTTTGAAAACGTTCACATCTAATCACTGCAAAATCTCTAACGTGTAGTACAATAACCAACTTCCGATCGTTTATTAGTAGAAATGTCTGATCATCAACAGAAGCAGCAACAACCACCCTCCAACAACACCATTCGACCATCCATTCCAATCTCTTCAAATAATGCCACTGGAAGCAAGAGAGGAGGTGTTTTAAAACATTCTCCACCAACTCCCACATCAACCTTTCAACAGCATTTTCCAACCACACCAACCTCGGCTACACTTCGCAAGCCACCTCCATCTCCAATTCAGACACCGTCCTCTGGGAACAATAACAACATGTTTAATTTTCAACCTTCAGGCAACACATTTGTCAGTGGAGGTCATGTGATTGTTCCGAATCGAGCAGCAACAATAGCGAATACATCATCGTCGGTCCAAAATGCTGGAACTTCTTCTCGTTTTAGTTATGCATCCATCGTTACCAATAGTAGTATTACTAGCAGCAATAGTAGCAGCAATAGTATTACGAATGGCCTTAACAATAGCAACGTCACAGCACCCAATAGCAGTAGCGGAGCCATTTTGAGGGAGGACGATCTTGATGACTCAACCTCACTCTATTCCAAGTTTTCTCATAATCTTAATAGTAGCATGCATCAACAACCTTCCTCGTCGAAGGAAAGTACCGAGTTCACTCCTCCCAAACAAAAGAATTCGTCAACATTGGACAACAAATTGGAAATGTCACCACCACAACCCTCATTGGCATTACAGATACACACCTCCTCAAACCCTCTTTCGACACCAACAGGAGAGAGAAAGAAAAAACTGAGGAAAAGCGGATCATCATCTTCAACAAATTTATTGTCAAATGCCACAAATATTGGGAACAACATTCACAACAATGCTACAACAATTGAAAGTCCTTCATTTAATACTACAGATTTACAGCTCAAAAAAAAGAGTTCTATTACAGATGTTGATTCCAATGATGAAGAGGAAGACGAGTTCATTTCGGTAGAGTCTCCAACATTTGCTCTGGCTCCCTCCGTTGTTAAGAAGCACAAGATGAAACAACAAAAATTGGGTGGAGGCTCTCCACATCAAAATGAACAAAGCAATTTGGAGATTACGAACGATTTATTAACCTCTATTGAACAATCCATGGAGGACCTTCTCGATAGCGACAATGTCGAATATAATTTTCCTGGACAAATTTATGGAGGAGGTGTTGGATCTGACGGAGAAAATTCCACTCCTGTGACTACTCATGTTCAACAACCAACATATAATCTACCTCCATTCATGTTCTCCTCCACTAACAGCAATAGCTCAATGAGATCGGGCCCTTTCCACTCGACCTTAGACCTTAACATTCCATACATTTACACTACAAGCGAGGAAGAGATTGAGATTTCTACTAATGGCTCAATCTCTACAAACACAACAAGCACTTCATTGGAGGATTTTCAAAGCGGGTTTATTGGCTCAATCACTCCAACAACCAATGTCATTATTCAGTCACCAAATAACAAAAACGCAACTCCTTACACTAACAATCAAGCAAGAAGCGAATCCAATCGTGGAGAGAATCGTTCAACACCACCAACATCTCCTGGGTCTCCTGTAGAGAATAAGAATTTGGCTGCTTTCAACAAGGAACGTACAGGAGTGCACGCATCTCCAACAAGTAAAACCCTACCCAAGGTAAAATCAAAGGCCGTTCTAGAGTATGAAGACGATGTCACATCTGATTCATCTGATTCCTCCACAGATGAAGAGATATTTTCGCAAGAGAGAGCAAACACCAATGGAGTCAACTTGATTGACTATTCTCAATGCCCAACACTGCAAGATATGAATCAGCTTTTTGAAAAAACGATGGAGGAATATGAATATGAAAAGAAGTTGGGATCTGAAGCACAACTTTTCATTACAAATGCTCCAAGCTTTCAATCTCTGCTGTTTGCATTGAAGAAATTGAAAGATCAATCCCTGTTGCATCACGAAAACTCCTCTAAGATTAGATCTAACATTTTTCAAACATTGAAGCGGAAAATCAAGGAATTGAACAACAAATATCAAATGCAAAGCATTGGAGTGATCTCAAGTATTAATTCCAGGAAGGAATTGGATACAGTGTTTGACATTTGTAACTTTTTACTCAATGAGGATATCATCTACAGCATGATTCAATCTCCTATTCTATCAGATATTAATTCCGAAAAAGATTTGGAAAATATGGCAACTCTTTTAGAGAATATTCAATCGAAAATGAATGTATCCTTTAACAACTCAGTACAGGGTTACTTTAGATTATTTGACGGAACAAAGAAATGGCTCATACACGTTTTTACACACAACTTGCGAATAGTATTTGATTTACAGTCTTCAGGAACTTTACCTTCGAACCAAGCAAGAAGATCTTCAACATCGCTCCTGTCTCTACTTCAGAGCCAGCAGAATTCTATATCCCTAGAGAAATTTATGAAATTTCTGGATAGACTTGTGAGGTTAAATTTTCTAAACGAGTATTCTCATGTACTTCTTGACGAGTTGATGTTGACACCATTTTTTGTTTCCTTGACAGCTTTCGACTTTATAGAGCATATGGGAAAATTCAGTGGGGCCCAATTTTCTGACAAGTTGCGATCCTATATCATTGAAAAATGTTGCCAGTTAATTTCTCAAACAGCAACAAGCAAGGATACCAGCCTTCTTTTTGAACTGATTGAATCTAAAATTGAAGATGAAACAGTACGCTTTGTATATCTCAGAACATTACTATTTGCAGCCAATATTCAGCACAATTATGAAAATATTGTCAAAAATCCATTGTGCTATTATTATTTCAAATTTGCCAAGATCAGTCAAAAGATTTCTGATGAAAACTATGCAAAAATTGAGAAGGAAGTATCAGAGTTGATGGATATTTATTTCAAGCTAGTTTTTCAGCTCTTAGACAAAACTTGTACCATCTCTACTTTGAACATGGTTCTAAAACATGAGAGTCAATTCACTAAGCTTGTTTATGTTATGGGAGATGTTGGATTTAACGAGGGTCATCTAAAGCAACTTCGTCAAGAGCTGATTTCATTCAAAACAACTCTAGATGCTGTTCAAAATTTCCTGACCATGTTTGCGGATGATCCTAACTTCTTTGATACAAATACTGTACTCGATACTATTATCAAAATTCGTAGAAATATGACGGAAATGGTTCTCAAAAAAGTCCAAAAGCAAGTATCGGATTTAATTCCATTCAGCTTTGAGGATTTGGCCTTCTTTTACGAGCTTCGAACATCAGAGTTCTTTTTGGTATTATGGAGAGATCTTTATTCAAAGAACACAAACGAAAAATATAGTATTGATTCTATCAAGACCAAGCTCATACCTGCGGTCAGAAAAAGATGGAGCGAGTATTACATTTCACTCGATAACCTTTCCATGAAGTTAAGCGAATTTTATAGCATTCTAAGGAAATGTAGATATGATACCAAACTTGATAACATCTTTTCAGGTGCAAGCAGTCTTTATGAAGACGAGTTGATGAGAGTGAGAATGACTTTCAGCGGAAAAGCTTCAGACAAAAAACCTTCTAAAGAGGATCTTGAATGGGTTTCAAAGAGGCACAACATCATTAGAAGCTTTGAAAGTATTAATTTATACAGATCATATTTGCCAGCACTGATTGCACTTGTGGAGCATTTTGAGCCAAACTTTTCTGTTGATTTGAAAAAAGATCCAGATTACATTCAACTCAAAAAGGAGGCAACCATCTTGACTAGTCAGAGTTTGTGGGAAGAGCAAACTTTATCCATGTTTGAGAACCAAAGAACAAGCCTTGATTCATTATCTTTCGCCAAATTTTTTAAGAATTTTTCCGATAATCAAATGTCATTTATGAAATTACTGAGTGACAACAGTGGGTTTTCCATCATTGATTGGCTTGCTAGCTACAAATCGAATCTGGAGTTTGATAACCTGTTAGAGGTGTGCAAGAGTTACACTGACTCTGTCAAAGTTCTTCAATCATTGAAATCTTTGGTTGTAATACGAGATGCTCTTTCGGAGTTGCTATACTCTGTAGAGTCTACTGCTATTAATTTCACTTGTTTTACACATTTTCACAGTGTATTGACTAAACTTCCGATTGGAAGTGATGAATTGGTACAGCTGACAAACCTCAAAAAGAACTTCACTCTCCTTCTTGAAATGTTTGAAGAAAGAACGCGAACTGGAGGAGTTCAAGCTCTTTATGATCTTGCTGCCATAATTGAAAGAGGTATCTTTGAGTTCAGTCTTGCTTCTCAGAACGTAATTAGTTGCAAAGTGATACCTTCTTCAAGCATGTCATCCTCGTCACCAAGCAGAAGAATGAGCAATCAACATCAAATCATCAGCATGGAGGGACTAGTGGAGTTGAGAAACAAGTTGATGTTGAGTGAAATACCAGATAATATTAACAGCTTAGACGACGTGCATTCAAAGATCAAACTATTTGTGAGCTATATTACTTTAATGCTTGAGCTAAGGTCATCATTGCTCGAGCTATGTCGATTTGCTCATTTTGACTTTCAAGATAATTACTTTAAAACAGTTAAGGCTTCAGAATGCACTTTCGATTCCATCCAAGAGTATCATTTGGAGGTTCTGAAAAAGATGGAAGAATGGAAAAAAATTGTCGATGATTCCCGAAACAAATACTATTTCATTAATCTCTTTAGATCGAAAGAGTCTCTACATATCTTTAATTTGCTGACCAGATACAAGGAAGATACCAGACATGATATATTGCGAGAGTTATTAGACATTTTGCAATTGGGTGACCATAGCTTGACTATTAATGAAATTGAATCTTGTATCAACGAAATGCAAGACTTTACATTCTCCAAAGAACTGAGTGTAGCCACAAAGATGGAAAAATTATGCCTATTTATCGAAGCTTTATTCCGTAATAGAAAGGTACCATATCGTAGAGCTGATTATTCTATTCCATCAACAGTTGTATCCAAGTACTCAGTCAGCAACTTGGGAGGTTTCTTTAGGATTATAAAGCTGAGCAAGGAAAAAGAGGTCATGGAAGCCATTTTGACCATTTATTCAACTCAAAACAGACTTCCTTTGAGTGAAGAGGTTTTACTTTGCAACTCTTATGAGACAGATATTGAAGACATTTATCTCATTCTAAATAGATGGTTCAAGTCTAGTGCAAATGGAAAAATCAACCATATATTTTGTATTGGCAATATCCACGAGTTACAATTTTCTGTTCAGTCAAAGATGCTATTACGTATTCAAGAGCAATTATCAATCATGGCTAAAGCATCAAGTAATCATGCCAAGCTGGTACTACTTAGTGGAGCAGATAGCAATTCTAGACTCTTAGTAGAGTTTTCGCAATATGTAGATGTGAATTTCAAAATTCTTCCTCACAAGTACATTTCAGCGATTCTCAACTCGTATCATGGTAATCGTGTGAAATATGTGTACTCAAATCGTACAGCCGCCGGAAAAACTCGCTACATACTTAAAGATATTTACATGAGCAAGAAAGGATATAAAAGAATTACAATACTTGAAGACTCAACCGTAAGAGATACGGTATTTACTCTTAAAAGAACATTGAACAGTATGGACAGAAAAGACGTTGCTTTTCACTTTTCTTTATGCCCACTTATTCCAAAGCACTTTAACTCGCTGTTCTTCGAATTGTTTTATTTGGGGAGAGTTAGAGATCGTGATACAGCGACTGTGTTCCATTTAACACCTTCCACCCAATTCTACATTGAAATGCCAAACAGTCTTTGTGTACCTATTTTGAACGAATTTGTCTATTTTTGTGCCTATTTGCCTTCACTGGAAATTACTACAGACGAAAATAGCTTTGATTTAACAATCTATGAGCTAACTAATAGCATCGAGGACGCTGTAGAAATTATTACTAGAAACAACTCGAAGAAGGTACAATTTGTCTGCAAGTTTTTAAAAGCATTTGAGGAAAACGTTTTCAAAAATGCTGCTCCTCATATTGCTGATTTTTCTCCTGATAAGCAATCTGACCTTGATACCAGAAAATGCTTCAAACTTCTTTGCAAATATACCGGATTCAGTTTGGAGAATGCTTCCTTCTCTGTGATCAATCATTTTGTAGGTAAGTTATCTTCCGACTTTTTTTCTATTGTAACATCAATATTATGCAGAACTACTTTATGGGCAATTCCAATCCACTCTTAGATATGCATGCTTTAAAAATTGTGTCATGGAAGGAACCATGCAACTTTTTAAGCATGCAATGATCGACTTGATGATTAGATCTGCAAGAGATTTGACAGGTATTGCAGTTGAAAAAGATGCAATTTTGTCCATGGCTAAGAAATATGAAGGTAAACCGTATACCGAGGTTCTTCTATTACAATATATTGAAATGTTTGAAAACAGAATAGGTCGTTTGGAAGAACAGTCTGCTCAGCACCCGCTGGTTGCATTCTATCGGACCGAATTGGATGAGATTACAGGTATTGACCTTATTGGAATGGACACCGACAAGTTGGATCTAAACGAAGAATTGAAATACTCTCTGATGTGCAATGGAATTAATTTGGATGCTCCTCGAGCACTTTCGCATGAAAGAGCTCAAGAAATTATTAGAAATGTAGCAGGACTAGGTAAAGAGGATAAAAACGAGAAAATTAGAAACAATTACGTATTAACAGTTGACAATTTGAGCAAAGTGCTCATTATTTACAACAAGCTCAAGTACAATCTACCAGCAATTTTGTACGGTGATAACGGAGTAGGAAAATCAGAGTTAACTAAATATTTAAGCACCGTGCTAGGAATTAAGTTGAAACGATTCGTTGTTAATGAAGGCCACAGTAGCTCAGACATTTTGAACTGGATCAGTCCTCTCATAAGAGAGGCCAATCATAACCCTTCCAGGGATGTTATAGCATTCTTTGATAGGGTGAATACGGCAAACATGATGGGATTATTTAAAGAGATAATATGTGACAAAATTATCAATAACCAAGTACTTCCCAAGAATCTGAAAATTGTTGCCTCTTGTAATCCATACCGTCTGAGAAGATATTCTGGAACAGACATAGAACAACCTTCTTCTCAAAGGCTTGATATCCTGAAAGAGAATTTACGAAATCTTCAAAGGACAACCACACTTGACGTTCAAGCTTTTGCTCAATGCCTTGTTTACAAGGTTTATCCTCTTCCAGTTTCTTTGTTGGATTCCGTGTTTAGCTTTGGATCGCTTAAAAGTGACATTGAACAGCTATACATACGTGCAATATTACTTATGGAAATTAATCAGGAGGATAATACTAGATCCGAAAGATTCTTTGATTGCTTTACCGAGCTAATTTTCATATCCCAAAACTTTATTAGAAAAGTATACATGGAACGCAGCGCTGTAAACCTGAGGGATGTGAAAAGATGTATCAATTTGTTCAAGAGCTTTTATCAGTCGCTTGCAAAACGAAACTCTTTAGATCCAGAATTTTATTTGGAGGATTCAAACTTCATCATTAAGAACTCAATACTACTTGCTCTTGGTAGCTGTTACTATTATAGACTTACTGCTCGTAGAGAAGACTTTGTGACTGAGATTGAGAACTATCTTTCTTCAAACAAATACTTTTTATATCAAAAAGGTGATTTTATCAATACACTCAACGAGGAGCAGAGATTTTATACCATGCATTTAAATATTCCAAAAGGTGTGGCACTTAATCAGGCTTTAAGAGAAAATATTTTCATGACACTTGTTTGTGTCTTGAATAGAATTCCAATTTTTATCAACGGAAAAAGTGGAAGCTCCAAATCATTGTCGTTAGAAATTCTATCTTCAAACTTGAATGGAAGTGCGAGCGTGAACGCATTTTTGAAATCTCTGCCCTCTCTTGAAATATTCACATATCAGTGCTCGCAACTGTCAACACCTGAAGACGTGAAGAGTTGCTTTGAATCTGCGAGAAGATATCAGAAAAATTCTCCCAATTCCATTGCAGTGGTTCTCTTAAACGAAGTTGGACTCTTAGAGCATTCTCCGTCTCATCCATTGAAGGTGGTTAATAAGGAGCTCGATGAGGAGAGTTCAAATTATACACCCTCTGTCATTGGTCTTTCGAATTGGACTCTTGATCCCAATCTCATTAACAGGGCTGTTTATTTGTCACGACCAGCTCCCTCGACTTTTGAGTTGAAGACAACACTTTCTGGCATTGTCAATTCGGTACACTTGGATAGTAGTCTGTTTTCGTTAGCCAAGGCTTTCCATGACGTATACAACAGCCAACAAAGAAAAGATTTCTTTGGATTGCGAGACTTTTACCACTGTGTGAAATTTATCAACAGAAATTTTGATTTAGGAGCTCTGACACCAGAGCTTTTAACTGATGCTTTGACCCGTAATTTTGGTGGCTCTAGCAATGAAGAGTTTCATACCATTCTCAATATTTTCTTTTCATGTGTAGGAATGAACATCGTTCCGAATAGAAAGTTAAAATTAGAGTACATTTCAGACAATTTGACCGATACAAAAGCTCGACATCTCATGCTTCTTACTAAGAACAATGCTGCTCTTTCCATTTTATTTTCTGATTTTGGACAAATAATGCCATACTCTAACTCTGAGGTCATATTCGGCTCATCAAACTTCCAAAATTCCGCTAAAGAGCTTCAAATATGTATGGATATACAAAGAATTAAGCAGTGTATGGCTATTGGAAAAATAGTTGTACTCGTAAATTGTGAACAGCTCTATGAGAGCTTGTACGATTTATTTAACTTGCAGTACATTGAATATGACGAGAATCGAGTTGTTGCAATCTCCTTGGGGACCTACAGCAGAATTTGTTCAGTTCACAAAAACTTTAGAGTCATTGTGATTGTAGATCAAGATGATGCATATACACGATTACCAAAACCACTGCTCAATCGATTTGAAAAACAGACACTTCACAGAGAAGATTTATTCGACAAGCACTCCTCGGCCAATTTGCGAGCAGTGTTATCAAAGCTCCAGAGTTGGGTGAAATCAATATTTGACGAAGATGAAAGACCATTTGTTAACACTCACAAATGTTTGCTTCATTCTTTGGTATTGTCATTGGACTCAAAACAAATGGAAGATAGTACACTGCACGACTTTCTCTTGAACCAATGCAAGAATTTATTACTATGGATTACCACTACAGATGCTATAGTTAGAATGGCTTCAAAGAATTTAAGAAATAAGGAATATGCTAAAATGTATTTCGAGCAGCAAGAGCACAGAGATCTTTGTAAATTTTCTCAGTACTTGTTTGATGCCATAGAGTCACAACAAAAAAGTGGCTTGTTGAACCCACTGATTTTTACAGGATACTTCCAAGTCTGTGTGCTGACTTATTCGTCAGTCTCTGTTAACTGCAGCTCTCTACTCAGCGCTGATAGAGCCGAATACGTGGAAACGTTGTTTTTGAGCGACTTAAAATCAGATATTGAATTGTCAGAAAAGCTAAAGCAATACTTTGAAATGCCAGTTTCAACACAAAATTCTCAGCATGTCTTAATAATTCAATGTGAGCTTGTGAATTTCGACTTGTTGAATCAAACCAAGTTTATGATTCAAAAACAAAGAAAATGCTCTGGTATACTCAATACTCAGGGAAAGAACGTACTTTTAGTTGTTAATGTCATTCCAGGAAAGTCTAACACGACTCAGTATTTAATTGAATTCGATACCCCATGGAAATATGCTTTTATTGACGAAATTAGGCCAATGCAACATTCCATTTATGACATTTTGAATAGGCCATTCCCTGAACAGATACAACTAGCAAATGTTCGACAAATCATTAGCAACAATTTCAGAACAGCATTGGCCATGTTAAGAAAAACAAATACCAAGATTAATGATATCACAGTTCTAATTTCGAGAACTAAAGAACTTCTCGACAATGAAGATTGTTGGAAAGTGATTCAACCTAAAATCATGGAGATTTGTTTTGATTACTTTTCTCAGAATCAAACTAATTATTATTCGACCTTTGTTGCACAGCACATGCATGAATATTTTTTAGTAGCGAATACGTATTACTCGGCCATCCAATACTGCATTGAGAGAATATTAATCAAGTCATTCACATACCTTCTCGCAGAATTAGAGAGGAATAACAATCTGGATTTATACTTTGAATTTAAGAAGGCAAATAGAACAGATGGAACAGCACTTTGGCTTCGACTTTTGAGCGATATGAAACGTCCATCCATTACAAACATGTTTACTAAATATGATCAAGCAAACTCCTCCGCAGAATTGCTTCGTTGGAAACCCATAGAGGTAAGAAATGACGGAAATAATAACAGAATGTTCAAATGTCGATTCCCTTTTTCATTTGAAGTCTGTAGACACTTGCACAGCCTGAGAAGCATTTGTGAGAGCTCACGTTTTGGTGTTACAACAGCACTCCAAAATCATATCAACATGCTGTATCCATTCTTGAATAATTTGTCAAAAGAGTTTTCAGAATTCTTTATCTATGATTATATGTGCATGTTCGGAGAGCAATGCACAGTTCTCACAAATGAAGTACAGTATGAAATTCTCAAGAAAATGCTAGAAACAGAGCATAGCGAATCCAGCGATACAACTAGTCATATTGCTAACGCGCTTTCATTCTATTGGAAGCAAGAGAGAAGATTACAAGCTTATTATGTACTCTTTGAGACATTCCCCAAGTCTGTACTTCAAAAGAAATTCTTACAAAAGCTACTTGTACCATCGTTGAGAGTGACATCAGTTGAGGAAATTGATATTCTACTATTCAGCGTGATTTATCATAATTTGGATCCAAGAAAAGTGGAGATTTCATACGATCCTGTTATCACAAAACAACGAAGAATGATTTGGGTGAAAACTTTGACAGACATCAAAGGTCCTGTTGAGGTCTTGACGAGTTTGATGCGCCTCACAAATTCTGGCTCTTCCATGCTTAATAATATTGGTTTTATTCATGAGAAATGGAGAAAACTACAATTCTACAAGGAGTATCTTCAAGAGATTGCTATTCCTTTAGGAATTGTTAAAGATATATCCATGATTTTATGGCAAAATATGAAAACAAAGCCTCTCTCTTCGATGAACAGCTTGGAATTAATTCTATACTTTTTAGACTTGGTTAACAAAATTGGAGATAATCAAAAATCCACGACTGTTGACGCTAGAAAAGCCAATCTTTCGAGATTTTTTGAAATGTTTACCTCCAAGTTTCTTATCCGACCAATTGGAAAAGATGATGAAATTGACAAATCATTTTACTCGGTCTTGGTTAGCATTGTGAAAGGAGATAATGAAAAGTTTAAACAGATTATGAAATATCCAACCCAAAATCTAAAGGTTAGCATCTTGAAGAAGCTCCTTCTCAACAAACAAACAAAAGTGCTTGTGAATTCTGAGTTGAGAGAAATCATCAAACAGGAGCTGGGAATATCTACAACTGCATCGATCAATAGCTCAGCATCGCTCGATCAGAGCACATTTTACAGCTATTTGTGCATTTACGAATCGGTTCTTCAAAGTATTTCTGAGGAGCAAATTGCCAAGCTAATTTCCTCCATTTCAGATTCGTTCATTGATGTTCATACTTGGAAAGATATCATTAAGGAGGTACAATTACTGGCAGTGATTAGAATATCATTATCTTCGTTTGCAGACAGGTTAATTGCAGCATCTGAAAAAGGAGAATCCATACGAGCAATCATTGGATCTAACACCATCTATCAGCAGTTATTGACCCTTCTCGATAAATCAAGTTTCAACTTCTTGAGATTGGTACTATTGAGATTGGTCGTAGAAAGAAAAGGAAGAGTCTTTTTACTGAAAACTTTCCGTTCCAAAGTTGCCGAGCATATTCCATGGATTTCTTCAGTGCTTCATGGGTTCAAATACACTGACAGCATCCCACAAAACGTCTTGATACATGTATTGAATGGACTTGAAGAGATTGGAGCATGTGTGGACATGATTATGAGTTTACGACAACAGCAAGGAGACAACACCTCCAAGACAGAGTCCATTATCAAACTCAAATCCTCACTCGAATCCATCATTCACACAGGACAACAAATTGATATTCATTCTCTTAAAAAACTATGCTACTTGGCTGTTATTGACAAGTGTTACTTGTCGTTCTGTGCTGAAACATCCATTAAGGAAAGTAGAATTGTCATGTCTGAGGAAGAGTTGGCAAGTAGAAATACCATCGACATCACCAAGCTCAAAAATTATCTCCTCAAGCATGTCTTGAAGGATGAAAAAGAAGTATTGATGGCTATCAAATTTGCTACCAATGCATTTGATGACAGTAATTTCTTCTACCTCAATGAGAATACCACTCTGGAGAATTTGACCTTGGTTCACATTGTACATCATGTTTGTTCCATTGCTCTTTCAAATTTCTCTTCCGATCAATTCTGGTGGATGCTTTTATTTGAACCCTTATCTATGAAAGATAAATATTTACCAAGCGTAACCGATGATGCCAGAAGTCAAGTCATTAACACAATCAATAACAGTGGCGGCATTATAAATTGGTACCGCTGTGCAAAGGGCCACGTTTACTTTATTGATTTGTGTGGACTTCCTTTGGAACAGGCTCAATGCCCAGAATGTGGGCTTCCAATTGGAGGCTCTGACCATGTTCCTCACTATTCAAACGATAAGATCAAACATGAAGAGGATCTAGCACCAACAGGCTATGCTGTTTATGAATACTTTAAAGAACGAGATTTAAAAGCTACTGTTCGTTCCTTGTCACCAATAGCTTTTCGAGTTGTCAGACTTGTTATACATTCATTGCTTATTACTGGATCTTCTCTATTTCCAGAAAGAGAAGATGAGTACAAGGCTCTCTTCCACAAGTCAATGGACGTATCATCCATTACCAATCTTCATGAATATCTATTGTCACACATAAGAAACGATTGGAGTATTATTATTGAACTGTTGGGAGAAAATAATGAAGAGAAGGCAAGCGTATTATTGTTTAATATTTTGGAACTATTTAGCTACTCATCAAAACAAATGGAACTTAAGAGAAAATCGAACACAAAACAACAACCAGGAATTGTTTCACGAGACTTGTCCACCAAGACTGGAAGAAATGCTTGGGAAAATCACTTCAATGGCTGCGTTTCAATGGTGATGGAAAATGCTACAAAGAAGTATCAATTATATTTCAAACAATTGGACAATTTCCAAAAGAGAAGTCATGATCCAGTCACCAATGTATTGCTATTCTCGCCAGAATCGACCTCACAGCCAATATTACCCCTCATGGATCCTATCAGCCAGTTGTGGAATATCAAGGTACCAATTACCTATGAACAATTCAAACTCGCCTTTATCAATGACAGAGTAGAGCAGAAATATCCAATATTGAACCTCTTTATTCAGAATGAACCAATGCTCTATGCCACAAGATACATTCCACATGTGATCAAATGGCAAAAATTGATCATGTCTACCTTTTCCCGAAGAATTGATAGGCACTATGCAAGAACTAGAACTGTTCGAGACGTGTTATCAGAATTTAATTCTGCCATGGCATTGTCTCCTGTCATTTTACAAATGGGTTCAGACAAGAAGGCATCGATCGAAAAATTATTTGAAGGATGGGCCAAAGCATTTAACCATAGTTGGAAATTTATTGATCGATACAAGTGCTTGCCTCTTCCTAATTGGTGTAGAAATATTGTCATGACCAAAGATACTCCACTCTCGTTTTCTATTCCAGACGAGTCGGGGCAAGATGAAGGCATTTGTTCACTTGCTGTGACGCAATTCTTAATTGACAAACATAATGAGGTGATTGAAAAGGTAGGAAAATTCTTCAATAAGAATGTAGAAAACACTCCAATTGAAATTTCAAGCCGATTTGTTTCCAAACATCACCTTATTGTATTTAATATCGAAGAAGAGCTTGTATCAGTTATTGCAGAATCGAAATTGAGCGAACCAATATTACTCAATATTACTAGTAGTGACAATTCCAACAAACAAAATTCCAGACACAAGTTTGACTATGAAAGAATTGAACAATTTATTTTGACCAAATACTTGTCAGGCAAGCCAAAGATCAAGTTAGAATTGGAAGGCTTCTTATTCTTGAACGAAACACGATACTCGAGCGGATTTGGAGATCAAATTGGAGGACCAGTGAGCGAACTCAAACGAAAAATCAAGCAATTAGAAATTCCAACAGATATCAAACAAGCGATCATTCTCGAGATGAGAGCAAATGAAACTAGTTTAGATTTAATTCAAGCCTGTTTAAGACAAGTGGAGGAATGTATTTCATTCTTGCAAGCTATTTCAAGTTCTAATAATTTGGAAGGAGTGGAAAAGATGTCCATCAGCGATTATTTACATAACATTTTGCTTGTAGATCCATCTACCACATCCAATCAACCATTATGCAACATTTCGAATATTATGATTCATGTCAAATTGTGCCATCTGTTATCATTATGGCAATTGTTGGAGAATGAGCTTTCACCAGGAACCGCCATTGAATCTTCTATCATTTCAAGCAAGTACAAGCGTGTCATTCCATCACCTGTTCTCACTCACTTGAAAGAATTCAAAGAAAAGCTCTCACTTTCTGATCTTTCAACGTTGACATGTTCCATTAAGGAATTGTTACTCTCCTATTTCACAAACGAAACATTGGATTCGGAGATTCCTCTCAAGCAAATGCTGGAAATTACTCCTGCTATAGAGAGCATGCCACAAATTTCCAAACAAACCAAACAAACGGACAGCGCTGACAATAATGGAGGAAAAAAACTTGGTGATTTCAAGTGGCTGCAATTGTTGTCTGATGAATTGAAAACAGCACACCTGTTTGAAGTGTATTGTCAACTCACAACTAGCTCTCAATAAAATGAACTTTTGTGATTCAAAAAATTCAGTGTAAAAATGTGATTTTAATTTAGTCCAACTTCTTTGAGGCTTTTTTCACGACATTAATAAACCAATAAACCACATAATGCATGAACACTGCCAAAACTGTTGCAAACACATAGAATATTGTGAACTCAACGACTCCCCAGGCTTGCATGAATGGATAAGGGAAGGTACCTTTTAGATATCTTGTCAAACCTGTGAACGATAAATAAATGACCGGCACCACACAGATCAAATAGAATTTTCGTGTCCAAATTCCGTCAAGTAAATCATTTCTCGATCGTACCACTATCATTTCGATCAATACAATGACCAATGGTAAAGTGTGATGAATATGATTCAGTCCATCTGGATAATAAAATCCTTTTGGAACCATATTTTCAGGATTCATCCAATAAATGGACCAGAATAAAATTACAGTAGCTGCTGACATGATAAACGTCAAATGAAAAAAATCACTCAACAAGGATCTCATCATTGATTTTCCCGATGATACTGAGCCCATTAAATCCTCTAATAAACATCCGAAAAAGTAAATAATCAAAGCAATTGCAGTCCACAACGTGAACATTTTTGCAACGACCGCAAACGATAGCATCCCTCCGATGTGCATCCAATAAAATCCAAACAGAATGGAGCACAGAGAGACAGCATGAAAAACTCCTTGCACAAGTCGCAGCATTTTTTTTTTTGATGGAATCGGAATAGATCGGACTAAGGTGACTGTACAAGGCTTTATTATTCATTAGAACAATTTATTTAATTTATTCAAAATATATTTGTTTAAAACACAAAATTGAGAACAATTAAGCAAACCAGGGTTGTGGGGAATATCTTGAATTCTCAAAAGTAAAATTAATGTTCTCAGACAAATAGGGTCCAAGTGCATCAAAGAATTACACAAAAGTGCTCCATTCCATCTCCAGAAACTCAGACCCTCATCCCAAGAAAGGAAATTCTCTAATGTTGTTGTTCACACAAATTCATATCCATTTATGACTCGTGTCTATATTAACTCTTTGAAACAATTACAAACCCAAAAAAATCGCAACATGAAGCTTTCTAAAATCATTCTTTCCTTCCTAGTGTTGGCTGTTCTTGTTATTTGTGTTCTTCAGTGTGGACTTGAAACCACTCACGCTCAACGATTGAGTTTACAATGCACAGCACGTTGTGCTCGTTATTGGAAATGTCGAGCAGATAGTTTCTTTTTAGGACGTTGTCGTTATCCTCGTGGTTGCCAATGTAACAAATTCTTTTGGCAGTAATTTGTTAAATACGTGTAAAAAACTATTGTGAGAAAACAAGCAATGATGATGATGTGTAACACTTAGTAAAAAATAACAAACTATTGTGTTTGTGCTTCAGCCCAAAAAGCAGCCAACGGCACTTGTAAATAAACGTTGTAAATTGGCGGTAATGGTTGCCTTAATTTAAAAAAAAACCTTAATCTTCTGGTGAGCGTGTGCTTCAGATACAATGCTGCCAGCCCGAGATTTAACTGCTACTTTGAGTGAGGTGTATAAAATGCAGCCAGTGAAAAATATTTCATGTTCCAAGTTGGAGGAACTGAATTCAAAGAAAGCATTGTACATCGTGAAGAAGTATAATGAAGAGAGGATTGATGAAGAAAATGACTATGCGTTCATAAGCAAGGCTGAAACAGTTTCTGAACCCTCTTCGACCTCCCAAAGTCCGATTTCAAACATAAATATGATTCAGCAATTCAATCAGCAGATGCTCTTAATGAGAAAGGAACTTGATAAAGTCAAGAAAAACAGTGATGATCAAGAGAAAGAAATTACAATCATGAAGAAACAGAATCAGGATCTGAAGAGCGAAATTACGATCATGAAGAAACAGGTTACAACCTTGAAGAATCAGAATCAGGATCTACAGAGCGAAGTTACAACCTTGAAGAAACAGAATCAGGATCTACAGAGAGAAGTTACAACCTTGAAGAAACAGAATCAGGATGTCCTTCAATCTATCCATGAGATGCAGGAGGATATTGATGAAATGAAGTATGCTAACACTTTCGGGAAAGTGTTCAAATTTTTGTCATCTCTTATTTTAGGGCACGTATGTGAAGACTTGAAATCGAAATGGGAGAATGAACAAACTCAAGACAGAAAGGTCTGGATGATGGCAATAGAGCATTATATCAGCAGCGAATTGATTACAACCATCCCAGTTACCAAAGAGCAGCTTTCTGTTGTTTGGAGTGATTACCTTATCGTCAGAAAGGCAAGAAATAGGAAAACTTTGTCCAAGAAAGAAGCCGAGGTTCTTCTTAGTTGGTACGAGCAACATCATTTAAATGAAAATTAATATCCCAAATAAACAATGATTTAGCAGGTCTCGTTCAAAATTCTATTGTATTCAATAATCTCAAACACAGTCGTTAAACAATCCTTACGTGCTTTCATGGAGCTGGCCAGGTGCAAGTCGAGGTACGAGCAACAACATTCACAATTCTCAAAAGTCCCTCTAATTTACACGTAAAATAAATCACTTGAAATCATGCAACGAAAGGTGGTATCAAATTCTGATAACATGGCTGTTTTCATGAGAAACTTGTCAAAAGTATAAATCAAATATCCGTAACTTGAATCTTCGTCATCATCACTGTCGTATTGGTCAATGGATTCTAAAAACAACTCTGTTCCATCACTCAAAGTTTGTTGAGTTAATTTTTCATTGGAAAGCATTTCATGAAGAGGAGTGGAATGGTAGAATGTTAAATACGATCCGTCGTCCCAAATTTCAAATCCAACATCACTAATATCAGAACACTCACTGTCGCTGTCAGATCTGCAATCGCTGCATTGTTCAATGGAGATGTTCTCTTCGTTCTCTGCATGATCCTCTTCCATATAATAGTCACAATCCTCGTCACAAAATGATAGAAATTCCAGCTCACCATGCATTCGTTTGAGTAGTTCATTCATTGCTGTGGTGTTGTCACAAATAAATTTCAGAGCTATTAAATGCTCCTGTAAATCCGATAATTGGAGCTTGATGTTGCTTAATGGTTTTCCACCAAAATACAATATATGTCCACACTTAAACTCGTTTTCTGTAATAACATCATTGGTGTTCAACATAAAGAAATTGGAAATTTCACAGGCAAGTTTGGAAAGCTCAACCACAGTATTCTCTGAAACTTGTTGTAGTAGAGATAATGCTCCAGGAGTATAATATGCATCAGATTTGTAATCATTAGTAATGTCATTCACTACTCTCTTAAAAAGAAGTTTAGGATTTACCATATCTCGTCTTGACTTGAACGGTTGAATTTTTCGTTTCTTGAATTGGTTCTTGCCTGTCTCAAGGTTATTTTGAGTTTCATTGTGGAATTCTGATAATTTTCGTTTCTTATTTTCATACTCCTCGTTCAAACTTGTTCTATTTCGGAGCGTAATTTTGTGATGATAGGTCATGCTGTACAAATGTTCTTTGGTTTCTATTGACTCTGTCAATGAGAGAGCATTCTCGAGATTTAGGTAAGCATGTTCTTCCGCAAATTGTTCATCAAAATATGGATCACCACTCTTTGGCAGGTCGTTGGCATTTCTGACAACTTCTTGTAAGTATTCTTCGGAGAGAAATTCTTCCTCTTCACATTCATCACTCTCTTCATTGAAGATATTGCTACGTATGGTGTCATATGGCTCACGGAAGACAGTCGAGTGCTTCATGTGAATTGGCACGGTATTGGGCCCTTTTTCGAAATCAAGTTTTTCCTTATCCTCTTGTTCTACCTCGTCAAGATTAATCAATTGTTCAGTACAATCTCCACATTCATTGTTAACCGTTTGTAAATGTGCCTGAACGAATTGAGATCCAAACGTTTGTTCAAATAATGCAAATATTTCTTGGTATACAGTGTCGTTTGCATGACGTTTGACCATCAGATGGGATAAATATAGAGGTGAAATGTTAAAGATATTCGTTGATCGAATGAAAGGGTTAGCCTTGAAATCATTCAGCAAGCATTTTACAGTTTCCAATTGTTTCATTCTCACTGCATAGTGTAAAATGGTTAATCCAAGTGCATCTACTATTGATGACATGGAATAAGCTGAGACAATATGACTGAGCTGCTTCTGTTCCTCTCTTTCATAATATTGATTTTGTGTGTCAGCATTCCATTCAATGTTGACTTGTGAATGGTCAGAACTTTGTTGAGAAACTAATAATGAATCAATAGGATTGGTCAATTGAAGTGACCGATGTTCGAGACACCATTTCACTACATCCAAATTGTTTGCCCACAAAGCCAGAAATTGAAGTGTGAAACAATTTGAAACTCTGGGGATAAGATTGCTTTCTGCTCTATTAAAATTTCTATTGTGAAAGCCATCATAGAACAGCATATGACAAACAGGAATTCCCACCTCATTGAGATGTTGCATGATCCAAAGAGCAGCATTCACTGGTTGATTCGATGGATAGGTTGACTCTTGTTTTGCATACTCATCCCAAGTATGACTTGACAGAGTGACAATTTTCTTTGCGGAAAAATATTCCAAAGCCATAATAAAATATTGTCGAGGAATTATGCTTTTGAAATCATCCATTTGTATCCAGTGATAGCACACAGAATAATCCGTGAGAGAGTGGTCTTGCAAGAACTCGATCATATTCATATTCAATAAAGGTTTTTCAATAATGTCCTTTGTCTCAGCATGTTGCTGCATCGAACGCATTTCCTCTAACATGGGCTGAAACATTCTCAGAAAATAATGTTGTATCGATGGAGCCACTCTCTTTCTTCCAAAATATTGCAAAGTATCACCTCCGAGAGCGATGAAGAGTAAAAATCTCAATAACTTGTTATTGGCATAATTATCATCGCTCGCAAATAAATCAATCCATCCATTGACTACTCCAACAAATCCTCGGGTATCTCCTTCATCCATATTGTAATCATCAACCTCTTCATGGATGCATTTAAAAGTGTTCTCTCTTCGAGTCCGATACAGTAAATCGTGTAGCCAACTATGTAATTCATTCTCTTGCAATTGTACTTGAATTAATTCTCTCCAAAATGAAATATCCTCACCATCGGTGAGTGCATACCAGGCTTTGCAAACGTGTCGGAAGGTCAATACGCTTTGTGAGAGTGAAAACGGGTGACACACGTAACTAGAAATACTGATGATGATTTCGGGAGGCAACTCGTGTATTTTCATTTTTTTTATTGATTTTGTAATGTACGGAGTGTTGCCAGCAATGTAGCTTACAAAATTTATGCGCAAAATTTATTGATTTTGTAATGTACGGAGTGTTGTCTCGATTCTAATAAAGCTTGGTAGGGTCAAAACTAGGAGGTTGCCAACCAAGTTGAGCATCCAACACAAAATCTTGTCCCACCACAGTCATGTTCACATTGTCAATAGGTTCTTGAGTTGGATTGAAAGGACACAAACAATGATCCGAGCTGGTTGCCATTAAGGGTTCGCAATTAGTCAACCGTTCGTCGTCCTTTTGGATGTTCTCACTTTTTTTAGCGCTTTGATATTTCAACCAAAAACCTCTGTCAAGCCCTCTCAAAAAAACATAATCTTGTGAAGATGTGAAAAGAGGATGAACAGTTATGGCAAATTTCACAAATTCATCCAATTCCTTGTGAGTTTTGAAACAAAATGTGGAATTACTTTCAATTTTCTTTCTCATGGTTTGAATTAATTGAAGTGTATCATTGTCTGTGGTTATGACATTTGAATCCAACAACACTTTCTTCAATTCCTTGTCAACTTTGTAAACACGCTCACCAGATCCCAATTGTTTCATTTTCTTTAGAAACTTGTTAGTTTTGGCATCAATGTTGTGATTGAATTCAATTGACATGTTCAAAGCATCAATAGCAGCCTCAGTGAAGTGTTGACAATTACAGTCTTTTCTGTCATACGTTTTTGTTCCATTCCATTCAGCACAAAGCTTGGCAAGAGCTTCAATTTTTTGATTGACCCTCTGAGTTCCTTGAATGGTACCAATAGGGGCAACGAAAACAGCTTTGGCAGAAGAACGGTTTCGAACAATGGCAAGAGATTTGTCACCCCATTCCAAATACCAAGGACCAACAATCAATGCAGTGTGAAACTATTATATTCAATTTCAATAACACGTTGTTAATAAAGCTTCACAGATTACCATTTACACTTACCATTCCATAAGTTGTACCACCAGTCAAGCCAAACATTGATCCAAATTTTCTAATGAATCTGTGTTGAGTAGCTTCACTCAATTCAGTGATGACAAGTCTCACTTTCATAATGGAGTCGTTGGGAGTTCCAGGTGTCGTTCGCGTTTTATAATTCTCTAAACGCTGTGGATTCAAATATTCATACTTGAACCTGTCAGGGAATGTCAAATTCTGACAAATTGTTGCCCTGTACTTGGAATTCACACTTGTGGCTTCTGGAATGAAATCCAACTTTTGCTTACAAAAATCAAAAGCTTTCTTTTGTTCTGAACTGAATTGACTCTCATCCCAAGCAGCACATGGAAGAAATCCTAAATGATCAGTAACAGAAACAGTTGATGGGATCGAAACACTATTCATCGATTCATTCGTGATAAAATCTTGAGTGGGATGGATATCAGTGATCAAGTCTTCCATTTCACGAAAATGAGTGCCGAGATATTTGGCTTGAAATTCTTTCAAAGCGGCAACTTTTTTGACAATGGAATTGGCAAAACCTACTGGTACATTAAAACGTTTAAGATCATCGAGAGTCATTTGACCGAGTAATGCTCCATTGATCTGATGAGTTTTCAATACTTTTTTATTCATCATTTGAAAATTTTTGATGATCAATGAAAACAACCTACTTTCATGAACTTTTTTGTCTGTAATTTTTTGATTGGTCAAGAATTGAAGAACGACAGAAGTATCCCACTCGGAGAGAGGAATGTTGTCAACAGCGTCGTTTTGGGACATTTTTTTGAGTTAAATTTGAAAAATCAAACCGGTCGATATGTCATTTGTCAGCCTCTGAACCAATTTTCTGGGGATTTGAAAATGACAAATCAAACCGAACCTCGGCGTTATAGTTAATGCTTTATTAATAATATTGACTAATTTCAAAACGATTTACAATATCAATCCAATGACTCTTTTCTAGGAAAAAAGAGGATGATTTGTGATGTAAATCACTTCTCGAAATAATACCCAAACAGAAGTCACAGAAAAAATATATTTTTGTCGGTGCATGGATCTCGAAAATTCCTTATTAGGACCTGAATTAAAAACATCATTTATTTAGCAAGCAACAATCATTTCCGAACCAACAAAAAAATGCAACATAGCCATTTCGTTCTACTAAATGTCAGCACTAATTCAACGACCAATACAACAAGCTCATGTCCAGAAGTGGATCCTTCCGGACTGCAATACATTAAATGGATTTATATAATTTTCGGAGAATGTGTTCACTCGAGTTGGGAGCAAGCATCCTTCTATGTAGGAATGGCTAGCCTTTTCTTTTGGATGATTGCATTGTTTCCTCAAATTATTGCAAATTTTAGAAATAAGAGTGCTTCTTCATTAGCTCTTGGATATTTAATTCAGTCTACTCTCGGAGACTCGTGCAATTTTATCGCGTGCATCTTGTCGGGCCAATTAATGACTCAAATTTTTGTTGCTGGATATTTTGTGTTGATTGATATTGTTGTGATTGGACAATATATTTTCTACAAATTGAGAAAATCTAAAATTTTCCAAAAGAAGAAGCAACAACTAGATACCTCGAAAAAGCAAAATGACATTGAAATGGACCATGTATTCTTTCATGAGGAAAATGATATTGCTTCCATTCAACGAAATAGTGTGGATGAAAATCAATTTATCATGCACGACGATGAACATTTTAATCATGATGACGAACAACACCATGTCTCATTACTGCCAAATAGTAGTTCAAGTGCTTCTCAAACAAAACTGAAAGCATCTTCACTGGCTGCTCTACTCTCCGTTGTGATTGTTGTTTCGTTATATGTCTTTTTCAATAATCATTACCATCATGACATGATTGAAACAAGGTCTTCAAGTGGAAGAAAGTTACTGAGCTTGCATGAGGATATTACCTCAGACCCTCCCATGCCAAAACACAATGATTTTGTGTTCCCACCAAATAATGCCTTGTCCATTATTGGTTTCATTATTGGATGCATTTGCTCAATCATGTACATTGGTTCTCGAATTCCTCAACTCTACAAGAACTTTAAAGTAAGTAGTGATTCCTTTGGTTTCTCTGAGAAGAGCGTTGCTTGATGGATCCTTTTCAACATAATAGTCCAAAGACACTGAAGGTCTTTCTCGAATTTTCTTTTCCCTTGCAATCACGGGAAATATTTGTTATGCCACATCCATTTGGCTCTTTTCATTGGATGGACAATATTTATTGACAAGAATACCATGGCTTTTAGAAACTCATGTCAATGTGGTTCTGGACTCGATAATTCTCGCTCAAATATTCTATTACCATCGACATCGAAAAGTGCCAAGGGATGACTCTGTTTCGAGTGATGAAATGCAGCATAAGGACTCACTCAGTGTGGAACACAGCAACGATTCGAATTCTGTGGACTCTGCCAATCGATCTTCCCTAGATTCATCTGAAATGAAACTCGTTACAACAACCACAAGCAGCATTTCCAACAATTAAATTGTTAATAACGTTTTTTGATCCAATAATGAACTTGTCGCGAAATCACGCAGCATAGTTTCTAGAACAGAAAAAAAAATGGCTCGTAATTCGGAACCTCACGCATTGATCCAAGAAATACCAGATGAGCTCTGGATTGATATTTTCATGTATCTTACGGATTCTCTTTCCTCAGTCTTTCTCAATGTTCCACTCACATGTAAGAGATTCTTCCGAATTATTTATCATATTGATGATAATTATAAGGAATTTTTGGTGAACCATGCCACTTTCGGTTCTGATGATGATCATCATCAAAACACGCAAACTCTTACTGATAATCATGAGAGTCTTGTAGCAAAAGTAGAACGCAAGTTCAACTCCCTTTTTAGAAAAAAAGCAACAACAACCTCTGATCACGATACCACGATAACCACTCAACCAACCATACTAGATGATGACTGGCTACTTTATCCGGATTCTACGAGAGTGAATGAACCCTTGTACAAGTTATTGCTGCGGCTGTATAGTTTGAATAGCTTTGATGATGATCAGACTGAGGAATCGACCACAACTCAAGGTCACAACAACTTGAATACGAAAATGATGAGAGACTATGGTTCCTACAGGACTTGTTTTGAAAGGTTCAAATTATTTGGTTTTGCAATGAATCATTTACATTTATTTAGAAGAGAGCTCTGTTATACTGGAACCATGATCACCAATTTAGATGCTTACAAAAACACTACAACATTCGACATTCATCATTCACTTCCAACTGGAAATACGATTGTCATGACAGAGAATTTTGGCTCCTCCTCAGCTGGTATTAATGTGGTCAATCGACCCATGACCTACAATTCCGGAATTCATTATTTCGAATTTATTGTACATAAGAGCGGTCAATATGACAATTTCTTGATTGGAATTTTGTTAACTGAGAAATTGAAATTGGAAGAGTGTAAAGATAAAATCAATGAATCTGGAGAAAAGCTTGTGGATCGCTTCTTTGATGTGGATATCGAATATAATTTTCAGTTCAGAGACTACCTTGGTTCGTCCAACAATTTCAGTTTTGCCATTTATGATGAAGGAAATTGTGTGTATCACAAAGCTCACTCCACATATAATTGCTCTGAAAGGAAAAAGTATTGTACAGTCGATGAGAATATTGTGCGCAATAAGGGATTTGTGATTGGTGTTTATTTTGATTCGAAGAATTTCAAGCTTGCCTTTTCGAAAAGTAAGTGACAATGTTGCCGATCATCGTTAAATTCACACTTATTTCATATGACAAGATGGAGAGTTTATTTGTTCGATGGATTTTTCACAGAAAATGGTTGATCATCCACGGTTTGAAGCAGGTCAGCTTGCGTTTTATCCTGCCTTATCGATGGGTCAAACCAACGATGCATGTACTTTCTCTACAAAACTTTCTCTTCAAAAGTGCAGTGCCATTAAGAGTGTTGTCAAAGAACTCTTGTTTGAAAAAAAGTAGAATACAAATAATACTCGACAACCTTAACTCAGCCAAAACATGGTCTACTTTTTTTTATTTTGTAAAATTTCAAGCTTATCCTTTGCCTTTTGTTGTGACAAGCTCAGCTCTCCATGAGTCTTTTGCGTGAGATCTTGCAATTTCAATAACTTTTCAGGTACTTCTTGTTCGGCCTCCTCGAGAACTTTGATGAGTGGTGCACACAACTGAACGTCGTCAGGAGTGAAGAATGAAACAGAATTACCTTCCTTGCCAGCTCTTCCTGTTCTTCCAATCCTGTGAATATAGGAATCAATGTCATGAGGCATGTCATAATTCACAACATATCTCACATTCTCAATGTCCAAACCTCTTGCAGCAACATCGGTAGCAACCAAAATTGGAGTGTCTCCACTTCTAAATTCTTCCAAAACCCACTCTCGTTCCTCTTGCTTTCGCTCTCCATGAATGCTCAGAGAGGGCCATCCAGATTCCCTTAATTTTTGTGTCACAAAGTCCGTACGTTTCTTGGTTTTGCAGAAAATTAATGTACGACAATCATCAGGATCCTTAATCAGCTTGTCCAACATGTCAATTAATCTGGCCATCTTGTCACTATCTTGAATAAACATGAATGATTGCTTAACATTGTGATTGGCACTGGTTTCTATCGATCCAATATTTACAATAAAGTGTGGCTCACTTTTGCTTACGTATGACATTGCCATCGATTGCACAGCACGATTCCAAGTAGCACTGAAAAATAAAGTTTGTCTCTCGGGAGTAATTTGAGACGCAATTTGCGAAATTTGAGGATTGAAGCCCATGTCCAACATTCGGTCTGCTTCGTCCAAAACTAAATACGAGCACCGTTTCATGTTTGTGATACCAGCTTGTAAAAAATCAAGAAGTCTTCCTGGAGTTGCAATAATAATTTCTGGTTTTCCTCGACATTCCTTGATTTGGTTTTTTCGCACTTCACCTCCGTATAAGCATGCAATCTTGATGGGCTTGCTTTCCGATTGACTAGCATTACAAAATTTTTCACATTCTCTGTGAATTTGAATGGCTAACTCTCTCGTTGGTGTCAAAATGACCATGATTGGTCCCTCACCCTTCTTGAGCTCTTTTTGAGCTAACACATGCATTAAACCAGGCAACACAAACGCCAACGTTTTACCACTACCAGTCTCTGCTAAACCAATCATATCATAACCTTGCAACACCACTGGCCATGTTTGTTTCTGAATTGCAGTTGGTTCTTTGAATTGCATTTCTTGGATCTGTTTTTGAACAAAAGATGGAAAATTGAGTTGGGAAAATAGCAAGACTGGTTTTGGGATAATAGTTCCTTTGCGAGAGCAGAAAACTTTAATGTCTTCTTTTGCTCTAATCTCTGTCTCGTTTTTCATTGCTTTCACACTTGGATGTTCCACGTATAAATTCTTGACGATGTCCATCTTTTCAAATTCCTTTGGAACCTCCAATTCAAAATTGTAAAAGTTATTCAACAAGTCTTCCTTCTTGTTCATTTTACGTTTATCCGAGTCGTTGAGTTGTGAAAGAAAATCTTCATCTTGTTCCACATTTGTTTCCTGAATTTTGTTGTTGTCAGCTTTTTCATTTCCATTGGTCGAATGATGATCTTGAGGCTTGGAGAGGAGAGTTTTCTTTCGTGGAGGCTCCGAAGAAGGGGTACGTTTTGATGCGTTAGTCTTCTTTTGTTTTCCGTTATTTTTGCTCTGTGTGAGGTTGTTGGTGGATTCCGATGATGATGAATGATTTTTACTGGATGATGATTGAAGCTTTTCTGTGAGTTTTCGTTTCATTTTTTTTTTGAATTTCCTTTTTCTGTTGCATCAACAACTGTATGAGAACAACCAAAATTAACAACCCTGCCGAGCACACGTAAAAAACTATGAGCGAAGAAGGGCTTCGATCCCTTGGCCTTGCTGCTAAACAGGATTCGCAACGCTCTCCCACCTGAGCTACTCCGCCCAAAGAATATAACTCTAAACCAAGGTTGACTTTGGTTAGAACGTCATAAGGCATGTGGCACGGCAATCAAAATAAGCCCTCGTAATTACAAACCTAAAAAAATGAATTACGCTGTTTCATTGTCGCTGCTCACAACTGGTGTCATTCACTTGTTGCCACTTTCGGGAGCAATCGGATCCAATCAATTGCATGCTCTGTATGGTATTCCAATACAGGACCCGAATTTAATTATTTTAATGCGTCACCGAGCTGTGTTATTTGGAATTTTAGGTTCCTATTTGTGTTATGCTGCATTTCAACCACGACATGTCAAGAGTGCGCTGATGATGGGTTTGACAAGCGTCATTTCGTTTATGGTGTTAGCGTACATGTCTTTGGAAGGATATAATAAAGAAATTGCGAAAGTTTTTAAGGTGGATGTGGTGGCATTGGTGAGCTTGGTGGTTGGAACAGTTTTGCATTACAACCAGAAATGAGTTATGCTATTTGTGAAACAAGTTGTTCAATAATAGAATATGGGATTAACAAATTCACAAAATTGAAAAACAAGTTGTTCAATAATAGAATATGGGATTATTATAAAACAAGGTGCAACTGATGAGAAATGAGATTAATGAATATATATTCTCATTGTTTCAAACGACGATCCATTTATGGTGTCTTTACAAACTCAAAAATCGCTAAGGGCTGCTGGATCAAATTGATCATCTCTCTCCTCACCCCTACCACTATTGATATGTCGTAAACCATCGGTGAAATGCAACAATTCAATTGAATCATTTAGAAACTCTTGATCGCTTCTATTATTCAATTGATTGGTATCAATGGTATTATCAATGGTATTGGAATAACAATCCAACGTTGAATTTTGGAGTTCTACATTTGATGAGGATGTCACCTTACTTGTCGTTGATTCCAATAACAATCGAAGCAATAATTGTCTTAACATGGTATTCACATCCATACCATCGCACGAGGATGAGCACGATGATAAATTTCCAGAAATCAACCATTCAGAACTGGGCACATTTTGATGCATCGTTTGAGAGGAGGCAAGTGGAGTGCTTTGACCATCAGCAGTAACATACGAATATTGATACAAAGAGGATGATGAATGAAGAGCACCAAAATGGTTCGTGTTGAAGGAGTGAACTTGTGAAGAATGATCATTTACAAAAGAAGGACGTGCTTCGTGCATGTCATGGCATGGTTTTTGAGTCAACGAGTCATGTTGCAAGGGATGAGACTCAAGAGGAGAGAATGAATACAATTCATCCTCTTTCTGAGGTGGACTCTTCATAGTATTCAAATAATCTTGCAATGAAACACTTTGATACATCATTGTCTCAATAGACGAGCAGTAATTACTACTATTATTATTCTTGAATGATGATGAAATGGATGGAGTTGTTGTTGCAATTCTCAATGAAGTATCATGTAAAGTATGAATGGTCTCTGGACCTGCATGTTCATTGGTTAAACCCACCGAAACAGCATGCTTGTTCTTTTTCATGACTTTTCGTGGTTGTTCAACAATCTCTTTCGAGAGTGAGGAAGGTAATGGGGAAGGTAATAATTCATCATTGTTGTGATTATTCATGGAAGGTATCTGTTCTTCATTCGTGTTAGCTGGAGAATGCTTTCTCTTCTTCTTGTTGTTGTTGTTATCGAATTTCAAAGTTTTGCAATGAAATCTCTTCATCAATTTAGATCGTTCTTCATCCGTTGGTGGGATGTTAAGAGCAAATTTGAGAAGCTTGACATCTTGATCGAAGCTCATGTCCAGTTCGAAATAATTCTTTTTGAAATCGAGAGTATTGAGTTGCTTGCGAAGTTTTCTAGGTTGAGGAGCGGTAAGCTCGTTTCGCTTCATCTTGTTCTTTGACTGATCATGGATTGGATTGGAATTTTGATTTGGCATTTGACAGCACTAGGCAAGCACGAGGAAACAATTATTTCAAGCAGTGAGCTGAGTATTCGTTTTTTTCAATATTCCCAAAGCAATTCACTAACTGGCAACATTTAAAGCTGATGCTCAAAGATTCATCTCCAAATCATGGTCGGATCTTGTACGTGATTAGTGTTAAGCCGTTGTGTGAAAACACTCTTTCGAGCAAAGGAAACCCATTGCTGATCACTCATGAAATCTATTCAGCCAACCGTTTCGGAAAGCACATCTCATGCATGTGATAGGTGCTACATGTTTGGTCGATCGATCTTCTTGAACTTGAACCATACCAAATCTCTCGCCCAAAAAGTTTCTCAAAATTAGACAAATATGCAAAGGAGATGGCATTGATGAACAAAAAAAGGTCTCATGGGAGAGCCAATGCATTTGTACTATGGTTTTTGATGGAGAATCCTCAATGTATAATCTTACTATTTTCTAAATGAAGTGATACTTGCCAGTATTGGAATTGTCAAAAGTCAAAAATGAATATTTTCAAGAGACGTTTTCAGCGAATGATGCAGAATGGACTTGAGGCTTGTGAACACATGGACATACGGTGTAAGGTATTTCCAAAATGTCAATAATTATAAACACATAAACAACACAGGAAATGTCACTTGTCATTAATACCAAAGCAAATCATTTGGTTCAACCTGTTGCAAATCTCTCCAAAATCAGGCCTTTCATTAAAATTAGAATTCCAACATGCCTTCATAAGCTCAATATATTGTTTGGTAATTTCACATAACACTTGTAGAGAAACGCTCAAATTATCAGGTTGAACAAATTCCATAATCCATTCAGTCATTTCATTCTCTGAACTGAAAGGTATGACAGGTCGAATGCCTTTCAACACATTCACAAGAACATTAAATCCATTGAAATGAGTGGAATCGTGGTTCATGAACTTGTAAATTTTTTTGGAATGGCTGTTCATGTAAGGACTTTCCTCAAAAAATAATTCCCACATGATAATTGCAAAACTGTAAACATCCACTTTGTGATTGTAGGATGAATTTCCTTCCAACATTTCCTTAAATGAGTAAATCGTTCAAATGTAAAATAAACGGATCACACAGAAATTGTCATGACGTGCGACAGTTAACTATTGCAAAAAAATTATTCTAATTATTTTCACACTTACATTGGACATGTAGAATAGAGTTCCAACATTTGTGGTGGCAGAGTCTTTTGAAAATGTATCAGAGGTTCGACTCATTCCAAAGTCACAAATCTTGGAAGTGGAATTTTTGTCAATCAGCACATTACCAGGTTTTAAATCTCGATGAATTATACCTTTTGGTTTCAATGAATGTAAATAATTCATGCCTTTCGCCACTCCCAACAGAATATCAATTTTTCTGAAGAGATCTATTTTTTCAGTTCCTGATTTTGAATTATAAATCAACTTGTCTAAACTTCCCTTTTCCATAAATTCCACAACCAAATATTTCTTAGAACCAGCCATAATCACTCCAAAGAATTGCACAATATTAGGATGTCGAATATTTGCTAGTAAAGATGCCTCCTTTTCAAATTCTTCCTCATCCACATGAATGAGTTGTTCACCATGAGAAATCAATTCCTCTGAATAGTGTTTTAAAGTTTTTAAGGCAACCTTAGTTCCGTTCCAACTTGCCAAATATACCGTTCCACTTGCTCCTTCTGCAATCCTCTTTACAATTTCAATTTCATCAATTGAAATCATCCATGAGTGAGCTGTTGCAGAAGAGGATGACTTGTTGTTGATCGAATTTGTGTATTTGGTTATTCTAGAGGAATGACCATCAAAGAGTAATGATGTCTTTTCATCCACAATTTTTGACGATTGACCACTTTGTGTGGAATGTGATATCTCATTATCATTGCCATCCATCAACACCACCCTCTTTTCGAGCAATTTTGATTCCATTTTCTTCTCAGCGCGTAATCTTCGATCGAGCATTTTCAATCTGTGAACAATATTTCGAATTGCTCGAATTGCTAAATAAATCAATAGAACTGTAAATACAAATATAATGATGGTCACAATGGCTACCGCAGGAATGATTACATTATATGGAATATATGGTACTGAAGAACACAAATAAGTCCCTCCAGGAACGTTACGCAATGTTAAAAAAGTGCCCTCAGGGCACGGTAGAACATGAATGAACATTTCAATACTAAATTCTGAATTAATTTCAAGCACGGCCTTATAGGGTGTCGACTCGATAGAATAAATTGAAATGACAATGGAACGAAAGCCAATAGAATCGTTGCTTGGAATGTAGCTCACAAACGCATCTGAATTTGACATGGAATATAAAGCCAACGCATCATTTTCCAAAAATAATACTCTCTCGGTTTTGTTATTCCACAATTCGAGTTGTAACTTGTAAATTCCCTGACCAGGATAAATGAAAATTTCAGGTGTGGAATTGCTGTTGAAAATACTCCTGTTATTCTCTTGATAATAAATTTGGACTTGATAATCAATGTTGTAAAGTGGTATTCCAAAATCGTTGCCATAAGAATTACCAACATTTCCTTGAAAGACGTTACCGCTCGATTCTGAAAATTTCAATAAATGCTTGTCATGAGGAGAATGGAAAAAGATACATCCTCCCGAGAAGAGAGCTGTGTTGTTCACACAAGTCATCTCAAAGATTGTAGTGGTTAAAGAGGAATCAAATAGTCGTAAATATATGGCTCCTCCTCTAGATTGTGCCAAATTTCCATCAAATATTGAATATGTGCCCAAAAATTCACTAGATTCGACATAGAGAGCTCCTCCATTTTGTGCTTGGTTGTTTTTAAACTCACTGGACAAAGTCACAAAATAAGCTTGCACATTTAAGGCAGCACCATTGCATGAAGAACATGAATTGTTCACCATTTTACACATGTCCATTGAAAATGAGGTTGTTCCAACACCGCTGACCATGATTGCATTCACACAAGGCCCTGAATTTCTATAAAACTGGGTTGCATAGATTCCTACGGTTTGGGCATTGGAAATTGAAATGGGAGGAACTTGATTATCTGTGAAGACAGAGTTTTCAATGGACACATACGAGCATGTAATCATTTCTATCATATATCTCACGCCCTGAACGCTATTCACAAAAGAAAATTCAGATTTTGAAATGAGAATACGATTGGAAATTCCTTGAAAAAGTAAATATAACGCTCCTTCTTTTGCAATCAAGTCAACAAGCTCCACAGAATAGGTAAATTCAAAGAGTATCGAATTTTGTTGATACAATCTCACAGATTCAAAAGAAACGTCCTTGAATGCAAAAAGTGTGAAGATGGAGTCGAAAATGTTGCAATTTGAAATTCGAAATAGTTGATTTTGCCAAGGTGTAATCCACACATCATTTAAGGAACGATACACAAAGCGTCGAACCTCGCACCAGCTCATAGTTATGGTTGCAGCAGAGAGCGTGTGCAAGTCGCTATCACTCACTACGGAATGTGAAATATTTAAAGAAAATATTTGCAGAATATCAAATTTGCTCGTTATCATTTCACAACCATGCATGACCAAAATAATTTCTTCCGTTCCGACCACACTCGATTGTTTTTGTGACTTGAATTCAAATTGAAATAATTTCACGTGACGCATATTTAAAATTCGAGTGCCATCCACTCCCAAATGAAGTCTCGAAATATTCAACATGTTAAACAGTAAAGTCTTGATATCAAATTCATGTTGAGATTGAAACAAGACTTGTCCTTCACAATCCAATTCAATTCTTTGTTCCATCACACTACTGTCCGATTCAATGATCAAAAAATCAATCGTTTGTGAATATTGAATATTACATTGCTCTTTTCCATAGATTAAACTGCCAGAATTAAATTTGGGCATTAACAGTAAACGAATGGCCATTCGAGGAATCAAACTTTCATTGTACATTTTATCGGCCACATGAAGAGCATGTTGAATGGAAGGACAAGGATGATTCCGCTTGGTGCAATTAGACTCCAATAGTGTTTCTGGATGATCAGAGGGTCCTTCCGAAGGACTCACAAAAAGAGTAATTTCAAATTGCATTGCAGAATGATGATTGGAGAGTTGTTGCTGAAAACCATTATTATTTTCGTTGTTTGTTGTACTAATAAATGTGAAGAAGAAGAATGGGATAAATCTGAGATGAATTTCGGTTCCGAGGCGGTCAGTTCATCAGATCGACCAAGTTCACACTGTAACCACAACAACACCAAGAAAAACACCAACAAGAAGGGGAAACGACATGGGAACCCAAACCAAAGCATTTTTCTTCAATTTCTGAATTGAGTCAACCAAGAGTTCACGACAACTTCAAAAAAATGCCTTCAAAAGCTAGTTCATCATCGTCATGCAACAATTCAAAGATTTCTACAACTAACAGCAATAACTCAAAGAAAAAATCATATGATAAATATGGAAATTCAGACAAGTATCATTTCTTTTGGAAAGATAAATCACCGTTCAGTAATTGGCATACTGCTCCGTATACGCTAAACGGACACAGATTTGAAAATACAGAGGTAGGAATGATGTATGAAAAGGCCATGTTGTTTAACGACCATGAAATTGCTTCCCAAATTTTAGAGACATCAAGTCCCTCAACTGCAAAAAACTTGGGAAGGTTAGTCTCAAATTTTGATGAACAAATTTGGCAACAACATCGTGAGGAATTGGTTTATAAACATTTAATGGCAAAATTCACGCAGAATGAACATTTAAAAAAAGCACTACTTGAGACAGGAGACAAAACATTGGCTGAAGCTTCTCCGAGTGATTGTATTTGGGGTATTGGATTGAAAGAAGAGGATGCCATCGAAACTCATCCAAACAATTGGAGAGGCTTGAATTTATTGGGTAAATTATTGACACGGGTGAAGGAAGAATTGAAGAACTCTAATTTGTAAATAAGGTCTTCACAGATTGAATAAGTTAATGTGTATGTACAGAAAAAAGAACAATTGAAACATCATTAAAACGACTTGACATCATCAGGAACACATAGAAAAGCACTGCAAGCCATCGGCCGTTTTTGAGTAGTCAATTGTGATCTTGTCGATTGTGAAATGATAATGAAAGGTATGGATCGATGACGTACTGGACCCGGCTTGATTAAGGAATTTCTTTTTTTATCCAACAGAGAACCAGGAGATGAAGCAGCATCTTCCTCATAATAAGGAGTATCTGCTTCTGTTTGAGACGTATCCAGTGATTGGTGTTGTTGAGAGAGGATCATATTTGAAGAAGAAGGATGGGAGGTACTGGTACAATCTGAAGATGAGGACTCTTGACAACACTTTCCATCACTCTGTGAACCATAAGAGATCAAGTCAATGACCACTTTCTCTGATGTTTCTGTTTGAAGAGTTGCATTGGAATGTAACACTACACTTGCACAGCTGCCCATGATGACGATATTGAATTATTAAGGTTGAGATTCTCGGACGATGGTTGTTAACAATTTGTTTTTGGTAAGATTGTGTCATGATCGCCAGGGTGTGATTTCAATTTATACGTTTCGTGATTGACGCTCGAGTAGTATTGCATTGTTTTGGTCATGAGGCGCATGTTCCACACTTGGAGGCCACATCAAGCTCACGACCATTTTTGAACGGCACGGGTTTGTTTTAATGTAAAACGCGGTTCCCTTGACACATGTTTTTTTTTATACATTCCTTAATAAGAGTGAGTGAGGTGGGGATTTCTCAAGTAACGACTATCTAGACAGTTCTCATCTCGTACGAATTGGGTACTGACTGTTCATTCAAGAATCGACATCATCGTGATGGAAGAAGATGGAAATTAGAGAAAGGCATGAACCATTAAGATTCAACATGAACAATTATAGATAATGTTACGGTTTATTGGACACTACAGTACCTTTTCGGGCATCATTCCATATATTGGCCGAAGGAATGAAGTGCGCTTCGACCACGTACTCATGACGTCCTTCACCTGATGGCGTCTATTACCAGAGTGTACAGACATTGTTTGTGGGGTTATCAACCTTAATTAAGTCCATTTGCACATGCAGGAGCACAATAGTAATCCCCACTTGTCGTATTGATGAAATGATATGATCTAATTGTGCACTTTCAAGAATATTAATGCTTCCAAACAACAACAATTAGCAACAATTAGCAGCGATATCGTCCAAGTAAGAAAATAATATTTCCAACGTTGAAGGAATGAAATTAGTTCTCAACGCCATCTGTGATTCAAGACTATGGAAGATCATGTGTTGGAAACTGATGATCATGTTGGGGAATAACGAGAATGATGAAATGGATATGGACTGATGATGGTCAATATGTCTTTGACTCATATTTATGAGACGAATCATTATACAAAAAATCAATACTGTACACTTTGGCAAGTACTTTTTTCAAATAGTCTGAATTGTTATTTCTAAGGCTGTACAGTCCATGTAAGGAATACAATTCACAACAAAACAATAACTTAATAGAGTAAATTCTTAATCGAATATGTGAAAAGAGGTAAGACGTCATGAATAACTTGGGTTTTAGAAAGTATTCAATAACAGGCCTACCTATGATTTAAAACGCCCGGTTTGTAAGCCATAATTTATTAACCTTAAAAAAATTCCTTAACTCATCATGAACAGCATTGGATCGGACTCAAGCGCTTCATCGTCGCATCCAACAATCACGACCAATTCTGAATGGGAACTTGCTCTTGAACAATTAGAGATTGAAAAGAAAAAATTACAGAATGAAAAGAAAAAATTACAGAATGAAAAGAAAAAATTACAGATTGAAAAGGAAAAATTACAGATGGAAAAGGAAAAATTAGAAATTATGAGGACTAACGCAAAGATTGAAAAGGAAAAGATCGCAAGTAGAGAACGAATAAAAATGAAGGAGCTTGAATTGAAATACGGTCAAACTCCAAAAAGAAGAAGCAGTTCAAACGATTCTGTTTCCAATGCCCAGTACTTTCAAAATAAGGTAAAGGAAAATGCGATCAAAGATCATTTAGAAGTTCCTTCTTGGCTACTAACTGAAAATGATATTCCTTATCATAGAGTTTCAGAATTTCATATCAGTACTGAGGCAGATGTCCAAGATTGTTTTATTAGGGAATTGAAGAAACACATCGATGCGTATCATGTAACGTATTTGGATACAAGATACGTTTCTGTTGTGCAAGGACTCTCCCCCCATCTCACTCTCATCCCGAAACCAATAACCATTGCCAAAACACACTACTCGGGTGTTGCATGCTTTGAGGGTCTATCGTTTCTTGCTTCCGGTTTTATTGAATTCATGAACCCATCCAATAGATTTGGAAGCGATGAACAAAAAGGCCAGCTTATCGCACTTCTGATGAAAACTCTCCAGAATCACGTTTCCAAAACTGAGGTTGTCGGTTGCCTTTCCAACTTTCATAAAATCATTTTTATGAGAGCAAAAAGAGCACCCAATCTTAAAACCATCTATTGTGAAATCACCAAAGAGTTTGAGTTGTTCGGTGAAGATACTACTTATGAAGGGTGGAAGTATTTGTTTAACATGCTGAAATATAACTGTGACGAGGAAGTAACAATGTCTCCTGCAATTGAGCACACATTCGAGTCAACACTTGGTAAAGGGGCTTCTTCATATGTGTTCGCTATGAACAACAAGACTATTGCTCTAAAACTGTTTGCACCAAATGAAGAAACAATGCACACCTTTAAAAACGAAACACAGACGTTGAACACGCTAAAAGGGATTCCTGGACTTCCTGAAATACTTGATATTGGTGAAAATTATTTCACCATGAAAATGTACTCTCCTCTTTCTTACGCACCCACCAGTCAAGAAATGATTCAACTCCTGCGTATTCTTCAACAAGCTCATGCGCGCAAAGTGTTTCACAGAGACGTTAGGCCTGAAAATATATTAAGACACCACTGTTCAAACGAAAATAATATGGTATTAATTGACTGGGGATTTGCTTGTAACGATGATTCGTTGATAGGGTTTGCTGGAACTGCTAACTTTTGTGCTTCAGAGTATGGACGAAAATTCTTGCAATGCGAAATGGATGACTTTCCATATTTCGCCAGATATGACTGTGAAAGTTTGGTGAAATGCTTTGCTTACATGAAGGATGAACAGTTAAAACATAATCTATCAAAATTGAGATCCCTGCCATTTCTAGAACGAGTGGAGCAAGCTTTGGAAATTTGGACTGAGTATGAAGAGAAAGACAAGGTGTTCAAAGATGCAATGCGTGGAATGACTGTCGATTGTTATAAAGCTGTTGAAAACTATATTGACCGTCGTGTGAAGAGAGAGCTCATGAATTGTGATTACGACTAATATCTTAGATTTCATCCGTGTTCTTGAGCGATTATTTCTTCGAAGAGTGGTGCAAAAGGTCCCAAGAAACCTTAGTCATGCAAGCTACACCAGAATAAACTGAATTTTTCTCGGTCACTGCTTTGAAGCAAAGTCTATTATAGAATGGTTTTTACTTAGGCTTGACCATTCAATTCATTCATCCATTGTCTTTGGTGTTTTTTTTGTGATTCGATTTGAAAATTGTGACCTGGCATGGACCCTTTAACAACTGTTCATGTCAATAGTTACTCACTTCCCTCATCAGCAACTATAACGCGTAAATCTTTGCCGTGACAAACTTTTGGAGTTTGTGACAAGATCAGAACGATGGAAATGAATACTAATGGTGTCATCCCAACTTCTGATTGCATTCTTAAAGTCGAATAGACGACCATTGCCGCTTGATTAATGTTCATGAGAACAGTCTCATTCTTTTCACGTTTCAAAAATCGGATGTTGATTTTCAATTTTTTTTGCGAGAGCCGACGCACCACATCACGTTCGCTTGCAACAGCAGCAACTCCATGGTGTTTTGAAACCTTTGAATTTGGTTGCGTTCAGGTATTCCCAAACTAAAAAAAACACACCAAAGAGATGAAAGAACCTGCAATCCCTCGCCATCTGCAATCCAATCTGTTGGCCCAACGATCAAAAAACAATCCAATCCACAAGCCACAAACACCATCGTCTGCTTTCTTCAAACAACAACAACCACCACCACCCACTGACTTTCATGGAAAGCGACCGGTTGAGCCATGTCTTGATGAACCATTCGATCCAAGCAGTAGACACTCAGAGGTCGCAACAAACAAGAGTACACGAACCTCTCCTCGTTCGTCATTTACATTCGAGTGTGATCAATCACAACACCCATTGCAACTTGTTGACATTTTACAAAACGTGATGAGTTTCATTCATGATGAATACTTCTTGTCCACCATTGTAAGCTTAATGTGTTGCAACAAGACCATTGCTGGAGAATGTTTGAGTCAAGAATCAGCCAATCGATTGTGGAAAGATCGATTGCTCAATGTCACTTCCAAAGGATTGGTTGATTTTGTGACAAGAGATCTTGTTCAAAGATTTTCGAATTTGATCACAAGACATTCCAAATTGATTGTGAATGGATGTCACACTCTCGATACAAGCACCATTGGATTGTGTGAAGCTTTCCATAGAGTGACTCTTATTGGTGTTTCTTTCACTAATCGATCCATCAGTGACTTGTTGGGAAGAAGAAGCCACATTCAAAGTCTCACTTTTGAAAATTGTCAATTCCGATCAGGAGAAACGTCCAAGACTCGAATTTCATCTGAGCGTTTGACAAATGTCTCATTGAATAACTCTCTCCCATTGTTTTCCATCGTTGAGAAGCATCTACCGTGCATTGAAACATTAGAATGCAATGGTTATTTGAAAGAAAAAGAATTGCAACTCATGGAAAATCCTTCGTTTGGTACACGTTTGAAAACTTTGAAATTGTGGAAAAAATTCCCATCGACTGTGAATATTAACAACAACAACAACAACAACAACAATAGACTCTTCCCACACATTTTGAAAATTGAGCACATGTCAGCATTGACTTCATTAACCATTCCCAATTTGTATTCTGTTCAATCCATTCCTGTCAATGTCCAACATTTAAGTCTGTGCCATTGTCAACAAGATACATTGAGTCAAGCCATTCGCAAACCACTTTCTCACATCTCTTCCCTTACCATTTATCAATTGTCATTGAATCCAGGTTTGTCATTGTCAACCTTAATTAAGGCCTTTTGTACAGCTTTTCCAAACCTCAAATATCTCACTTTGCCAGAATCTATTCTTCAAAATTCATTGGCAAACGTTCATCCAAACTCTTCAACCTATTTAACTGGATCGTCACTGAATGAACCTTCCGAATTGTGTAAAATCAATATTTTACATTCTGCAAACGCATGGCCCATGTTTGTGAATGGTCTTCTCTATGAGTTGAGTCTTTCATTCCCTAATTGCAATTTCATGACGAGCTTGGAGAAAGTTGTGGAAGGTGCACATTGTGACATTTCAAGAATCGATTGGAACATGTCAAAAACAATCTATTACTTTCATCTTGAGAATTATTTCAAGAAAATTCATCGATGGTATCAACTCTATCATGATCAACCCAAATTACGAAGCAAAATTGATGAAATGCGACAGGGCATTGTCAAATTGTGTACTCTCCAAATTGTGGAATCTAACAAGCAACAACTAGCTGAAATATTGGGCAATTTAAATGACCAAGTGATCGAATTCGAAGGAATGAATCTCTACCTCCAGAATATCGTTGATTTAAGAAGAGAACAATTGAACATCTTTTTGGATTTTATGAACTCGGCTCTCGAATATCCCGTGTCTCAAAAAGCATGTCGCATCATTCAGGAGCTTACTGAATTGCAAAACAATTCCAAAGAACGAATTCATGTCGATATGAGGAGTGAACAAGTGAAGAAGAGTGGCATTGGAACATTCACTTGTCATGCTGCTTCGAATGACTCTGTGAGTCAGTACATTCTACAAGGTATTGAAGAACTTTCTCAATGCGTGAAAGAAATGGAGAATATCTTAATGACCATGTTTCATACGAGTTCAAAAGTGTTGAGACGTAATGAATGGTATTCCAATGATATTATTGAAGTGTATGATGAACCTGGAGAGGAGAATCATCTTTTTGATATTCAATTTGATGAAATGACTGATACCTCGGATCATGAGGATGAAGAATCAGAGAGTGAATTTGAGATGATGAACGATGGTCATGAATCCATTGGTTGTTAATTCCAAAGTTTGAGATTTGAACTTGTATCAATTTAGATTCGTGTGATTGAAAATAAATTCCAGTCGTTGAAAAGAATGAATCATCAGCTCATGGCTTGTGGATAACGAGAGATTCAACAAAAATTTTGTCTTGTTTGACCAAATGCCAAAGAATAAAAAGGAATTGAGAAATCGTCGAATAGATGACGCTCGTCACCAACACAACAAGAGGAAACAAGAGATCAAAAATAGATTTTAAAAAAAACAAAAAAATCAAACCACCAGTTCCGTTATAAGGTTGGTTTCTATTCCGATTCTTCGTGCAGGATAATTGTTTGTGTGGCCACATCTGCTTTTCTTTTGTATTTTATCATCATCTTAATATTTACTCTGATTTTTTGTGGAAACATTTTACATCATCATCACCTTTAGAAATTGAAAATGAAGGTAACCATTAGATGCAGTAACGGAGATACATTCTCTATTGATAATGTGGATATTGATAATACTGTTGAAGAGTTTAAACAAGTCGTTGCTAATCATTCCAATATTCCAGCCTCCGATCAACGTTTAATCTACAGAGGAAAAGTACTCAAGGATCAAGCCACATTGAAGAGTTATAACGTTGAAGAAGGTCTTACTATTCACTTGGTGAGAGGCAAACCATCTGGTGCCACTACTTCTACTTCTTCAACCACCTCTGCAACAACAACGCCGCCATCCACAACTACTCAAACCTCGTCAACTGTACCATCATCCACTACTACTACGGGCAGCACAACTACGAATAACACAACCTCCCAACAAACGACTACCAACCAACAACAAAATCCTTTCAATTTGTTTGGAAATTTAGGTGGTTTTGGTGGAGGAGACAATAACATGTTCGGAGCTGGTGGAATGCCAAACGTAGATCCTAATATGATGCAACAAATGATGAATAATCCTTTTGTACAAAGTATGCTCAACAATCCAGATTTCATTCGTGAAATGATGAGCTCTAATCCTCAAATGCAACAAATTATGAGAAATAATCCTGAAGTTGGTAGAATGCTTCAAGATCCTGAAATGATCAGAAGAGCAATGGAAATGGCAAGAAATCCAGAACTTATGAGAGAAATGATGAGAAATACTGATTTGGCTATGAGTAATATTGAAAATCTTCCAGGAGGTTTTGACGCTCTTAGAAGAATGTATAGCGATATTCAAGAACCTTTGCATGAAGCCACCTCTGAAATGTTTAGAGGAACAACATCAACAACAGAGCAACCAACAACATCAAACACACAGAGCTCTGTGCCACCTGGGCAACCATTTAACATGTGGGGAAATAATCCTGCCGGAACAGGAACAGCAACAACAACACCACCTACTACCAACACATCATCAACAACAACACCTACTGCCAACACTGAAAACACAGCAAATACCAATCCATTTGCAAGCATGTTTGGTCAAATGGGAATGGGTGGAATGGGAGGTATGCAACCAAACTTGGGCGGAATGAATCCACAACAAGTTCAACAAATGATGAACAATCCTTTCATGCAAAGAATGATGGGGGAAATGCTTTCTGACCCACAAATGTTGGATCAGCTCATCAACTCCAACCCAATGTTACAGCAAATGACTCAAAACAATCCAATGTTGAGAACCATGCTAAGCAATCCTCAATTTATTCAACAAGTAATGCAATTGCAAGGAATGCTCAATCAACCTCAAGGCGGTACCACAAATACTTCCACAACAACCGGAGGAAACACTTTCCCACAAATGCCAAACCCATTCTTATTTGGCAATCCATGGATGGGCGGACAAATGCCAACAACAACAACCACTGCCAATACACAACCTCCACGAGAACGATTTGCCTCACAACTTTCTCAACTACAAGAAATGGGCTTTTTTGACGAACAATCAAACATTGAGGCTCTTTTGGCCACTAACGGAAATGTCAATGCTGCCGTTGAATATCTGCTATCCAACCCTCCACCATCAAGAAATAACTAATAATGTAATTTATTCAGTAAATAAAAACAACAAGATGTTGCAATTTTACCATTGGTTTGTTTGTGGCAACTAAAACTTTCTATTCGAAAACCAATTCTTCATCATGTGTCCAGACACGACCTTAATTTGATGATAGAATGAATAGAAATCCAATGTTGTAAAAAGAGCAGACATCAAAGGATAACAGGCTCCCAACACCACACCTGGGAATCCTCTTCCATATTCCATCATGTAGGTATGAGGAGCTGATTTATAGGAACATGCCTCAAATCTTGGTAAAAAGGTCATGTCTCCTGGTTTGTAGTACAGACCTCTGATATTGCCAGGAGTGTAAGTTTCATGATGTCCCTATAATTTGAAATTTCAAGGTTTTATAGATACAAAGAGTTTCATTATTGGTATGGACAGTGAGTTCAGAAAAATTCAAGCCAACCTACCTGAATAATAAAGTCATAAACATCCATCATGTATCGTCCAGAATATCCACTGGTACCCACTGGTGTTCCATACAGCTTTTATAATGATTTCACAAAACATATTTCACAAATACTACTTGTACACAATCGTTCACTTACAATAATATATTCAGTAAAACTAAAATGGAACACACAAATATGACCAAGAGCTCCCTATACATTGGTAGTTCATCCCATAAATCATCATCCAAATTGCATTTGTATCATGCATGAATATTTACAATCATGATTTACAAAAATTTAGATCTTTCATAACACATTTCAATAATACCTACACCACACATATTAAACATCCATTGTTCTTTCATCTTTTTACTATCAAAGAAATTCATCGTTTTCACATCCGAACAATAATTTGGATATTTTTCACACAATTGCTCCAAAATATATTGACATCTCCTTTCAAAAATCGTGTCTGGATTTTCTGAAGTCAAAATATATTTTCCATCCATGTCAGGAGTTTCTCGAATCCAATCTCGTGCTAAATCTGTAATTTCACAAACGGATGTTTCTTCCTTTCCATGTTTGAGTGGTCCTAATGAAACTGGAAAATGATTGGGATATTTCTCGACAGCTTTTTTAACGATTTGATCCAATTCTTTGGGATCAAAGATGAAATGTCGGGAGAGGAGATTTTCAAAAATTCGGAATTTGGCACAAGTGTACAATGCGAGAAAGGCAATGACGCAAATCGTTGCGAGACATAAAAACATCATTTTTTTTTCAAATTTTTTAATGTAAAAATTAAGCCAAGTTGATTTTTGGCACTTCCTCGAGGGATTATTGTGTGATCCTGGCTGCAACAATAACCTCTTTCAATGGATTTGTTTTTAATTTTCCAAATATGAATGAGGACTCAAAAAGTATCGAATCAACATGAATTTTTATTCACACCAATTTTGGTCTTGTCACAACGACCAACGATTAAAAAAATTGTGACGACATTCGTAAGCCCACAAGGTAAGTCCTTGCAGCGTTCTTGACGCAAGTTAGTATTCATACATTCTCCTCGGACTGATCATGATAGATGAACATACAAAAACAAGGAATTCAATGGATCAAGATGAACTCAAAGATCCGAGCATCCATGATCAAATCTCCCCTAAATTCAACATTTCGTTGTTTTTCTACTTCATCTAAATTCAATGCTCTATCCGTTTCTTCATTCTATGATTTAAAGGCAAAAGATATTGATGGAAAGATCATTGACTTTTCAACCTTTAAGAAAAAAGTTTGTCTTGTGGTCAATATCAATGAGGATGAATTGATCAGAATGAGTAAACTCGGACACATGACTCATCCGACCGAATATAAACAATTAATGGAATTACGCCTTTTGAATGAAAAGTATGGTAAAAAAGACTTGTCCATTTTAGCATTTCCAACGTGTGAAAAAGAGGTGACTCACGAACATTCTCCACCTCAATACAATGTCAATTCCATTGTGAAGGATCCAAAACAAGCTGAACAAGATATTAAGCAAGCGATTCATGACACTTTCAAAGTCATGGCTCCCATTCACTTGAATAATTCTCATCAAGAAAATGAAGTATTTGCATTCTTAAAAGAAAAAGCAGAAGAATTGGAAAAGAAAATTGCAAGACATCCTGAACTATTGGAAGGAGAAGATATTTCAGTGATTCAAATGTTCACCAAATTTTTAGTGAATCGAAGAGGACAAGTGGTCGCAAGATTTGGAAAGGATGTAGAGCCTGAACAAATGCAAGTTTGGATTGAGCAATTACTTGCTGAAAAAGTTTAATTTAAGGAATATGAAAGTAAGGACACACTTTGACCACTGTAATTGGATAATTAATCAATGATTGGTTATGATTTGAATTGTGCCTCTAATTTAAAATACGAAATATAATAATACTCATTCTTCATTGACTGAACACTATTTATGATTCATAAATTGTTTCATTCCGACGCATCGGAAAGTAGTAAACTAATATTCAGCAGAGGAGCTGCGATGGATTTTTCTCCAATTGTTGCCAAGTTCCGTTTTCAGAAAAGTCCATCTCCAACGTATACATGCGAAAAGTATTTAGAACGATGAATAGGATACTCGAAGAAATTCAATGATACTGTTTCAAGAGGTATGCTTCAGGAATGACCTTATTTGAACAATTTAAATATAAAGGTAAATCCAGGTGGTCGTTGAAAACCACAAACGGTCCATTTAAATAGAGTTCAGTAATGGGATATTCTTGTATATGGCATGATCGTTGAAAGAAATGGTATAATTATTTCCATTCAAAGCCATGAATGAAACCCCAATGGATAAATGTTTCAAAAGGTAATAAAAACAATTTGAACAAGCTTTACAAAAATATTTATTGCAATAACTTTCATCACTCAACCGTTAATTATTAATCAAAAAGAAAATATCGTTGAAAATACAGTGCGTTGGGATTTCCTCTCTCATGAATCCACTTTCGAGTCAATTACCCCCGAAAGGTGTTTCATCCTCCTCGTCCTCAACTCCAGTTTCATCATCGGGATCTACCTTGTGGTTCTCTTTCAATAATAATTCTCAAGATCAAAAAGTTCCTCCTTCCGAAACGCTTCATACTTCTCTTCATCCCTTGTCGATCCATGTAGAACAAGAGAAGAGTCGTTTGAATTCAACTTGCTCACAACAGGAAGATCAAGATAAATCATCCAATATATCCTCAACGTTGAATACAGAAGAATCCTCGTCCGAGGTTGTTTCTACACCTAATCCAAGTGCTGCTGATAGTATTCAACACAGTGAAAATCGATCATCTTTACATCTTATTCAGGAATTGACCAAATTACTCAAAATGGAAAAAGAAAAAAACAGAATATTGCTCATGGAAAAACAAATTTGGAAGCAAAAAGAAAAACACCTCTCTCAAATTTTACACAATGATTTGGAAAATCTTAAACAACTTTCAGATGGCACAAGTACAAGCATTGGAAATTCCACTCCACAATCGACGACAAATTCCATGTTTTTTCAAAATTTCAACAATTACAACAATTCTCAATATTCGAATATGAATGAAACGGTCAATACTAATGGTTGCTTTACTCCAATGACGAGTACTTCATCAGCACCCTCTCCAGTTACATCATGTTCTTCAAGATCACAAATTCATAACAACATGACCACTCCAATTCCACCACCGAAACCTCTTCGATTAGTGACACGAGTTAATACTTCCAGAAAAGAAGCTAAGGAAGAGGATTTATTAGAATATATCAAAGAATTTATTAATTTAGAAAAGGAATATATGATGGCCATGAAGTGTGTGAATCGATACTTCCTCCCACTCATTCATGAATGTTTCAAGAAGAGAGAAATTTCTTGCTTTCCCAATTTGTTGGCAATGGATCATTTGCTAGTCCTGATGAAATTGAATTCTCAACTTTATCAAGAATTTGACAATTTACTACATCAGAGCCATTCCAAGAGGTCCAAAAATTGCGGTTCACAAGATCAGCTTGCTGAGCATACGACCTTGTTCGAAGGGTTCTTAACTATACTATCTGAAAATGTCCACAAATTGAGAATTTTCAAACTTTACACCGAGCATCTTCCTACCATGTTACAACTTGTAAAGAAGGAATTGAAAAGTAATGAAGTATTTCGAGAGTATGTGAGACGAAGTGAAAAACACTTGTACTCCCTCAAAGGTTCATTGTGGAGAGTAGATTCGTTTTTCAAGTTTCCCTTAGAGTACATTCCAAGGGCGCTGGAGATTTTACAACAGTTGAAATCAGTTGTAGAGAGAGGTAGATATGCAGAGAGTGAGACGCTTGCAATGATTGTCGAAAAGTATTCAAAAATCCAAAGTCACATCTACAAATCAACGAAACCCAAGGTGGATTTGTCTCAAATGACCGAAATTGCAGAATCACTCGAAATGATTGGTTTAGTGACTGCAAGTAGGTATTTGATTAAGAGTGGTCTTGCCGAGAAGATGAGAGAAAGTGGAGCAGTGACGCCGTGTCGATTATTTCTTTTCAATGATATGCTCATTATAAAATACACTCGAAAGTATAGGTGGCTTTGGTAAGTAGCAATTGGGTATCCTAATCCACAAATTGACGCTTGACAGCGTTAAAAAAGTAGTTTTTTATCTGGATGAAATTTGTTTACAGCGACTACCACTTGTTTGCGTTAAAAACTATGACAGTAATCCTTACCTACTGACTGTGATTAGAGGAAATTTTGAACAAAAGCAATATAGCATAACAATACGGTTTCGAGAGGTGCAAGAGGTTTCAGAATGGATGGAATTGATTGAGGATTGTATTGACAAGGAGTGTACATCGATTATCGATGCGTCAGCCAGATGGTTTCCAGATGAGCAATCAAAATAAGTTAAATAGTCCAAAATTGCAAAATTATCAAATAAATGTTGAGGCCTAGTTGAAGTGATCAACACTAATTGTTGCTGTTACTTCCAGATGTGGATGCCGTGCCTTGTGAAACAATATTCTTTTGAGCCTTGCCTAATTCGACGGTTCTCGCTCGTTGTGCAAAGCCAAGAGAGCACAACGTTTCTGGGCAGCTTTCAACGGTTGGACTCACATTCACAAACATGAGCATCTTTGAATTGCCACCCAAGGAATCTTGAAGAAGGGATGTTAGTTTAGAATTTCTGTAAGGAATGTGACCCTTCTTTGATGAAAGAGCAGAAATGACGTCACCCAAAGCGCTTAAACTCTTATTGATGCTTTGAGCCTCCTTCAATCGATCACCCTTAACATCCGTTCTCTTCAACCTTTCACTTCCAGCCAAGTCAATCAAGTGGAGTTTTCCTGATAGTTTTTGCTGGGTATAAAGATTCACTCCTTCTACAAACACGCTTACAATGCAATGAGATCTAGAACTGTGAGCATTGATGTTGTTACTTCCAGTGGCTCTATTTTCATATCCTTGAGAGAGAACTTTTCTGACATCGTCCGAAGAATTAACTTTTATGCGAGTCAAGCCTGGTACCGACACCTTGTTGCTGAGCATGATTTCTAGCTTGGTCTTGTCTTTGGTCAGCAGATCATGAAGGTTTTCATTGTAAATTTCCATGACAGCCACTTCGACTTCATAACTGTATTCTCCTTTTCGTTCTTTGATCATGAAGAACACTTCATCCAGAGTATTGTAATTGACTCCTCTATTATTTGGAGGCCCCTCCATTGTAAATGTCTAGTTATTTTGGTTGTGACAGAATTGAAATTAATAGGAAGAATAACATCATAACATACCTTGCCTGAACCAGTTTGCCCATATGCGAAAATACAAACATTATATCCATCCAAAATCGAAGTTGCCAAAGGTTTAACATCTTCAAACACTTGAGCCTGTGTTGAATCAATTCCAAATACACTATCAAACTCAAATTTGTAAGACTTTTTGGCTTCCTTGTCATAAACTTTCACTTCCTTATCGTCAACACATTCAATACAATTTTCAGTTTGTCCATCTTCGGGAAGTAACGGTCTCACTCTCAAATTCACTCTTATATTGCCTTTTAGATCTTGAAGCTGGTTGTAAAGCAATCTTCTTTCCTTGAGTTCCTTCTTGTATTTCTCTTCTAAATCCTTGTAACCATCCATGAGCTTCTTGAGACCTGTTGAGGATATTTTGTGGAGAGATGCAAGAAATTCTTTTTGCATTTCTTGCGTTTCAACCTTGAGATATTCATTCTCCAGTTTCACTGCTTGGATTTGTTTTTTCATACGCACTATCTTCAATTGGGCATGTTTTAACGAGCCCTCTTTTTGTTCCTTCAATTTATCTGCAGCCTCTTTCAATTCTTTTGTGTGCTTTTGTTTCATATCTACAATGCTCTTATCCAAAGTGACAACCTTCTCTTCGAGCTGTGTGTTCTTTTGCTTCAACTTTTCAATTGTCTTTTGCATTTCTGAGCTTGCTGAATTTTGTTTCTCCGCTTCCTTAATAAAATCTTTTTGCTTTTTCTCTGCCTGTTTATCAATCTCCTTCTCCATTTCACGTTTCTTTTTTTCTAGTTCTTGGTCTGCTTCTCGCTGTTTCTTTTCGAATTCCTTCTCCAGGTCTTTTTTCTTCTTTTCAAAATCCCTCTCAAGCTCTTTTTGTTTCTTGTCAAGATCAACAACTGATTGACTGGCTGTAGTGGTTGTTGCACCACCTCGTGGGGTAGTTCTTGGGGTTGTCACTTTTCTCGCCTCATCTACTTCAGCTTTTGCTTTTTGCAGCTCTTCCTTCAGTTTTTGAATTTCTTCTGCCTGTCTGGTTTTTGTTTTTTGGTCTTCCAATTGTTTTTGAAGAGCTTCTTGCAATTCCTTCTTTTTCTTTTCATATGCTTCTTCGGTGACAAATTTTCCAGCTGCGTTTTGTGGATTGATTGTAGTAGTGACTTGTTGAGAAGGAAGAGAAGGTTGTGACTTTAACGATGCCGTGGATGATTGTTTTGTAAGAGTAGTGGGTTGTGGTGGTTTTTCTTGTTCATCTTCCGATGACAAGACATCGTCTTCATCTTCTGACAACAAGTCGTCAAGATCCAAGCCACCCAAACCTAATTGACTGGCAAGTTGTTTTCTCTTCTGTAATTGTTCTTCTTTCGTTTTTTTGTTCTTGTTCGGATCGTAAGAGACAGGTTTTTGAAACGTTTTTTCCTTATGTCTTGGACTTTCTTCCGTGATGTCTTGCTGTAAATCAGGAAGTAAAAAAGATTCAGGGTTGGTGTCCATAGATGTAGGCATCCATTCCGACCGCATGCATCAATTCAAGATGCATCAACAAGAAGATTAAAATCATGCATTTCTTTCTGTTGAAAACCTACCACTCTTCTCACATAATTTGCAGGAAACAATCCTACTTCTCCATTTGCTCTCTCTCCGATCCACCAATTACTTTCGTGAGTTTCAATTACTTTTACCTTTTCATATTGAGTAAGGGTTAAGTGTTGCTTATCGGACGGAAAGAAATTATACAAGACCTCAACCACAAATTTTGGCGTTCTTCCTGCCAAGCTTGATGCATCCATGTGGTTCATCATTTGACGATGATGATGATGTTTACTTCTTCCGATAATATATTCAAGGATTGAGAAACCTCTCCAATGATAACGAGAAGAGATGTTTTTTTTTGAGTGTTGTCTTCCCGCCTCTCTTGTTCGTTATTTCGTATTCGTAGAAAAAGGAGGGAAGACGCAAAGCAACACTAGAAATCATGATGTTGTAGCTTTGTGTTCATCAAAATGGAAGGCCTTTTGTATCTCAATAATGATTGATGTAAAATGAAATGATGAATCATGATTGGTTTTGTTGCGTTCGGAATCTGATGAGAAGTGATGAGAATGGAGATAATCTGACCCGAAACATGATCATTGTTTTTGATAGGTTATGTAGTAGCCATGAATTTTGATATCGGTTTTGATTTTTCATCATTATCGTCATCATCATAATAATAATAATAATTAAATTAATAACTAGATTGCTTGATGATATTTATTATGTTACACTAGTGTGTATGTATTCATCATACTATTTTTGTAACCATTTTCATGAATGATGAAAACAAAACAAGAACGACACCACAATCGGATGAATTCAATGAATGTATACACTCATATAAACATACCTAATCCAACATTTGATATTTAAATTCTTCAAAATTAATGAGACCATCTTCATCCCAATCGGCTTGTTTGATCATTTCCTCAATATCTTCACTGGTCATAATTTCATCCATACTTTTCATCAATTCTTTCAGTTCGTTCTTATCCAATCTTCCATCGTGATTGGAGTCAAATTTATCGAAAAGAGTTTTCAGTGTTTGAAGCTCTTCACTCGATGCCTTTTGTTCTTTCTGTTGTAGTTCTCGTCTCTTTTGCTCTTGTGACATTTTTTGTTGTTTGTTGACATTTCATCATGTTTTCAAAAGTGTGCACAGGATCGATTATGTCAAATTTGTCAGCCAATAGAACTATTTGGATTTCGCTCCACAGGATTTCATGTCAAAAGTCTTATCAAACATGTAGTGGTGTTTATTGAATTGTTTAAAGCAAAGGTGGTTATACTGAATGCAATTTTATAATACAAATTGGATGAAAATACATGAATTGTACACACCAAGTGTGTTGTTGCATTAAAACTTTTCCATCTGTTTAACAAACTAACGTTGTTACAAAAGAAATGCTTGTCATTGACCCAAAAATGTAAAACCCAATACTTACCTCTTCAAAGTCAATTCTGCCATCTCCGTCCATATCGGCATCTACGTAATTGAAATAAAATATTATTTCAAATCAAATTTCAGTAACGATCATTGTAGGGCTGTAAATTAAAATTTCAATGCTCACCTTTCATCATTTGATCCACATCATTTTCTGTAATCCTTCCATCGGTCAGTTCCTTCATCATGGTAAATAATTCAAGCCGATCGATCGTGCCTGATTTATCTGAATCAATTTTTTCAAACATATTTCTGTAAATATTGATATCTTGTTCCGATAGTTTTTTAGACTTTAATAATATTTCCCTAACCATGACATGATCAAATAGTTACCATCTTTCAAAAATATAGATACTTTGTTGATTTTTTTCTTGAGTTACGAAATAAAAACGATTTGGAATACAATAAAAAAATGCAATTTCCCAAGTCTTCAGATGGAAGTAGGTATGTGTCGTCACGAGCAGTGCCAGAGGGTAATCATACATGGACAGCAAATTTATGACCATACTCTTGTTGACCTTTCTGTTTGTCACCTTGTTTATAGTGCTTGCTAATTATCGAACGACTAGAAATAATAATTTTTTGGATCAGATGTCCATTCCGTGTGATGATGACAATGATTTGATGTTGAAGAGGAGAAAAAATAGAATTGCTGTGTTATGGACTGGAGATATACGATGGTTTGGTGGAGGTAGGTGTGCATCCCTCTCGAAAACGTTCCAATATTTAATTTGGAACAATTCTTGTACCAATTCAAATTCCGAAATTGTTTAATCCATTTTTTCTAAATGTCACAATAGCTTTTAATTTTATGAGAAACTTGTTACTTGCACACAATGAATTTCCAGATTTATTTATTCACATGTACTACTCTCATCACGGGGAAAAAGATTATTTCGAACAAATTCGACCTTTTTTAAAGCGTCTTGTCAAAGCTACGCTTGTTAAATTTGATAGGGAGGCAATTATCAAACACATTCAGAGTCAATATTCGAATTTTCATGTTTTTTTGGAGGAATGCAAGCATCATACCTCGGAGGATACATGCATCCAATGGTTTTATTCAAAATCACAAATTCGAGAGGCCTTTTCCTATATGGAGCGTCACAATAATTTACTAGCTGCAAGACGTAACGTTACAACGTATTACGACCTTGTCTTTCGATTAAGCCCAGAAGTTATATTTGAAGCTCGAATGGACTTGCAAAATTTTGCGTTAGAACCTGACACTTTTTATACTTCACAATTGTACAATAGAGGAGGAGTCAATGATGAAATTGGTTTTGGATCTGTTCAAGTCATGAACACATACTCGTCGTTGATATTGAACGCAGAAAAATTGGCAAACTTGACTTCGACCTTTCATCCACAACTTTATTTAAGTAAGTATTGTGAATTCATGAAGCAAGTTCGTTCATCATGTATGGAACTAAAAAGAGCACCAATTATTGGAGAAGCATGATGTGAAGCTAATTCCTATTAGCTACCGGCGTATCAGAGCTTTGGAATTTGCAAGCCATGCTTCTGAAATACGGGAACCTTTCGATGACCTGCTCGCTAGGAACACCTCAATGAATGGAAAACCTTAAGAAAATTTATTCATCACAACAAGTATCTGTTTCGACCATTATTCTTGAAGTTGGAAACTTGGATCCAATTGCTTGAGCTTGTCTCTAAGCTCTTTTAACTCTTCATTCTTATTCTTTACAATGGTCATCATGTTTTGGAATTGAGAGGTTTGATTAACTTTGAGTGTGAGCTCGTTTTGAGCAGTAACAAGATCCTTTTTGATGGCATCTCGTTCATGTTCTAATTGTAACACTTTTTGTTCGTTTTGAGAGGCTTTGACTTGTGTTTTTTCCAGCTCTTCGTTTTGCGATTTGATGATAGAATTCAAGTGAGAGACCTTATTTCTTAACTCTTCGAGTTCCTTCTCATCATTTGGATCATGAGTTCCTTGCAACTTGTTTTTCAATTTTTTAAGCTCATCATTGACAGTGTTGTATTGATTAGTAATTTCCGTCTTTTCTTTCATCATTTCATTGTATGATTTTTGCAGAGTTGTCAATTGTTCTCTCATGGAATCATTTTCTTTTTTCAATTTGAGAATATCTTCTGAATTTGTTTTGAGAGATGGCAGTTTGTTTCCTCCCACACTCTTGGGAAACATGTTATTTTCCATTTTGGCAATTTCTTGCAAGGTTTCTCTGTACCAAGTCACCAACGGAACAAGCAGAATCATGACATGTTGGAATACAAAGAGAATTTTCTACTATACAGACACTACTTACTCATTCTCAATACTTGAAATATCCACCTTCAATTTGAAACCAGCATCATCGGCTTCCTTAAATACTTGTCTCAATAATTCAAGAGAAGTATGGTTGGAATATTGAGTCTCGGACTTGATGGTTGACTTGAGAACCGTTTCCAAAGCATCAATAATATTCTTAACTTCCAACAAGCTATATTGATTGTCGAGTAATCGACTGTCCTTCACTTCTTCAATGACCTTGGACACCTCTCTCAGATGCAACTCGGTTTTATGATGCGTAAATTTGAGATAACTCTCCACGACATGTTTATAATGATCGGAAAGGCCTTGCAATAATACCTCATCGGCAGCGAGTGATTGATTAGATTGCATGTTTTGGTGTGTTGGGTGATGAAGTGGTATACTCCGTTGCGAGCGGGAACGGTGTTGTAGAGGTGTTTGATTTTTTCTGAGGTGAATGTTCGAGAGAGGACTTTGTACTACAATTTTCAGGTACGAGTTCACTCACTTGATGAGAATGCAATCATCAAACGCACGCTCTCTCAGTGATTCTTGTGCTTGCCACAACCATCTTGATGAAATGTTTGTAATAGAATGGCGGTAATGCTTTCCTAGCCGGGAAAATTTACAAAAAATTGCATCGAGATGACTGAGCGATCGGCAAGCTCCTTATCAAAAGTGTCGACCACTACAAGTAAAAGTACCAATTCAAAAGTATCAACCTCGAATAATAACAATGCAACGGCCACTAATTCAAGACCCAATTCACGAATTGATGGTGATGGGGAGGTACTTTCTTCCGAAGAGAAACAAGCGGGACAAGTGATTTCAACGGAAACGAATCAAGATGAATCATCACCAACCATTCCGAATGAAAGATCGGGAGACACATTTTCTGCTTGGAAAGCTTTCCTCTCAAAACTAAGGTCGAGTGTGCTCGTTGATTATGCGGAAGAAAAAAATAGGGTGGCCTTCAGAAATCAATTCTTTCAGCATGTAAAGGAGGTGTATAAAAAATTAAATTTACAAGAAGAAGATATTATTCCAAGATTGGAGAAAATAGACAGTATGTTTCCGAAGGTGAAATTCAATTCAAGTTATTTAAATCAAAATTTTACGTAATTTATTTGCAAGATGAAGGAAATTGGAGCTCGAACGCAGCGCATGCAATTAAAGCAGACCTGTTCGGATCGATTGAGTACAATATCAAAAAACAACTTGAAGCAAACAAAGCACTTCGGGAACCAAAGCCAATTGAGTACGTAATTGCGTTAATTTTTGATGTGTTGGACCATCAACTCTGTGGTTGTTTATTTCAAAAAGTGAACTGCTGTTCAATGTAGCAACAACCGTGTCAAGAGATTTTACATTGAGCTCAATATGTTCGAAATATTTTCACGATATCAATTTGTCTTCCTGTAAAATTACTGAGATAGATTCAGAATTTGTGAATTATTGCAAGTTTTTAGAAGTGTTAAGCCTCTCATTTAACAAACTTACCTCTATCAGGTGCCTTCCACAAAATTTATATGGACTTACTGCATATTCTAACTCAATTTCAAAAATCGTTCCCTTAAAGACATTTGCAAATATTGTTCATTTAGGATTAGGCTACAACAGATTGAATAATTTAGCCTTTGTTGAGAATTGCCCATATCTTGCCTCGTTAGATGTCAGTTTTAACGATTTAACAAGTTTGGAACAATCCCTTCAATCCTTGACCAAAGTTCCTTCTTTGAAAACGCTAAATTTACAAGGAAATTGCTTTTGCCTGCTGGAGCATTATAGAGGGGCTGTGTTTTCTTCTTTACCAAAGATTGAAACATTGGATAACGAATCATTTTCAGAGGAAAGCAGGAAAAGATATATGGATCTATTTCATGGGTTCTCTGGCGACAAAAGTAAGTTGGAGAGAATTTTATACAATCAGTACCAGTATTCATGATAGAGACGAAACTCGTGGTAACATTATCTTCACTAACGGGGGTTAATTTTGACGATGAAATTAAATTAATTGAGGATGAAATTACCTCTACTAACGATTCAAAGAATGGAAAGAAAACACCCATCAAAAGAATACCATCAGCCAGTAAAAAGAAAGCCCCAAATGCCAAGAAACCAAGCGAAACTACATTTTTCAAGAGTATTTATTACGTTGTAAGATTTTCTTGGCCCAAAGAGGATGACAAAGATGAAATCAGCTTTATTGAGAGCAATCCTGTCTATTTACCTGACCCAGATCCAAAGACCAACTCGAAGATTGTTTCTATTGATTTTAAGGATTCTTTTGAATTTCTTATTTCCGAAAAATCTCTTGGAGTGAAGCATCATATTGAAAGTAAGTATTTGAGTTATCATTCTGGTTCCATGGTGGTATATAAATAATGTCCAACATCTCAACAGAACCTCTAAGTTTTTACATTTATCGAATTGTTGCCAATATTCAAGATGACGATGATTCCAACAAGATTGAGTTGTCAAGAGATTTACTGGGAATTTTGTTTGCAAATTTTAATGAATTCTGGGAGAAGGGTTTTTCGCTTCCTGTACCGATTCCTGAAGATGACGACTCTGCCAAGTCCGGAGACGAGCTCAAGGCACTCATGAAGAACTCGTTAGAAGAGCGTCACAATCTTCAAAACGATGTTAGTACATCATCTTGTTCAGGTTTGACGATGGGAGTTTCCATCACACAACCCAGCGAGATTTGGGATAACTATGAAAAAGACTGGAAGGATCCCAAGAAGAGAAAACAAGCTTTGAAAACTGCCAACGCCAACAACAAGAAACCACCTTCCAGAAAGTAAGCACCACAAGGATACCAATGTCTTCTTTCCACAAGAACTTTCCATGAAACAATGTTTACAATAGGACATTAAACTCCTCGTCGCTCAAGTCACACGTCGCACATGTCCAACAAGAAATTTCAAAGGTTCAGATTTTCAAAAACATCATCTTTAAAAAATGTCACAAACCCACTCACTGGTCAACAACACTCTGCCGATCCTCCTTCTCCTTGTGTTCCTCTTCATCCATACAGTTTCGACAAGCGCCGACGAAGAAGTCATTGTCCGAGCACCCATAGGAACCTATCAGGGATTTATTTCACAATTTACTGAATATCAAGCCACAGCGAGAGCATTCACAGGCATTCGTTATGCACAAGCTCCGGTTGGCTCTCTACGATGGAAACCCACACAACCTGTCAATCCCTTTTCTGGAATTTACAATGCAAATATTGAAACACCTGGATGTCCACAACGATGTGAATTACCGCCTCATACATGTCCCAAGACACAAAGTGAAGATTGTTTGTTTTTGAATTTGTATACTCCTCGCTTGGGAGCTATTCCAAAGGATCAATTATTGCCAGTGTATGTGTTTTTCCCTGGTGGTCATTTTGAGGTAGGTGTGTGAAAGAAATTTGTTGATCCCAAATTTGATCCACACCATTGTTGTTGTGGAATATTTTGGCAAATGACACAAATGTCCATTTTTCTATTGCAATTTTTGAATATTTTCATGATTTCAATATTGAACATTCTGCAACAATTCATGTTTGGTTGGACGATGAAAATAGCAAGGAAGTAAGTAGAGTGATGCCATTCCATCATTGGTGTGAAATTATAATTTATTTGGAATTTGAATTGCAGCTCCAAACTCCATTCTCTACGATGGTACTTTCATTGCTAACAAGACTTCCATCGTCATGGTCATTGCTGGTTATCGATTAGGAGCATTAGGTTGGCTAGCAAATGCCAATGCACAAATGTCTGGAAATTATGGTTTCATGGATCAATTAACTGTTTTGAAATGGGTTCAAAATAACATTGCTGCATTCGGTGGAGATCCAAAACGTGTGACCATTGGTGGCCAATCTGCTGGAGCTACTTCAACGACGGCTCACTTAATCAGTCCAGCAAGTAAGGGACTTTTCCATCAAGTCATTGTTGAGAGTAATCCATTGGTATTGCCCATGAGATTGATGGACGATGTGACCATTAATTTGGCAACTCCTTTTGCAAAACAAGTGGGGTGTGACGTGAGTGATTTTTCATGTTTTCAAAACTTGTCAATTGATTCAATTTTGCAAGCTCAATATTATATGGATAGTTATAAGAATTTATCCATTCCTTTGGAGACATTTTTACCTTGGGCACCAACGGTTGCAAGTTTTGACAAGTTGATTCCATATCAAACCTTTGAGGGTGAGTAGTTGAATCATTTGTGGGAATTATGTGAATTTATTCATTTGTGTTTCAATATTCATGAATATTCATTTCACACAGCTGTACAAAAGGGATATTATCACAAAGTTCCAATGATTTTTGGAAATGTGGCTGAAGAAGCTCTCATTTTCATTTATATGGGAATTAAGAAAAAGATGACCACATTAGATTATGTGGCATTGTTATATGCTGTTTTTGGTATTGAAGATGGAGCTAGAGTATTGAATTGGTATCGTCCTCTTCTCGATGGAGATAAACGTCCAGAAGTGAGTATTATGGGAACAGATTATATTTTCCTTTGTCCATTGAGAAATGTTCTCTCACAGATTACCACACAAAATCCTCAATTACCAGTGTATAATTTTATTTTCAATCATGTATTGACTTTTGATGCTTGGGGACCAAAGTAAGTTTTCAATGGTACGACATGCAAAGTTCATTCATTCAAAATGGTTGATTGAATAATTATTTAAATTGCAATTCAATGATAGATACACTTATTGTGTGGGACATGTTTGTCACGGAGCTGAATTGCCATTCGTTTTCCATTCACTTGGAGTTCATACTTTGCCTGATATGCATTTCAGTCCTCAAGAAGATGTTCTTTCGACATCCATTGTCAATTACTTTACGAATTTTGTGAAATTTGGAAATCCAAACGGGAATTCAACTTCAAGTGTGACTTGGCCTCAATTCAGTGCCAACAATCGACAAACCATGATGTTCCAAACACCTGCCAATCAACTAGTCAAAGACTACAAGAAATCTTATTGTGATGAATGGGATTACATTGGATATGATCATGGCTGGTTGAATCAACTCATCGATCAACTGAAAAAGAATTAAGTAAATTTATGGAATACCATGTAGGAATGTATTAATTTTAAATATTACATAAAATTAACTCTGAAAAATTCAAAACATTAGTTACTGCAACTTCGTACTCTCAATCAGTTCTTTTGTTAATTTTTCACTTTCTCCCTGATCTACACATTCATTTGAGTTGATATCATGATTTTCACACAATGCCGGCAAGTGATGTTTTTGATGAAGTAAGTAACATTTCATTTCTCCTTTGCCCTTTACGTACACAGCTTCTCGCTCCTCAAATTGAAAACTTTCCCAAACTCTCTCATAGGATGATCTTGAAAGTTGAATCCTACCTGGAATAGATGTACTCTCCATTCTTGAAGCGGTATTGATCGTGTCTCCCCACTGATTTCACATTATTTAATTTTGGTATCATATGAATGATCATTTCAAAATAAAGCAATAACTAATGACTTACCAAATCGTATGCAAATTTCTTGTGACCAATAACTCCTCCTACGCACTCTCCTGTATGAATTCCAATTCGAACATTAATCTGTTTTCCCTTCTCCTTATTGAATGTATGAAGAAAATCAAAAATGTCAATGGCAAACTTGACCATTCGTTCAGTGTGATCTGAAGCTTTTGAAGCATGTGCACCAGCTACACAAAAATAGGCATCTCCAATAGTTTTAATCTTGTCAATGTAATACTTTTCAGTGAGACGATCAAAATTGTGAACAATATCATTGAGAAGAATGATCAATTCATTGGGAGACATGGCACTACTCATAGAAGTGAAGCCAACCCTAATAATTTCAAACAAGTAAATAATAATATAAATACAGTGAACAGAGACAGTGTCAACAATATATTTTAAAACAAAAAAACATTTTCAAAATACTACTTACATGTCTGAAAAGAAAACAGTCACATCATTAAATTTTTCACAAATAGATGCTTCTCCTTGTTTCAAACGAATGGCCACAGGTAACGGTAGAATATTTAACAATAATTCTTCACTCTTCTTCTTCTCCTCTGCAATGAGAGTCGTTTGTTTCTTTTCATTGGTAATATCTTTCACAAAACATGCAATGATTGGCTTTCTATTGAAGAAACTCACAGATAATGAAACGACTGCAGAGAATGTCGTTCGATTCTTTCTCGAGCAAGTAATTTCTAACAACTCGGAAAATGCATTTTTGGCAACTGTCATTTCCGAAATAATTTTCTGTAATTTAGAATTCGATTCTGGATGATACAATAAATCCAATAGTAATGTTCCAACCACTTCATTTTGCTTATATCCAAACATATCCTCTGCTGCCTTATTAAATATAATAACATTTCCTTGTGCATTGCAAACAATGGCTCCATCGGCAGCTGCATTCATAATGGATTTCGTCATGGACATGGGATCTTCTTGACTTGAGGTGTCACTCCATGAACAAGTTGAACTCTCAGATGATGTTTCATTGAAAAATATAAAATTAGAGAGTCCCAATCGGTCCGTTAAATTTCGAAGAGATTGTACATGAGCGAGTGTTTGTTTGGATTTTGGAATTTTGTGACTCAATATAAATTGTTTCAATTCCTCATTTTGATCTACAATTTCCCAATGAAGATAATTTAACATTCTTCTCATGTAATATTTTTCATACCAATAACTAGTAAGCGAAGAAAAACTCCATATCATGCATAATGAGCCCAAAATCACAAACAGCACAAAACTACACACACTCATGATCAGCTGTGGTTGTTGTTCACGTTTCACATAGGTTGAAATAAAGGTAAATAATTTTTCTGACAATGATACTGCTAAAAAGTAAATCTCACCAAAATACAATTGGAGAGCTTTCTGAGGTTCGTAAAATTCCGCAAAAAAGTCGAAATTATATTCTGTTGCTGCCTCAACAAACAAGGTCACTAATTTGTCCATGCCCATACAGTCATAGGTTTGTTCAAGTTGAGTCAGGGTCCTTCCAGTTGTGACATTAGACAACATTGTTGTAGTACCGTTCAAAGTGCTATTGGTATGATTCAACAATTGTTGACAGGTTGTCAAAGAATTTCCTAACAGGAGAGAATCAATTTCAGCGCTGAGACCTCTCACTGCAGATTTGTAATTGGTTTCATTTCCTCCTACTACGATTTCCTTCCAAGCAATCATGCAATTGGCAAGTTCAATGGTGTTATCGCCTCGAACAACATTCCATGAAATGAGCATGAGTTTGCTTTTTTGAACCATTTCCAATAATCGAAATACCACTCTCATGGAAGTTCTCATAACTGTGTTAAATAAGTTAATGGTCTTCATGGTAGAGGCTGTTTTTTGGCGATTGGTATCAAACTCCATCATGATGCAAATACTTGAAGCAAGTACCAATACTATAATTAGTAAAGTGAGAAGTGTGAAAACAATGGCAGGTGTGAGCCGAGAGGAATTTTCTCTAAATGGATCGGTCATTTCTTTTTCCAAGTTGTGGTAAATTTTACCTGTCTCATCTTTGGGAAGAGTGTTATAAAGGAATTTGACAAGTCTATTAAATTGCAACAAGTGATTTCGCATCATGACAATATAAAATAAACAAAATATGAAATAGAGCCCAAGCACTGATCCACACACTCCAAATAAGATATTTCCAATTCGGTCAATGTCATTGTTTGAACTTGAAATATAGGACGTGCACAAGTAATCAAAAGCTGTTGTCATTTCTCTTCGATTAAGGTAACTGTCAAGTGTCATGAACAAATTAACAACCCAGAATATTGTGTGTGAATGATAGAAATCATAGTGATCCATTGTCATTCATACAATAATTATTACTACTTACAAGAATAGAAGAGGATAATTAGATCTCGTTTTGTTAAATGTAATAAAATCTCCACTCCTCATCACCTCTACAATTTCTTCTCCCTGATTGAGAACATTATCCACAAAGGCACTTATGGACGATACTCCTTGTTCATAGATGGGTATTGCTTCCTCATCCGATTGTTTAATGGGAATCATCGATGGCCATTTCACTTCTGTGAAAGTTGTCACCACTTCAGGAATAAACGCTCCAGATTCAGAAGCACTTTTCACATGCGCTACTTTTTCAAGTAAGGACACGAGTTGGGCAGTTGCTTTTTCATGAACCTGTGGTACTTCTTGAATCTCTTCAGGAGTTTTGGAAAGTCTGAATTTTGTCTGTGAAGTTCGAATATGTGTCAGTATGAGATGAGGAATTCCAGATAAAGAGCACACTTGTTCTTCCAATGAAATTCTCACAGAGAGTTGTTGAGTCACACCCATGGATGCAGAAAAGATCAATGCGACCACCAACAATGAAAAGAACATAAATATGGAGAAGAAACTTTTGAACCAGTGATCATCTTCTCGAGAATTAGTTGCAGAACGAAATAAATTTTCCTTCTTGAGAGATTCTTCATCCACGCTCACAGAGTCCCAATTTTCATCAGTCATTGGTTCTTCTGCAATGGTTTCATCGATTGCTTTATCATTGACCGAGTTGGTTGCAGCTATTACATTTGGAGAGTTGACACCAATGTGATTGGAACGGAAAGAGGATCCTGTCGACGATGGATGAACTCGATTATTTCCTCTCCAACTAATTCGAGAAGGAATTCCTAAAGTTTTCATATTCGTTGGATGATAGCTCATTAATTTACGAGAGGTGTCCTCTTCACCGTTAACGACGGGGGCATCATTGACTTCTTCCAATAATTCATTTGCCATTTCCTTTTCCCACATAAATTTCTCTAAAAAGTGTGCATAGGATCTCAATAACGATGGATCATGTCGATATTTCAACATGAGAGTTTTGTACATGGAGTCACAATCTTGAACGAGTTTTGCTGAGGATCGATTCAAATTTTCAATTTTGGTCTTGGAACATGTCTCTGATATTAATTCCTTAAATAATTCTTTGTGAAAATAAATGATGGCTTGTTGCTTCTTTTGTAGAGATTGGAGTGTTTGTTTCAAATCGACATTCATCATTGAGAATTTTTCCATATTGGACTCAATTTCCTTACTTCTCAATGCAATAAAATAGGATTGTAAAAGAGAGGGATTATTCTTTCTCGCGTGCAAGAGCATGGAAAGAGCCAATGAATGTGATGAATATACCTCTTCTTGGGGTGAGTAAAAACTTGTAATAATAGCACCAATGAGTAGAAAATCTACATTTGTGAATGTTTTTGAGGTACCACACAATCTCAAAAATTGTAAGGACCATTCCAATGCATTGTCGTGTTTGGAAGAAAAAGAATCACTGATGGATAGTCTTAAAAAGAGAATGAGCTTTCGCATCGATTTGTTTTCTTGAAAGGAATTGTAAATTTGAATGGCAGAGTGTTTGTCGGTCAAATGTTGTGAAATGACTTTTTTGACTACATTCAATACTCCAAATCTCAAATACAATTCACAACTCACAGTTCCAACTATTATCCCTAAACATTGCAATCCGAGGGTCACACCTGTAAAGATTCCTCCCAGTTGTGAAATGTACGTCTGCTCTTCCTCCTGTTGCAATAACTGAACTGTACCACGAGAAGTCCATATGGCAGAAACAATTATGGGTCCAAGACATCCCAAAGTCTTTCCACACAGACATCCAAATACGACTGAATTTGTAAAGGTCTTGTAATAAGGCAAACGATACAGAAAGTAACATGCCAACAATAGACTCAATACGAACTTGACCACACTCACAGCCACAACATTATTCACATGTAGTAACACATTCAACACGACACACACTTGATTCAGTATGTAAATGGCCACTCCAGTATCCAATGAAAAAGTTCCAAACAGTGAGAGTGAAGTGTGTGTCGGAGGAACAGTTTCCTCACTCAATACAACTCCCAAACCAACGACCATCATGTTCAGAATCACTCCCACACTTCCAATAACCATGAATATTATATTAAGGGTGGAAGTCATAATCACTGTTGGAAAGTATTCGTTTCGAGGCAAGGCATGAGCTCCTTCAGAAGAGGATGATACAGCCGACGACGACATTGGAATGCAATGAATCCATACCATCCAGTTCGTAAACATCAACATGAATAATGTGATTGGACGAATGAGTGTTTTGATCTTGTCACTATACTTGTTTCCCTTACTGTGCAATAGATAAAAGAGAGCATACAAGCACAGTGTCAACAATTCCAATCCAAGAAACAATGCAGACAAGACAGTCACGACCGTATAGGAATAATGTTCTGCGCCCAATGTGATAGGATAGAACATGACTCGATGAATCCATGCTGGAATGATTCCCCAAAGTGGTTTTGTTTTCTCTTCTTCCTTGAGAGTGGATGGGAGGGATGACAAGACCACGCTCATGTACAACACGAGACAGTTTTGAAATATGGAAAAGAGTGCCATTCTCCATGAAGTAATCGTTGCTTGCTTGGGATTTAAGGAAACAAGAAAGGAAAACATCTTGTCCCTCAACTTTTTGGAAAGGGAACCATTGGCTCCAATGGAATCTGACGATGCATTGCTGGTTCCAGTGAGTGCCAAACTTTCACTGGCCACCGATTTGGGAATGCTAGTAAGGTGTTGTTGAGCTATTGTCGCGACTTGTGGTTGTTGGGGACTTGTGGCGCCTGAGAGAGTATCCATGTCAGCCATATCTTCATTGGATGGTCTTTGTTGTGTTGACGTCATAATATTCTGGCGTAGATATTCTGTGGTTGGATTTTGTGTCGAGTTGTTTTTTTGATGTGTTTTCGTAGCAAATTCAAAGTAAGATTCCGAACTAAATTATCTCAAGCTTAATAAACTCAAGAGTTTGAAATACGACAACAGTGAGTTCCATTTTGGTATTGAACGACTCGAGGTTATCCATCCCTCATCATCAATACAGGATCATACCGAACATCAAAATTATTCGGGGTCACGTTATTGAGCGAGATGTTCGCAAAAGGGATGCATCATTTTGACCTCAATAATACACTTATCCGTTTGGATATCAAGTTAGGTTGTCATCTTTCGTGTTTGCACCAGCAAGTACAACAACGATGGGCATCAATATAAAGTTGGAGTGAGAGAGATCATTACAACAAGATTGTTCACCCTCCCTTTCAATAATAAATAATTGTGACCAATGTCTTTTATTTAAACGATTGGAACAGCAAAACCACATTGGGTTTCAATGGCCAAGTTATAGAATCTGGTAGTTCCTCTGATAATACGGAAGAAGCCGCCTGTGTTGTATTCATTGTCATTTCAAGAAATGTCCATAATAATATTGGCCAATGTTAGAAAATGTTTACAATTTGAAAAAAGGTTAAAACATCAGAAACCATCATGAAATTATCCTTACCTTCTCCCCATTCAGTACCCCATGAATTTCTGACAATCCAATATTTCTTTCCACCCTCTTCGCCCCATCCTACCACAGAAATGATGTGATTAATCATTGGGAATACTTTGAATTCCTCAAAGATACCTCCCTTATAAGCCTCCAAAGCACTGGTAGCATCAATACCACATGAGATTGGACCTCTGGCATAAATTTCGCTCATCATTTCATGTTCTCCGTCAATACTGCCATACTCACTGACTCTCCATCTCTGATAATTTTTAATTGGGAAGCATCCAGTGGAATTGCAAGTACCACATTCTGCAAATGCTGAACAATCTTGATCGACAGCCTTGTAGTTATTGCATGATTCATCAGGAATACCATGATCATGAGCATATTGATAGACAGCTGTTCAGTAGTTCAGTATTACCAAAAAGAATTATTTAGAAAATCGGTGAGTTCAAGATTACAACAATGCAAGCAAAATACATACGAATATCATCTCCACCCTCTGACAAAGTGTACAAATAGTAACAATGTTATGTTGAATAGAAAGTTGAAAGTATGTTGACGGTGTGACGTTTTGTAAATGATTCACATACCACATGATCTATTATGGCCAATGTTGTGAATGACAATGATCAATCACAAATACTTACCCAGCATCACCACAAGCAATAACATGTTGCACAGACAGCAATGCACGAGGGAATTGATTCTTTCTGGCAATGTTGATTCTATCGGCAAGAGCGCTTGTAGAGCCGTGAGCTGCGGCGCCGAATGAGAAAAGATATTTTCCACATCATCATTTCATCATCATGGAAATAGTTCAGCAATAATCATCATGTTAAATCATCCTCATTCAGCTCGCTCCCAACTACCATCATCAAACTTACCCCAACAGCTACCACAATAAATTGGAATGTGTTGATTTCTTCCGACCGACAAGTAATTCACTCCAGCAATATTTCTCCAGTCCCAAGCAGCTGGAAGATCTTCTGGCTTCAAATAGGTGTGAGGTTGTGCAGTCTTGATATTATTACGAATAGCGCTTTCCTTTCTCACGTAACAAGGATTCTTTTGATGGAATGAGAGTTGTTCCTCTCCGTAAACGAGAAGAGCAGCTCCAGCCACAAGCACTGCCAACAACAAGACAACAAGATTTTTCATTTTTTTGAATGCTGGACCCGACCGTCGAAGGGATGATCTGAGTTGGTGAGAAGGAAATCTGGTCATTCCTGATATTAAAGCCGGCATCCCCCAACAGAACCAAGGTTAATAGCCCTATCACTCTTGATTTGGAGAATTGTAATTTATTTTCAAAATTACACCAAAAAAATCATCAAGAACAACACATCTCTCGTCGCACTTGTACTGCTGAACGCTCTCCTCGTATTTACAGACTTGTTGCAGCGCCAAATAAAGCACTGAAATCACTGGAGAGCGAGTTAAATTATTCGTGAACACACTCTTGCTCGGTTTCAATTTTGAAAAGAGCAGAACCGACTTCTGAAAGAGCATCGAAATGCTGCCCACTAATCATCAGCAACAAAACATGTCGTTGCTTTCATCATCATCGAACAACACAAACAACAATACTGCAAATACAAACACTAATGGCAATAACATGAATAACAGTCTATGGAATAACATGATCAATCAAAACGGGAGTAACAGCAACAGTAATCCCTTATTACACCAGATGAATTATCTGTTGGCATCTCAATCACTCCCAGGTACGGGAAATCAACAATTGCTCAACAGTTTACTACAAGGACAATCCATGATTAATAATAACAACACCAATTTCAACAACAACGGTATCAATCAACAAGCGTTGAACTTAGTCGGCAGTATTTTGAATTTGGTGAATTCTACCTCCTCACAACAACCAGCAAATAGCAACATCAATAACAGCAACCAATTGTACAATGCCAATGTACCAACAGATCAAAACAACACGCTTGCAAACCCTTCCTCCGCTCTAGCTCCACCACTGCAGCGACTACAGTTTAATGCATCGTCAAACGGAGCGGATCAAAACCTTCTCCGCCCATTCCAGAGCCCTCAAATTTTGAATCAATCAGCCTCTCACTTCCTTACCACTCCTTCCGTTCAGCAATCTCCGAGCTCTGATTCCTCATCTTGTCTTTCTACACCAGCGATATCGATTCAACAATCAAATCCTTCCACTACAACAGAGACTAACGTTCAAACATTTATCAGCAAGGGTAACACAATGGGAGCAAGTTTTAAACAATTTTTCAACAATCCAATTTTGAGCGATGTGACATTTATCATTCAAGGTAACAAATTCTTTGCTCACAAGTTAATCCTGTGTGCAAGAAGCAACTATTTCAATCAGCTCATACTTACTAAATGCAACAATACTTCTGTTCTTGAGATTGAGATTCAAGATGCCTCTGCAGACATTTTTTATAGTATTTTAGAGTTTGTGTACACGGATTGTACTGTTTTGAGGTCAGACAAAATTTGGGAATTGTTTCAGGCAGCCAAATTTTATCAACTCAATGCTCTTTTACAACAATGTCAAGAATTTATAATTGGAACACTTGTGGATGGCAATGTTTTTCATCAATGGACCAAGGCTCAACAATTTGGAGCTATCATGGTTGCAGAGCATTGTCTATTGTTTGTGAAAACGAAGTTTGAACAAGCTCTCAAACTTTTAGATTTGTACAATAGCCTTGATATATCAACCAATCCAGAAATTATTCTTAAAGCTATTCAAAGCCAACAATTCAATAGGCTTGGCAATCCTCCAACCCCAACAAACAAGAACAAAAATCCAACCAAGAATGATCCCATGTATCAATCTCTCACATCCTTTACTTTTCCTCCTCCAAAAAGGGAAGACGAAGAAGAAAAGCTCAATATCCCTCTGCAGAGTCATCCGGAGAGTACTTTTGAAGACGAAAAACAATTACAACACGAGCTCACACAAACATTTGAGTTGTGGGGAGAAGGCAATATTCCTCCTGCAGCCTTTCCAACACGATACTCGATGGATCAATTTCCTTCATTCTTCAGAATTGACTCAAATACTACCCAACAAGCACAGCCGTCAAGTACCACCACAACAGATTCAAATAGTGCTCCAGAAAACAGTTTGCCTTCAGAAACAAAAACTGAGAAAGAAAAAGATCCAACTTTGGCGGAACGATCTTGTGTGTACAGACGTTTGTCAGTACTGAGGCAAGACTTGCATTCCGTAGGGGTATTTTTCCAACACATTATTTCATGTATAACACGATTATTACATGCTGAGAGAACAACTTTGTTTATGTATGATAAGAGGACAGACGAGCTCATTTCTCAAGTTGCGATTGGAGAGGAGGAAATTAGAATTCCAAGCAATAAGGGTATTGCTGGATCTGTTTTTCAGAGTGGAAAGAGCATTAATGTTGCCGATGCCAAAACAGATTCAAAGTTTGCTCCAGAAGTTGACAAGTCAACGGGATTTTCGACAAAGAGCGTCATTTGTGCTCCCATTGTAGGCTCACATAACCAATATGTTGGAGTTCTCGAGGTATTGAATAAGCATACAGGGACGTTCACCGAGCAGGACGAGCAAATTCTTCAATTTGTATGCGAACTACTTTCAATATTTGTCCAAGAGCAACAATTAGAGGAGATTGAAAATGTTCACAAATCTACAATTCTTTTGCAACCTTCGTCATACAGAAGGAAGTCAGTAGCTCCTCTTCAGTTGATGAACAGAAAAGCGTCTCATAGAATGTCAGTGACAGTAGATGATTCCTTTGCTTTACTTTTTGGAGATGGTGATTTCAATTTTGATTTGGTCAATACCGAAGAACAACCACATTCATTACTGCCAGTTAATGATGACGTTGCCAACAACTTGGTGGGACCTAATATTGATCCACTTTGGAATTATGTGCAAAATCACGATGTTAATTCAAATCTTACTTCCAGCTTTGTCACTGTTGGCACAACTCCCTCCAAATCAGTGACCGAACAGTTGCCCAAGACAGCAGCAAGCAGCAGCAGTACTGTTGTCACCAACAACACTGTGAGCAATGTGTCTAATTGGGATCAACAATCCGTTATCTCACAACAAACTACCAATAAGCCATCTAAAAGCGTCAAGACTGAAAATGGAGAAAAGAAGCGCAAGAGAAATCAAAACACTGTGAACTCACAACCACCCACAAATGCCCCTACCGGAATGCCATTCATGCACTTTAGAATTCCTCGTTATGAATTACAATTTATTCAATTCGATGCTAATGGTGCAAAGAAAAAGAAGAAAAATTAAAAATGGTGCATTGCGTTTCATCTCGAAACCTTTCACATGGTCTTATACTCCCAAGATGAATTGCAACTAAGGTCGAATGAGAACATTTATTATTACTGGATGAAAAATAACAAGGCCAATAACAGAGCGATCATGACACATGAGCGACCAATTAAGGAAACTTCACTACTAGACGCTCCGTTTACATTTCCTTGATTCTTTTTAGCTAAAGGATCAAACTCAACTACATAGATAGCACCAGCATAATCATCTGAAATGAACAAACTTGCGACAGGTCCCTTATTGAGCTGTCTGACATCGACAGGTCGTCCCCAATATTTTGTCGTTCCCTTCGTTAACCAACCTTCCAAGAACACAGAGTATCCACTGGGTGCCTTTTGTTCGTCTTTCACATCTGAAATCATCATGACTCGATATCCAAAAGGAGGATCTCTGTTCCAGCTTCCATGTTCGGCAATGAACACTGATCGATTCACATTCATGAATTGTTTCCATAGGAGCGCTTCAGAATTTCTAAAGAAGATGGTTCCTAGAGCTGCAACGTGAGCATCGAGAGTAACAATAGGTCTCACATAATTTCCATTGGAACAGCTCATGACAGATTCATTGGGGTTCATATCTGGATCGACAATGCCATTGGCGTGACAATAAGGAAACCCAAAACTCTTAATATTAGTGTCACCTTCATTGTTCAAAATTAATTTGTTAAATTCGTCTCCAGGAATTAAATTACCCTGATTAAAGGTTTTGCATTTTCAACGAGTGGGTTATTCACCAGTACAATAATTTTTGTTCACAGGATTGTTAGAAAGATGGAACAACAATGAATATATTCATAACAACTCAAACACTTACCATCATATCTCTTCCATTATCTGTAAAATACATGACAGAATCATTATTTGGATCAAAATCAAATCCCACACTGTTTCTCAAACCTGTCGCTTCCACCCTCTTGGTTGCTGGTTGCGTGAAATTATTGACATCTTTTGGCAATTCAAACGATGTCATGGTTCCAAATAAATCTGTCAAGATGCATGTATTACATGGTGCTCCAACAGGTACATACATTCTCTTCTTATGAATTCGAATATATTTAAATCCATGCCAAGTATTTGGATCATAGCTCTGAATAGGAATTTTTTGATACATGGAAGCACTTTTTTGACCACTTTCATATTTTGCAATGACATTTCGAACCATATAAATGGTTGCAATTTCACCCACATATAATGTATCTGTGGATGAATCATAGGCCACTCCATTAGGACTATTCGATAAGGAATTGACAATAATATCTTGAGAGAGTAATTGAACATATCCACTGGGAGAAGAAGTCATGTTTGTGTTGGTTTGATTGAATCGACTAGTGTCATGATACAAGGATAAGATATAGATCGAGCCTGTTCCTGGACTTGCCACAAACAAGTAGGAATGAGTTGAATTCTTTTCATAGAGATCCATTTCTCGAGCATTGGGTATACGAGCCAAAACTCGAATGACGGATCGATTTTGAGCAAGATCCACTGGAACGGAAGGTCCAAAAGTCAAAGTATTGATCGGAAGAGAGTCTTGCGCAAGTGACAAGTGGCAGGATATATTTACACCCACACATAATATTGTGAATAATGTGAAAAAACAAAGCACACTTATGAAACGCAAAATCCATCCCGATGGACGAGAGAGGATCCTGAAAGCCATTTTTTTAAAGTTTTTGATCCGTTTTAATCAAACGTATGTTAATTTTCAACAAGATCTATCGTAGGCAACTCAAAATCCATGAATCAGTACTTTCCATTCATGGACATTGTATTTTTCGCTGAAAAGGAAATAAAAGACAATTCTTGGTAACCTCCCTTAGATAGGATTTGAGGTTATGTTCAACGTTATTGAAATACCATTCTCCAACAACGAGGACATACCTTTTAGCACCTTACACCTTACACTTTAGTGCCGTTTGCAATGGCACGTAGTCCCAAAAAGGAGATACAAATAGCACTTAACACTGGAGTGCCAAATGCAAACAGCACCTGACACTTGAGTGCCGAGTGTCATCAGCACCTGTATATTTTTTAATTTATTTAAATATTATTTTGAAATTACAAACCTCCGTCTTCACGGTTGTGAGCAACGGGCCTCAAAATTCTCTTCACTACACAATCATCATCGAGTATAGGAAACAGCATCACGAACGCAATTTTTGGACAATTCGTCTGACAACGACAATACCAAATGATCATCTACGAAATTTAGTTTATGGAGGGAAGAATAGACTCACGCTCATTTTCTAAGGTGAAGCGTTGTGAGGCAAGTGGTTCAAATAATGTTCCACCGTTCAGCACCTGTTTTCTGAGTTGATGTTGCGCCATACAACACGGCGTTGAAAGAGATTGAGATGAAGTTGTCGAACAGGATGTCAGAGCTTGCTGAATGAACTTGAGAGACGATTTATGTTGAGGAAAAACACTTGCAGTACATGTAGGAAAACATTTTCATTTGGTTCAACAGGGGAGTGAAACTTGCCAGCTTTTCTTCATAGTGACATGTACTTTTGTTCAATTGTTACAAAAACGGTGAGAAGAACAAGAGAATGGTGCTCAACACTGTTGTTGGCTGATGTAATCGAATTTGAGTGATTTGGGAATGACGGTAACAGCAAAAGTCAAGCTGAAGCAATCAGAAGGGTACAATTAAGGGAACTGGAATCAGTTTTTGTTTCGTAGTCATACTTCTTAACGGCTGAGTCTATCATCATGAATGAAAGGTTAACATATCATCTTTTGTGCCTCCCAACTCCTTTCATACGAAGGTCCAAGCTAACATACGAAAGGAAAGTAGATGCATGAGATTAAATCATGCCTTTTTTTTGTTTGATAGATTCGTTTGAACACGAAGTAGAATGGTTAGGTTCACAAACTAGTACCTCCATTTCAATCAACATCCATTTCGCACCTTACACTCAAGTGTCAAATACAAATAGCACCTTACACTCAAGTGTCAAATACAAATCACACTTCATTCATTTGGCACTCAAGTGTCAAATGCAAACAGCACTGACACTAAGTGTAAGGTGTAAGGTGCCAAAATATAACAACTCTCCAACAACTTTACCAGCAATGTTATTCATGGAAACAAGCCAAAAACATTCGATTCGGGTCTAAACGTCCGTCCACAAAAAGATTCACCAAAGTATTGTCTTATCGAGGACCAATCTACTTCGTCTCATCATTTCCAATTTGTAAATTCAGCACTTTGGTTCTCTTGTTGTACTTTGAAAATTTCAGCACTTTCAACGTAAAACAGGAAAACCAAATAAAAATACCTTGACGATGGAATCTCGAAATGTGGCGGTTTCTACAGAGCATTGCCTTCTCGTTGTTGTTGTTGTTCTTTTTTCATCTCCGTTAAAGCCAACAATTGCTTGGAATATGCTGCTCAAATTGGTCCTTTCCATCAAATTATTTGAAATGTTTTTTTTAGAAATAACTCTTGAACGTAACTTGTAAAAAAGATGGTCTAGTTCATAAAAAAGCTATTTGCTACTTCGGTAAAAGTTTTTAAGTTCAGGAAGATACTGAGTTGTACTTTGAATGAACCACTAGTTCCAAGTTCTTCCTTTTTTTCTGTAAATACAAATAAAAAAATGCGTCTTCTTTGTATTGATAAAGGCTTTAGTTTTGCGTTTAAACAACATTTGATGAAATTTAAACGAGAACGATCAAACTTCCAGAATAATGGCTCAGTACTAGAAGAAGAAGAAAATCATACAAGTTTGGACGATTCAATGATTGAAAGTAAGATAGAAACCATGATGGTTCAGGTTGCTGAGCCGACCAGTTCCGATATTGATTATGAACAAGATGAAGCTTTTATGGAAAGTGTTCGAAAAATTGAGAAGACAATTTTGGAATTTCAACCTAATGTCTTGCTGTTTTCAAGTAGAGGAGGAAAATATGCATGTAAATTATTGAAAGATAATATATGGAACGGCCCTTGTGTCATGATATCAACATTGATCATTTCATCAATGGTTAATTTCGAAGAAACAAATGCAACACTGGTTTTTGCTTATGGGCAAGACGAAAAAACTGTACCATTTCCAATGATTCAACATTTGAAACAATGTCACAACAATAGAATTGTAGTTTTGAGCTATGCTAATGAAAGTCATTCCATGAATTCCCTGGTGAATATTGAGAAAGACGAAGAAACATTTCATTTACATCAAGCAATAGAACAAGTAAAAACTTTGACACAAGAATATCGAGAGAAAGATGATGACATTATGTTCGAGGGAAAACAATTATCTATTCTTCAACTTGTATATTTAAGTTATTTCATTGCCCAAGAATGTGAGAAAAAGAACATTGTCAAGAATGCCAAGCTGTTACAAAGCGCTCATTCAACTTCCAATTTTAGACCACAAGGAGCAGCGCCAAGCTTGTTATTGAATCCATCCATGTTGAAAGGAGGATTAACACAACTTCGAAAGATTTAGATTTTGATTGTTCTTTCAATTTGTAATGCCTCACCAAAAATTAGAAAAAAAACAAAGCCTTAAAAATGAAACGAAGATTGTTGCAACAACGTCAACCATGCTGCCGTTTTCATCATCAACGTTCGCCGTTATTGTTTAAATTATCTGACAGAAATGTATGGTCATCATCATTGGTCATTTGGAAAGATTTCTATCAACAAGATTTTTCAAGCCATACGATAAGCAGAAGTTCGGAAAGGAGTTTTTCGCAAACTCGATGGCACGAACAATTGAATAATGAAGATCAAAATTCATCGTCATCATCATCATCAATAACAACCTCTCCTAAATCATCCTCGGAATTAAAAGACGGAAAGGAAGTAAAGGAAGGAAAAGAAGGGAAAAAAGAGGATAAGAAAAAGGCCACTTGGTCGTCTTACTTTAAAAAGGTACGAGAATTTTCATTGGATTATCATGGATACATCCATTTCATAACAAATTTGGAAATTTTTCTTTTCGATCATCCCATGTAAATTCATTCATATACACTCGAGATGTTACAGTGGGTCACTTATGGAGCTCTGACAGCCATTGCCATCACTTTAATTAATCTTCAAGAATTGAGATCAGAAGAAACGAGTATTCAAAAAATTCGACAAGGTTCAGTGAATTTGAAACCTTCTTTGGATCATGATCTCATTTCAAGAGAACGAGAAATTCAAGAATTGAAAAAGTATCTTCCATTTCTTGAGCAAAATAGTGCAGAGTTGGTAAATCCATCGTTTGTTCTCGTTGTCGGAAGAATGGGAACTGGAAAATCGTTAATTTCTGAATTATTAGCAAAAGAAATGGGAAACAATTGTATTCATATTCAATTTCACAAAGATATGAAAGAAACTCAAATTGTAGAAGCAATTGCAAAAGCTATTAATTATCATCCATTTATGAATCGAAATGATTTACCTTTTTTTAATTATGTCACAACAAGCATGTTAGAAATTATTAGACCTACCAAACGAACATTTTCAGAAATGACCAAAGTACTTAAAGATGTCACAAGAAAAATGTCAGAAGCAAAAGAGGGAATGGTTCCATACATTATTTTTGACAATGTCGATGCATTATATCAACCAGAAGGTTTTAATTTTCTAATCGATTTATTGGAATTGGCAAAAGAAGGATCCTCCAAGAGATGGTTTGGATCTGTTTTTTTTACCAATGAAGTGGGTCTTAAAATGTTAAAAACTTCACCAAGCCATTATTCTATAACAAAGACGTATTATATTCCTGGAATTGAGAAGAAGGATGCCATGTCATATATTGCTAAACATTTGAAGAATGTTGACAATGATCCAGAATCGATTGCTTCCATTCTGGTGGATAAAGTATGTGGCGATAATCTCAAGTCTATTATGGATGTAATTGCCAAATTGAAACAGAATAAGTCTATCGAGAAAATTATTGACGAATCTGTGCAGGAAACAAAGGTGAGTGGTAATAACATCTTATGACACTGAACAACAACTCAACGTGCACATTTCTACACAGTATAATTTCAGAGGATTGGAATTAGGACAAATTGATAAGAATATTGAAGCATTTGGTGTTTGGAATCTGCTTGATTACATGCACAAAAATAATGGTGAGTGCACCATCAGTGAGGCCTGTATTTGTATTGGAAATTTTTGTTCCAAACCTCTCGATCTCATTGACGATTTGATTACAAGAGGCATCATTAGTAGCACTCCGAGTGCATCTCTCACATTTTTCAATCGCTCTGTCTTTACTTTAATTTCTAAGGCAAAAGAGAAGCGACCAGCTGTATTCAACAAGTTTAATACTTATCAACCTATGGAACGAGTGGTAGATTTTTAATTTGTCAACTATACAACTCCAAAGTATTATTATATTAACTCAGATAACTATATGCTGAGTGTATTTGGAAAGGAATTGAACAAGTTGAGTCTTTTCTTCCTTGTATCTCTTCTCGTCCCACGATAATTTATCTTTCATGATAGCTAATAGCTTGTCACACTCCAACACGACTCGAAGCGGATCATACCTGTACATCTGACATCTAATAGCAACGTCTAATGCAGTACAACAATTTTCTACTCGAACTAAATATCCAATTTCACATTCCAAGAATGGTAAATCTTCCCAGATCTGATTTTGTAAATAAAACGTAGTTGTTGTTTCCTCTGGACTTGCAACCTCTCGAGCACCTTCTCTCAGCACATTCAGACATCGATCTCCATAATTAAATTTCAAGTACCGAATAACATCATCATGCAAGTGATGATATTGTGCTTTCATGGTTTGAGTGAGAAAGTGAACAAAATTTTCAGAGCCGTAAATGGGTTGCTCTTGTGCAGCTTGATTAGCTACATTCTCATCCTGTTGTGAATTTCTTGAAAGGTCGGTCTTCTTGGATGTAAAATCCTTTCCAAAAAGATATCTCAATACTGTGAGCGATGCATAATAATCTTTCGTGCGATCCAAGACCTTGAGAGCATTATTGAATATTGTTCCGTTTGTGGATGCCAATTTCACAAGCTTTAACTCATTATCAAAAAAGAATCGAGATGAGCTATAAATGTCTTGAGTTGTAAAATTGCCAAGCTTCAAAATTCCTTTCAATCGGTCAACATGCTCCCCTGGCAATGATAAAATGGAGTATCTATAGTGTGGTATGAACTTCCCGTATGGTGTCACAATATTATGAGGAGAGATGGTTGGTAATGTGAAGGAATATTCTTCTTGAAGAGTTTTCTTAGAGAGGAGCTTGTCATCATGGGGAGTATTTTCACACAGAACTAAATGTTTGTATCGAACTCGATATTCAGCATTGTCCTGTTTTAGCTTGTCTCTAAAGATGAGTTGTGAATTTTCCAAATCTAGCTTCTCAACGCTAGTGTGATTTAATGCAAAATTTCCAATTGCTGCAGTGGTAAGGGCCAATGATGAAATGAGACGAGGGAAATTCAAAACTCCACTGTCATAGTACGTTATGCATCGAAAAACATTTCTTACGTCCTTATACTCTCTAAAAAGGTCATCCATGTCTTTGGCTCGTTCTTGATATCGGTTTCGTAAAATTCCCAACTTTGCTTCACACATATTTCTATCTCCTAAAAACAAATTTTCCATCCATAAATCTCTTCCATAAACGAAATATTCATAACCCAGTAGCTTCCACATTTGTCTATAATAGTTCAATTTTTGTGAGTTGGTAAATACTTCTGTCGTTCGAAATTGTCTCATTAAATGAGGTGCAATAAAATATAAATCATTTCGTTTCTCTAACTTTTCTTTCATGGATGAATAGATATTTTCATAAAACTTGCAAGACAATGTTGAATTTTCATCGCCATCAAGTTCGCATAGCATGGCTTTGGTTTCGAAAAAATTCGGCGTCAAGCCACCGTTCGAATCTCCATCCAGCACATGATGAAAAAGCATATTTGAACTCAATGTAAATTCATCCTGGTATGAAACAAAATCATGAGGAGAAAGTAGACACACCGAGTAGCCCCTCAACGATGCTTCATAACTCATGGCTGCTCCAATTAATCCATCACCAACAATACATAAATCAAAATGAGCTTCATGATTAGAATCTTCATTCATTAATTTCTTTAAACTTTCAAACTGTACAACTCGACTAGGAATTTGCAACATTTCTGATCGGTAAGGAAATGTCGTGTAATCAGCACTAGGTAAATCATCAAGTGAAAAGGCTTGAACCTCTTGCCAAATATGATTCTCTCGAAAGTGATTGGCAAGAGTACCCAATCCAGTAACTAGAATGATAAGACCACTCCCAATTCCGAGCGCTTTCCAGTGTTTGAATTGAGTTCGGGAATGATGACCCGATGAATGAAACTTCGAGGCTGATAATTTTCTCCACAGTTTGAGTATTTGCATTTTTTTAATATTTAAATATTGATTCCATTAATTAATATATTCATTCAATCAAAGAGTCTCTAATGTCCATGTAAAGGTTCAATCTTCACTCTCCTTCATTCAATGATTGGAGATTCAACAGTACGACATTCAATATTGCAAGCTTCCATCGAAATTGTAGCTTTCAATTGTATATAACTTTGGTCTCACCATGGCCATGTTCTCTCTTTCGTGAACAATCATGGTTACTACTTGTATCATGCCCAAATTATCCTAAAGTGTTCCTCTTTACAAATCAATGACATCCCTTCTCTTGAACTTTTTCGAAGCTCGATCATAACTTCTAAAACAAAATTGAGTTCCAATAATTTCAATTTGATAATTCTTGTTTTCTGGTGGTGCTGTGGATTCCTTTCCTCGAATACCAGAAGGAGGTCTCACTTGTTTTTCAAAATTGAATTGAAACACAGAGCCATTCTTTGGTATGATATAGAACTTGTCATCCCGAGTCAATAATTGGAAGGTATTCTCAGTTTCCTTGATGACCATTCCTTCCTTTCCAATGTAGGAGCCACAACGACTCTTCACCACTCGGAATATACATCCATGATAATCTGCTTTCAGTAATAATTCATTATTGAAGAGGGAGGAAGTTCCGAGCATGCTGAGCATGTATTCCTTCCACATTTCATGAAGTGGTAAATAATCGTTGAATTTTCGTTGCTGCTTGTTGACTTTAGAAGATTGCTTTTTGTGTTCTTTGGTTTTATCCAATGTAAGCATCATGGTCGATTGTTCCGAATCTATGCATGATGTCATGGTTGTTTCTTCATCATCTTGCATCATATTTGAGGCGGTATTTTCGGACATCTTTCTCTTCTTCTTTTTATCTTGTAGAACCTTTTCCGATGATTTAAATTGTGCTGTTGAATGAAGGTTGTGCTGTTGATGCTTCTTATTCGCGTTGGAAAAGGTTGCGTGCAGAGTGGGATTTGAATTTTTTCTTGGTTGGTTTTTGTTTTTGCTGGAAAGTCGATTTTTGATTTTGAGGAAGGGCTGTGGTTGAATGGCCATAGCAGTTGCAGGAGAAGGAACAATATTGGATGCCGTAGTTGCTTGAGAAGAATTGGATGTCTTGTCGTTTTTTTGTGAGCTTTTGGCAATGACTTGATTGGAGAGAGCTAGAGCTTTCACAGCACTATATAGTTGGGCCTTGTGTTTCACAAATGATGTGGATGGATGTGACTTGTGTCTAGAGGATGTGCCATGGATTGAAAATACGCACGTATAATTGCCATAGTCATCATAGAAATGTTGAAAAAGTCGAGGATGTTGAAATAATTCATATACGGAGACAGCCCTAGAAATTGCAAAGGACGAATGGGTCACCAAACGTTTCAAATCTTCACTGAGATCATCTGAAGGTGTATCAGCTTTCATTTTGAGAAGTGCAATGTCTTTTCCAGTTCTTCCAGAAACAAAGCTTAAATGAAATCGTTTCGCTGATGTGAGATCCTCTGCACCTCTACTATTATAAATATCTGGCAATTCAAAATTCTTGACAATATCATTCACGTTTGCAAACATGGTGGAATTTTGGTCCGTCTTGTTATTTTTGAGAATATCTTTCTTCTTTTCAACTTCGCAAAGTATGTAGTGAATGAGTTCAATTGTTAAATTTGGAAAATTGAATACATCAAATCCTGCTCCAAAATTATGCGTTGAGTTTGTCAAGTCTTCAATAATTTCTCTAACAAAATACTGTCGCTTCCAAAGGGAATATAAACCTTCCACAGTTTGTCTTCTCTCCTCGGAACCTTCTTTTGCAATTTCTTCCATCGATTTTCCAATTAATTCTTCATCAATTTTAATATTCAAATATCGATATTGAATCACTCCATATCTCTTATTATAATTTGCTTGAAAATGTTTCACCAATTCACTTCTCTTCTTTTTATCAACATCTCCGGGCTTGGTAATTGCTGTTTGTTTGGAACTAAAACTTGATGAGGTTCCTCTCCGCTTTTTTACTTCCTTTAATTGTTGAGTAAATTTCTCTCGGTTTGTTTTCTGTGTTGATGATGGTTTGGCTGTTGTTGATGAAGTAGTAGACGAAGAAGAAGTAGCGGAGATGGGATTTCGGGATCGTTTCATTTTTTAATTCAATAATCCACGTGAACGTGTGAAGGTTAATGATAAAGTAGGTGTGTTTGGACGTGAGGTTGGAAAGTGGTTGTCATAGAGCAACACAAAACGTATTAAGGTTTTATTTCAACATTTCTATTGATTTTTATACATGATATCATTGACCATAAAATTACACAAAATGCAAGTCTACAAGGACTATAATGCAGGAACATTTCGTGTTGCACACAGTAAAGTGTGTTCTTAATTACTTCCTAAGGCTCTACCACGACCCCAGCTGTGGCTGCTATTACTGTCAGTGGAAGTCTGGTTACCTCTTCCAAACCATCCGCCAACGGTTTGTGAAATATTCGAAAAGAAACCTCCTTGTGAAGTATTGGAGGGTGGTGACGATGTTGTTTCAGAAGTGTTGACAGTTGTTGTGGATGGAGTTGATGCCTCTCGAAACACAGTTTCATCGGAAACAAAGAAGAATGAACGATTTCTGATAAATCTGGGAACCTTAGAATCTACAAAAAGGAAAAACTTGTTGAGAGGTGAAATAAATCTTACCATAAGCCACACTGCATATCCACCTAACATGCCTATATAAATATATACATATATGAGCGTTTTACAAGAATTGGCAGTCAAGATCAGGGCGATAAAGACAAGGTATTGGATTATTGTTCAATAATATTATTACATGTAGTACGTACCAGTAAGGTGACCCATTAAGGACACATTTGGCATTAGAAAAGAGGTCACAATTAACATTAGCCATGGAATTAATTTTGGAGCAAAGTCTGCATAGTGAGCTCCAGGATACAAACTCTCAAACAGTGGCTTGTATTGTACAGTGAACACTAGATAAGCAAACAATACTCCACTATATCCAACTGTGCATCTATCGAGTAAAAATCCCAATACTTGACCAGCTTTGAAGGCATCAATAAATAACGCGTCAATAGCAACCCAAATGGCTGATGCCAAAATTAACATTAATAGTGAAATGAAGAAAAAGTATATTGTTCCAAGAGTTGATTCAATCCTATTTCCAAATTGATAAAGAGCTAGCATGTTAAATAATATGTGCATAATGGAACCATGGAAAAAGGGAAATGTAAATAATTGCCACACTTTAGCTTGTTTCATACTTGCAGAATAGCTGTAACAAATGTCTGATGATTTTGGCTCATTAAACACGCCCTATGGTTAAAAATCCATTTCAATTTACAAATCAAAATTAAATAGCAATTATTACAAATATTTCAATTTGCAAGATGAAGGATTTTGCATTCCAAACATACCTGTACAATGAACAATATTACACAAACACAGAAAATAATATTACTACATAATGGAAAATATCGAAACCAATTTGCAAATTTGATATGAATAGGATCTTCAATATGATATTGTTGTGCTTCTTGAGAAGGAATGGTGTGAATATTTGCTCCCGTAGTGCTCGATGACACCAATGTGTTCGTTTGAAAACCTCTTGTGGTCGTTGAAGAGGATTGAGGAAGTTGTTGATACCTCGGATGTTGTAATTCTTGTGGTCTTCCGCTGATCATGATTTTAAACAATTCATTTATATGGTGCATTCGTTGGATGATTACAAGCAACCCCGATGTTCAAATCAGTGTTTAAATCAAAATCGTTGCCAATACAAAATATTACATTTTTATAAATTATTTCATGCACATTCGTTTGTAAACAATAATATTGTTTCATGATGTTTTTTTTGATAGTCATCACAAAAACATAATTATTCACGTGAATAATCAAATAGCCATCATTTAGAACCACTTGATCGTTTCAAAAAGACAAACCTTGGGGAGAAAAAGCCTCTGCCGAAATTCAACATTTTTTTAAGGTGATTTGATTAATTCTGATTCAGAGATAAATCTTGTTTATTTACAAAACAAACAAATACAATCTAACTCTATTGATTCGAAAAGTCGTAAGTGTCATAATATGAATCAAACTCTCTGGGAGGGCTCATTGAAAAGAACGACAATGTTGGTGACAATGCATCGTTTGGTGATGTACAACCAGATGACATGAAAGGAGAAAGAGCAGAATGTTGCTGTTGACAATAGCCGTATGGTAATGGTCTGCAGCTGAACGGAGATGTCGCTTGTTGGGAGACAAATGTTCGAGATTGTGTTGGACCTGTCTGATATGTCACAGTGCTATCGGTTCTGGTTTCAATGTGCAAATTTGTTCGAGAGACTGCTGGAGCTGAAAATTTTCCATCTCTGATATCATCGTAAAGTCTCTGCAAAGTCATTTCCAATTCTGCAACTTTTTGTTTGAGTTCTCTATTTTCCATGCTCACACGTTCGATATCGGTTGGAATTTGTGCGTGAAATGCTGTCAAAGTAGCAATATTGGGAGCAGCTTGATTGGTTTCATCGATGAAAGGATTCGTGATTGTTGTAGAGGTGGACAGGGCTGTCATTGTTGTATTGGTACTAGCAATAGTCTCGTGGTCATCAAAAATTCTATCAATTTGATAGTCAGAGAGTGATGATGCGTCAAAATAGGTGGTGGTCGATTCAGCCGAGGATGAATTCTTTCTCTTCTTTGTGGTGTTTTGCGAATTTGAAGAATAGCTGCTCTCATTATCAAGGTCTCTTTTCTTTGTAGAAGAATCTTGCTTCTTCTTTACCTGTGATGTTATTGCAGTCTCCTTCTTGGTTTTTGTGCGAACCCAAAAACACTTGCTCAACCCAATCACTCCTTGATTGTTTGCGCTTGTCTTTCTATTAACGAATTTAATCAAAGCAACTCGGCTTTTTCCTCCAGCACCACCTTTGTTGTTTCGAGGAATAGAAATGTTACATTCACCCAAGTCATCAAAGCCCTTCTCTGATTGTACGTGATCGTTCACGACCAACTGACAGATCATGTTATTCAGAACGTTTTTGAATGGTGAGTCTTCATTGAGTCTTATTTTGAGAACATCACCTACAAAAACGTTATGGCTCGTATTGGGAGGTGATCTCTTGCCGTTGAGATTAAAACCACCAGGTAGACAAGCAATTCTGCCTATAATTCGTTGTTCATTATCTTTCTCTCTTGAAATAGAGTACAAGAATGATGGGTCATTGTTTTCTTCAGTTGTTGTTGGATATCCGTTAGTCTCTGATGATGATACGGCTTGGTTTTGATTCTCCATCGTTCCCACTGCTGCACCTTCGTCAGGATTTTTTTTATGAAAAGAAAAAACAGGAGGCAAGCGAGAGTCAGCTCTTGTTCGACATTTTTTTTGTTGTTGGGTGTGTTCTAAATTAAGATTTCCATATATATCCAGCACGCGTCTTGGTACAAGTCTTTCACACGGATTGAAAAATTAGTGGCAACTATTAAAAAAAAGCAGACTTTCATCCTCTTTAACCTACTGGTTTTCAGAACATGCAAAATTTACTCATTGAGCACATGGAATCTCGAACGCTTTTAAATATTACTAGAACTCAGATCCATCGACATGAACCATGCAACGAGTATGACAGCTGTTCCGTCAGTGGTGAGTTTCTCTTTCGTGTCGTTTGCTTCTTTAGTGAGGAGGAAAGTGAGCCGATCCAACAATTACAACAACAGAATGTTGACCTCGTCGAGGTTCCTTATCAAACATTTACCAAGCACTACAAAACTATGAACAAGTGAAAAGAGAAAAATACAAAGCTAGGTGAAAGGTGGAGCTCACAAAAATTGAAAAATCTGACAGTCAAACAAAAAAGGCATGTCCTGAGCGTGAAACTCAAAGGAATGGAATCCTGACACAGATGTAAAGAAGAACAATTAGCAACAAACAATTGTGGAAACTGAGCTTTCTCAACTCACGAACAACTTTCGTTTCCTAGCAAAACCATGTAAGAAATTTTATCATACCAGCAACAAGACGTGAGGCATAATATTACAGCTACATTTTAACTAGTCCAACAACAATGAAGTAAATTCATTCTTGCTCAAATATAATATTTCAAATTCATATCTGCACACCCCGTTCGAAAAATGTGAGAAGACAGCTCGACCCACAACCAAATCCCTCCCAATAAACAATACGCCTTTAAAAAATTCCTTAACTCATCATGAACAGCATTGAATCGGGTTCAGGTGCCTCATTGCCGCAGCATCCACCAATCACGACCAATTCTGAATGGGAAGTTGCTCTTAAACAATTACAGATTGAAAAGGAAAGATAACAGGTTGAAAAGCAAAGGTTACAGGTTGAAAAGTAAAAATTTCAGATTGAAAAGGAAAATAAACAGGCGGAAAGGAACAAGATTGAAAAAGACATATTAGAAATTAAAAGCAAAGAAAGAATAGTAAAGTTGTAGATTGCAAGTAGAGAACGAATAAAAATGAAAGACCTTGAATTGAAAAAACAGTACTTTCAAAATAAGGTAAAGGAAAATGCGATCAATGATCATTTAGAAGTTCCTACTTGGCTACTAACTGAAAATGATATTCCTTATCATAGAGTTTCAGAATTTCATATCAGTACGGAGGCAGATGTCCAAGATTGTTTTATAAGGGAAACACAAAGATGCATATCATGTAACGTATTTGGATACAAGATACGTTCCTGTTGTGAAAGGACTCTCTCCTGATCTCACTCTCATCCGACGAAGAGAGAGCTTAGTAATGCACGCAACGACGTGATTGGTGTTTTTGTTTTACACTATAACTTTGTATAGCTTGCTTCATGGATTGTGGTTTATGAAAACGAGATGGATCAAATCTGCTTTAATTGATTCGCTCAACATTCCACATCTCGTAAAAAGTGAAGAGTTGTTTATTTTGTTGATGTTGGTGACCTGCTATTGTACAATTCTTCTGAATCATCCAAACAAACAAGAAATGGTTTCAATAATTTAAAAGAGAAAAGTACAAAGAGAATATCTACAAATACACATGGAATTATTTTCTGTGAGCCAAAATGTGAACACCGTCATTAATTCTGGCTCGAATATTGCCCAAACTTTCCTTAATCTTTTCACGGAACGCATTATCGGCTTCTTCATTCGTAACATTCAAAATTAAACATTTTCTCAGCCATAAAACATCGTCAATGCTTGACAATTCTGGAATACCTGTACCCAACATTAAGGTGAACAAAGTCATGATCATGTGTCCATATTTACGCAGAATGTTATAAGCTCTGCATCCCAAATCACTGAACTTTTCATACATTTCACTATTCTCACCACCCATGACATAGGCATACATTGGAGTGAAAACAAAAGGTGTTGTTTCACGTTTGAGGCCAGCAAACGTTTTAAAGTGACCTAAAAAGTGACCAAAATCAATATGGAACAAATCACCCTTCTTTGTAATCATAATGTTATCATTGTGTCTGTCACCAATACCGAGAACATATGTTGCTGAGCAATAGCCAGCACATGAGTGCACAAAGTTGTTGACAACAGTATCCCACTCCTCATCATTGTTGTGTTCCTTGAGCCATTTGTAGATTGGATCTTGTTTGAAGGCTCCAGCCACTCCTGCACGTTTCTTTGTCACGTTTGCAATGGTTTGACTGTTCAACACAATTTCAATCATACCTGTCATGTAACCTGTACAAATACATCCATAAGGTTGCATATGAAGATCCAAACCTTCCTTCTTCCAGAGCTGATCCATGACTCTCAACACTTGGAGAGTGAGTAAATCTTGTCGTAAATCATCTCCAGCCTTAAACATGACATAAAGGTCATCACCAGTCTCGTCTGCATTCTTGAAACATAACCATAGAGGTCTCTTTGCAGAATCCATAACTCTGCACTTCTCTGGAATTATTCCAATAACTTCCATACGAGGAGAGAGTGGAAGCTTGTATTTTGGTGGCTGTCTAAGTGTTTGTAAATGTTGTACGAGAGCTTCTGTAACTGTGGCCTTCTTTTCATGTTTAATCTTGATAGCAATCTCAAGCAATTGATCCAACACACCGCTTTGTTTCAACAATTCTCTTCTGTGACCACCACTGTTCAGTAAATATTCCTCCAACAGAAGACCGTGTCTCTCTTTGGCATAAGGAACATGCATTTCGGCCTTCAAGTGCCAAAAGAGAATGTGACCAATAATGTGCGTAGATCTGAGACCTCTCTGTAATAAAAATCTTGCAAGACTGCTGTCGTGATAGAGTTCATATTTTAAGGTTTGGACCAATTGTAACAAAAAGTCGCTCAGTTGAACATCTCCCAATTCATTAAGTCTTTCAACTGCATATTGTCGAACTTTTTCATCAGCAAAGTTATAATCAAGTAATTCCAAAGCATCTACAGGTGTCATTGGTTTCCATCTTTGTATCAAAGTATGGGCAATAAAAACAGCTTGGGGCATCTTCCAAGGAACACTGAGAATGAATTTTGGAAGTGCCTTTGGTATGTCCATAATTCGTTCCTTGTTTGCCCAAAGTAAATATTTTTCTTCATCTTTGAGAATTTCGAGAGGGTCTTTCGAAATAATTTCATTCAGCTTTCGATCAAGTTGAATTCCATTAAGATTGACAAAACTTTCTTTGAAATGTTCAGAAAGCTTTTGTTCGTATGAAAGTAAACGCTTGGCCATCTTTTTTGGAGGTCTACCTTGGGGAAACACAACAGGTAAAGCATATCGATCAAATTGATAAGAGACAACTATTGGCGTCTCGTCAGATCCTGTGTTCTCAGCAACAACGCTGATTGGCTTGGCTCTATCATTTGGCCACATTGCTGAGATCACATCTCCCTGATTTAAAAATCCTTTAAAGTTAATAAGAGGCTTAATTGTGTATCCAAGAGCAATGTCTTTGGAGCTGACATGATGTGGAGCATGGAGGGGATCTTTTCCAGAGGCGTTTTTAGTTGTCACATCTCTTGCAAATAAAGTCAAGCACAATTTTGTCTCTCTTGGGATGTCTGAGATTAATACTTCGTCAAAAACAATTGTTTGATTCCAACGAGGAGAACGGTTAAAGGGAACCATTTTTGAGAATTTTTGTCTCGAGAGAGGAGTACCTCCGTGATAAAGCTCACAGCAAAAATATAAATAGGTATTATCTGGTTGTGTGATTTGGTTTCCAACCAAGTTGTCAACTCCTATAAGCTTAACTCGGCAACATTTCACTAAATCCCATAAGCTGATGTGTTTCATTTTTGACCAGTCGCTTTTACCGTAACAAATCTCTTCGTGTACATAGAGCTTTGGGTCCTTTTCATGTTTAAAATCATATGACACTGTTTTGAGTGTCACATCTCTGGGGTCCAACTCTGCCTTAACTGTTTCTTTATCCAAAAGTGTTAAGGTTGGTTTAACACCCTTCTTCATACATTTTCGAATGTGGTCGAATTGAGCCATTTTGTAGTCACCATACATGTATTCGGCAGTACCTGCTGCTTTAAAAACCCAATCCTCCTTCTTTCTTTTTTGTTGGTGAGCTGTATTCAATTTGTTCAAAAATAACTCGGCAAAATCGTCAGCAGATGTATTATAATCACATTCTACAGTTTTTGCTGCCTTATTTCCATGGAGTGTACAGTTTACGTTAATAAGGATTTTCTTATTTAACTCGTTGGGATTGATTGGTTCAACACTTAAAAATACAGGAGGAAGGAATGCTTCTCTGTCTTCGCTTTTACGTTCACTCTTTTCAAAGTATTGAATTCTAATTTATGGAAATGTTTGGAGTGATGAATGTTGGTTTTACGAAGTGTTGTAATAATGTCAATTTGGTTTACCACAATTGTGAGAATGATAATAGGAGGAGCAGCAGAAAATAATGACGAGTAGTGTTGTTCACCGTTTGTATTACCGTCACAAGAGCCCATTAGAAAATTTTGTGACGGCATCAAGAACATGTTGTCATCTCACAATATTATAATTTTCGAGTACTACATACTTTTTGACGGTTTCACGGAATGTTTGTACTTCTTCTGAATTTGAGCTCCAATCTTTTGAAGGGCCAAGAATGATCTCAATTTCCTTTCGAATTTCTTCTTGTGTCGAAGAATTGGCTAAACGTTTACTGGTCTATATGAGATATATGAGAGATGAAAATGTTGTTGACATCAGGCAAGTGTTGATAATACATTTGTGAATATGATCCAATCGGTAATCATGGTGGTGATGATGATGATATGACCGAGAGAGACATTTCAATTTTCAACCATTTGAATTTGTCAATAAAGTAGGTACGCGTAACAAGTCATCACATGTGAATGTCATTTGAAGTGTTACCATCCATCAAAACAAAGAGAGTCTCTCAACACCTACCTCATCGTCTTCCTCCAAAATCTTTCTCCAATGTTCATCATCTCTTGCAGGAACCTTAACCTTTTCCAAACGTTTAACAGCTTCAACATATTCTTGATCTTGTTCAGTTTGCTCTCCTTCTCCGTTCACGTACGATCCGTCTTCTTTCTCAATGGCAGCAGCAGCAGTTGATTTGCCATTCTCTGCGGAAGAGGGAAGAGGACTGCCATTCCTTGTCGCAACAACGGTGGGACTCATTTTTTGATGATGATGAGCCTCAGCGAGTTCTCAGTTTCCTGCTTCGTGAATATGAGGCTCTTCAACGGATGAAGAGGTGTGGGCAAGAGGGATGGCTGACGGATGAAGAGATAATTTATGAGGTCTTTATTTTAATAACAAGGGGTTGTCAATCTTGGCAGACCTGCTACAATTAAATATGAAGACATGACGTTCTTTGCAAGAAGAGGAGGTTCCTTGCTTTTCACAATGATGAAAGACAGTGTTTTCCACAAGATGAGAAACAAAGAAAAGACGAATTAGGATTCGATTCATATGAATCTCTCGAAATGGCATGACAAGCGTTCGGACGAAGGAGGAATATTGGATAAAAAGCGGGCCTTCTTTCCACCGCCTATTCCTCAATCAAAAACAGCTGTGTCAAGGTCCTCTGCGTACGCATCATGCATACAAGAAAAGGAAGAAATGATTGGAATTGATTTACGAAATAAAAAGAAGCCATGACTAATACTCTGCACAACGTACGTCTGTGAAACCTTTATCACTTGTTTGCATGTGATCACGAAGAAAGGGAAGAGAGAGTGAACGAAGAAGATTGAAAATTATTAAGGAAGAGAAGCAAATCTGAGCGGATCGTTCTCAACCAAAGAGAGTTTTACAGCTTTTTGAGTTCAAGTGAGGACTAGTTTTAGCGAGCTACCAAGTTCATCCCTGGATTTCAAAACTCAGTGTTATCCACAACTTACCAACAAACCATTGATGCCATCTCGCCTAGCTGTTATCCTCGCCATTCAACACCAACTAGCATTCAGGAGCTCCAGACACGTGTTGTTGTGCTCCAGAAATTGCACTCAATCAATAAGAAGCCCGCGTGCCATTCGAATAGTATTTGGAAGGATCCTCATGTAAAATCCCCGAATGCAAAACAAGCGATAATGATTGAATAAAAATAACGTTCGCTGAGCATCCTGCAGGTCTTTGAAAAGCGCAGATTTAACGGCGCAGTGATTCAAAAAAAATTCTTCGGTTACAGAATTTACAGCAACCTGAACACGCAGCAAGAAATTTGTTGTAGCTTTCACACGCGCAGAATAGCTGACAACAACAACAAACGTTTGCATCTTTGGCCTCAATAACATTGCACCATCCACTAAAAGTGAATCCCATAAACACGCGAGTGTGTATGTGTTCAATATTAAATTAATTCACCATCATCATCACAGGAACGCGAATTGAATTTTAAATATTGATCAACATACCCTACAAATATTTCAGCCTATTCTATTTTAATCACTCCATTTCCACTTCACTCTAACTTTCATGATGAATTTTGAATCCAGCTTTTCCAAAACATCTTCATTCGAAGATTTCCTCAGCAATGTTTTTGCTCCAAACAACAATAACACTTCCTTCTCCAATCATCACACCTTCATGAACGAAGATTTAGATGATAACATGGCTGAATTCTTTGGAGTGAATTCACAAAGCGATAACAATTTTCTCACCTCTGCTAACCAAAACTTTTTTGAAACTCAACAACAACCTCTTTCTCCAAGCAATGACATGTTACCAAAATCCTCTTCCATTCTTTCCCTAACTGATTTTAAGCCAACCCTTTCATCACTCTCTAGATCATCCTCTGCTACCTCATTTTGTGGCGGTCTCTTCCAAGCTCCTCCTTCACTTCTTCACAATGGTGACTCATCTCCATTGCTTTCATCGGAGCAACAGATGGACGAATTCCAAAAGCAATTGACTAGAAGTGGTGCTGCTCCTTTCCTTTCTGCTGACAGCACTTTCAAACCATCCCCTCAATTGTCTCTCTTTAAATTTTCCAAGCAACCTGATATTTTCTCTTCTGTCACCAAGCCAATGAGTTCGATAACACCCTCTGACTCTCTTTTGAACCAAGAATTGTTTGCCTCTCTCAATGACGTACCAAAATGTGTCGTTGCTGAATCCAATGAAATGGATACTACATCCACCACTAATGATGCTGTATCCTCATCCAACAGTACAACAACAACAACTAACGCAAAGCAACAACACGGCCTTCCTGCTGGCTATAAAATTGTAAATGGCCAAATGTACAACGACAGAGGTTATCAAATTTGTGGTTTTATGAATCAACACAACAGACCTTGTCAAAGAATTGGCAAGTGTCCATTCCACGATAGAATGAAGAGTGAAAATGTCATTTCAACGAACAGTGATGGTATTATCTCAGCTCAAGACAGTATCGAGCTAGAGCACTTTGCTCCAAGTGAAGTTTTAAAGTCTAAGAAAAAGAAGGACAAGAAGCAACAGAAATCAGCCTCTCAATCGTCGTTAGATTCGACTCAAGTTGCAACAACTGAGAAGATTGAAACTGTTGACAAACCTGCAACTAAGAAGCCATACAAACAAGGTTGGACCAAAGAAGAACACATTCTTTTCCTTAAGGGACTCGAACTTCACGGAAAGGGCAACTGGAAGGAAATTAGCAACATTGTTGTCACAAGAACACCCACTCAAATTCAGTCTCACGCTCAAAAATATTTCCTCAGACAAAAACAACAAAAGAAGAATAAGAGATCCATTCATGACTTTACTATGGACGACTTGAAGAAGAATGAATCTGCCGAAGAGGTCTCAATGGAAGAGGAAGGTACTCACAAGAGAAAGAGAAACAAATCCAAGACTTCTAAGAAGACTTCGCAACCAGCAACAGTTGAAGAAAAGTCGAATGTTGCTGCCATCACTGAACAAGAAGCACCAGCTGTAACATCCACTACTACTACTTTCGATGAAACCATGTTCAAGAAGGAAGTTTTTGGTGAAGTTTTCACTTTTAATAACGAAGACATTTCGCTTGTGAAACAATTCAATCTCTCTCCACCAAAGCAAGATGCTTACTTGGAAGTTATCAACAAGCTCACAACTTTAAAGAATTTTGCCAAGCAACCAGAACAACCAACCAAGTCAGTATTTGAAAGCTTTTCAGTAGATGAATTGGATTTCCATTTTAGCGGGGTCTCAGGCACCGAGGCAGCATTCCCGTCTTGTCTAACAGAAGAACAAAACAATGATTTGTATGATGCTTGGGACGTTAACAACTCCTTTGCATTGTTTGATTCAGATGGTTCATTCGCCCAACCATTCCACAAGAAACAAAAGCTGTAATAAATTTAGTGAGTTTTTGGGCAAATTAAAATTGTCTCGATTTCCCGCTGTGCAAAACCGTTTCTTAAAAAAAAAATCTAAATTACACACACCAAAGCTACGTGGAATAGCAGCAATCACATTCATCATCATCTAGTAGTAATCAATAGTAGCATCATCACCCTATTATTAAAAATGATTTTAACAGACGGACAAATTTTAAAAGAAATTGAAAACAAATCCATTGTTATTGAACCCTTTGACCGAGCCAATCTCGGAGTAAATTCTTATGATGTCCATCTTGGCAAAAGGCTTGCTGTTTACAAAGAACAGGAATTGGATGCGAAAAAGAATAATGCTATTGAAGTCTTTGATATTCCAGAGGAAGGCTTTGTTTTACAGCCAGGAGAATTATATCTCGGAGTAACTCAAGAATATACGGAAACACATAATCATGTTCCTTTCCTTGAAGGAAAATCCAGTACTGGTCGTTTGGGAATTTCCATTCACGCAACAGCAGGTAAAGGAGATGTTGGCTTTAAGGGAAGGTGAGTAGTAGAGTATGTGAATGAATTATTATTATTGAATTATTATTATTCAACTAATAACATTTCAAAATTTGGAACAACCATTGACAGTTGGACACTTGGTAAGTTTATTGGAATACGAATTGAATGAAAACTCATTGATGACACTTTATTCAGAAATTAACTCAATCAAGCCCACTCGTGTCTATGCAGGAATGCCAATTGGACAACTGATATATTTTGAAGTAGATAAACAATCCATCTTGGTTCCCTATCATCAAAAGAAGAATGCCAAATACACCGCACAAACCACAGACCCAGTCGGAAGCATGATGTGGAAAAACTCTTTTTAATGAGCTTTTCTGACCTTTACAAGCTCCTAAGGACAGTAACGAATTCTCAATGTGATTTTCCATCAATAAACTGCATGGGTTAATTCCCATGCAACACTTCTCGAGATGTCACCACCCAACGGACCAGGAGAATCCAAGTTGTCCTCCAACTCCCGGAGTTGATTGTTGTTGGCTTGAAGCGCACATTCAACTACACGGAGGAATTATAAAACGAACTCAAAAAAAAAAGACCATTCTCCCTCACTGGCCAAACGTCATCTCCTTTCCTATTTCCAATTGCCTTGGATCACTATCGTTTGAATTCCGCTCCAAATCTCAAAACATGATGATTGAGAAAACACAACACTCTTCTTCGGAATTGGAAGAAATTACCAAACAATGGTATCATCAACAAGAACAATGCCAACACGTGATGAAACATCTTCGCGAGCGTGAGAATATTGTGAGTGGTGCGGATTGGATGGAATATTTAGCACGAGTGTATCGTGAAAGGCTTGCGATTCAGACGGTTCATGAAGACTTGTCTTCTCAACCTTTGATTACTTTTGAAAAGATGAATCAAATGGCGAATCAATTAGCATATTATTTAATCGAGGAGAAGGAAAATGTTCCAATTTCGGAGAGTCAAGTCATGACACAAGGTGATGTGGTGTGCTTGCTTATGGAAAATTGTGTAAATTTTATTCCTACTTGGGGAGGATTAAGCAAGTTGGGATTGACCATTGCTTGTATCAATACTAATTTGACATCTGACAGAATGAAGCATGCTATTGAACTTTCAGGAGCAAGAGCAATATTTGTGTCCCGAAGAATGCTTCCAGTTTTTGAGAAGGCAAAACACGAAGAGCAAGAATTTGAAATTGCAACCAGAAAAGCATCGATTAGAGATTTTAAAGTTTACATTGTGGAAGATTTAATTCATTTTGACAATTCTCGAGTTTTAGAAAATCCAGATCGTTCAAAATATCGAGGAAACATTACTGGAGAAGATGCCTTATTTTACATTTATACTTCAGGAACGACTGGTAAGAGTAAATGTGCTAGATTCTCTCATAGAAGATTTATTGGAGCAGGTGTGACATGGTCCATTCAAATGGATCTCGTTAAGGACGACAAGTATTACATTCCTTTACCTCTCTACCACGGAAATGGTGGTGTTGTAGCAGTTTCTGCCATTTTACTAGTTGGAGGATGTTGTGTCTTGAGAGAAAAATTCTCTGCAAGTAATTTCTTGAATGATATTCGAACCTTTGGATGCACTGCTACCATTTATATTGGAGAATTATGGAGATACATGTATAACACTCCTGAAAAAGAAAATGATGCAGACAATCCACTTCGTGTTGCTGCAGGAAATGGACTCAGAAAAGACATTTGGGAGCGTGTCATGAAACGTTTTGGAATTTCAAAAATTGTGGAACATTATGGGCAAACAGAAATGTTAAGTGCTCATCCCATGATTAATTCCTACAATCGAGCTGGGTCGTGTGGATTTATTCCTTTTGATTTGTGGACCAATCAAAAGAAGGAAGTTCTTGTCACGTATGATTTTGAGACAGATTCTATTAAGAGAGATCCAGTGACAGGGTTTTGTGAAATTGCTGGACCCGGAGTGCCTGGAGAAGATATTACACAAATTCCAGAAATTTACAAGGCCTACAATTCACACCAAGATAATTTAAAGAAGGTCTATCGAGATGTTTTTGAAAAGGGAGATATTTGGTATAGAAGTGGAGATGTATTGAAATATGACACGGATGGATTCTTTTATTTTGTCGATCGTCTTGGAGATAGTTTTAGATGGAAGGGAGAAAATGTGTCAACGACAGAAGTTTGTGAGGCCATTACAAAAGCTCTTGACCACCATATTCCGTTGAAAGAGGCCAATGTCTATGGCGTGCAAATTCCTCATTGTGAAGGTAGGGCTGGTATGGCACGTTTATTGCTGGATCATTCGGTCAATGTTGATTCGTTGGACACTGAATTTTTGGTGGCTGAACTCAAGAAGCATTTACCACATTATGCCATTCCACTCTTCTTGCGAGTGTCGACAACAGAGAGTGACAAGACGAGTACACTGAAATTTATCAAGAGTCACTATCAGGCTGAAGGTTTTGATTTGGACAAAGTAGGTCAAGACAAGATTTTGTTTTTAGATCCAACCACCAAGAACAAGTACACTACTCTGAGCAGAGAAGTATTCCAATCGATTGTGGAGGGCAAAATAAGATTGTAAGATCTTTATAGTAAGCTATTTTCACATTGTGGCTTTCTCATCAGCCTCTTACATCAAGCGATAAAATAAATATCAGTATTTATAATTGGATATCACACAGGGACTTGTTAGCGTCTATTGTTGTTGATTAACCTAGATTGAGCTTGTTGAGGTTGTGGAGGCGTGGGTGTTGGTGCCACATGTTCCTCTTCGGCTTCTTCTATTTCATCTTCCTCTTCATCGTTACCATGGGCATTCAGGAATTCTCTTTCCGTGGTTGGATCAAGTTGAAAGCCAGTCAAATCGGCCATAAAATGCAATATTTGTTCCGAGTTCAACAATTCTTTTCTCAACCTAGATCCTCGTTGATAAATGTACAAAATGCTGCTCGAGTCGCGAGTTTTCATTGCTTGCTCGTTCTTATTTTTTTCCAAATAGAATTGCTTTTCAAATTGTTGTACTAATTTTTCAGGCAAGCCAAATACTGGATGTGATTTTCCCTTATGAATATTCATTCTACTCAAGTATTTCCACAAATCTTCTTCAGCGAGACGATTCTTTTTAGTTTCAATAAGGCAAACTATAACCATCAGCAAACCTAGGTGAGCCTGCTCAATTCCAGAAAATGAATCAAATTCCTCTCTCTTGTTTTGAATACTCTTAAAGTTAGATTCTCGTTGCTCCTTTTTACTCATGCTCAGCATGGGTAGTCCGTTATCAGCAGGAGCTAATCTTAACATCCAAATACCTGTTGATTTTTTCTTTGGATTCTTTTGTTTCTTTTGTGATGCTGTTTGAGTAGCTGTTGACTTGGTTGTGACATCGGCATTTGGATCATGTCGATCAATCTCTAACAATTCAAATCCGAAAATTTTCAGAAATCGTTCTTGTGCCAGTGAAATCAAATGATCGAGGAGACCTTTTCGTTTTTTATACCTCTCTCCGAGAACAGCTGTCGCCACATCGTCTCTCTTAATGGGCAATTTGTTGGTATCTTTAAATAAACAAAATCTCATTAAATTTCCAAGCAATTGTTCAATTTCATCATCAGAGGTTCCTCCAAAATCATTCACTTTACCATTAAATTCTCCGTCTTCATCTGCTTTCTTCTTTTTTCTTCCTCCACCACGTGATGATGTTGCTCCTTTTCGTTTCCGAGCTTGAGTACTGGTTACTTCTTCCTCTTCTTCGTACTCCTCTTCTTGTTCTTCTTCTTCTTCCTCTTCGGGATCTTCTTGTGTTGGCCTTACATATCGTTGTGATGATGAGAATGAGGATTGTTGTGATGATGATGCTGCTTGTTGGGATGATGAAGCGTTATGAACAAGCCTTCTCCGTGGAGCCTGTCGATGATCATTACATGTATGTGAATCATCATGATATCGGGTATAGATGATCCAATGATTTCATTCCGAACAAGGATATGGTCGTGTTACGAAAAATAATTTTGAAAAAAAACTCTCCTCGCACAAACTACAACGTACTACAACGTACCATTTTTTTTTAATTTGAAAAACAAAATTTCTCCCAATCCAAAGAAGCATTTTGTTTTCACACAACACTTGGGCTGGTTTATTCATAAAATTGCAATCCTCTTGTCCTGTACAATTAGAACACTGTAATGATCAGTGAATAAGAAGCTTCAAGTGTCAAAAAAGTTTGTTTCAAACTCGACGTTGAATTTGAAATTGAACCAAAAAAAATGTTCAATTCCAACAGTGCTGATACTCTCTGCAAACCTTCATCATGGCAAGTGACACTTGAATTAATAGATTTAAATCCCATCACCAAGGAGAGTTCATTATTCATTGAAGCTTTCTCAAGAAATCTGGAAACGAAAGGGATGCTTTGATATTTAACTGTGAAACAGATAAATGTGTGTACAAGTATGATTTACAAAATATTTTGGACATGTCAAATCGATCAGAGTTGTCACAAACAGAGCCAGAATGTAAATATTTGTGGAAATCTCAACCTTTAAATCAAGTGGAGGGGATGTTGATTCATAATTATGAACATGACGGCAAATGTTTATTTGTTTGTGATCCTGGATTGTCAGAAATTCGAATTCTGAATTTAAAAACAGGTGATGTTCTTGGGTCCATTAAGACGCAAGAAAAACCCTATGGTATTGCTAGCACGAGTCTCGATGGAGACTTGATGATTACAGTATTCCATCAAGTTCTCGTTCTACAAAAAAACAATTCAGGAGAATATTTTACCAAAAACATCATTGAAAAACCACATGAATCATGTTGTGTCTTTAGTTTTCCTTATTCTTTGGTTGTTGATTCAATTTCACAACAACTCATGGTTATGGATAGCGATGAAGGAAAAATACATGTGCTTTCTCTCAAAGATGGAACAGAATTGATATGTTTCAATGGTCCATCTGACAACGCATTTTCTGATTATTCCTTTTCATTGAGTTTAAGCGGTGCATGTCTGAACGAATATTCAGGAGAGCTGTTTGTGTGTGATTTTTATTCCCAACGTGTGTTGATTTTTAAAAATTAGTGACAGGGGTCACACGATGAGTGTTGGCAACTTATTTAATGCATTCCAAGCATTTCTCCCGTTAGCAAGACAGTATCAACGAGTAATCCAACTTTGGAGTTTTTCATGAATAAATCAATGAAGAATTTGAACAGGAATGTTTGACTTGACCAAACGATTACAAAAACAACTCCAAAAAATAGTCAAAAATGTTTCTTGGAAAATTAGCGATCGGAGTCATTCTTTCAATTTATATTGCATTGAGAGGTTATCGGAAGAAGTCTTTGGATTTATCGGGATCTCTCACTGCACTCCTTGTTGGATTTATTTCCATCTGTGGAGGATTATCATGGACACTGATCTTGTTGTTTTTCTTTGTAACTTGTTCCGCTCTCACAAAATATAAAGCAGATATTAAAAAGAAAAGAGAAGATGGATACAAGGAAGGAGGACAGGTAATTATTGTTGATCATAATGGTCATCCGTTGGTTATATTAATGAATCATTTATTGTTGATCAACCAAAATCGATGGATAACAATGAATGACTTGATGAAAAATAATCTTTTGATTGATCCATATTCAAAAATTCTCATCTCTTTTTATATTGCATTATTACATTCATATTATTGTTTGCGTACGCAATGATGGAAATTAATGATCATCATCAATATAGAGAAATTTCGAACAAGTGATTGCGAATGGATTCTTTCCAACCTTTATTTGTCTATTGTATCAAATTGTGAGAGTATTCCAATTTGAAAATTTTGAAGCAATGTATTTGCAATCTCAAAAGACCAATACTCCTATGGAGTTTTCAAGAATTGAGGTGCATCGATATTTGTATGGAAATTTCTATTATTTCAATTCTAAAGATTATCCGTTAAAGACATTCTTGCTCGTTTGCTATCTTTGTTGCTATATTGCAAATACAAGTGATACATGGTCATCAGAGTATGGAATTTTGTCCAAGAAAGAACCAATATTTATTTTGAATTTTAAGCAAACTTTGCATGGGGTGAGTTTTGCATTATTATTACAGTGCAGTATGAATCTTTAACCAATGTATGTGGGAATACCGAATCTGTCAAAATATTTCAAATGAAACACACAAAGGTGAATGGTGGCGTGAGCTCATCTGGATATTTAGCAAGTTTGGTTTGTGGAATTTCATATTCTGTGCTTTGCCTCTTTATGATTTGCTTGGACTTCTTTTATGCTCGATTTATTGGATTTAATGAAATTGGAACAATGCTTGTGGGTGGAAATGAAACTTCTCAATTGCCACTTTTAACACAATTATTCACCGTATTGAGTTACCAATATCCAATTGTAATTTTATGCATTTTCTCTGCATTGTTTGGTACTACTTTGGACAGTGTGTTAGGAGCCATCTTTGAATATTCAGGTAGGTATTGTGTGAATTTTCAAAATTAATGGAATTACTTTCAATTACTATCCACTCGAATGGATAATAGGATATGATGAGGAAAAGAAGATGGTTGTGAAAAAACCTGGTGGAGCAAAAGTTAAACATATTTCTGGATTTGGCATTTTGAATGGAAATCAAGTGAATTTTCTTTCTGGATGCATTACTAGTCTTGTGTGCGCAACGATCAGCTTGTGGTTGTTCAATTTTTAATTCCTATGCGTTGCATAATGGTTCAAAGTTAACGTATGATTTGTAGTGATGATGGCTAGACTACTTACTGTGAACTAAGATCTAGCGACCACATTAAAGTTAATTGAAAAGCTTCACGATTGATTTGATGGAGGACGACTTTTTGAATTTTCGCTTAACCTTTCACCACCTTAAAACATGAACTCAATGGATCAAAGAAAAGAATAACCAATAGTTAATGAATGGCTACGGCCATATCACGATGAATGCACCTCATCCCGTCCGATTTGAGAAGTTAAGCATCGTCGAGCTGCATCAGTACTGAGGTTGGAGACAACTTGGGAACCTGCAGTGCTGTAGCCTTTTTATTTTTCCCGAAAAGCTTGAACGAGTCTTCTTTTACAAGCCAATGATTTTGCCCAAAGAGGAAATGAAGAGTTTCAAATGGTCACGTTAGTTCAAAAAAAGAAGCCATTTTTCGTATAATCAGCAACCATTGGATATCATCATTGATAATTATTTATGTTGAGATTGCAGGTAGGTTACTTGTCGTTCAACAAATTCACCTGGACCTAGACATTCGGCTATGGCTATTTCCACTCTTCATTATGGTTTCATTTTCATCCTTTTCTGCTATTCCAGAATTGATCGTTCACTTGTAAGGCAACCAATTTCATTACAAACATTTCATTTCCGGAAAAAAATGAAAACGAATGATCATCATTCACCCACAACGATCGTACAATTAATTGATCTTCATAGTGTGGATTATCATCATGATGATGATTTAGATCATTCCATATTTATTACTTCTCTGTTTCATAAATTATGTAAACGCATGAGAAAGAAACAACGTAAAATCTTTCAAGGAAATTTTACATTGGTGCATACGATTGAACAAGATCACGCCATGACTCCCTATGTATTACGGATTTCATATCTCTATAATTGTATTATGGTCGGAAATGCAGGAGATAGGAATTATCTCAGTCTTTTTGATTTAAATACGAAACAACATTTACGTAATGTAGTGTTACCACAACTGCCATATTATTTGTGTGTTGAAGAATCAAATATTGATCATCAATTGGTATCAAAAAATACCAAACATTATTCAAATTTGATTATCATGTTTGAAGGGATGATGAGAAAATATAAATTAAGAGATTTGATGTTCTCTAGTAAGGATAATAATGAAGTATTGAAAAATGTTGAAAATCAACAACAACAATTAATGGCCACCCATAAGGATGGTGAAGAATCGACAAGTCCGCCCAGTGCTGCACACTTGTGGCAAATAGACAATATGGAAAACGCATCTTCAGTAACAATCAAATACTCTCATTGTCCCTCAGAGAATATAATTTATACGTGTTGGAAAGAAGAAATATGGATGATCCGTTCAGAGAATGGTGAAAAATTGAAGGCTCTCCAAATACTCAACTATCCAACGACAAATATTCATTGTTTAGAATACACATCAAGAGGCGACATTATTATGTGTGATGATAACACATGTTACAAATTAAGGGAACAAGCGGATGGTAATTGGGAATCAGTTTTATGTTTTGGAGAAAATAGCAGCTTGATGAATGTGGTAGAAGTAATATACGAAGACAAAAGTGGTCATTCTATTGTGTGCTCTCATTCGAAAAGCAATGGCAAAATTGTGATATTTCACGAAAATGGAGAGGTTTTTAAAGAATACTCATGTGACACCATCTCATGTTGTGTCAATGAAAGGAATGGCCAGTTAATTGTTGCCAGCCATTATGACCATAAAATTTGCTTTTATTGTTAATTTATGAATTCTAAGCTTGCAAGAGAGAGGTGGTAATTAGATTAAATTTATTGCTGAGCTGCATGATTCATGAGTTGTTGCAATGCATTCTTATCTTCATTGCTTGATTGAGAAATCACTTTTTGGAACACAGAGGCAGCATTTGAAGAGAAGGCAATCATGGCCTTTCCAAAGTAAACTTTTTCATCAAACTTATCAATAGGTGAATCAAAGACTTCCATTTCATCAATATCCTCATCGGCTTGGGCATCATAGGCCGAGTTGGTGAGTGCTTCCACAATTTTCTTTAAATTAGTATCCTGTTTCAATGCGTCTACAGAGAGTGTTAATTGTTTAGAGGGTTGACCATTTCCATCATTGTATTCGTCTTCTTCCGAGTCATAGTCATCATAGAAGGCGTTTTCATCTCCATCATTCTGTTTCTGTTCCTCTACTTTTTGTTTCAATTCATTCATTTCGACAAGCAGCTTGACACAAGCACTCACAATGTATGAAATATTTTCTTGAAGTGGTTTTGGTAAATTAGCAAAATTAGCATAACCAATAATGTTTGAAAATGCAAGAACTGCAACCTTCTTATCATAAATTCGTTTAAAATAAGGTAAACTTTGGAACCATTTGGTAAATAATTTCAAAGTCAGTTGTTTGGATTCCACATAACTGAGTGCAAGTTCCATATTATAAATGATAGCATCAGCAAACACTTCTAATAATAAAACAGTAAAAGCAGGTGTCTCTGCCAAATCAATTTGACACATGACCATTTCTAAATATTTTGGAATTTCACTGTCAATAGCTCCTTTACAATGTTGAAGCATGCATGAAAGAATCTTGCAAGCTCCTTGTGCTTCCTTTTCAACTGTCTCAGCATCTTTAGCCAAATGTTTAGCGCACAAATGATACACCATTGTGACATGATCTGGATTTGATAAAAACTTTTGAGTATCCGTTGAAATATAATTATCTAATGGAGCAACTAAATATCCAATAAAATCATAAGCCCATCCACTAAATGCATTGTAAATGGTTGGTAACAAATTCCAACAATTTTCTGAAATAGATCCATTGCAATGATATGTCAAATAAACCAACATATCCATGGCAGATTCCACATAGTCATATCCTTGATCATGAGATTCTAAAATCTTGGCAATGAGTGGCAATAACACTGGTTCTAATTGTCTATAAACACTAGGTTTGGATCTAAATGACTCAAGCAATGTCATGATGGTGTGAATACAATTATCCATGAGAATATCTTCTTCAACATTATCTACGTCATTGTCTCCTTCATCTTCAAAAAGACGCAAATAAGCAGCAGCCATTCGACTACAAATATTCACTGCATAAGGTTCCATTTCCTCAGCAAATGCTTCAACAAGTAGTTCAATACTTTGCACGACAGTAGAGTGTTCCATTTCATTCATAATATTCATATAGACGTCCAATAATTGTGGAAGAATTGGTCTCACATGTTGAGTAGCAGATTCCAAATGCAAAAGACAACTCAATCCTAAACCTGCTTGAACTCGAACTGGAATTTGCTTATCTTTAAGACAATCAAGAATGAGTTGCATTCCTTGAACAGGTGTTTCTGGATTTTTGAAAGGTGCAGCTGCAAAACATCCAAGCATCCAACAAGCTCTTGCTCTTAAATATGGACAAGTTTCATTTTTGAATTCTGGATAGACGAACATGAGAAGGAGTTCTTCAAGCTTATCTTTGGTCATGTTATTTTTCAAGAAGAGTTGTCTCGTGTTACCAATGGAATATAAAACACCATCTTTGAGTTGTGGATTGACATTGGTGTTATCTGCGTAACTTGTCAAGACTTGTGTCACATATTGGAGATAGATTGGGAATGCATCCTTTCTACGAACTTTTAACAAACTTGACAAAGTACCCATAGCATTCATTCTGGTATTCCATAAATCTTCTACCAGGTCATAACCAATTCGAAGCCATTCTTGAGGATCATATTCCCACATTTCTGCATCCTGTGCAGTAAAAGTCAAATAAGGGAAAATATACTCAACAATCAATGATTGTAATCTTGAAGCAATGGAATGCTTGTAAACATCAGGATTAGCCACACAAGCATCCAAATATCTAAATGAAAGAGTCACGATACGATATGGCACAAAAGCTCCCTTAAGATTGAATTGAACCAATTGAAGGAACAAATCCAAGAATTTCACAGACCACTGTGAAACAAAATATTGAGCAATAGTGGCTTCTTCTTGACAAATTTCTTTCACCTCAAGAGTAGAAGATGTAATGAGAAGTCGATACGCAAAATGACCAACCCATTTCTTAACTTTCCAATGTGGGTTATCAACATTTTCAATGTGATGTGGAGGAACTTCAATTTTGTAACATTCCAAAAGCATTTCCATCAATTTGTTAAATCGATCAAATTTTCCTTCTTTCACTTCCCAATAATAGTATCGAGGTGTTCCAAGAGAAAAGGCACACCAAACAATTTTTGTAATCAATGTTCTCATGGATGCAAATTCATCGGTATTTTGACTCAATAAATATTGGAATAATCCTGTAACAATATCAAAAGTTCTGTCAACAATGTCATTTACAGCAATTCGATATTGTTCTCCAGGAGCATTCTTATATCTTTTCAATAATCCATACAAAGCCAATAATGCTGCATAGACACAATTCACACCATTCGATCTTAACATGTTAATAATTTCATCCACGAGACTTAACCAATTCACAGGATAATCCGAATAGACAATTACTTGATAAATGACACACAATTGATTCTGAACAATGTGTGGAGAGAGAATCATGGCTCTAAGAATATTTTCTCTCAAAAATTGTTTATCTTCGGGATGCATTTCAGGAATTGGAGGAAGAGAATTTGAATCAACAGCGACCTCAAGTTGATCATCGTCAAATTCATCAATTAAACTTCTTCGAGTCGTGTCGTAATGTTTCACAGCAAGATTCTTCAAAAAGATGACTCCTGCTTGTTGAATGTAGAGAGATTGTTGTGAGGAATCTTGTTGGGATTGTAAAATTAATGAGAGGATGGCACTTGGGAATCCCTTGACGTGTTTCCAATCACTGAGAAGTTTCTCGGCTTCTAATTGATGGTTTCGGTTCGGATTGAACGTGTTGAGGAGAACCAATTGAATTTGTTCGAGAGATGGTAAGTGGTTCATGATGTTATATTATATAACGATTAATAATCAATAATTGTTTTTTGGTGTTGATGAGAAGGAATAATAATGTGAATGAGGTGGACTATGGACGATGAGTCAGTGCGTGTGAAACAATTGAACCTTGTAGTGATGATGGTTCACTATTTTTTTGAAGTCGAAAATAATTTTAAATCCTTTGAAGCCATCGTGCATACTCTTCACCATGATGATGAGGAAGGGCCTTTTTGAAGAGTCATGTAATTTACTACTATACAATGATTTCTAAAAAGTCACAATGATCACATCTTAATGTCACAAAGGTCATACCTGCTCGTTGTTCGGCCAACACCTTTGGTTCTGTTTGTTGTCGATGACCGGTTAAACAAAAAACGAAAAATTGTGATGAAAGACAATGATACAATTAGCTTAGCAAACATACCCTTATTACATTGCGACTTGTGTTCGCCATAGCAATCAATCACTTGTTGGGAAACGAATTTCACTGACAGTCCATTGAGCTGTAATAGTGTTAAATTATAATGCAAAATAAATTCATCCAAGTTCAAATATTAATTGAATATAACATTAAAATCAATTGAAAAGCAAATAAAAACGAACAGATGTGGGGATTCGAAGACCACACTTGCAACAAAGCGAGTGTTTGGTTTCGAGAAGGTTATTTTTCTTACACAAAGGGCATAGAAATACGGACTTTTCATAAAAATTAATTAATTCTTCCATGTCTTGTGCTTCCAACCGTTGTTGTTCTTCATATTCACGTAATTGTTCTTCATCTTCCTCTCGAAATTCTGTTTCCACTTCTTGTTGTAATTCCCACAATAATTCATTATATTCATCGTCAGTCATTGAGCCTTTGTCCTGTGCCATCAATCGTTCCAACTCTAATCGACAAGCATTCATATATTCATCATAGGGATTAAATTCTTCCAATGATGATCCGAGATGATGTGCAGCAAATGGATCTCGTACTTGATCTCTCAACAGTTTTCTCTTGTCTTTTAAATTTTCAATGGCTCTAGCCTTCAATACTTGTTTGTATTCTGTTTTCCGAACTTTAATGGAGGCTTCTCTTGGGAGTGAGAAATGCCCCGATGATATTGTTTCATTTCCCTCCGATGAAGATGGTTGTTGAGCAAAAAACGAGGGTGACTGAAAGGGTGATGAATGATTTGGAAACATTTTTTAAAAAACTAATTTTATTGGAATTCGTTCTTGCTTTCACTGGAACATGTTTCTTTCTGTTTTGAACAAGTTCACAAAATCAATTGAAAAACAAATGTCCAGCGAGTTCCATGTGGATGATTAAGGTAACTTCACCAATCGTACTGTATGAGCTTGGTGATTAATAGTCTCAGCACCCAATACCATCACAATCAAATCTCCACTTTGTGCAAAACCATTTTCCTTCAAATATTGAGCACACAATTCCTCACTACTCAAATACTCGGAAATTGGTTTCTTAATCAAGACAGGTGTAATTCCCCAACCCAAACTCAAACGATTGTAAGTTCCATTTTGGTCTGTGAGTGCAATAATTGGAACACTCACTCGAAATTGTGAAATATTGAATGCACTTCGACCACTATGAGTAATGCAACAGACCAATTTGAGAGAGGTATGCTTTTTTGCAATGGCAGCAGCAGCCATGCTTTTGTAAAGAATGACATTAATATATTCATGAGGTGAGAATATATTCTCAATGTGTTAAATCATTCGTACGACAAACGATTATGACTACCTACCAAGTAGCAATATCAATGGAATCCACAGCAAGACTATCAAATTCATTTTCATGTGCAGACAATCTTCCAAATCGATCACAATTCAAATCGGCAGTTCTCACAATGGTACTCATGGTTTTCACTGCCAAAACAGGATGCTTTCCTGTAGCTGTTTCATTACTTGTGTTGAGCATTTGAATCAAATTCGTTCAAATTCAAAGAATTAGTTCCAATGATATCATGACAGTCAGAAATGTGTGGACTCAACTTGTAGTTACTTACCTTAACATGGTGACATCAGTTCCATCAAAAATTGAATTGGCCACATCAGTCACTTCGGCTCGTGTTGGAATTTTGTTATCCACCATACTTTGCAACATTTGAGTGGCAGTAATATCAACTTTTCCTGCTTTGGAAGATCTCTCAATTAAATCTTTTTGAAGAATGGGTAATTCATCAAAACGAGTTTCAATCATCAAATCTCCTCTCGCAACCATAATTCCATCACATTCCTTAATAATACTTTCAATATTTCGTATAGCCTCAATTCTTTCAATTTTTGCAATAATCGGAACTGTTTTTGAATGATTACTAAATTTCATCATTAATTGTCTGGCATCGATAATGTCTTGAGCGGAACGAACAAAACTCAAACACACATAATCTATTTCACCACATTTCATTCCAAATTCCAAATCAGCAATGTCCTTCTCCGTCAAAGCAGGTGCACTAATGCTGCTGGCTTCTTCTCCTTCTTCCTCCGAAGATGCAGCAGCCAAATTAATTCCCTTCTTTTGATTCAAAAGACCTCCCGTAATGACTTTACATTTCAATTCGGTTTCTTCTGAATTCTTTTCAATAACCACAACTTCCAAATAGCCATCATCGATCATGAGATGAGATCCAACACGGCAGTCCTTGGCGAGAAGAGGATAGGAGGTGGAGACTTTTCGAGGGCGTGGTTCATGATCTTCACCGGTTGGAATGACATTCTTATCAGTGGTAATGATCAACTCTTCACCTTCTTCAATGATGAAGGGTTTTGCAAGTTTGCCAATTCTTAAGATTCGGAAAATGTCAAGCAAATGAAATGAACAAACGAAACTCTGTTTGGATCATGACGAAAGCTTACCTAATTTTTGGTCCTATTCGTGATCGTGATCGCCATCGTGATGATGTTCCAATCATTACCAATGTTGTATTAAAGATCAATATTCAATGTTCATTCAGACTAACCTTGTAAATCTTGTACAATTGCAAACGGAATGTTCAATTCACTGGCAGCTCTACGGATGGTTTCGATCGTTTTTCCATGCATTTCGTGATCACCATGAGAGAAATTCAAACGAGCTGCATTCATGCCTGCTTTCATCATCTCTTTGATCGTGGCAATATCACTTGAACTTGGACCGAGGGTACACAAGATTTTAGTTCTCCGATCACTCACAGTTCCGTTCATGATGACACAATTCGTTGTTGTTGTGGTGTTAAATTTTTAAAGTGTGTGATGAGATCAAGTTGTCAACCCAGTTCTTGATCAAGAGTTGGTGGTTCACTTTATTCAACTCATTCAAGAGAATACATCTCAATCCAAAATGAGGGACATGATTTCCTTTTCATCTAAATCTCCTGCATCGTCAACGACAACTGCTGATTCAACTGCTGCGTCGTCATCTTCATCCATTTCAGAGGTGTCAACATCTTCCTCCTTGTCTTGCATTTTGAATTGACCCTTATAGACTGTTTCTTGAATTGTGCTCTTTTGTTTTGCAATTGTTAAAATTCGTTCCTCAACTGAATTCTTTGTAATTAATCTGTAAATAGTGACAGGTTTAGTTTGTCCAATACGATGGACACGATCCATAGCTTGAGCATCAAGAGTTGGATTCCAGTCACTATCATAAAAGATTACTGTATCTGCCGCTGTCAGAGTAATACCTAAACCACCGGCTTTGGTAGAAAGCAAAAATGCAAATACAGGGTCCACTCGTTGGTTCTGGAATGCGTCAACCATGTCTCTTCTCTCTGCCACTCCTGTAGAACCGTCTAATCGGAAATAAGTGTATCTTCGCTTAATCATGTAATCCTCAAGAAGGTCAATCATTTTGGTCATTTGACAAAAGATGAGTACACGATGTCCTTCCATTTTTAACCTAAACAATAATTGATCTAACATTCGCATCTTTCCAGAATCTGCAATCAACTTGCTCACGTTTGGTAATACTACATTGGATGATCCAAATGTGTCAAACACAAACCGATTTCTGTACAAGAACTTCTTGTCAATAAATCTGGTGGTTTTTACAGGTTCCAAGTGATACGTACTGCTTCTATCAGAGCAACGTATTTCAATAGGAGGTGCCATAACCCTTTCAAAGCAACATTTCACCTTTCTAATAATTGTTCCATTATTACGGAAGAGAGTTTCAATGTTGTGAATAAGCATGTCACATCTATGGATATGAGCAGTTAGCTGTTCAGCGACAAGCTCGTCCATGAAGAATTGGAATGTCTTCTTTCTATTTCTAAACTCCACCAGTCGATTGCGCAAGTTCCGTAGCTTGTACAACCTCCACAAAGAATCTTTCAAATAATAAAATAAAGTTCCATAATTATGAAGAAGATAGGATGGATCTTGGGAAAAATTAAACCTTTTGAATATGGATAACTGTTTTGCCTCTGTGTCAAGAGATCCCTCTGGCATCATTTCTCTAAAAACTATCTTGGGTAGTGTTAAAGAAATGGGATTTTTCAAATTTTCATATTCATCATAAATCTTTCCAGGAATGTGTTTAACATGTCCTGGGTGCTCTGAGAAGGCAACAGGAGTGACCACGTATTGTCTAAACTCCTTAAATAAGTGTATGTGATTGCATGCTTTTTTGAGTTGCATCACAATATTCATGAGTGCTGACTTGTTTGCTGCAGACTCAGCAGTGATTGCTTTCTTCTTTTTCTTTTCTTTGGCCGAGTTCTTTTTGAAATCATCCTTAATGTATTTATACATTTCTGCTTGAAGAGAGCTAAAGCCGCAATGTAACACCAATTCTGTTTTGGGTGCCATTTCGCTCTCAACATCCTTTTTCACTCTTCTCAACATGAAAGGTTTCAAAATCATGTGCAACCGAGCGAGTTGTTGCTCATTCAGTTTAGCATCTTGTTCCTTAGAGGCATGTGATTCAATGTCTTTAGAGAACCAATCATTGAATTCGTCATGAGAGTCAAAGATAGAAGGCATGATAAAGTGGAGTAGAGCCCACAGTTCTTTCATGTTATTTTGGATGGGAGTACCTGTGAGGAGCATACGGTTTCTACACTTCATACCCAAAAGCGTCTTCCATCTCAAGCTCTTGCTTGACTTGATGGCATGAGCTTCATCGAGTATCAAATATTGCCATTTCACCTTTTTGAAATACTTCTCATCTTCTAAAATAAGGCCATAACTTGAAATCACGACATGGAATGGCGAATCTTTTTGATACAGTTTGTCAGGATTTGTCCAATATTTTCTCAATAATTTTCTTTCCTTTAGAGCTCCCCAATAAGGAAGAACTCGAAGTGTGGGGCAAAACTTTTCAAATTCTTGTTGCCAATTGTGAAGTGTCGATGAAGGAGTAATAATGAGTGTAGGCCCCCAAATTCCCTTCTTTTCTGCTAAATAGGCTATGAATGCAATTGTTTGAATTGTCTTGCCCAAACCCATTTCGCTGTGGCCAATCAATTATACATGGTCATTCAACAAATCATGTCAAATACAATTCTACTTACTCTGCAAGAATGCCATTGATACCTTGTTCATAGAGTGAGACTAGCCATTTCATACCCTTCAATTGATATTTCTTGAGGGTACCATTGAAAATGTTTGGCTCCTCTTGAATATCTTCACTTGTTTCGATTTTATCCTCATCTAATTGAGTTCTATATTTGCCAGTCTCAGCATCAAAGTCCATAGTATACTGTTTCTGTTTTTCAGATGCCTGTAAGGCTCTTTCTCTAGAAGATTGCTCACCATCTTCGTTTGATGAAGCACCAGTTTGATCCAGTGACGACACCTTTCTCGACATGAAATGAGAATAGAGCTCTGTTTGGGAAAGCAAGAAATTCAGCTTTCTTTGTTGTCGTAACGCCTCTTCTTTTTCTTCTTCCTCTTTCTTCTTTCGCTTTCTCTTTTCAGAAATTTCCTTTTCGTGTCGTTTCCAAAAAGTTCCCAATCTGTCTGACAGCACTGAAGAAGTCTCGTCCAAAGAAGATTCTCGTTCGCTCCTCTCTCTGTGATGCTTGTCATTGATTTTTGCAGCAGCTTCTCGAGCAAGTTGTAGCATTCGGGAATGCCTTCCACTGAAACTGGTGGTAGTGGCGCCTCTAGAGGTGAGCGAGGTCTTGGCTGTAAGCGTTTCATTCAATCTCTGATGAATAATAGCTCTTGAAAAATCTTCCAATTGTTTGGTAAATTCTACTCGATTAGTCACAAATGAATCAATCCAATTTTTCTTGTTTTTCAATTGAGAATTGTTCTCAGAAAAGTGATAATGTGAACTCATACAGTTTTGAAACTCCTCTACCACATATTGAGCGTTGAAATTGTTCATGGGTATTTCAAAGGCTACTTCAAAGCTTCCCTTCTCTTCTTTTGTTTTCTTGGGTCTCTTTGTTTTTCTAAGTGAGGTAGAAACCAACAATGTTGGCTTATGTGGATCCCTTAACAAGGCACTATTTTTACGAATATGAACCTTAACTCCTTCACCAGGTTTTCTTTTCTTTGTATCGTCATCGTTGGGAGAGGGAATTAATTCTTCATATGTTTGAGTTGAAAGATAATCCTCGCAGATTGCATCAAATAATTCCTCAAGATACTTGGATGAAGCTTGTTCAACACCAATTTCTCTTTCATTCGTCATTATGGGAGGAGAAGTTACTGCAGATGATGACGATTCATTTGTAGGTGGTTGAGTGATTTTGGTGTTTCCATCACCACTTTCATGTTGCACATACTTGGAGAGTGACTCATTACAAAAATCGCCCAACCTATCGTACGCTTCTTCCAGAGGAGAAGAGAACGATACTTCGTTTGGCAAGATTAACATCTCCTCATGATTGGTGAGAAAGTCCTTGGAAGACGCGTCAATACCACAGAGTTTGTTGGAAAGAGACGTTTCCAGCTCGAGGAGAAATTCGCAATCTCCTTTATCGATTGAAGGACGAGAGTAGAGCTTGCTGAATGTTCTTGTTGGTAGTGATGACGATGAGGTAATTGTAGGATGAATTCCATTCTGCGGATTTTTGTTGCAGCTTGTATGATTAGTTGTTGTTATGGGAGCAGCTTCAGCTCTTGTATTACTTCCGTTCATCATCATTGTGTTTTTGTTTTCATTAGCCAAGCTATTTTGTTGATGGTCCGATACTTGTTGTTGTTTCAACAATGAAGGAAAGGTTGTACTGGCTGTAGTTGCAATACCATCTTGACTCATTCTATAATTTAGATAGTACTTGCTGATGTTTGTTTTAGAGGATGATGTATTACTTTCTTGTGTGTGTTCAGCAATTAAAGCAGATGATGATGCTTTGTTGCAAGAGTTTTGACTCAATGATGAACACTCAAACAGAAGAAAGAGAACCAATAATTTTTTGGATGGTGATCAAACCACGAAAGCTTTCAACAAGATGTGTGTTGTGTTCCTTTATGTTGGCTTCTCTTTGAGTTGTCATCCTTTCAATTTCGGAAGCGGTGTGTTGTTGATGAGATAAAATGAGGTTCTTGTTGTTGGCTTTTCAACAAATGCGTCCACAACCACGCTTCAACGGGTGAGGCTTCATCCCAACAACAAAACGATTTGCACACCGCGGTGATGATTCAATCATCCCGAGAAGATGATGAACAAATATATGTTATCTGTGATGAAAAAATTCTCTTGTGTTATGATGATGAAGCGAAATCAAGATAACACGTTCATTCTTTTTTCTTTTTCCAGTAAGAATACAGCTGTATCAATCGACACATCAGTAGTATCAAAAGACATAGTTTTGGAACAACAAACAATTGTGGATCAAAGTAAATATACGAACCTCTGTCCACCACCAACATGTGCGAATGCAACTACGACTACAACTCAGAGTAAACTATTTTAGTTGCTGAACACGCGATTCTCTTTTCAGAAAGAGGTCAACGCCATTTTCGCCTCTAACTCGCGAAACTTTAAAAAAAAAACCCCTACATACCTTTCATCGCCCTAGTTCTTTAAATTGGCGCTACACCTAAAATATTGACTGCTACACCATAACGATCAACATCTCTGACGAAAGAGAGAGAACCAATTCACATATCCAGCGCGTTCATCATCTGGTTGTTAATTTCCATAAAACCTTACCCATATCTAGTGAGCTCTGCAACGAAAATTGTAAAAAACGATAAGACTGTATTATTAAGGCGATTACCATTTTTTCTTTCGGGTTTGTCGGACGAAAGACTTATCATCATCAGCCTCATCAAAATATATATTTCTACCTCACCACATTCACATCTCCACAACACATCACCTTTACATCAACTTCAATAATTAGAAAATGGGTTCAATTTGCAGCTCTGCATCATACGAATCCCCGAATTCTTCTCATTCAAAAAGTCATGTATACAAGACCACCAATATATGCTCAGACACTCATCATAACAATCACAGTATTCAAGGAAACAATATACTCTCGAGTAATTACAACTCGGGTCATAGCACGGGCGGGTATCTTTCAGAAACTGAGTCATCACGACAAAACTCCACAACCACAGCAACAACGATACAAATTCGAGTGACCTCAACAAACTCTGTGAGTACCAAGCAAACCACATCTTCGGGTAGTAAAGTCAGGTCTTCTAAGGAGAGCGAAACGAACTCGAGCCATTCGAGCGTTTCCACGAGTTCTCATAAAGCACAAATACCACATTCCATATCAACCTCTAATATTCGAGTGCAGCCAGTGGAGTGGGATCCAATTGCTTTCGCAGAGATGGAAATTGAGAAACGGCAAAAAGATCCACGAACTTCCACATTAAGGCAATCATTGGAAATGTTTAGGTTTCCTTCGAGGCAAGCGCTACAAATGGAAGAATAAGTAATTTAAGGTTAAATGCTTGAGCAATGGATATACCACTACGATGGAACCATCAAGTATTTGCTTGACATGATAACGGAAAATAACTTTCAAGAGAAGAACAACTAGCGAGGCAGATGTGTGTTGATGCAGTTTTGTACGGCAGCCCCATGGTCACAGTGTGTGGAGTTTTGCAAAACTGTTTCCTGCATGTGATCACATTTTGTAACACCACCAATTTTTTCACACCTTCACATCTTAACAGCGAGTCGCTTTATTTCAAATTACCAATCTTCAACTTGTTGTAAATAAAGCTCGTAAGTCCTTGCTTTGGTTTTTCAATTTTCAACTCAAAATAGGGTTGTGGCAATTTCTGAGCTTTGAGACAACATGCAGTCGCATAGATGGACCAAGCAATCTCTTCCAACACAAACTTGTTGGCTTCATCGTTAGGAATGGACGAGTTGGTGAGAGTGTTGCTACTGCTACTGTTACTACTACTTGTTATGGTTGAACCAACATGGTCGGAGGACATACTTGTCGCAGAGCCAGCAGGTGTCGATGTGGATAGTGAGGAACTTGTTTCATCCAGACCACAAAAGATGTTGCAATAACAATCGGCCGTGGAAGGTCTTGGCATCATCATGGAATGAATATCACTCACAGTCGAATGAACCTCATCGAAATGTACCTCAGAACCTGACTTGAGAAGGGATGTCTTTTTGCTCAGAGGTTTCGGAGAGGATGAAGAAGAGGACGATGAGGACGAGGACGACGACTTTTTCTTACCTGTGGCCATCTCTGACGTGTAAATAACCAAACATGGTGCTGTCGATTTATCAAAACATCCAATATCAATGAGATGAAGATTCGAGAGATGATGCGCTTTGGTATGTTTGACATCGACTTGTTTCTTCGAGTAGTCAAACTTGACTGTATAATAATTCTTATCGGTCAATAGAATGAAACGTTCTTGTTTGAGTCCTCTCTTATTGTACTTGACGACTTTCCATCCCTTAATGAGACTTTCTTGAATGGTTTTCACTTTTTCAAAACATGTCTCAAAGGCTTCCTCATCTTCATGTGAATATTGTGTGAAATATTTTGTTTTCAAGAGTGAAATTACACCTTGCAGATAGATTTGACCCTTATAGGCCTGAAGAGCATTTTCTTTCAATGAAAGCATTGGATTTTTCGAGAGTTGTAACTCTTCCTTACTCAATGACACTGGATATAATCCAAGATCACTCAATGAGGCATGATCATTGGTCGTTGAATTTCTTGAATTTTCTGTTGAAGAATTTGTCATGAATGAATGATTGGTTGTTGTTGTTGTTGAAGAAGATGAAAAGATGGAGGAAATACTTGTCGGTGTTCGTGCAGGTGATCGTTTCAAATCCAAGGATCGAATTTTAGAACTGTCATTCTCCATGGAGAGTAACAAGGACTTGGGTGTCATTTCTCGTACTTTCTTAATACTATCTTCGAGTAATCGATTGAGACTATTCATGAAATCTTCCTGACTCATTGTATTCATGTCATCGTAACCAATATTATAGAGTAAAACTCCGAGATTGGGATACTTTTTCTGATAGAGTTCAATAATATTCTCAATCTTGTTCATGTTTTTCATGGTTGAACATGTTTTTCGATGACTTCGAGCAGACATGGGAACTTCTGAAAAATCAGCTTCAAATTTTCCAGAGGCAGGTTTGAACGCAAGATAGGACGAGCTGTCAAATGCCACTACCACAACATTGACACACATTAAAAAACTCCTATTATGAATTGGAGATTGATTACAGAACAGAGAAATGGATTCTCTCAAATTTCTCCAAGAATTATCTTTAAGCAAGTGAAATGCTCTTCGTTTTTCACCTTCTGATTTCAAACTATCAAAGAAATTCCAATCCATTTCAATCGTTAATTTTTCATAGGCATCTTTGTTCATGTGTGTCAAACTGTTCCACATGATTGATTCCGTTTTGATTTCATTTTCATATTTTTTCACATATTGTTTCTCAATGTAATCTTTTTTAGCTTTAAAATCGCTCTCTGATTTTGATACAGATAATAATTGATTCTTGATGTTTTCTCCCTTGTTGTTTTGAGATCCTTGTTTGTCATTGGTTGTAAAAGTATTGAGAGCGAGTTGAGCGACCAAACTGACATATTGATCATCTCCCTCGACCAACGATTGCAGCTCTGTAACGAGTCCATTATTTCTCAACACAGTTTGATATTGAGGATGTGCCGAAGAAACATTTGAAAAGATATTGATACAATTTTCTTGAACTTCTGAAAGTTCACAACGAAGTAAATTGATGAGTTCCTTACTCAACTCGACCACTCGTTTTCTACCTTGTTCATACGTAGGAACCGTCACAATTGCCAAAATGATATTCGTCGCTTGTTCTAAAATTGCACATGAATCTGAACATGTTAAAATATTCACTAGGACTGGTACCACATCAAACGATGCAATAAAAGTTGCCAATTGAGGTACTTCAGACAAACTCTGAATCAATGCAATTCCATTCTTGACAGTTTTTGCAGAGAGTTTTTTGTCATTCATGAGTCGATTCACAATATAATCTAAACATCCAGATTCTGCAATGACATGTTTGGTGAATCGATCCTTTTTCGAAAGTGCTGTGAAAATTTTCAAAATATCGTTCAAGAATACATCTCCTTTGATTTTGATGAGTTTGAACAAGTGCTTGACGCCTCCTCCGTTGACAAACATTTGTTTAAAGGTCGAATCAAAACACAAATTGTAAATGAGATAAACGACAATGTCTTGAAAGGTTTCGTGCTCCAACATGGCAATGAGTTTTGACGTGATGCCCAACATGGAAATTCCTCGAACATCAACTTGTTCGTATTGAACCATTTGATTCAAAACTTCGAGAATGGCCAATAAAATTCGTGAGGTTCCTTCAGTGACGTTGGTTTGAAGAATCCAATCGCAAAGTCTATGAACAGGAATTGTTTTTTGAGCTTTTTCAATCAATCTATTAGCGGTGTTGATGATTTCACACATTTCTAACTTGTGCGTTTTTTCGAAAATAAAAATACTTACAATTTCCAAATAGAAGGATCTTGCATGTCAAGAGAATTGAACGTAGTTAGGCACAAGAATTGCAGTTTTGCAACTTCCACATCCGAATGATACGAAGAATTTAAATAAAGAGTGGATGTAAAGGAAGAACTACTAGTGTTCGTATAATGCTTTCCAAGAATGGACACAATACATCCAGATGCTAATTTGGAGTGATCTTCTGTAATTTTACCCACAATGGATCTGACCTCTGTGGACATGTACATTCGAATGAGATTGAGAGTATGTTGAAGGATCAGGACATCATTGGTGTGTGAAATGATGGTTGAGAGGTGAGTGAGCACTTCAGTAACTTTCATTCCTATAAATGTGAACAAATCTTTAAAGTTGAATTCTCCCATCTTGGTGAGTAAATAGAGAACATTCTCGGCAAAGCTTCTCTCTTCAGATTCTTCAATGGGTTGAGGAGTTTTCAAAGTTCCAAAGTGAGAAAATTGTCTGAGAATGACCTGAGCTCCATTCAACGACTTTTTGTCTAAATAATAATTGAAATATTTTGTGCTGTGACTCTTTCCATCTTTTTGTGCAATGAGCTCTTTTCTAACTTTTTCTAATGAGCTTAAATTGGCGAGTATGTACAAGGCACTATGATTTCAAAAAGATGTCAACATTGACAAGAGAATTCTACCAAAACTTACTTGCTAAAGGATCGTCTGGTATGATTGGTTCCGCTCGAGGCTGATGAAAAAAGATAGCATACCAGTGACAGCAATAATTCAATGAAATGATTTTCCTCTTTCAGTGATGCATTTACATTAAGCAATTCATTCTTTCGTTGCTCTATTTCACAATCATGCGTGACACCATTATATATGTAAATCATTATCCTGAAACGTACCTCTTTTAGATACAATTAATAGTAAGGAAAGTATTTGTGACAACAATTCTGTAAAGTCTGTATCTTGTACTCTTAACGTTTGATATCCATCAGAGTAGGCCAATGGTCCTTTTTCTTCTTTTGATTTCATTGAAACGTTGAGAGAGTTTAAAATGGTCAGAATGATTGGGGAAATGGGAACTTTCAAAGCAATATCTTCTTCATTCTTGGCATGATTCAAACTCAACGCATTCAATACACGAATACAAGCTTCAATAATACCATACAACGAGTGATCCATTTGTTTTTTGGAAGTGCTCATGATACTGTTGAAGGCATGATTCATTTGTTCAATAATAATTTGAGTTCCATTAATGATTGGAAAGAGTGATTTGTTAGAATCTAATGGATCGAGTGACAAGGTTTGAAATGTCTTGTGATTGACTTTTTACATACCATTTAAACAAAATTTCTCCAAAACTAAAAGTGCATTTCTTTTACATTCATTGCTCACAGTATAACTAATGTGATTACTATTGGGTGTACTGACTCGAACCAAATCAAGAAAGTTCTTTAACCCTCGACTTTCTCTCACAATAATTCGATTTCCATCCACATTTTCAGTTAATGCATAAATAGCAGTACATGCTGTCATGATGATGTTATGATGAGATAGGTTCGTCATCATTGAGTGAACTTGTGTGAAAAATCAAAAATAAAATTTACCTAATCTCACAATTTCCTCATCAATAAATTTATCATTCACTGTATTTGCATCAAAAGCCAAATACAATATCAAGGGTATCACATCGGTGTCATTTCCCATTTTAGCAGCTACTTTTTCACCCATTGCCAAATATTTAATCATTCTCAACAAGACATGATAATATTCCAAATCTTCTTTTTTCACTTGTCCAATGTGTGATAATTGTTGTGACAATACTTTCTTGAACGAATCACTCATATAGTTCCATTGTTCCTGTAACAGAATTTTTGGTAATTTCAACACGTGTTGAAAACAAGTCAATTGATTTTCCAGCGAATCTTTTGGATTTATCGAAACTAAACTATCTCCCGATGATGAAGAGTGGTTGGAAGATTGACTTGGAGAGAGATCATCGAGAGGCAGCACAGAGAATTGATTTATGGGATTCGGAGATTTCTTTGGAGTGGGTGGCTTTGATGGCATTTGTTATTATTTGATGTAAAATTGATCAAACGTAATATGATTCGAGTGTATGATACAGATGGAAGAAATGAGAAAACACAAAACGAATGAAAATAAAAGAGGGGAATATGATGACGATGGGAAGATCGATTCGTGTTTGCTCTATTTTTTTAGTGTGCTGGTGTTGTTGTGAGAGACAGGTGACAACCCCCTTGAATTGAAAAGTGGGTGTCGAAAAACACACGGCACTTTTTTGATCCTCTATCTCTCTGTGTTCAGGAGTTTAGTTGGGCTTGCTTTAAAAGTGTTGACTTGGTTCTAACTAGAAGCTACAATCTAAACCTTTATTTAGAAGTACAACCAAACACAAAAAAAATATTTACAAACAATATTATCAGTATTGTCGTGATAATATTTAAATATTACAATCTGAAAATTGTTATTGGCTATCCAATAGTTCTCGGAATCTTTTAAATTTATTTCCGTGATTTTGATATCAATTGATATTAATCATCAATCAAGGAAGAGCTATTTAAATCACATTCAAGATTTTTCAGATCTGAACACACACATTGAATTTGCCATATTGAATAATATCAACAACCGTATTGAATAATAATAATATCAACAACCATGTCCTCACGAAAAAGTATTAGTATGGTAACGCCTTCTCACAGACATAAAAGTTTTTCATCATCACAGCCTCCGACATTTCTTTCTTCAATAGCCGCTAATTTATCGGGTAGTGGAAATAATTTAATGGCTTCACCATCATCATCGAATGGAAGTAGTAATACATCTAATAGTATGAACAGTAATAATTCAACAACAAGTGCAATAATAACTCAATCAGGTGTGGCTTCTATTGGAGACAATAGGAACGGTAAATCATGTGCCTATGTCAATGTAATCTTTCCAAAACCTTTTGCAAAACAACCCATTGTTCATGGACAGGTTCTCATCGATCAGCTTACCATTACATCATCGTCTCAAGCAGTGGTAAAAGAAGTTTCAAATACTTACGCAATAACAATTCTATCAACCACTACTACAGGATTTTGTTGTGTGGTGAGAAGAGTTTCAAAGAAGATGAGTGCAAAACCTTGGGTCAGTAATATTAAACTGCAATGGTTTGCCACTCTTCCTTCATTTTGCAGTGGAAGAACAGTGGTTGGAATTCCAACAACAGGACATTCACAAGGCAACTCTCCGCAAATTGGTTCTCAATCAGATACTATAATGGTTGCAACGACAGCTCCAACTGGAGCTAGTTCCATGACACCACAACCAAACAACCCCAACAATATGGTTTATTTGATGTCTGTAACAATTAATTTACCACCAATACCAACGAATTGGACTAGTGCAGCAAATGCATCATCAACACGATCACATTCAGTTTATGTTTCTTCAGGAGAATTACATCCATACGATCAACAAATGCAACAACAAACCAATGTTACTGTTCCTGAAAGCCCCACTGTTTCCACCAATTTAATGTACTCTCACACTCCAACATTAATTCCAAGTCATCCACCAGTGGTTATTGTCACACCACATGCTTCTGACGGCAATAGTGACGATACGTTTGTTGCAAGCGTACGGGAAATTTATCCAAATCGATTTGTAGCAGTTATTAGAAGAGTTGGATTTGAAAATATGGCCAAGCCATGGTCACAATCTGTCAAATTGAATTGGACTGTTTTTTACAATTCACCACAAATTCCAAATCCATTCGGAAAAGATTGCATCATCAAAGCAGGTGTATTACCGGTGGGTCAAAACATTTCTAGTGACGACTACGTCGATCGAGAAATTAGATTTATGCAACAAGACATTCCATCAATCCCAGGAAATGACTTTGGAATGCCTCGAATGGTTATTTGCACTCCTAGATGCGACCCTCAAATGCCCAGTAACGATATTCATGGCCTAAGTATTAAGACTATTTCTCCATATGGATTTTCTGTAAATTTGAGACACATTGACTCTAAAACATGGCATCAAAATTTATACATTTGCTATATGGCCTTTTATAAGATTAAGCGAAGAAACAAGAAGAATGAGCCAGCAACTCCACCACCCACTACAAAGAAAACCAAAAACACTGGATCACAAAATTTAGTCCCATACAATTCTCAAGTTTATATCCGAAATTGTACAAATGGATTTGTTATACAGGCAAATCTTAATGACAACACTGTAATGATTACAAGTGAAAAGGCCTTTTTGCTTTCACAGGATCAAAGATTTATTTTCAGAGAGTCAGGATTTATCGAATTAGCCACAAATTGTGACTATGTGTTGGAATGTGTGTCACTTGAAGATGGGGCAGATATTGTGGTGAGCGAGAAACGAGACGTTGACAATGCCACACAAAAATGGCTCGTTTTCCAACCTGTAAATCCTCTTGCCTCAGACAGTGTTTGTATTGCAAACGTAGGCAATTTAAATTTGGTGCTGGATTGTGAAAATGTTCGATCAAGCTCACCATTCCTTTCCACTCTCAACATGATAGGTTCTGGCTCGAACAATAATCTTTCAGCGATCAATGACTCAGCAGAAAATTCACACGATCAAACACTCCAAATCAAAGACAAGTCCAAGACTCAACAATGGAAATTCACAACAGTGCAAGAAAATAATTTATAAATTAGAATCCTTCCTGATCAACAATAATATATCGCTTTAAAGAGATTAATCTAACGATACTGAGCGACAGGCAATCCTTCAAGTACTTTCATGAGATGATCAATATTTCCCACATGATACCTTGCCTTAGTGACAATCTTATCATTACCAACAAACACAGAAAAGACGCTTTTTGGAATGATGATGGAGGTATTTCTTGCAAAGCCACCCACTGCTGGAGTATATCGATGAGAAGGAGATTGAGGAGAATGAACTTGTGCCGGCTTTGGACTCCATGGAGATTCACTTCCTTGCGATGACACGGATGACACTCCAATCGTTGGAGTTGAGGGTGTTGGTGACATGGGTGTAATGTTTTTACGAGAATGTCTCTCCACCTCTTCAAACATGGCTTCATCCGTATTATCATCTCCAGCACAGAATATAAATCCATAGTCACCTCTCTCAATCAACTTTCTGGCACATGCTCCCTTACTCACCGATTGAGGTCGAATTTCTAAAAATTTGTTTCTTCCCTTAATAATTTCCAATGGAAGAGAATTGAAGGCCATTTCCAAATGAAGTTTCAATTCATTGACAATCCATTCGCCATAATCTGGATCCGAGTTACGATAGTGGAATGCGAGAGACGATCGTTTCACCTCGACAAAGGAACCAGGAGTTCTGCTCGAAACATGTTCAAGAATTTCCCTAACCATTCCAATCCAATTCAAAGATTCTAAATCAATATTGTACAAGGAAGAAGTGAACTCTTCAGAATTGGGATGTCTACAAAATAGTCCATGTTCACTGGCAATTCCTAATTCCTTAATGGAACCAACAAATTCGGTCATTTGATACTGATCTCTTCCAGTAATGATATATACATGATTATTCGGATCACTACAAAGATGTTTCAACATTTCAAGACAACGTTCTGAAGGAAGAGCTAACATTGGATTTCGAGCCATCTTGACCAATGTTCCATCATAGTCAAAGAGGAAGAGTCTCTTTTGTTCTGATTGATATTCTGGAATGAGTGCTTCCAATTTCAACGCAGGTAAACCCTTCAGAGTGAGTTTGTTGAAAACGGTTGGATCTTTTTGATATCGACAAGCAGATTCAAATTCCTGCATGAAATCACTGGCCCATTGAGAGGCAGTATTTCTCATAATGATGGAAATGTTGGCTTTGTGACGAACATGTTTTTCAGCTGGTTTCATATCTAATCCATCCTTAATCGCTTTCATGGTTTGATCAATGTCCCATGCTACATGATATATTAAGGGAATATATGGACAGGACACATTTACATATCCGATGTGAGGTACGAGTCATTCAAATTTTGGATATACAGTTCGTTCATGAACAATAATTATCAAAAAGAGATCACAACTTACGATTAATAATGATAGAACCACCGAGTGATCGAGCAGCTCCAGCAAATTCACTCAAGATTAACACTCCCAATTCTTTCACACTCTTCACTCCCAATCGAACAGCTTCATCTTGACAAACCACATATTCAGAACTCACCAAATTCATTCCATCTCGAATAGATGTTACCAAACACACATCTGCCAATGTGTACAATGCACACAATTCAGGCAATGCCACACTCTTGTACAAGAAGTGCACTGGAAATCCATGAGTCAATGTTCCAAAAGTGGAATTAATTCTTCCTGTCGTTTCATTGACATGACTCAACAACTCTTGATACTCGACCACATTGGGTCTTGTTGGAACACCTACTTGAATCAACACAGTGTCATTGGCATATTGAGGATAGTTTGTTAAAAACTTTTCAAAAGCCTCAAATTTCAACTGGACTCCCTTCGTGTAATCCAAACGATCAATACCCAACACAATCTTCTTTCCCTTATATTTCACATTCTTGAAATCATCCAAGATTTTTCTACATTCATCACTTTGAACACCCTCACGAAACATGTTGGGATCAATTCCAATAGGCAAGGAATGCACCGAAACGAACAGACCCTTATGGAGCAAACCACGAGGAGTAGTGTCAGAACCGAGTGTACGAGTACAGCTGGAAAGAAAATGTCGTGCAAAGTCGTACGTGTGAAATGCAACCATATTCGATGCCAAAAGACCTTCCAAGAGTTGTGAACGGACTGGAAGAATTCTATAAATTTCACTCGAAGGAAATGGAATGTGAAGGAAGAAGGCAATATTAATATCAGGTCGACGATGTCTGAGAATGGCTGGTAACAACATGAGATGATAATCATGAATCCTTTTTGGAAATGAGTATATGTGCATCATGAAATATTCATTGGCGAGTGAATATATTTGAAATTTTGGACAATGATTGAACACATCATCAACCACAACGATACTACTACTTACCACACTGCATCGTTATCCTTATAGACTTCCAAAACAGCATCTGCAAACTTTTCATTCACTCTCTGATAAGCTTCCCATTCTGCCATATTGAAAGTAACATTCTTTTCATACAAGTAATGAAACAGAGGCCACAAGACTCCATTACTAAATCCATCGTAATACTTGTGTGCTTCTTCTGCTTCCAAGAATACTGGATATTGATTGAATTTTTCAAGTTCATGTCTCAACTCGGCTTTTTCTTCCTCTAATTCAAATTCTGCTGTTCCAATCCATCCAATCCATTTGAAATCTTTTTTGAATTGACCTTTACACATTCCAGTGAGAGCTGTGACAAGACCTCCACTACTCTTTTTAAAGATGAAATTGGAGGAATGATCTTGCATTTGAGGTGACTGTTGAGGAGTATGTTGTTGTTGTTGTTGTGAATGATTAGCATGTTTGTTCTGAGGATGAACATCTTTGGAAACGCCCTTCTTTGAATCCATTCCATGTGAAGAATTCGAGTTGCCATGAATAATGACAGAATTTGGATTTCTACTAATAGTCATTGGTAAACGATTAGAAACAACAATCAAATCACCAAATTTAAAGTCATCCATGAGCACTTGTTCTGTGTTTTGATTCAACGATTGATTCGAGAGAGTTAAAATCTCATCCTGAAACTCAGTGAGAGGAAAAGGTTTCGGTTTACCACCACCACTGGGAGTGTGATGGAGCTGCTGACCACTGCTACCGTTACTACTAGTACTACCACTACTACTTGAAACATTTCCACTGGTAATCGTTGGAGGTGGTGTCGACTTGGATGTTGCTGAGGTGGTCGACACTCCCATTAGAGAAGCTGAAACTCCTGGAGTTCCCGTGTTCACGACAGCTGTTTTATCAAACTGTAAAAGAAAGGAGGCACTTGTAGGAGATTTTGCTTGAGGTGGTTGTAATTGTTGTTCAGAAGAATTTGTGTTGTTGGGAGTCAACTTTCTCTCAGTTGGAGCATGTCTTGATTGCTGCATGGTTGAGCATGAATGTAATATTGCAGGCAATATAGTTGTGATTGATTCGATTTGAATTTCGAACAAAAAGTCAGTGTTGACAGTGAAAGTTTTTCTTTTCAGAGAAGAACAATGTGTTAAAATGAGAAGAACAATGTTGGAGTGGCAGTGGTGGTTTTGGAGGAGGACAACGTCGAGGGTGGAAAATTTCTAAATTAATGAATTCAGTTTGGATTTTGGAGCATTTGATTGTAATAATGGCGATAATGATCAAGCAGCAAGAGTGTATTTGAAGAATAACAATGAATTCAGGCAGGCTGCAAGACTTGAAGCAACAACACCTCTGGAATATTTAACACAACTGTCAAAAATGGTAGACTCACGAAAATGGAAATCGGTCAATGTTGTTGAATGATTTTGCCATGGGTATGGTCATGGCGAATATGTTGTGAAATGTAAAACTACCTTTTGATATTTCCTTTTTCATTTTGGAAGATGTGTATTAATGCTGCAAATATCGCCCTCCACAGTTAATAATATGCTCATCGTTCATGCTCATTGTGGACAAGGTCATGAAATGATACATCCATGGACAATAGTAATGTACGGAAGTAGATTGTTATGGAGTCTAACATTTAATGATCTTATGCTATTTTCTAATAAGGAAATAACCGTTTCATAATCGTTAAGGAAAAAATATTATTTTTTAAGGTATTACAAAATATTCAAATGAATTAAAAAAATATTATTATTAACAGGATCAGATGAACAAGAGTATCATGGAAAGAAAAGGAGTGATTCAAATCTACTTTAATGAATCATAGTACCAATAAGAGAGTGTACGCACGTGGCGAGCAACATCATCTTCCACCTCAAGAACAACAAAGTCATACATTCCGAAATGGTTCGGATGAAGATGAGCAACCACCAACAACATTCGAACAGGTCGAGTATCCTATCGAAGATAACACGGAGGACTCTCGAACCCAATTCGAACCACCTCAAGATGAACATGTATTTCTACATAAACTCAATGAAGACACTTTCGAGCAAGATGTGATCATAACAACTCGAAAAGACATGAAAGATTCTACCTCATCGATGACTGGTCCTTTAAATAAATAATTGTTGATTTCCAAATGAGCCAAACTGGAACCTTAAAAAAATGTAACTGAGTTGTACCCTACAAGTTTATACTTCAAGTTATGCAACAAATAGCTTGGAATCCTTAATTCAGTCGATATTATACCGTCTGAAGAAGGTGAAAAGTAGATCAAGAAGGCAATCTCCGGTGCTTTCATCAAAGGCTTTTACGAGATTGAAAATGAATCTCCTCAAATCCCTCACTAAGGAACAAGTTGCGAGCAACGTTAAACTCTGCACCGAGATGGAGAAAGTACTTCTCGGTCCTAGAAATGTGGATCACTTGTTGGCCCTGCTTCTCGATTCAACATCCATTTTGGTTTTTGAAGCCAAGACACTTGGGTATCAATGTTTGCACAACTTTTCTTGTAACAAGAATTTTGGTTGAATTTTACATAATCCGTTTCATCAACGGCCAGAAATTTAACTTCTCCAAAATTGAATTGGTGGATGAAGCAGTGTCTGGAATCGTCTCACATAATTGACCACAGCTTTGGAATTGTTAATTTTAATCATCATATGAAACAAAATTTTGTGACTATCAAGTGTTGCACAATGTTACGAATATTTTGAAACAACATTATGTAATTATATCAAGGGAAAACTTATTTAATAGCTCACCATGGGGGCCGTTTGGATTTTAAACTTTCCTGAATTTAGTCATGACAATATTGTCTTTGTTGATTCTCTCCGATTAATGAATAAGAATCGACTTTACACAATTATCCTTCCTCGGAAAACGACAACGAAGGGGAAAACTAAACCAGTTTTTGCTGAGAATGTATTTATTGAGCATTGTAATGTCAGGAAATGTCGGCGATTGCGTGTTATGGTGCTTTTGGATTGCTTAATATTTTATGGTAATGTCGTTAATACGTTGAAAGCTATTGATTGTTTCAACATCAATCAGCTTAAAAGGAAAAGAGAAGATCAATGATATTGATGATGGTCCACACAAAACAAAGATGGTGTCGATCATGTAATTGTGACGAAAACTTGACATCGTCCACCTTCACTTGCGTTCACTACTGTCGTTTCTGAATACCAACAAGCTTGAAATGTTAAATCATTGTCTGAGCTTGGGCAGTACATAGCTCTATCTTTTTATACCATGATCTACTAAAATTGCAGGATTAGATGCATCACTAAATTCAGAATATGAAATTCCTCATTTTGAAGTTGGTTGAAATTCACTACGAGAAATAAAGAACTGTTACATCCAAGCTTTTAGGTGGTGATTTCTTCCGTCTCCTCGGAATATAGGTGTTGAAAACATGTCGTATACGCAATTCACAGAGTTGCTTGAAAGCATGCTCTTCTCAAACGTTGCGTAATAAATGGCGGTAGATTTCCGTAAAAGTGCTACTACAAGTAATATCACGCCTTAAATTTGAGAGCACTAAAAAAATGGACCTGCTCAAATCCCTGACCAAGGAAAAAGTTGCGAGCAATGTTAAACTCTTCACTGAGACGGAGAAAGTACTTCTCGGTCCAAGAAATGTGGATCATTTGTTGGCACTGATACTCAGTCCCGCCTCAATATTGGACTTTGAAGAAAAAGCACAAGGATATCAATGTTTGCAAAACTTCTCTTGCAAACAATATTTTCCTTTACCACAACATTTCAACGTGCAAGCACTTGCAGAGAAAGGCTGGAAAGATTTGAAGAGATTAATTCAGATGATGGAGAAAGAGGAGGTTGCTGCTGAAAAGGAGCGCAATGCCCTGTTGAACATCCACACGTTGCAGGTTAAAAAGACAAAAGAATCAAAGCAAAAGAAACCCCAAAAGTGAGGGTAATTCACAAGACCTTTTCCACAACAAAAAACAAACCAAACAGCCAAAGCCAAAATGTCTGTCTGACCCAGGTAAATTGCTTCCGAATCCCAAGATGAATCCATTGCTCAGGTTCGGAATAAAATTGGTTGTTATTCAACGAGATCCCGATTGAGGAACAACAATTCACAGAGAGGATGTGATAGCTACAAGCCTTTAACTGTGCGACAAGCAAGGCTTGTTAAATACACTTCCCGCCTAAATTCTACAAAACAAACATTGAAATAGCCTTAAATAGAAGGTGTATTGTTTTAAAAAGCATAACAATTCACAAATAAAAATCTAAGAGACGTGATATGAATTTTGTGTGCATGGTATGCTTTTGCAAACCTGCGCCCACTTGTCATCAGGACATTCCTGGTACGTCGGTCCTATTGGATGTCGCAAATTCCTTCCATTCAACGATTCATATATATGCCTCGATTTGCAGATTTCGATTGTGGAATTTCCATACCTCTTCTCAGTCAATAGAATCTCAAGAAGTTGGGTAAGTATGAATTGAAGATGATGATGATGACTTGACGAGTAGTTTTCGAAATGGACAGGTTAACATTATGCACCATTTTAACAACCAACTCAAGTGAGACTATTGTGTTAGGGTATGGGCTACTGTTGGTTCAATCATATGGCGGAACACTTATTGCAAAATTATTGCCATCCTTTTTTCATTTTCCACAACCTCAATAGAGTTCAATTTCCTGCTGACAAACTTTGACGAATCAATTGGGATAAACAAGCTTTCCATCTTGGAACGAATTAAAGATTTCAAACAGCAACGCAAATTTGCCGTAATGTCTTTCGGAACAAAACCATTTTGTAGCAAACAGTTAATTTCGAATCATGATTGAATGTCAATATTCTTCATAATAAATTTATCGATTTCAATGTGTATTTTGAGTTGTTACAAGCGATTGTTTTCATCTTCTAATCTGGCAAACGATGTCTGAGAATTTTTCTTTCTCACCCAAATGACTGCAAAAACACATGTGGTTACAGACGCTGCTGCAATAATGACCAATAATAATACAACAGCTAGCATGACAAGTGCAAGATCAAATCCAAAAATCTTAATTCCAGTAGCCAAGCCATTACTGGAGGACTTTCCACGTGCAGAATATTCAAAGTAATCACTTTCTCCACATTCATCGAATTTGATATTTTCACCAGAAACTACCAAGGCATAACTTTGGGCCTTGTAAATATATGAAGCTGCAATATTGACAACAATTCTTGACTGAACATTGTTAAAAACAAGCTGTTCCACATTGTTGACGTTGTCACGATCAAAGGTATTAGATGTGTTCGAATTTCCAAAGTATACATCTCGATCAATTTTACATCCAAGATCGATATTGTTCACCAAATGTCTACCTCTTGCAGGATTACTTGGGTAATCGGTCCAAGTGAGAGTAATCTTGACATCATTCATTGTGCCTGATACCTTTGGTGCAATGCAATAGGTATGTGACTCTTCTTCTGAACTAATCACTGGATCACCAAATTCATCCTTCACACTACTTGATGTCTTAATATTTTCTTTTCTACCAATTAGAAGCTTTCTTGTAGAATTGTCAAACATGAGAACTCGATCCAATTGAATTCTTCCAAATCCTTCAATATATTTTGCTTGAAGTCTAAATTCAGGATTAGAGGATGCATCATTAATTGGTAATAAAAATCCTGACAAGTCCAAATATCCGAGTAGAGGTACACCCGAATTGATAATGGTTGCCTTCATCAATGCAGCAGAAGGTTTAAATCCTTTGGATGTGTTGTTCTTGCCATCATAATACCATCCTTCAGTGTAGTACTGTCTGACAAGGGCAGCATTTGCAGCTACAAGTTCAAAAGAATCATGATGAATTCCATGAGATTCACATCATCGTTTCACTTACCTGTTAAAGGACAACTCATAGAAGTACCTCCCATTTGAAGAACAGCTTGGCTGACATCTTGACTACTCTCACTACAAGTCATTGGAGTGGATAAGGTGTTATGAGATCGAGCACTCACAATGAAATATCCAGGACTGTATATCATGGACAGTGAATGCCACAACACCATGTTCAAAGTTGAGAAAAAAATAATTCATCATCATTGCAATGATGTTACACACACACAAAAACTTACGCGACAATGTCAGGTTTGATGCGTCCATCTGAGGTTGGACCTCTACTGCTAAAGTATGCGATATTTTCCTTGTTATATACAGTGTTACTGTAACTCGTCTTCATTCGATCTGATCTACATTTTCTGCAACACAAAGATCCAAGTCCATAAAATGCACATCCACATCCTGAATTGGAACAATATTTACCAGTGGTGTTGCAACAGTCTGCTTCTGTTTTGAAATTTCTTAAAAATTGACATGTTTCTAAAAAGTCAGAATTAAAACCAGAGCACGTGCTGCTTGAATTTTGATTTTCTGCAGGACAATCCAAAATACTCAATAATTGTTTAGCATAATTTTGAGCATAGGCGTTCATATCAAGTAATTTGTCAGTCACATATTGGAAGGTTGCAAGTGGGTTCATCGATGCTCCAACAGAAAGAATGTTTTTAGCTTCTGCTTGCGTGGAAATGGAAGAATATCCCATGGCATCTCCACTGTTACCAGCAGAGAACAAAATGAGCATGTCTTTGTGCTCCCAAACATACTTGTCAATGTCTGCTGTGTCAATACTGTAACCTGTTGTTCAACAATTTATGAATAGAATCATGGGTAAAGAGAGAATATGAACTTACCTAATATGCCAGCTCCACCTCCCCAAGAATTTGTGTGAATTCGACTTCCTAATTTGTATGCAAAAGGAAAATAGTCTTCCGACAATGAGTTTGGAGGATAAACGGCGCGATCAGATGCTGGACACTTTTTGTCATATCTGCCATCGCAATAACATCCCTTCTCAACGCCATGACATGAACATCCTTTTGGATCTGAGCATCCAATGTCAGTAAATGCAACCTTAGCATCTGGAGCAATACCATTGTGTTGACTGAGAGCATCAGTTGTGGATTGAGAAACAATAGTACCAGCAACGTGAGTACCATGAGCATTGTCTTCAGAAATAGTATCCATCAAACCCCAGTAAGAAGCAATTTTTCTGTGACTGCTGACTGAAAGAGATGAAGTAGTATTAACATACGGGACTTCATGGTCACTGTCATGGAAAAAACATGAGTTTCCATCCAATCCAGAATCACCAACAGTAACGATTTGATTCTTTCCTGTTAATCCTCGATAAGTAACTGGTTGAGACTCTGGTAGGCCACTTTGAGTGATGCCTCTAGCCCAATAATTGTGCAATTCATTCTTTGGAGCAAGCTCAACCCAGAAAACCTCTGATCTTTTAGAAATTTCATAAGTGACTGCAAGAGCGTCACTCTTTTTAACAGACATCATGAATCTATTTCCGACATTATTAAGGAACTGAATAGATCCTCGAGAAAACTCCTTGAGATTTTGCAAGTAGCCATTCAATGCTGATCTTTCCTCAGTGAGAATTCTCAACACAACAAACTCCTCTCCATTTCTATCTGTGTAACTGAATTGCCAATTTTCACTTGGTCTTCGGATGAATGGCTCAGCAGATAATTTGAAATTCGTATCGGCGTGTCTGAATTTTGCATTTGGATCTACAAAAAATCTTTGGATATTCTTAGCCCAAGTGTTTTCTGGAGTGAATTGAGACTCGACAAACTTGAACATGGGGTCGAAATGCTCCACAACTTTAACATTTTCATCTTCAATAAGTCTGAATGATGTATGGAATTGAGATATTGTCAACAACATTTCATCATATATATACATTCGATTTGTCAATAATTCAATCAATACTACCATTACTACACAGTGTGAAATACAAACCTTTTCAATTGTTGCACATTCACTCGAGATGTGAAAGTGTTTTCTCCCATCGGAGTCGAAAGAATTTTCTCATATTGACGAGAGTCTTGGTTTGTTTTAAAAGTGACCAACACATGAATATCATTGTCAGATGCTGTTGTGGTCGTACTTCTTTTGTTTGGAGATGACGATTGAAATTCATGAATCCATGCATTTGTCTCACTGATAAAAGGATTCTGCTCAAAAAAGTTCAAAACCGAAGAACCATCTTCTCTCATCAAGGATCTCTTATTGTTGAGCAAGTTCAAATCTTCCAATGAAATTCTTCTTCTATGATGAGCAGAAAAATCCCTTCTTGAGGATGATTCCGAATTCAATAAATTTAATAAATTCTGTTCTCCCTTTAAAACGGCCTGGGCCAAAGTAGGAGTAGTAGATATCATCGTTGCAATGATGAATATCAATGCTGATGCGAGAAATAGAGGCATCATGACCTGTAGAAGCCTTGTCATCTCTGCTGTTGGTCTGGCGAGATGATGACAGAAACCTTTTCGAGGCATTTTTTGTTATCTATTCATGCAGGATGAACTCAGTTGAGAGGCAAGTAGAATGATATTGGAATTCATCTGAGAGCATTACATTCTACTTTCCTCTCAACTGAGAGCACCGTCATGTGAAAGGGAATGGTCTACTGAACTTTTTCACAAGCCTCAAACAAGTTCAATTAATGTTTGTAGTTATCAGCACGTTTGATACGGCCTTCCATTACCGTGATACACCTTTCTATTTCAAAGACTTGCTGTAGAAAGTCTGTAGAATGATCACCTTCTCACAATTAGTTTCTATTCTGGTACCCCATGACCTAAATTCCATGGTTCAACGAATTCGTTGCATCATCCAATCAAATAAAACTTAAGAGCTCACAAAATTCTGTTACAAAAAACGATGAAAAAAATACTCAAACACCTCCCTACCTTTTGTTGCATTGTTTCATAACAATCATTATTCCAGCAACAAACCGCAAAGGCTTTGATAACATCATTACCCATTTTACTCCTCAGACAATCCGATTCCTAAAGAAAAATGTTGAACAATATCCACTATGAAGATTACCTCACTTTTGATGATGTGACTTTGGTTCCACAATACAACAATGTGCCATCGCGTTTGCATCCATCGTTGGATTCTTGGTTGACAAAGAACACTAAAATTGGTATTCCTCTTCTTGCAGCAAATATGGACACTGTGATTTGCGATGAATTGGCTGACGTTTTAATTGCTAATGGAGGAATTCCATTGTTCCACCGTTTCACTTCCTTCGAAACCCAAGCCAATTGGGCACAAAAGTACAAGGACAATTGTTTCATTTCATGTGGTTTGAACGATATGGAGTCAACAGTTAAATTGTTAGAACTAGGAGCTAAAGGTGTCGTGATTGATATTGCTCATGGTCACTCCGATGCCATGTGCTCATTCATTAGAAATTTGAAAAAGCAATTACCACACAAGGAAGTCATTGCCGGTAACGTTTGTACGGCTATGGGCTATCAGGATCTTGTCTCTGCTGGTGCCGATGCTGTCAAGGTTGGAGTTGGTTGCGGAGCTGCTTGTACCACTCGTATCAAGACTGGATTTGGTATTCCTCAATTCAGTGCCATCAAGAATTGTGCTGATTTGGCTCGCAAACTCCGTGTGCCAATCATTGCCGATGGTGGAATTGTTTTTGAGAGAGACATGGTGTTGGCATTGGCTGCCGGAGCAAGCTCTGTCATGATGGGATCAATTTTCGCCAAGACCATTGAAAGTGCTGCACCCAAGTTCAAGAAAGTTGAAAATGATAAGGAAATTACTTTGGTCAAATATAGAGGACAAGCTAGTAAGGACTTCCAAGATGATTACTATGGTGGTTTGAAGAAGGGCACTGTGCCAGAAGGAGTTGCTTTCTATGCCAAGTGTACTGGTTCTGCTCAAGATGTCATTGACAACTTTTGTGGAGCTTTGAGAAGCGCTCTCACTTATGGAGGTGCTAAGGATATCAAGGAATTGCAAAGAAAGGCTGAATTCGTTCGAGTTACACACAGTTTTGGTAAAGAGTCTCATCCAAGACCAGAGAATATCACTTTGTAAATTGACATTTGCTCATATTCCTCTAACTTGATAAAAATTCACACCATTTTACTCGAAATTGCTGTCATCTTTGTTTCTTAAAAATCCAACACATAAAAATGCAAAGTGGCAAAAACGATGTGCCACTTGCAAAATCAAAACAAACCTCTTTGAATTTTGGCAATATTAGACAGATAGTGAGGGAAGTGATTTTAAGAATGTTGAACGCATCATCGTCACAACATCCATCCTCGGAAGGTAGATCCATTTCGGAGGAAGAATTATTATCATCCTCAACCATTTCCAATCAAGATAAAGCATTGATTGAACAATTATTTACATCATCAAAATTACAAAACAATTTACATCGATTACAATTAAAGAAAGAACAATTAACAAAAGAATTGGAAAAGAATCAACATGAATTGCTTGAGAAAGGCACAAGAAATTTTAATATCGTAGAATTACATCGGAAGCATTGTAGTAATGGTGTTGTGTTTTCTGGAAATCAAATACCAATGATTGTGAATAGAGGAGCCATTGAAATGCATACCACGTCTGCTGATTCAACATTGTTTGCCAATAACCAACATGACCTTCATCAACACAATGTATCACGTACAGTTGAAACTATAATCGGTGGAAGCAAACATGTTGTGTTCAGTGTGGTGCTTGGAATATTGAGATTTCTGCTACGTTTAGTGTTACATTCGAGGTAGAAGATTTGCATAAGAGAACAAGAAAAGTCTCGTAAAATTCTGAACTTTTTCCTTTGACTCCACAATTTTACCTCTTTCTGACTCGTTTATTTAGACAATACAAGCATCATTCGTTGAGGTCTCAACAGCTCAAGAGTTTTGGACGCACCAAGAAATTGAATCAACAAATTAAAATAAACTTTGACGATTTTAAAAAATGGCTCAATACCTCACCACAAAAGCGGAGAATGTTCTCAAGCGAACAGCTGGTATGTAAATTCATCATGTTAGCAATTCTTTTCATTTGGTTCATACTGAAAACTTATTTACGCATACCATACCTTCTCAATGGTTATGGATTGTTTATTATTTTTGAATAATTATTGTTTTCATCATCACGCACAAATATTCTGATTTGATGACAATAACATCTCCATCACATAAACAATAGATTACATTCAATCCGACCAATTAAACATGGCCTTCTTGGAGTTGGGTACAATTGTATCTAAATTTGGTCGTCAGATTAAAACATGGCACGAAATTTATGAAGATGTTGCCAAACGATTTATCAAAGTCTCCGTAGAGTTGAGAAAGGGACAAGAAATCAAGTCTATCCTCTCCTCATACCGAAACTTGTGTCAAGCCAGTGAACTTAAATCATTTGCCAATGTTGTTCTTTTATATTTGGACCAGGCTGAAAAGAGGGCCCAAAAGGCAATTGAAAAATCAAAGAGCAAATCTGTAGCCCTTGATTTGGAGAATGAAGTCCCAGAAAACGTTTTACTCAGCGATGTTTCCGGTGAAGATTTGAAAGATAGAACCGACCGTGAATTTGTTACTCCATGGATGAGATTCTTATGGGAAACCTACAGAGTAGTCTTGGAGCTTTTGAAGAGTACAAAGGAACCACAACTTGAAGCTGTTTATCATGTAAGTTTTTGAATATTACTCACTAGATGTCCATCGTAACTTTTCAATTATCTCTTTTTAGGAAACTTGTAAAAGAGCATTTGAATTCTGTCAAAAATACGAGAGAAAGAACGAATTCAAGAGACTTTCAGATCTTTTACGTACTCATGTGAAGGGCATTGAGTTGACTTCGTATGAAAGCATTGAACACTATCTTTCTGCTCGCTTTTTCCAATTAACAGTTGCCATGAAACTTGATTTATGGCAAGATGCATTCAAGAGCATTGAAGATATCTACTATTTGATTTCAACCTCAAAAGATGTGGTTATTCCTGCTGAACAACTTTTGAATTATTATGAGCAATTAACCAAAATCTTCTGGAACTCTAAACACTACATCCTTCATGCATATGCTCAATATAAGGCTTTTGGTATTAACAGAAACATTGCCAATCAAACCAAATTACAAGAATCAGCCACTAATTTATTACTTTCCACCCTCACCACACCATCCAATGATCAGACAGAGACCATTCCTACAGACTTTGTTTCTGTGAGAAATGAAAGAAGACTGGTCACTCTTCTTGGCTTGAGTGCTCCTCCAAGCAAACAACTTCTTGTTTCAGAATTGGCCGCCAAGAATGTCACACAATTGATATATCCTGAGTTGAAGGATCTTTACAAAATCTTTGAAGTCGATTTCAACCCACTCAAGATGTGTGAAAGAATGAAGCCAATTTTGGAATTTGTTAAATCCCGAGAGGATTTGACTGTCTACTATGAGCCACTCAAACAAATGACTATTACCAAGTTGTTAGAACAACTCTCAAAGGTCTTCCAAACTATCAAGATTGAAACTGTTTCAAAGCTTGCAGATTTTGTTAGCCTTATTCAACTTGAGAAGATTCTTGTTCAAAATGCTAGCTTGGGCAAAATACAAGCTAGTATTGACCACGGAAAGGGAGTATTAGTCTTTGGTAAATCTCCAAAATCATTTGATGCCAGCGACGTTCAAAAGCAAATCTCTGCATTTGGAAAGAGAATTCATGACGTTGTTGACTTGATTCATCCTGAAAGAAAGAAGGAGAAGGAAGAGAGACGAAAGAAGCTCATTACTGAAATTTCCAAGAAGATTTCTCCAGAAATTGAGCAAATTTCCTTCAGAAATGACTTTATTAGAATGAAGAAGTTGTGGTACGAACAAGAGCAAAAGAGAGCTTTGGAAAAGGCTGAAGAAAGAAAGGTTGAGTTAGCCAGATTAGCCGAATTGGAAGAAGAAAGAATGGCTCAACTCGAAGCTAAGAACAGAGAAGAGGAAAAGAAGAGAAGAGAAAAGAAGATTGCCGAAGAAAAGAAGAAGAAGGAAATTATTGACCAAATCACCAATAATAATGTCAAGGCACAACAAGATTTGCTAAAGATTGCTAACAAATCTTTGAAGAAGAAGATTACCTCATTGCTTGAATTGGAAATTGATGACATTATTGAATTGAAGAGAGGTGAAATTCAACGTGAAAAGAAGGAAAAGGAGAAGAAGCTCCTCGAAAAGGCTAAAGCTTTGGACTACTTGGAAATCACTCGTCGTGAAGTTGAAATGCCAGTCTTTGATGATTACAACAAGAAGCAACAAGCTTTGAACAAGGAGGCATTTGAAAACTACTTGAACAAACAAAATCAAGATCTTCAAAAGGAGTTATCTGAAATGAAGCAAAAGAAGCAAGAATTTAGCAAATACTTTGTTGATCAAAAGGCATTCTTGGACAAGTTTGTATTAAAATCAAGAAGAGAAGAGTATGAGAAATTAAAACAAGAACAAGATGAAAGAAAGAGAGTAAAGAAAGAACAATGGGAAGCTAAACGTAAAGCCCTCTTGGAAGAACGAGAGAAGAAGAGAAAGGAAGAAGAAGAGAGAAGAAAGAAAGACGAAGAGGAAAGAGAACGTAAGAAGAAGGAAGAAGAGGAGCTCAGAAAAAAGAGAGAGGAAGAAAGAGAAAGAGAGCGCAAGAAGAGAGAAGAACAAGAAGAAATTCAACGCAAGAAGGAAGAAGAATTTTACAGAAAGCAAAAAGAAAAAGAAATGGAGCTCGACAAGAAGCTTAAGGAACAACAACCTCAAGCTCAAAAGGGTAGATGGGACAATTTGGACTCGGAGTCTTCTTCTTCTCCATTCGGAAAGGGTTCAGACAAGCGCGCATCATTTGGTAGTGCCTTTGGTGGAGGTGGTTTTGGCAAGACAGGTGGTCGTGGTGGAGGCAGAGGAGGTGGTAGTAGTTCAAGTAGTGGTGGTGGTGACGATGCCTTTTCAGCATTCTCTTCGTCTAAGGGACGTGGAGGAGGTAGAGGCGGCTCAAGACAATAAGCATTCTCATCAACATGGTCATTCTATCACACGAACAACATGACCTATTAAACACGTTCTAGTTATTTATTATATCTCATTAGTGTTTCAATAGTCAATTTTCCATGACCTCACAACACGATAGAAAATTTATTATTGGCCTTGCGCTTTTACACTTGATTTCCAACATTGGGTCAAGTTATTGATTCATTATTTCGAGTTTGGGATGTAAATTTGTGACAAGAAGCATCTTGTTGATGGATCGGGTGGGATGTTGTGAAGTGTTGATAGAGAACTGTTTGGCCTTAATAAATTTAAGATTCGTACAGTTTTTCACTTCTCCACTCGTCGTTCTTGATGAATCACAACACAACCATTCCAAATTTTGACACTTGTTAATTTTGAAATGTTTCAAATATCGACCAGAGCTGTTTTTTGACAGATCCAGTCTTCGTAATTCAGAGCACTTGCTAACAGTTAAGGATGAAATGAATCGAGACGTGTCCAAAATATGATCCAATTCCTTCTCTGTCATCATACGACATTTGTAAAGATGTAGTTTCAAATTCTTACATGAAATGTTAAATTCTCTCAGTTTTTTCATATTTTTCAAAGTCAAGTCTAAATTCTCCAATTCGATGGAGAGAGACTTTAACCTTTTAAAACCTTTCAATTCTAAACTCTGAATGGTCTCATCCGAAGAAGAATATAAATGAAGATGTTGTAACGAAGGGAGGTTCGATTGGTCTCGAAGGATCGACATCCATGTTAGTGGTAAGGTTGTTATTGACCTATTGTCATTGTTTTCTACATGAGTGTCATGAATCATTTCTGCAACATCCAACTCGAGTTCTTTCAAATGACTCAACATGAATTTCGTAATGGGACACAATGCATTGGCACCCATTGGTAAATTTACATGAATCAAATCAGGGCAATTATAAATAAATAAAGATGGAATGATGGCATGAGTACATGACACAACAAGGACTGTCAAACTTTTCAAATGTTCCAAATTCAATAACTTGACATGTTGCATCATTCCGTCGTATTTCTGTGAACGCAAATGATCGAATTGTCCATTCAACATGAAACGTTTGCTGTAAGATCGTATTGAAACTGTCTCGAGATTCGGCGTACAAAGATGGATCATGCTTCTCGATATTGTTATTATTTGATGAGAGGAAAGAGAACTATTGGCAGCTGTGTGAAACGTAAAATGTACAAGGTTAGGAAAGAGTTTAGCATGAGTGAAAAGAGTCTTAAACGAATCGTCGGATCGATGAATAGTAATGGACAATGTTTGTAAATGTTCAAAACAATTCATGTCGTCGTCGTTTGCTTTTGAATTTTCTTCTCCAAATATTAATTCTCGAAATGAAAATGATCGCATTACCAACGTGAAACTTTGTAACTGAGGAAGTGATTTTGGATCCATCTTGATACTTTCCAATTGTGAAGATTCAATGAAAATTTCTTGCAAATTGTGACACTTTTCAATTAAATTTTCAAAAACTTGTAATGTCATTTCTCGAACACCATAGGCACATTTCCAACTCTGAATAGCAAAAGAATGGTTTGAAATGATGTGCAACAATCGTTTGGATGTAAGACTTGTCAACGATTGTTTTGAATTTTTTGAAATTCTTTTTGATTTCTTTTGAGAATATTCTTGGAGAATGTGTTGAATGGTTACAGATTCGAGTGAAACTTGATCATTATGTTCCGAGTGAACATGATGCGTGAGAAAAGAGGAATTATCCAATGTAATGTTTTTGAATATTAATCCAGATAATATTCCTTCTTCAATGAGTCTATGAAAACATCGATTGACGAATCGTAAATATACAAAATAATCCGTGGTGGTCATGAATTGTAAAATCCATGCAACAATTTCATCAATATCAAATATTTGAAATGGAAGTTGAATTCGGTTCGTAAGCTGTTGTTGTTTGGTCTTGATGGTTTTCGAATGTTCGAGTACGTTCGTTGTTGATGATGGGTTTTTAGCATGTGAAAAACTCTCGAAGTGTTTTCGCTTCATTTTTTTTAAAATCAAAATTCAACAATCTGGTTGAAGCATTGATCGCTCAAGACATTTTATTCTTTCGTAGTTCCATCTTTGTATTCATAAATAGGTTTAGAGAAGGTTGTGTTTTTTGCAAAAGGATTGCCATGACTAGTGGCAGGACTATGGTACACATGAGTAAATAATTTCTCGGTGGTTGGATTTCTGAGCAAAGAATCCGTATAAATGGTCACAGGCTGGTCATGCACGTAGGTGAAGGAAGGATTGGCTTTGGTCGCTGCGACCGTCTGGTCGAGGATTGTTCCATTCGATGGTTTGCCTAAATCAACAGAATAGGTGGTCTTGAATGATTCTTCGACATAACCTTTTTAAACGTTTCGTTTTTCAACGCCTCAGTGGCATCCAGTTCTGCGGCTGCCTGAGCTAATAATTTTGCTTCTTCTGCTTTCTTTCTTCGACCAACGATGTCGTCTTCTCTTGGTACTGGGGAGCCTCAAACTTCTTGGATTTCAACGATTTTTGAAAATCTGTATCATCTCCCTTAATCAGTAAAGTCGAAGGGGGTAATTGTTTTGATTTTGGTTGTTGCCAATCAGCAAACACTGTCCTTAATTTACCATCAATTCCAGGTGCAACAGTAGCAGTACATTTGGGTTTTTTAAAAGAGGCATCACTTTCCGACGAGAGATGAGGTGGCCCTGTTCTCTCCCTTGTCGGAACCTCCTTTTCGATCACTTGTTCCTCTTGCCAATTTCCAACCAGCACTTTCTTTTTTCCATTTCTATTGTATTGACTTTCCTCGACCCATTCTCCAGCTGCTTGACTTGTATCTAAATTCCGATACGCTCTCTGCCGACGATCCACTAAACGACAAGGCTGATCCATATACTCGTCTTTGATTTTAGTTTTGGACATTTTTTTTCAATTTACTGGAGTAGTACTAGGCGGGAATCGCAAACAAGTCCTGACAACATCTGTTCAGTTTTGCTACCTTTTGATGTGACGTTTTATTTAAATATGGGAATGGCTGCAATGGCTTGAGAGATTTTGTTTTGTAATAATCATATTTTCAGGGAAGTTACACCTTCTCCCGTAATTCGCCTACTGCATTTCTGAAGGTACAAACACAACGTTGAGCTCTCTCAAAGATAGAATCGAGACTCTGGAGTTATTGGGTTTTAATGCTCTGTGTTAAATATTATTCATTCATCAAATTGAAAAACCTCTCCATGGCCAAAAAGAGGGTTTCTGTCTTTTGAGCTGAAAAACACACACGAACCCAACCTGTTAAATTTGTCAAATAGAATTGGGCAGGCGAAATGTTCACAAGTGCATGATCGATAACGTCAAGCCACACCTGATATTCTTCTTCCTGTGTCAGTGTATCTTGAAGAGAAGGAGTTTTCATGATTCCTTTTCTGAACACGTATTGTTTCATTAATCGTTCCACATTGAACCAAATAAAAAGACCAGCTCTTGTTTCAACATATTCAATGTTTCGTTCTCGAAGAAAGCTAGAAATCAACGCATATTGTTCTGCAAGTTTTTTCCGATTCAGTTCGAGGAATTGAGAGACTTTGTCCTTGCTCCTTAAAAAGTGTGTCATCAAGTGTTGAGTGTGCGACGAAACTCCTGTAAAATAACTGCATGTGTCAAATACTTTTTTCAGCTGCTCATTCATGGTGAAGAGAACACCAATTCTGAATCCATTCAAGCACAAATCCTTCGAAAAGGAATATACAATATGAACATAATCCCTATCATCCTCTTGCATGACATTTGCAGCGCTCACAAAAGACTCACCCTCTCCAAAAACTGACAAAGCATACAATTCGTCGCTGATATAGTGAATGGACTTCTCCTTACAAAAATCAATTAATCCTCTAATAATGTTTGCATCAAACATGTCTCCTGTGGGGTTATTAGGATTACACAACAGGAATGCCCTTATGTTTTTTGTTTTGCTTTCCTTCTCGAATGCTTCTCGTACCATCTCAACGGTCAATTTAAAAGACTTGGTTTCTGTATCATATGGCATTTGGACAGGCAACACATGATTATGGAATCTCTTATTGAAATCATTGTGGAAACCCAAATACAATGGAGCTGGGACCATGATGTACTCTCCTGGATCACACAACGAAGCTCCCAACATTTCAAGAACATCACCTGCACCGTTGCAAACAAAATAATTGCTGATGTCAAAAAACTTCTTCTCGAAATGATCATCTTGATGACTCTCCGAAGTTACAGACCCTCTCTTGAAAATATATTGGTTGAAAAGTCTATTCACCAATTCCACTCGAAACTCGTTTGCTCCCGAAAAGTTTGTATAATTTAAATTTGATGGCTCGAGAGGATGTCGAATTGCAATTTCATGAAATGTATTGCACAGCCATTCGGAAACGAGAACATTCTCAGCAACTGCTAAATTGATAATTCCGTTTGGATTATTTTGCTCATGGTATATATTTTGGAAGACCTTTCCCATGGCTTGGACGAAAGCAGGGCTCACAGCAAAATGCTCAGCTCGTCTAGAGAGAGAAGGAGAAGACAACATTTTTTTAATGATTGCGCACTAAACAAATTATTCAAAAGTAAAAGAAATTTTGTATATTGAGGTAAGAGTACAAAACAAAGTGAAAAATCTAGATGATGGACACAATAGTGAGCTCTAGTGAAATTATTGTTTACGCAACTTGTATCTCATGCGTGTTGGAGGTGATGGACCAACAACCAATGATGTGTATGATGGGTCTGGGATTTTACCAATATATTCCATATCATAATATCTCAATAAAATGCTGATAATGCTCTTAACTTGCAAGAGAGCAAAGTTTTCTCCAATACACTTGTGACGACCAGCACCGAATGGAACAGCACCATACTTGAATTTTTCATGTTCCTTACGTTCAGTCAAACGTTCTGGATCAAAAACATCTGGATTAGTGTAAGTATCAGTACATCTTCCAGCAACTGATGGAGAAACAACTAAAATGTTACCCTTTGGAATAATGTATTGTTCACATTCTCTTGGCTTTCTGGCCATTCTCATAATCATGATCAAAGGTGGATACATTCTGAGAGCTTCTTTCATGCAAGCTTCAAGATAGTCCATCTTCATCACTTTATCATAATCCAAAACCTTATCGGAACCCATAATTTCTGTTTGTTCCTTTCTAACCTTTTCCAAAACTTTCTTATTAGCAATGACATTCATCAAAGTCCAGCTACTAGTAATTGAAGATGTGTGTTGTCCAGCAAACAAACCAGCAATAAGAATACCAATTCTGTGAACATCAGTCAATTCTTGACCATCCTTGTACTTTTGAGTGAGCAAGTGGTCAACAACATCCATCTTGGATTCATCCAATAAACGTTCTGGATGCTTCTTATGTTCTTCTCTTCTCTTATCCAACAATTCTTGGAAGATTTCTCCGACAGCCTTTCTAGCCTTGTCACGCTTTGGAGCTGGAAGTGAAGGATAGAAGAACGACAATGGACTAATACCATCATCAATATCGTGATAGAGTTTACCCAAATTCTTCTCGCTCAAATATTGTCTGACTTCATCACCCAACAAGCAACGAGAAGCAGTGAAAATAATCAAATCTGCCATCAACTCGGCAACATCAACAGTTCCTTCTGGACCTAATTCCTTTACCTTACGAGCAATTTCATCTTCAAAGATGTCGACAAAGACACGGAAACGAGCAGTAGTAAGACCCGAGCTTACAAACTTGACTTGTTCCATCATACGTTCAGTAGAATCGGCATCATAAACAACACCGGTACCGAACACTGGTCTCATGAATCTGTAAACATCACGAAGAGAGAGTTCATTATCGGTAGCCTTGAAGAAAGTATCCAAAATCTTTGGATGGTTGAGGAAAGTCATTTCCTTTCCCAAAACTGTAGCAGTGAAAACATCTCCGTACTTCTTGCTGTTATCAATGATGAATTGAACTGGGTTCTTTGCAAAGCCAACAAAAGATCCCACATATGGAATCAAGTTTGGAACCCGAGGAGGTTCATTCTTCTTTCCTTTCTGCGAGGAGAAGTATCGAATCACCAAGAAGACAGCCAAAGCCGTAACCAAGGCTATCACAATATCAAGAACTCCAATTTCAGAGGACATGATGATGAAAATGTTGTTGAGTTTCGAGAATTTTTTTGCAGCAACACGCACTTTCGGCTCAACGTTGAATTTTCACTTGCAAGGAAGGTTCGCACATCGACACCACAGAGTGTTCTTGTTGCTGGTTTGCACTTTTGCGCTCTCGCTTCGTCGCTGCTAACAGAGCCTTCTCTTCTTCCAAGCTTGGGTCAGTGGTTCTGAATGAAATTGCCAAATGATGATGTCCATGGACTCTTGTGAGCTTTGTGGCAGACGCCTTCATTGAGAGGGCAATTTATGCAAGCTATCATTAATGCGGCTATTGTGGTTTTAGCACAGCTCAGAAGAGAGAGAAGAGAGTGAGCTTTCCCTTGTTCACGAAAAAATGTACAAATTTGTTCAAAATCTTGCTATTGGCCTGTTTTCCTCAAATACCAACTCGAGATGATAAAGCGAGCTCTTTACGGTTCGGACTTCGCTTAATACCACTTTGCCATCCGTAAACGATTTTTGTGCATGTTTGAAGCAACTACATGCTCATTCAACATGCATTTTAGTCTGGTCTATGTAAATAGACTAATAAGCATTGTTGAAATCGAAAATGATTGTATATTTCTACGTTTTCACATATTTAAATTCAAATGAAATGTAATCCTTCAAAATTTCGACTCCTCTAGAAATGAGGTTGGGCAATGCTCGTTGTTCTTCATGTGTAAAGTTGGCAAGCACATACTCAGCCAAATCTTGTCCTGGCTGCTTGGCCATCTCTGGATTCTTCTCAGGAGCAATCCCAACTTTTAATCTGTGATACTTATCCGTTCCTAACTTTGCCTCAATATCTCGTAGACCATTATGGCCTCCATGTGCTCCTTTTGCTTTTAATTTAAAAGTTCCAAATGGTTGTGACACATCATCAGTAATAACTAAAATTCGATTCGTGTCATCCAAATGGTTCAATTTCATGCCATTCATATCAAAATATTTCTTGACTGGTGTTCCACTTAAATTCATAAATGAGAGTGGCTTCATGCAATGCACATCAAGCTGTGGATATGTAATAATATTTTTCACTCGTTCCTCAATTTGTGCCATATCAATATCGGCTGTCGAGAAATTCGGGCAGTCCATCATGACGAGATCTTCCTTAAAATCCTTTCCAGAATATTCTCGTCGTCTCTCGTGCAACCATTTACTCTTCAATCTTTGAATTTCTTTTTCAACAAAATTGTTCTTCAATTCGCTGTGTGTCCAAAATGTGGCTTGTTCTTTGACACAAATCATGGAATTAAACTTGGACGATTCTCTCCACTCACTGAAACCATATTTCTTGCAAAATTCATTGATAATCATGAACCCGATATTATGGCGAGTGAGTTTATATTTTTCTCCAGGATTACCGAGGCCCACCAGCAACAAACGAGAAGAGGCATGGGCAACACGTTGAGACATTTTTAAAACTTTTTTCAATCAAATTTTATCGATAACGACTTGTTAATAATACAAGCTCTTGGAGAATGTTATGAAATACAAGAGAATGATACCATCTGGTCTGGTGTGTTCAAAGTTATCATCGAACATTTGGTTAAACGTGTGGATCCGAGACAGCATCGTCAGACTCCTTAATGACTACCATATTCGTTCGATTAGCAGATCTTGGTGTTTGAGAATTGGACCGAACAGCGGTTGGCTCACCTTCTTTTAAGTTCTTCTCTTCATGTTTCTCAAACAATGGGAAATACATGAAAATGGTGGCCAATAAAAACATGAGAACGGAAAAGTTGTTCATGAGATCCCATATAATGTAATTGTAGGACCAAAAGACGGTCATGACCAACACCACAATGGCTACTAAAAACACAAAAGCGAATGTAATTAAAATCCCTTCCAAAATGAGAATCTTAATGAAAGAACGTTTCGCTGTTCCCGAGGAATTCTGGTGATGAGCAACCTTTCGAATCATGTGAATGACCAAACCAGCGGAAATCTGTCCATTTTCCAACAATCATGATGCATTCATAACATTAGAATGAATTAAGAATGGTTGAAACTACACACTTACCGATGAAATGATGATTTGGCTCATAATAATAACAGTTACCAAAGAGAAGACAGTCAAATAAATTGGTAATCTAAAATCAGGAATCATTTTCCATCGAATTGGTCCATTCGAGACTGCAATCAACAGAAAAGCCAAAGTTAATGCAACAAGAAAGACTGCAGTGACTACATTCACTCCAATGAGAGCAATCTTGAAAGCTTTCTTGTTGGAGTTGTTAGCAATCACAGTATTGAGAAACACATTCGAAACGAATGAAATGATCAACAATAAGATAGCAACACAGGTCAAAGTAGTGAATGCTTCAATGCTTCCAACCACATGCATGGTAATGATGGATGCAAATGAAATTCCAGCTTGGTCTGTGGTGAGAGTACTATTTCTGAAAATTATATATTCCATATATTCTCTTGAGGATGGAGAGAAAGATGTTGTTACATGATAATCCATTTGAGATACAATTGATTCTTCAATGGAACGATAGATGAGTCGGCACACGAGTGATGTGCTATGGAATGCCACCAACACCACGACAATTCCCACGAGTATCTTTTGATTGGTCTTCATTCGCTCTCGAAGGTCCTTCTTTGAATAAAGATAGAATACGAGAGAAAGTAGCGCCACAAAACACATGAGGGACAAGCTATTAATGACTTGACTAGGAATGCTCTGGGAATAGGGACTGAAATCTGTTATGGTAAAAAACACAGCATTAGAGGAATTGGTTGAGCTCATCTCGAGAAGAGTGGTTGGTGATGATGAACTGTTTGTAAGTTTGGGACAGAGATGATATCGTTTTTTCTGGTTGATATATTAAAACAATCTCGTCGTTGTTCATGGTTGACATTCCGTTCATGCTAACTCTGTCCACATCTGTCCTCTGTCATCCAAGTTCATGAACGAGTGTCACAACAGAATGACCACCACTTGGTTTTGGCAGAATCGATTTTTATGCATACTTTGCTTAAATTAACCGATACCTATGCCTTGTCTTTGTCCATCATGGAATAATTAGATAGTATTAGGAAAGCAATAGGATCCTGAAGTTGGCACCATCATGCCATGACCACTGAGGAAAGGTAATTCCATGGGATGCAATCATTCGCTATTCTAGGACTTGATGTTCACCAACTGGAAGTAGAACCGGCCTTATCGTAATATGAAAGAATTAAAAACCTTCCTTTTTGACTGTTTTGAAGAAATTCAACTTCCTTTTTTTTCAGTTGTTGACACTTCAAACAATCGCCGTTCAGTAACAAGGCGCGTTGGCAGAGCTTTTGGAACATTCTTGAAGTGGTCTATTGGTGATTTAGTCTGTTTACTGTTCTTTGTAAGGTAGAAAGGTGTTGTTCTTATTTTACATGGATGTGATGCTGCAGCCTCGACCATAGATCACACCACCCACTACACTTTCAATTCTGACTCCATACCATGGTACTCGATATCCATTGTACTGTTGGGTGGAGTTTGAGTCGTGGTTGTTGTGGTTGGTGAAGAACCTCGTGGAGATTTGAGGGAATGGTGTTTGTCATTCTTGTTCTCTTCGATTGGTTTGTGGTGCTGTTGTTGGTGTTGTTGATGAAAATGCGGATGATCCTTGTTGAAGAGAGGAAAGTACATGATGATAGTGGCCAATAAAAACATGAGAATGGACATGTTGTTGAGCACATCAAAGATGATGTAATTGTAGGTCCAAAACACCGTTAACATCTCAATGACGATGGCCAATAAAAAGATTGAAGTAAACACAATTAACATTCCTTGCAAAATAATGACCTTAACGAAGGATCGATTGGCTCCTTGAGAATTCTGGTGATGGGATAATTTCTTGATGACGACCATTACTAATCCAGCAGAAATCTGTTATTAACATTGTTACATTGTTTGCATCAAAATAACATTGTTTCAAAGTTCGTTATATCCTACAACACATATTGTACACACTTACCGAAGAAATGAAAATTTGTACAACCAATTGCAACACCACAACCAACAAGGCAGCTAAATAAATTGGAAAGCGAATGTCTGGAATGATCTTGTATCGGATAGGCCCGTTCGTGGCAGCAATCAAAAGGATGACAATCATGAGTGAAATGAGGAAAATGGTAGTTAATACATTCACTGCAATGAGTCCAATTCGATAGGTTTTTCTGTTCGCATCATTAGTCACCACAATATTGAGAAACACATTCGAAACGAATGAAATGATTAACAACAAGATGGCCACACAAGTCAAACTGGTGAATGCTTCAATGCTTCCAACCACATGCATGGTAATGATGGATGCAAATGAAATTCCAGCTTGGTCTGTGGTGAGAGTACTATTTCTGAAAATCATATATTCCATATATTCTTTTGAGGATGGAGAGAAAGATGTTGTTACATGATAATCCATTTGAGAAACAATTGATTCTTCAATGGAACGATAGATGAGACGACATACTAAAGTGGCGATTTGAAAACCAGTTAGTACGAGCACAATACTGATGAGAATCTTTTGATTAGTCTTCATATGATCCCGAATATGCTTTTTGGATAAAAGAAACACAACGAGCGTAATCGTTGCTATGAAACAAATCAGAGAAATACTGTTGATAACTTGGCATGGAACGCTCTGGGAATGGGGGTTGAAATCAGCCATCGTAAAAACCACAGCATCGGTCGGTTGAGATGTGTTGTTAGTAGTAGAGTTCATCTCTAGAAGTTGTTTTAGGTTGGATAGAGCAAGCATAGTGTTGGGAGCGAGGTGTTTTTTCAAAGGAGAACAAGGCAGCGTGTGTGGTTTTGAAGATATCATGATACGAGAGAGATAGAGATCTCATTTAGTGTTGATTATAACGCGAGTTATTTGAAAAGCATCCTTTTCCTTTTTGAAACGAGGGTAGTGAGTTGTTCTCCATTTCAACTGCATTGCTCAACACTTGTCACTATCTTCAGTTGTTTATCACAACTGTAGGTCCTTGGGGCCCTTTGAACAAATCGTCATTGTGACTCCGAAAAGAAACGTTGAAATACATTTACAAAAAATTTAAAATGTCTGTACCTGCTGCTCGTTCCGGTGGAAACGCCCAGTATGACTACCTGTGTAAATTACTCCTGATTGGAGATAGTGGTAAGTGATGATAAACGAGTGGTGGACCATAAATAATTGTAATCATAATTGTGATGATGATTTCTAATTTTTTTATAATCGTGTCATCATCCACCACGAATAACAACAACAGGAGTGGGAAAGAGTTGTTTATTGCTTAGATTTAGTGATGATACATTTACTACAAATTTCATAACTACTATCGGTATTGATTTCAAAATCCGTACCATTGAATTAGATGGAAAACGAGTAAAACTTCAAATTTGGGATACGTAAGTTTGGATGGTGATGGAGTACCATGGCTGACCTATTGATTTTATTACTCTTGTTTGACTTGTACTCATTGTGGCTCCAATTGTATAATGACTTGCGACGATGATATCTGTTACGACAATACAATGGATCTACAAAATTCAATTCTTTTGGATCATGATTATGATGACGAACAAATTAATCCATCAACCGTATCCACCACATTGAAACTATTGTTTCTAATCACTCCATTAAATATCAATAACTTTCCTAGTGCTGGACAAGAACGATTCCGTACGATCACAACTGCCTATTACCGAGGAGCTATGGGTATCATGCTTACCTATGACGTAACTGATGAACAATCGTTTTTAAACATCAGAAACTGGATGAAAAATATTGAAGAACATGCTGCCGATAATGTCAATAAGATGTTGATCGGAAATAAGTGTGATTTAATTGAAAAGAGAGTTGTAGAAGTAGAAAGAGGACAACAACTTGCCAAGAGTTATGGCATACCATTTATGGAAACAAGTGCCAAGACACCACAAACTACGCCATAAGAAAACTACCAGCGAAAAAATTCGACTCAAAAAGGCAAAAATTTTTTGACAACGAAATGCAGAAACTCCGGGATTGGTTCAGAATCTTGTAAAGTTTTATTCAGTAGTGCTGACGTTCGTTCATTAAAAGTGAACCTCCTCCTGATTATGACCACACCTATTGTACCAAAGCCAGTTACTAACGTTTCGAAAGCAATTCTCTTCAGCCTTTCGTTATACAAGGATTGGTTGATTGTTGATGATAATACTCACATTCACCGTCATTACACCGTTCAACAAGTTTCTCGTTACACGATAAAAATCCATCTTTTGTACTGATCACTTGGTATCTAAGTTACATCAAAGTTGTTCCACGTTGTTGCTGTGTAATCGTAGTTTAGGTGTGTGATTTAAAATACTCGACCTCATCTTTGGTGAAGGCATTTTTTTTGGAGTGAAAATTAATGTCAACTTGAAAAATTAAATTACAACAAAAAGCAAAAACTCTTGTTCTTTAATTTAATAACAGCATCTCCTTGGAGCTTAACTGAGAGAAATTGAGATCAGTATTATCAATAATATTATTAATTATTTTCAATTTGTTTTCTGTGCTCGGTGGACCTCCTCGCTTTTGTTTTATGCGAGTGAAGCTAGCTTATCGACAAAGTAATTGTTGTATTTTGTTGTGTGTTTGAATGTTGGTTTGATTGGTTTCATGTTGTGAAGGTTGAGATGATAATGTGTTCGGATTGTCAAGGTTATGTTGGATTGTGGAGAAATTATGAGAAGATTGTGGATAATAGGATTGATGATTTTGAAATAAATGTTCACATCCTCCATATTGAATAGGGATATTCTGATAGCTCATTGAATTGGATTGGTTTGGTTGTATCAGATCTTCATAAATTCTTTCGAAAGATGGTGTGATGTTCTTGGTGAATCAAAAGAGCCGGGATTAATGCTACTGAAACCGGTAGATGACGGTGATTGCACATTGAAAGAAGATAATGGAGAGGAACACCATGTGTGGTGATTTTGATTTGAAAGTCCATATGATTGACCTTCAAAAAAGTTGTTGTTAGATGTGGTTTGGTTTGTGGACGGTGATGAAAAGTTTCAATTTGATTACATTTTTTGTGATTTAGAGTGTATTGAGGATTGAATTTAATTGTTTTATTGTACAAACTCGAATTCTTTGTCAAACTTGAACGATGTCCACACTTGATTAGTTTCCACATTACATGTGAGAGAAATGTATACAATTTTCATCTTGTGTTTCGTAATCTTCTTTCCGAATTTACGTGTAAGACGTGAGTGAGTAATTTCCAACTCAGACCAATGCTTGCATTTGTCTAAAGGAGGAACACTGTCAGTAAATCTGAATTGAATGCACTTCTGTCTCTTCTTTAGGCCATTCCACAAAATGTCTTGATACCATTGGTAATATTTAGCCTTTGTTCCCCTCAGAGCAAGATAAAACACGTTTGGGTTGCAACATCCAACCGTTTCATGGCTGATGGAGTTTGAACATCTCATCTGTAGATGTTGATAAATAATATTTCTTGCACATTTGGCGAACTGTTCCCATATAATTCCATAAATTTGTTTCTTCTCATCTGGTACTTCTTTAAAGGAATTATATTTTGGTACAAATTCAAACAGTCCTTTCTCTAAAGTGAATTGATATTCCTTGTGAGTGTCTTCAGCAGCTTCATCTGTGGTTCTTGATTTTCGTTTTTTGCTCTGTTGGGAAATATTGTCATCATCACATTTGTTGTTTGGTGTTATCGTACATTGTGTCTCATCAACAATACCAGAGAAGCTGCTTGTGCTAGGCAACAGACAGCAAGGTGGAAATGATATAGTTTCGTCTGTGAAGATCCATTCCTGAACAAGTTAAGCAAACACATTGTAACAAATTTGAAACATACTGTAGAGGTAGTCATTACTGGTGATGATGGGTGAGAAGGGTTCATTTCGATGCTTGATGATGAAGGAATCTTGTGAAATATGTTACTGCTGAATACTGGACAAACATAATACTTACATTGTTCGTACTCTGGTTCGTTGTGGATTGGCTATCCAATGCTGGTGATTCATTGGCCTTGATAATTGAGATCAATACAAGGTGAACGATATTCACTAGTACTTACGTGATTAGTATTTGTTTCGCAACTCGAATCACAATCAGAAACACCAAGCTGAGGTAAAGATTAGTGTAGGTGTTGAAATTGTTGTTTGATGATGTTGTTGTTGTGGTAATAATCAATTACTTACACAGTATAGAGGCACAGTGCCCTCTTCAATGACCACTAATTCAGCTTCCATGTTGTGTGTGTTGTTGGTGTGTTTTTTTGTGTGAGAAGCAGAAAACAACACCACAGACCAATCACTCCATTTTTTTTGACTCCGGGACTTACTAAAACGAGCCGAATTTTTTCTTCGTCAGTTTTGCACTTTACGCTCAGGCGTAGTTTGTGGTGAATAATATTAATGTAGAGGAAGCTTTCTTCACTATTGCTAGAGAAATTAAATCTAGATTAATAGATTCTGGAGAAGTTGATCCTGAGGAAACTAAAGCACAAGATAGAGAGCCAGGAACTACGGAAAAGAAGGATACCAATACAAACAAAACATCAACAGGTGGATCCAATGGAACTGTCAAGATTGATTCTCAAGGCACTGGCGAAGCAGATAAAAAGAAGAAAAAGAGCTGGTGCTCAATTTTGTGAGCGATTTACAATGTGTGGCTATTTAGGTTGAATTGATTGATGAAATATTCCCTTCCTTTTCATTCTTATTTATTCCTGAAATGCATTCTGGTGAGCTCCTCTTCCCTCCACAACAATTCAACCACCTCAACAATTTCATTTTACTCATTTATGTATTATTTGCGACTACTGATGTTGCAATTATTAATGTATATTTAGAAAAAAGGTACAATACACCTCATTTGTCATGCAAAATGTTCATGTATTTTGAAATGTGGTCCATGAAAAAAGCGACAACACGTAATCCATCACAAAATTTTAAAGGTGTTGGTATGTTGGCGCCAATCAAATTTTCACAACCGAAAATTAAAAAAAAAA